ACATCCTCCACACTGTGGGATTTAGATTTATTTCCATTTGATTAAATAGAAATACAGCACTAACATTACATAAGCCGCCCTTCACCATAAGTTAGACTGCTGCCAAGGACGAGAGCCGACTGCCGTTTATTTCCACTCTGAAGAGGAGGAGACTGTTCAGGCTCCTTGACCTGATACATGTAAGTAAGGTCAGGTCAGACATCCATCCAGTCTAGACCTCCGCTGTGGCGACAGGCCAGAGTCAGGATGGAAGTGTCCTTGGGCGAGGCGCTGAACCACAGATCGCTCATTTGGCGTGGTTAATGGTGTGTGAATGGAATACGAAGGCGTCCTCTGTGGCGAGACGGTCTTAAAGAAACTCGCTGTGCTGGGTGATAAAACGATAACGGTGAATATTGAAAATGAATTTCTCTCGATATCGATATAAAACATGGTCGATATGCTTTTCGATATTCTGCAATTTAAAGGAGAAAAGTACGTTCTCCAGGATTTAGCCAAGCCCTACTGCTGATTCAGACGATAAGAAAACAGCGACCGTTGAAAGGATTTGATAGTTTGGGATTCGAGGAAACCCGTTTCTCCTCTGACCCTCATCAGTTTGGAGCGGAGGATGTGGTTTCCGTGGTTTATAGAAGTGACGCGAACACGGAGATGCTAATGCAAGCTTTTATCACCAGCGGTATAGACGACTGTAATGCGCTGCTTTCTGTTACTATTTCAAGTCTTCAGTTGTTACAAAATTCAGCAGCTCTTGTCCTGACTAAGACCAGGAGGCGGGCCCACATTACAGCGGTTTTAGAATCACTGCGTTGACTCCCCGTGTGTTTTAGGATTGATTTTAAGATTCTTTATGAACCTTCATCGACCCTCCGCTCCTCTGGCAGCGTCCAAAAGTCAGGACGCACACTCATGGCGAGGCGTCTTTCCAATATTACGGCCCTCGTCTGTGGAACAGCCTGTCAGAGGACTGGGATAGTTTTTTATTTTTGTTTTTAGCTCGACTTTAAAGCCCTTTGAGTTACATTCCATGTGGGAAAAACACTTAATAAATAAAGTTTGATTGATTGATTGATTTTAGATCCATGCAGTGATTTCCACCTCAGAGTCACGCCTCATGTCTCTCTCTCTCTCTCTCTCTCTCTCTCTCTCTCTCTCTCTCTCTCTCTCTCTCTCTCTCTCTCTCTCTCTCTCTCTCTCTCTCTCTCTCTCTCTCTCTCTCACAGACTGAAAATGAACACTGATGTTTCTATACGACGTGCAGAGGTAATTACCCCGTACGCTCGTCAGCCGTGCTGCTCAGTAAATGACAGACAAGGTGACAATGATCATCGTGTAGAAAGAGTCCATCAGAGGTTCGTAGGTAAATGCATATTATACATTTGCACTAAAGGAGGATTACGTCACTAAAAACTCGATTATGTGCAGGACACACGAACGTGGAGGTGAATCACCCGGCTGTGTGTGAATCTGAGCCGACACAGATCCTCATGAAACTCTGAATCCTCTTTATTCGACCTCTAAGGAGTCATCTGACCTTCACTCCTCTATAAATCACTTTATTGTCTTATATTTTAAACTTTTTAAAGCTTGTTTAAATCACACTGTTTGGAGGTAAATCGCACATTTCCCACTGCCTCTGTCGACACAGCTGACTCACAGTCGTGTGTTTTTACGTCTTTAGTTGTTTTCCATCCAGACAAACTCTCCGTATGAGTCAGCCTTTAAAAAAACTGAAATGCTCGGCCTGTTTACAGACATCTGCTCCTGGCTGCTGCGTTTAATTCGGCTGTGCAAGGATAAGCAACTCCACCTGCTCGCTATTTCTTGGAAGTTGCGAAAGCGCAGTTTTACACCGTCTGAAAACTTTACTCTAAGACGTCTGAAGTCCTGCAGATCAGAGGAACGTCGTCTCTCAGTTTCAGACGCAGCCTGATATCGATCGGCTGCATTAGAGGTCATAAAAAGACAAATATGGATTTCTTTACAGACGTGAATCGTGCAAAGCTGCTCGAAAAAATATGATGTTCTCTCTCGCAGATTAATCTTTTAAGACTTGGAGTCAGGCTGGAGAGTTCAACAAATCCATAATCTCTTTGACACCGCTTCAAAGTTATCAAAGTCAACCTGAGGTTTGCTAATCCAGCCGTGACTGTCGCTACAAGTTTTCTTGAATTTCTTCTTCTTCTTCATTAAAAACCGTCTATATTTACTCAATGGCACAAATCCAGATCAGGAGAAGCCTCTCTGACACTCCCTGACTCGACGCCAGAGTGGATCTTCTTATTACCTGTTGCTTTGTTTGGTTTTTGGCTCCGAGGCTCCAGAGAGAAAGTAATTTTCTCAGCTGTAATCTCAACACCCTGCATGTCTTAACATGCCTGAAAATCAGAGGGTTTAATATGTAATGAGATGGATATCTGTCCGTCCGCCGTCAGTGTGTCCAGATTTCATTTCCGTGTTTTTTTTAAGAGTAAACGAAACACAAAGAGCGAGAGATGGAGCGAGGCGGGATGTGAAATTTAGCCTTTGTTCGCCGTGAAGACGGGCGGGTGGGTAATCCTTTATCTGCCGTAGAGACACACACACACACACACACACACACACACACAAACACAGAGAGAGGGGCTGGTAGCGTGACTGCTTGAATGCACATACACAGAGATAAAGTGACATTCATCGACTATCTGCTGGGAACATAGGAGCGCACAGAAAACACAAACCTACACACACACACACACACACACACACACACACTCTATTGTGTTACCATAATCATGAGGCCTTCTGCGACTCCATTCACAAGAGTAACCTTGATCATTCTGGACTTCATTTCCACACCAATTTACAACAAAGCTGCAGCAAAATGTGACTGAACTGAACAAGCAGAGTCTCTGAAATTATCCTTGAGGAAGAGGAGGAGAAAGAGGAGGAGGAGGAGGAGGAGGAGGTCCAAACATCAGGCGGTTACTCACTCTGAGATGAAACACGTTGGGAAATCAAATTCAAAGAAGCTGAATTTCATTACCGCTTAATTCCTCCAACCTGTGCACACGGCGGCCTTCAGATGGAGCCGTTTTATCTGCAGGAGAAGAGCCGTGAGCGCCTCCCTCTGATGAAACACGAGGAGCTCTGAGTTCATTATTCCTGTTTTCAGAACCTGAGGATGAGAGCAGTCAAATGTCACATGCAAAACTGGCCACGTCCCACGAAAAGGGGTGGGGCCACAATTTTAGGACAGAGTACCCTGATGAGATTGGTCGAACTGAACCATGTGAGTGACCATAGTCAATCCAGATTAGGGCTGCCACGATTAGTCGACAAAAATCGATAATGAGTAATGTCGACTATGAAGTCCATTGTCGACTACTGCCTCCAGTAGGAGTGAAGCATCTTACCCCAACTTCCACCTTCATCCTGATCGTCTCCTAAAAGGTCGTATCCTCCGATCGTAGCTGATCGTAACCATTCAAGTTAACGTGTCAATTTACACCGACTTCTTTCCGTTCCTCTGAGGATCGCCGGACTCCTCAGCTGATCACAAGAGTTCTATTTTTTCTGGACGCCGGAGCATGGCGGATAAATTCAGCACAGATTAACCCGTGCTGGAAAGGAAGTCGGGCACAGACACAAAATAAAACATCCGGCTTCTTTTCAAAATAAAACACTCCGGCGAAGACGAACAAGTGAAAGGTTTTTAGACGTCATTTCACCCCGATGACACCATGGATGAGGAGATGCTGATTCTAGAAGTCTAGAAGTAGATTTCCTCCTCTGGAAGGACACAATCTACTGCTTATATGTCTATGTGTCTGTCTTTATAGAGACGACTCGTTATCGTGAGATTGAACGTGAATCTGTGGGTTCTTGTGAGTTCTCGCGATTCCTGCTGTCCGTAATCCGCCACGAAATTCGCCTCACAAATGGATCCGGTAGGAATTGGAGGACAGCGAAAATCGCCACGGTTCCCGATCAGCTTCAGATCCATAAACTGGCAGGAGGCAGAACCAAGTTGTCGATAGTAAATACAGTCTATGGTTTTTGCATTTCCTCATCGAAAGCTTAGAAGACAGATAAATCTCATGGCGTCTTCGTAACGCAGACAGAGGCAGACATTTTGACAGAGGTGACCATCTCCACCAATCATGTTGACGTACACCTCTAATATGTCATATCCTTGTATATCATCGCTGTCTGTGTGAGGTGAAAACAGGCAGATTAATAAGAAGAAAACATTCCTGTTTATGTTGGGATTAAGTCTCTGATACTTAGAGAATTAAATCCAGATTACACTGTTGTCTGTAAACTACATTTATTCCACTCTAAACCCTGGACCTGCTCTGGTTTACCTGCCTGTAACACACAGAACCACAGCAGAGGGGACCTGGTCTCAGGAGGCTCTTAGTATTCGAGACCTCATCTTGCAGAGTCAAGGACGAACGCTGTGATATATGACCCGCTGAGCCTTTCTACAGTATGTGCACACTGCTGCACCGAGCTTGTGTTATGTGGACTTGAATGCACTGACGGGTATTTTTGAGTGTTTAACAAGGTTCAGTTCAGATCCACTATTTGACTCCAGAACCAGGAGATTAGCCGGAGGGATTAACGTGGTTTGACTGATTGATAGGTTGATGGCGTGAACTGGCGATAAGATGAGAGTGGACTTGATTAGCAACAGCGGGGGGGGCAGGAGAAGAAAAAGAGGGAGGAGGGGTGAGAGATATTATCTGCTAATGAGACGGGAATATCTGAGAGACACAAAACGGGCGAAAAATGATGAAATACAAAGTTTAAAAACGTGAGAGCGGAACAGATCATGTGACCTGTGCAGGGAGTGTGATGTGAAAACCATTACCCAGAAGGCCAAGGTGGCGGTATTTCCATGCTATTATCCCATGACCTCCATCGGTGTCAGAACCACAAGGTTGAAAACGGCTGCGGCGTGGAGCATGCTCAGTAATTCCCTGTGGCATCTTGAGTAAAAGTCCAAACAGACAGTGATGGATCGCTCCTCTCTGTGCTTCTCCCAAAATTACACCGACTCTTCACTGAAACGGTTTTCAGAGGTGGACTTCACGGACAAGAGCATCGAGGAAATTGGATTGGAACAGCATGATGGTTAGCATAAGTAAAAGCCTTGGACGTCTCTGCCGGGAGCACAAATCTTCAAATGTCTTTAAGGGAGACAAAGACGTCGTGACTTCAGGCGGAGACAGAATAACAAAAGGTGGTGAGAGAGGAAATCAAGAAGGCCATCTGAAGAGAGAAGACAGAAAAGTTCAGGCAGTTCGAAACTTCCTCTCTCTTTTCGGATGTTTTTTTTCCTTTCCCGGTTCCTTCTCTTTAGTCGTATGTGCCGTGTGATGAGGGCAGCTAATCTGTGCCTGTCAGCATGAGACCACCGAGGAGACGAACCCCCCCAGACTGGAACACAAATAAACACAGAGACTGATCAGTCCGTCCCAGAGCGTGAAAACAGACGAGGACGTTCATAAAGAGCGAAGACGAGGTGGAAAATACAGGAAAACAGAAACCGAGACACAACCGAGTCATCTTCATCTCCTAAACTGTTGAATTTATTCGTGTCCACGTTTGGTTTTGTTTCAGGTTGTGAAGTGGCCCCACCGTCTTAACCTTCGTATTTTTAATCATCCGTCCTCCACGGCTCCTCTCTGCCAAAAATCCAACGAGAGCATCTTCAGGGTGTTCATTTAAAAACGGTAATTAACACCAAAGGTGAGCTCAAACAGGAGAGATTCATTCTAAACCGCCAATTAATATGAGAGGCGAGCCGAGGCTGTCGGCCAATCTTAATGAGTTCAGACCACAGAGCGCCCCCCGGTGACGCATTTATCTGTGGAAAACTTTTTCGTCTTCCCCACGGCCCAAAACTTATCTCTGAGTTTCCTCAGTTATAGAAAAAGTTTTGTGGTTCACTCCAGAGACGAAAAAACCTGAAAACCTGAAAACTCAGAGGGACACGGTGAGAGAGGATGAGTGAGTTACACACCTGCAGGTCAACGTAGCTGCTTCTCATGGCCAGAGGGAAGTTCATCAGCTCAGCGGACGAGTGACCGCCAACCTCTCTCTTTTTTTACTGTAACCTCGGCTCTGAAGGTCAGCTCTAGCCTGTTTACGTTACCATGAAGAGCTGAAAGAGGCGGTTCTTGCTGAACCGGATTAGGAAGAATCCAAACTCTGCTCTGACGTGGAAACATGGATCACAGACGACTTGAGCAAGATCGATCAGCCTTTGTGGAGCTGAAAACGATCTGTGTGTGTTTGGATTTTATCTTTAACTGCACTTTAATAACCCCAGACTCCAGACACTGGACCCTTGCCCCGAATTTCCACCACGTCCACAACAGCTCCGATCCAGAACGGCTGCAATTTTCGCCGTCCGCCAATTTCATTTGTGGGGCGAAGAAGTTCTTTCTTATCTTCGGTTACATAATCAAAGTTAGGATTATATTTTTTAGTATTTATGTTGAGTATGAACACAAACGGAGGTCAGTTTCATGTTTGTTTAGTTCTCCTATCCGATCGAAAAGTCAGAATTTCATCAACAAAATTCAAGACGACTTCAGACGTGTCCCTTGATGGCGGATTCATGTGCTCTGTGGTGGTAACCCCCAATTTACACCGCATCCGGAACGGCGGCAATCCGCCAATTCCTACCTGATCCATTTGTGAGGCGAATTTCCTGGCGGATTACAGACAGACAGACAAGAATCGCAAGAACTCTCAAGAACCCGGAAGATTCACGTGCAGTCGCGCAATTACAAGTTGTGTCTTTCTAGTTTCTAGTAGTTATTTTGAAAAGAAGACGGATGTTTTATTTTGAAGTCTGTGCCCGACACAGACCGACACAGCGGAACGGAACGGAAGTAAGCCGGGGGAAATTGACACGTTAACTTGAATGGTTACGATCAGCGGTGGAAAATGGCGGTTATTGTCAGCATTAAGCTCTTCAGATCTACTCTGTGGATTCACTCATACTTGAACAGGGCTCTTTTAGGTTTTAAGGTTTGTGGATGTGCTCTTCTCTGTTCGGCTTTCTGTCCACTTCTTTCAGCTCGATGTCCATTAATAATTCAGGTCGCGGTTATTACTTTAAAGGTTAGCTGAGTTTATAATGTCGGCGTTTAAATGAAAACTGCTCCATAAGTTTCAGCATCGCCGTTTTTACAGCCCGCTCAGCATTTAAATGTTACAGTGATTTAAAATTAATCAATATTAGACGAGGCTGATACTCCTCGGGCTTTTTTCAGAGCTCTCCCTCGAGACGAAATTTATGACACAAAGAAGACAAGGCAGTCTGGAGCGACGATATAACACTCCTCAGACCATTAGTTTGGGCTGTAAATCAAAGTACTGATGCAGACGGTGGACTTGTCCCTCACAGGTCCTTCAGATCCGGTTCTGACATGTGGTCTAAAGTGATCAAATGGACCACTTTAAATATGAGCACTCAGACTTTGCATCAACAGGTGTCCACTGTGACCACCTCTGACTGAATCTTCATAGATACAGCCCATGACTTTGATATTTGGGGGCGGGGCATCCAAATGGATAACAATTCTCATCGCCATGTTGTATATTGAGTTATTACTGTGAACATAGGGCTGGGCGATAAGGCCTCAAATCAATATCATGATATATTATATATATACCGATATTGTCGTTAATTTGAGTATCGTTATATTTTTGGTTTATTGCCCAGTCCTAACCCAGATACAGCTTTGTCCTTTTGTTTGATAACATATTGATGCTAAAAGCTCATGTTGTGTATCGTCTCTGTTATCAGTGTTACTACAGTATCAAGGACATCAGTATCAGTGGACGCTGTGTTTGCATCGGTCACGCTGAGACCTGCAACGCCGAGGACCCCAACGACCCCTACAAGTAAGGTTTAGATTTTGAGCTCTTGACCGTAGCCGACCTACACACATCCAAAACCAACTTTCATTTATCTGTTTTTTTGACACTGAATATGCTGATATGGGCAAAATGACGTTGGTTATCGTCGTAAATTTCAGTATCTGTAAATTTTCGGTTTATCGCCCAGCCCTCTGTGAACGGACTAAGAACGATACTTTAATAAACTGACAGGATCATAAGTTATCAATTATCAATTATCAATTAAACATAAAGGCATAACTAATGCTACATTCCAGTTACCTCGAAAGTTGGACGTCAGAGCTGGGAATGACGTTACACCCGAGTTGACGGCGTTCCAGTAAACGAGTCGGAAAACCAAGATGGACGCCTGCTGTTAGCCGTTGTAAGTTGTTGTTAGCTATACCAGTTGTAAACAACGTATAACATAATATTTTACTCTCACAAATCCATCTTGGATTATGATGTTGTCGACAAGTCAGGGTTGGTGAGATGAATATCCGACTCGGAGTACGACTTGAACGCAGCATTCGTTGTTTCATGAATACAAAGTTGTGTAAAAAGTAACACCCAGGATCAAGCTGCATCAAACTTTTTTGTTATTTTTAATTACAGATAAAAAGTCACAGACTCACAGCTTATCAGTGTAAAAGCAGCTAAAAGCAGGAGGAAATGAGGGTTTCTGGTGTCAGACACAGACCGAGTTTTTCTCTGCAGAAATTTCATGAACTCTAAACCTGCTCACATTTTAGCGAGTTACACAGTTATTGTTGTATTTCACGGGGATTTACACTCAAAGCTGCCTCAGTTTGCAAAATCTGGTAAACTGTTCATCAGCCTTCAGACGATTAATCCAACAAAGTTACTGCTGCGCTGACTGCAGACACACACCTTCGGTTTTTGGATTCCCCGGGCGAAGCTTGTTCTCCTGCCAGATGGTTACAGCCTCAGAGTTTTCCTGCTCGGCTCTCTGCTGCAGTTTGAGTAAATAAAACTCAGGTTTTCTGGTGCATATGGGAGCCAAGCAGCTGGTCATGTTACTAGCTGTTTGAAGGGTCCACCGTCACACTCCTCAGACTGAAACAATCACGTGAATTAAACCCAACAAATCATATTTGAGCATTTTCAATTTTTACCTGCAACTGCTACAGGCGATAAACTTTACATGCTTCTCTAGTTGGATGATAAAAAGTGAATTTATTTTCAGTGTCAGAAACTTTCCTGCTGCTGCGGCTGATAAAAGAAAAGTACGAATCTCTCAGACTTTTATTTGAATGTGAAAATAACCGTGAAGGCAGATTGGACCAGAATCCCAAAACTCCTACGCTGATCAAAAGTCAAGGACAAAGAAGAAAACGCACCTTCTCTGCTCCTTCATTTCCCTCACACTTTATGAAGTAATAAAACTTGAAGACCTTAAAAATTATCTTTATGATGAGCTGGAGAGACTTTAAAGTTTCAAACTTCATACTGACAAGACTAAGACCTCTGTCTTTATAGACGATGGTTTGAGCGGCTCCTCTTAAACAAAGCTCTTTAATTAAAAAGAAAATGTGATTTTCTCCTTTTAGTTCGCTTGTGATTCAGAGTTAATTCTCCCTTAGGGTTAAGAACGTCAGAATGACATGTTGAGGTAATTGGCTGTGAAAGAAAAGCCTTTAAAAATCTGGAGAAACACTTGGAAATATACCAGCAGCTATGGTATTAACATATTGTCGTTAGTCGTCCTATAATCAGATGGATGTTTCCTCAGGAGGAGCTTTTTTAAGGGTATGAGGTTTTCTTCTTCATCGTTCAATCCTGGAGGTGTGTTTGGATTCCTGAAGAGGTTGGTGGGTGATGTGCTGCCAGAGGTGAGGATGGACGAGGTTTTTTTCAGAACGAAGTGCACCATCATCGTTGACTTTCTCAGGAGTCTCAGAGGTGATGCATTAACTTCATCAACAGGACATATAGGGTCACAGACATAGTACTAGACACCAAACATCTTTTTAACTTTGACTCATTTCTTTAACAAAGAGACTAAACACAACTCACCTACTCTCTTCCAGCAGACGCTCGTTCGTACAGAGACCTTGGGCCAGTCCATCACCGATAGGACTGATCTAGGATGTTGTAAATTTTCTAAATTTTTTGTCTCCATTTTTATCTCCAGTGAAACATTTGAATGATTATGATTGTCAACTGACTATTCCAGAAACCATTTTACCCCCAAACAATTCACATCACATGTAAGTCAAGATTTATTCTTAAATTAAAAAAAAAAAATCAATTTTGGGGCATAAAAATCTATTTAAAAATTGTAAAATAAAAAATTGCAATACTTATGTGAATCTATTTTCTTCTCCCACCCTTACTAAACACAACTCACCTACTCTCTTCCAGCAGCCACTTGTTTGTACGAAGACGTCTGGGCGAGTCCATTGACGACAGCGGGGTGCCGCAGCTCAAGGAAGAACATTTATGATCATTTCTTCATAGAAATACAATCAGACCGAGACGCTAAGACAGAAGAACTACCGCGTCTGTAAAATGATGAATATGGTGATTATTACTTCAAGGAAATAATAAAGAAATGATCATAAATGTTCTTCCTTGAGCTGCGTAACCCCGCTGTAGTCCGTAATGGACTGGCCTGAGGTCTCTCTACAAACAAGCAGCTGCTGGAAGAGAGTAGGTGAGTTGTGTTTAGTCTCTTTGCTAAAGAAATGAGTCAAAGTTAAAAAGATGTTTGGTGTCTAGTACTATGTCTGTGACCCTATATGTCCTGTTGATGAAGTTAGGTGCTGTTCTGAGCATTATTTGTGGCTATAGAGTGGCGTTTTGGTTGGGGGCGTGGCTCTCTGTATTTCTATCCTGCGGTCGTTACTAAAGTTGGTATAACTAGAGAAGGAAGCGGTCGGCAACATTCATCTCTGGAGGGGGGGGTCTAACTCGGTGTTACGGTGGGTTTGACCGTACATTAATTATACACCGTAATATCCCTTTAAATCCACTCACCCTTGTCTTCAGATGTTTGAGCTCCTTTGTTTGTAAAGATTCATCCATCTGGAGTTGATATAAACTAAACCATTTCTCTGCAACATATAAAGATCATAAATTTCATTGAGTTTACTACAGTTTGCACATGCCAGTACACAAACTATGTCTTTGTTTCAACGTTTAATATCGTTCCGATCTAAACTCATCCTTTCATTATATTAGAGAGAAAAAAAGTCATTTCCCATATATGATAGCTTGAGGCTGTCCGTTCACTTACTTTATTATGTTTTATGGAAGAAATTGAGACTGAGGGATGAGTTCATAAAAAAATAAAGAGGATTTATTCCAGGCAGAAGCTGCTATAAAGTCTAAGAGGAGAGAAAATACACACTGCTCCATCGCTGCAACCATTATCTGATCCACAGGTGAATTTTTACATCATTAGGTAAAATGAATCCTTATTATCCAGTGTGTTATTTTCATTAGGAGACACAGTGTTTCTGCAGAAGTGTCGTTTTCCTTCAGAATAACATACGAGCGTTTGCAGAGTCATCGTGTGTTTCTCATTAAGAGAAAAACTAGATGGTTCAAATGAGACTGCGGCTCCTGGTTTGATAGCACAATAGCCCCGAGACAAAACCGGAGTCTGCTGCAGTAAAAGCCGTCTCACTGATCTCTGTATTATTTTACTTTAGATTAGAAACACCTCTAATGAGGGACATTTGTTCGGAGTTTAAGACGGCATCAATAATATTTGCAGGAGGAGTCTGACCCCAAATCTCCACCTTCATCCTGATCGTCTCCTAAAAGGTCATATCCTCCGATCGTAGCTGATCGTAACCATTCAAGTTAATTTGTCAATTTACACCGACTTCTTTCCGTTCCTCTGCGGATCGCCGGACTCCTCAGCTGATCACAAGAGTTCTAGTTTTTCCTGGACGCTGGCGCATGGCGGATAAATTCAGCACAGATTAACCCGTGCTGGAAAGACGTCATTTCACCCCGATGACACCATGGATGAGGAGATGCTGATTCTAGAAGTCTAGAAGTAGATTTCCTCCTCTGGAAGGACACAATCTACTTCTTATATGGTTAGTCTATGTGGCTAAAGACTTGTTATTGCGTGATCGCATGTGAATCTGTGGGGTTTTGTGAGTTCTCGCGATTTCTGCTGTCCATAATCTGCCACGAAGTTCGCCTCACAGATGGATCCAGTAGGAATTGGTGGATCGCCGTCGTTCCGGATTAGAGTCGTTCCAGATGCGGTGAAAATCGGGGGTTACCACCACAGAGCACCTGAACGCACCATCAAGGGACACGTCTGAAGTTGTCTTATTAATGTTGATGACATTCAGACTTTACACTTGGATACAAGAACTAAACAAACATGAAACTGACCTCAGTTTGAGTTCATCTCAAGGTCGTCATTAAGAGGATATACTCACTTTACAGTAGTTTACCCTGAAGATGGCGCCAAAGTAGCTGCTAGCTTCTTCGGCGGTTGGTTGTTTAGTATCTCATAACTACTGAGTCTGATGTGGGTTGTGCTGAACGACTGTGCAGGTATGAGAATCATCAGCATTATTCATGTCACCTGTCAGCGGTCGTTAGCTAGCTTCGTAAATCTGCACTCCTCTTCCTAATTTTTTGTGTTGAAACTTTTATGGACACCTGAAAATCCAACACCCTCATTTGTGGATCTGTGTTTTACCTGAAATTCACTTATAACCCCATTTATCCCGTCTGTTCAGGTTGATTCTGCCACAGCTCTCCCTGACGATAATTAACTTAGATTGGTTTAATTCTTTATTTGCCGCCCGGCACCACTCCCGGCCTCTCCGCAGCGCCTCCAGTGATGGACGAAGCTGAGTTTACCGGTCCTGCAGGAACAGATGAGCTGAACCCGTTTAAGACGGATGTTAAAAACGGATTTTAGCTGCATAAGGAGCAGAAAGCTTCAACGCTCTCTTTTGTGGATCCCAAAACACAATTAAGGCCTCGAATGGTCTCCTTTGTTCAGGTGTACTCAGACACTGACACGATTACTCTGACACAGTTCCTCCTGACGATAATTGACCTGAATTTATGACCTGATCTGAGGCGTGTGTGTTTGTTTGTGTGTGTGTGTGTTTGTGTGGGTCTGTAGTTGTTTTTTCACTCGGTGCAGAGGGCCGTTCATTTAGATTTCATTAATTGGAGAGCTATCGTCCAATAAAAGCATCACCCCGCTCGGTTCGTACCCACAGGTCTGTCTGCTGATTAATTTCCATTTGATGGATGAGCCGCTGCTGTGAAATGAGGCCGACATCCTTCAGAGTTAAAACCACATTAATCAATCAGCTCAGACATGTTAAAATGAGAAGACTGCTTTTCTTTATTATTTTCTATCAGATGAAGTATTTATTTTTTTAACTCACTTTGACACAAGAAGCCGACTGGTGTGTTCAGATTAGATAAGGGCCGAAAAACAAAATTTACCCATTGTTGTATATTTGTTCCTCTTTAGGACTGTGTTTCTGTCTTTTCTCTGCACTTTTATGAGCAGAATTCAGGATCACATCCTCCCGCCTGGACCCCCTAGTTCCTGACCGTAAAGACGTCACAGAGCCTCACACGGGGATCGATATCCTGTACATGAGTGATCTCTGGCTGTGAACCGAGGCCGGCCCTCCCTTTAATAAGCTGTCACAGCTCGATAACGGCGGTAATATCACACGTATAAAGTTTTCTTTTATAGATCTGGGAAACTGAGACGTCAGGGGAAAACAGAGACGTTAAAGAAGTCAGACACGAGTGCAGCAGGAGATTTTTTTAACCTTTTTTTCACTGGAAAATAACTTTGGAGATCAAGATCTCTTTGACAAGTGTGACCTGGCCAAGAGGTCAGCTTACAGACGATGAACCGATAAGTACTTCAACAAATAAGAAGAAAATGAATAAGAAAAAGAGGGAAAAAAGGAAAAGGAGAAGGAGAAAAAGATAAAAGGGAAAAAATAAAAATCAGGAGGAGAAAAAATGAAAAAGAAGAAAAAAAGAAAAAGGAGGAAAAAAAAGAAGAGAAAAAGAAGAAAAGAAGAAAAATAAGAGGAAAAAAGAAAGAAAAAAGAAGAAAGGACAAAAAAGAAAAAGAGGGAAAAAGGAGAAGGAAAAAAGATAAAAGGGAAAAAAGAAAAAGAAAAAATGAGAAAAAGAAGAAAAAGAAAAGAGAAGAAAAAGAAGAAGAAATATGTGGAAAAAACAAGAAGAAAAAAGGGGGGAAGAAAAAGAAGAGAAAAAGAAAAAAGAAGAAGAGGAAGAGTTCCTATAACTACTTAACCAAAAAAGAAGAGAAAAAGAAAAAAAAAGAAAACATGGAAAAGAAGAAAAAAATGAAAAAGGGGAAAAAAGAAAAGAAGAAAAAGACAAAAATTAGGAAAGAAGAAAAAGGAAAGAAAAAAGGAGAAATATGTGGAAGCAAAACAAAAAAATGAAGAAAAAGAAGGAAAAAAGAAAAAGAAAAGGAAAAAAGAAGAAAAATAAATAGAAGAAGAAGAAGGCTTCCTCTTCAGACTCCTTCTCTTTTGTCTTCAACAGATGATCCCAAATATTTAAGTCTTTCAAACACGTTGCAGGTTTAGTCTAAAATCCAGATTATAATCCACACCATGCTTTGAGGAAGTCATCTGTCGTTGCGTTCAGCAATGATCCGTTTCGATGCAGATGCGTAGCTCCTCCTCTTGAACATGTTCTCAGCCTGTAGAGCAGCTGAGATAATTAGGAGGTACAGACAGAACAGACACGTCCGTCATGATGTTTATGAGTTCCACGCTGCTCTTTGAAGGACTCTGTATCCTGCTCCTCATGAACACTTGAGCGTCTCAAACCTTTCTGAGTCCAAGTTTCCCAAGGCGCACCCCCAGAAGAAACCGACCCTAAAAATAACCAGGAAAGGCAGACAAGAGGAAATGGAGACAGAGATAAATTGCTCTGGAAACTGGAGGGTAAAATTGGACATCTCACATGGGGAGCAGCTTGATTAGAGCCAGACAAGGTTAAAGAAACAGTCGCCTTTTATCGATTCTTTCCCCCCTCTTGACATGTCTCTGATAAACCCTGACAGACTGACAAAAAAACAAACATGCTGTTCCTGCGCCCGCACTGAAAACAGCGAAGTCGGTGTTTGGAGAGAAAATCATTTACTCTGATTTATTTTTTAAACCTCCTAAATCCTTTTCTCTGAGGACACTTCTCAAAAAGTTGTCTGGATCTTATCAAACTCGTCTGCAGACTCGTTTCGGTTTCCCCGGAGGGAACACTTTTGTCATTTTAAGCTTTTCTCTTCTTCCTTTTTCTACCGTGAAAAACTTTATTATTTGAGATTCATATGTTCAGATTCAAGCAGCTGATTTGACTTTTACTCTGTCCGCAAACACCGATAATCGGGGTCACCTCAGAAGATGACCGACCAACAAAAGCTTTAAAAAGACGCGACCTGACTCTGCCACAAACCGCAAACATCCGTCAAACGACTCGAGGAAAGCAAACCGAACTCTGAAGACCGTCAGTGAACCGTTTCAAATTGCTTCTCTTCAGTCAAACATCAGGGGTCACGCTCAGTTCAAGGAAAGTCGAAGGAAAGATCCCATCCCTTACACTCCTACGCCAGCTTCGTCAATTTCAGACACTCAGAACTTTCCAGACTCTGCCTCATGATGAAATGTTAAAACTTTTTTTTTTGCTCGGCTGAACTTCTCAGAAATATTTCAACAATTCTTCAAGAGGCTCAACCGTCTCTGTCTGTAAGGATTGATTATAGACGTATAAGAAAATGACTCTTTGTGTCTGTGTCGTATTTAAAGTCGTCTAATGACTTTATGAGCCGTTTGGTTCAGTTTGATTTCTTAAATGTTGACCCTGGAGTCTTTGACTCTCAGCTGCAGCTCCTAACTTTAGTCTACGTCTAACAGCTCAGACCAGACTCTGCTGTTCCACATCCACAAAGGTGTTAAATAAAGAAGGGGTGCAGCAGATTACTTTGCAGTTCAGGTGACCCGGGTTCAGTCTCACCCTGTCGCCTCTTTCTGAAATGTTTCTGCTGTTTTCTTTTCCTCTAATAAAGGACAAAAAATAAGATCAAGATGAGTTAAAAACAAACACGGGTCTACTGTCTTGATCATATTAGCATGCGATAAGTGGGGCTGCGAAGGATGCACCTGATGCATCGAAGACATACAGCGTTCGCCACATTTGGAGGAACCTTCAAATCTTCACATGCAGCCTCTGAATTTGGACATAGCTATAGACACGGAGCGCTTAGAAATATAAGAACTGTTATGAATGAGGGGAGCAACTTTTCTGCAAAGTTGGTCTGCTTATGGATCCACAGGAATACGTGCGATCATCACCTACGATCAAAAACTCGGAGGAAGCAAGTAAGAGCGCACTCCCTCAGTGTATTCATGCTGTATGTGAAGGTTCTCCTGCAGACGAACAAAGGAACAGCAGAGACGTCAGAAACTGCACCAATTGTGAGTCGTACTCTATAAATCAGTGCGCAAGCTTTCCAAATAAATAACTTTATGCATGAAAAAAAACATTTTCAACTCTAAGCTTTATACAGTGGAGCGTTATCAGGCTTCTCCTAAAGGATGTTTACACAGTGTGAGTGTGAATAAATGGTGAAAATAAGTAAATATTGAAACAGACTGAAAGGGAAGAGTAACTCCCAGTTTCTGTGCTGAATTTATCCGACACGCTCCGGCGTCCGGAAATAATAGATCTCTTGCGATCAGCTGCGAAGTCCGGCGATCGGAAAGAAGTCAGTGGAAATTGACACGCTAACTCGAATGGTTACGATCGGCGGAAACTGACTTTTTGTAGCCGTTCCGTATGCGGTGGAAATTGGGGTTGAGCTTCATAAAAACGAGCGTTTTCAGGTTTCTCCTAAAGCTTTAGTTCTTCGTGTGTTAAACTCATAATTAATTGTGTGACTTCCTGATTTTAAAAGCTATACTGAGATTCAGACTTTTAACTCTGCATGATTTATTTATTTAAAACACTTCAGAGCGAATCACAGAGTCAAACAGAAACGTGTTTGTGTGTTTGATGAAGGTCAGAGAGACTCGATCTGTTGATCTCCCAGAAGTAAACACAGAGTCGGCTCCTCTCTTTACACTCGCCTGTGGACTGTTTGTGGTTTTAATTCCTCCTGTTTGTTCGTTTGCTTGTCGACATTGAGAAAGATGTGTATTTGCATGTTGCCTCGGCTCACATTATCGTATTTCACATGCAGCGAGTGTGTGTGTGTGTGTGTGTGTGTGTGAGGACGTTGCATCACCCCTGCAGACTTGTTCACCTCCTCTGTTGTAAACAAAGATCAGGGCACTCAATTATCCTCCTCCCCGCCTCCAGGCCTGTTGGATCAATGCTTGTGATTAACATTTTGTGGTTCTTCTGGTTAAATTAAATCACCGCTCAGGTCTGTGTGACAATGAAGGAGGAAAAAAACTCCCTTCAGTCTCCAGTCTGACTGCAGCACTTTTTGGATATAATAAATGAAATGGTGAACACCTGCAGGGGAGTTTTAATTACAATTTCATGCAAAATACTTGGAGTAAGACTATAAATCAGTGAGGAAATGTGAGGTCAAAGACATTAAATCTCTTCCACAGACACTCATTTTCTCCAGCAGAGGTGAATATTAATGAGCTGGAGGACCAATGAGGACCGTTTATGGATCCAGCTGCACCAGAGTAATAGTGAACGTGTTTCATCGACGATCATTGACTCAATGTAACTGTAAATGTACCAGCAGAATGAGGATATTTGTCTAAAAACCGACAATAACAGAGAAAGACTGATTAAAAATTCAGGTCAGGTCCCAACAGACTAAAACCCGAACATATCCGAGAATGAGGAAGTACAAATCACTCTTTGTGTTTCTTTGTCTTTGAGTTAAACGCTGAAATCTTCGGATAAATATTCTCTCAGGAGGTTAAAGTCTGAGTGTTTGCAAAGCTGTGGATTTGTTTGATTGGAAAAACACTCTGAAATATCAGTGATTGAGGCTTGAAAACAAATGAACGTTAAACTGCATGAAACAAATTCAATGTATCGCATCAAACTGAGTGAAAACTTTGAAAACACTTATAAACAAGTTTGTCTTGACTTCTCAGAGAACTAATATTCCTTCATAAAGTGGTTGGGGATGAATTTTCAGGTGGGGTAGTCAGGATCTGAGTTAGTTCCAGTTTTTAGGAGAAATCTTGAATGTAAACTCTACCCCTCCGACCAGTTTTCCCCTCAGCTCCTCCTCTTAAGCCCCGCCCACAAACAGACGCTCCTGCTCGCTCGTATCGTTCCAATTAAATTCAGATATAATGCAGATAAATACTTCAGATCATTACAAATGGGGCCCAGTCAAGGTGAAAGTCAAAAGCATTGGTGCTCCTGTAGATGCCAACAGACTACCAGCAAACACAATGTTTGCAGGACTTCTACAACGAGGATAAAGTGACATAGTCCAGGACCCGAGGGAGGACAGTTTAGCGATGGCGCTACAACACGCTACAGCAGGTCCGTTTGACAAGAAACACTTCTGTTACAGACACTTGTCTTACTTTGTTAAAGCGGTTTACCTGTCCAGCAGAAAGGTTACAGGGTCACCAAGATCCCCAAGCGTCCCCCATCGTTTATGTTGACCCGGCTTTTTAGCTCTTGTCCGGTCTACCTCCGTTTTAAGCGCCCGTTATTCCTCCAGAGTCTCCGGTATTTACTTTGTTTTCTTGCTTGTGTCGGCAGTCGTGGCCAAAGGAGGATTCAGACAATTTTCCGAACTTTCTGGTTGGTTTCTACTGTCCGATATTGTAGCACGCTAACTTTGTTTGGGCTCCTGAACGACACGGGGGAGCAGCGTCTGCCTCACAACCAATCAGGTTAGAGGAGGTGGAGAACGGCTTTGTGAAGAGAACACAGAGATATTGTTATATTACCAAATGTCATCAATAACTGATAGCTATTGATTGATATTGAAAGATTTTTTTTTAAATACACCAAAAAAAAGATGCTTCTTTAACGGAATCCTGCCGACTCCACCTGTTTTTTTAATCCCCATGCATTAACTCATACGTGACATAGTAAGACAGTTGTTTTCATGGTTGTTTCCACGTCTACTTCCACCTACAGAGCCAGCACTGTCTCTAAAACTTTCCCTTCTACCTTCGTCCCTGACATCATTACCAGGTCCTGCTGATATGTTGGATATCTGGTTCTTCACAGCCACTGAGCCGGTATGGTGGAGCTTAGGGGGTCCAAATGTGCCGTTTGCACCCTTTTGCATGATAAACCGTTCATGCACTCTTCTCTCCTGTGCAGACGTACCCCCCAGGTATGTCAGCTCTTCTCTCTGCACATCCATCCATAATGTTCTTTCCATCAGATGAAACATCTGTCTGCAGAGCTCCGATGGTTCCCTCCATACACTGAAAACCCTTTAAAGATAATTATGGAATAACCATCATCTTCATATAATCAGCGCGTCTGTGTCTGCACACTCGGAGCGCCGCGCCGCACAAGATAATTTCGACATTACATTACAGGAAAATTAAAACAGCCGCAAATTGCAGCAGCGAGGGGTTCAACAAAACCGATGGCTCCACTTCAGATGGATAATTGTCCTTTTTAGAGGCGCCGCTCTGTGGTTTACGTGAACTCTCACCACAGCGTGAAACTTTCACCTTCTGATTCAGTGGAGTGTAATTACAGCTGCCCTCAGAGGAAGCTGCCTCAGTGAAAACCAACGATGCCGCGAGTGTGCCGAGGCTCTGATGATGCACAGATAAAAGAATAAATTAGTAATTCTGCGAAATGACAGCAGAGATGAGGTCTGTTTGGAAAGCGGCGGTTCTGTAAATGGAAACACTGAGATTACAGAACAAAGGGGTTCGTAATTATCCTACACAACAAGATCTCCGGATGTAAGGGTGGATTTAGAGGACGGGGGACTAGTTTTCTAGAAGGTTCAAGACTGATTCCTCAAGTTTAAGTACGGAGATATATCCCAAAAGTTTCAGCTGACTTCTATTTCTGATCTGACGGATGTTTCAATGTTGATTTTAGCAGGATAGATAAACATAGATCCATCAGAGATGCTTCTGTACCTGCTAAACGAAGATAAACACGATCATCTCATCATCAGTGACTTCTCGCCTCCCCTTTAGACATTCCTTTAAACTTATAATTCAGACATTACAGTATGAAATTATAAGAGATAATCTGCAGCAGTGAGGAGCTTTAATAGACCAGGTGGCTCCTTTCAGATCAATAACTTTTCTTTTTTCGAGCTGCTGTGTGAACCAGAGCGTGAAACTTGAACCCTCTAATTTAACCCTGAGAAGAGGCGTAAATACAGCTGTCATGTATGATCCTGTCTGACTGATCAGGATGTTGGACAAGTTTGAGATCTCTTGAAACCCAGAGTGAGGACAAACTGTACAGGGCTGTTTGCCGACTGAAGTGTTCCTGCAGCCTTCAGGTAAACAGGAAATAAGAAAGACGAAGAGAAGAGAGGATAAGAGGAGGGAAACAGCGTGCTCATGATTTCAAGATCTCTTTATCTGAAAAATAACCTGATCTTAAATAAGTTTGGTGTCCTTATCTCTTTAAGCCCAAAAATGTCACCTCCTAAAAAAAGAAACTCTGAGTTTTACTTTAATGACAGACAGCCTCTCTGCTTTAAGCGATATTTACACATGCAGCACATGTTGTCCTCCACCTGCAGGCACCAATCATAGGTAGGTGATATCATGCATGTCGCTCCCTGCTGAGCAAGTTCTATATTTAATATCAGCTGCTTTTGACAAGAAACAGAACACATCACTTCTGGACTTCTTTACGGCTTCACTTCTTCTCCAGCATGAAAAGATCGAGTTTCAGTTTCAGCCTTTGACTCCAAACGGTTTCATCTTTTGATAAGAGCAGGATTTCCACGGTTCCTGAGAGAATGTTAAACCGTTGTTCTAGAACGTTGTGGGTTCTGAAAGAGTGTCGAGTTTTAGCTCTAGAATTTTGACGGTTTTCAAAGAATGTGGCGCTGCGGTTCTAGAATGTTAAGGGTTCTGAATGAATCTTCATTATAGAATTTTTTAGAGTGCCCAGAAGAATGGTTTTTAGTTCTAGAACGTTGAGTAGGTCAAACAGAATGAAATGTAGTTCTGGAATGGAGAGAGTTTCGGTTCTCGAACGTTTAGGGGCGTCCAAAAGAATGGCGTGTAGTTCTAGAATGTTGAGGGTTCCACACAGAATGTTACGCCGCAGTTCTAGAATGTTGAGGGTTCTTTATGAAAGTTATAGTTGTAGAATATACAGAGTTTCTGACAGAATTCTGAGGCGAGTTCTTCAATGTTACAGGATTGGAAACAAAGATTAGGTTGTGGTTTGAGTATGTTGAGTGTGTCTAACAGAATAAAATGTAGTTCTAGAATCCAGATTCTGTTGTTCTAGAATGTTGGGGGGTTCTTAAAGAATACGTGGTTCTAATCTTAGAATGTGGAGAGTTCTGATAGAATGTTGAGATGGGTTCCAGAATGTTGGGGGATTGGAGAGGATGTTTAGTTGTAGTTCTAGAATGTTGAGTGGGTCTAATAGAATGAAATGTAGATCTGGAATGTAGAGAGTTCCTGTAAGAATGTTTGACCGTCGTTCTAGAACGTCAGGGATTTCTCTTAAACTGCAAACCATTTTAGCCGGCAGGGTGTCTGTGTTTCTGTGTTTCTGTGTTTCTGCCTCTGGCTTTCAGTAAATGGGTGTGAAACAGTTTGCGAGTGCAGTCGATCCCTCTGCATGTACATGTACATGAAAGTTGAAATGAAAATCAATACAGCTGCAGTGAGGTTTCATAATTGGTGTTTCTTGGTGTTTCTCAACACAAACCACCGCTGCTCCGACCATCCGGTCTGGTTCTGATCGGTGATCGTTCCTCAGGTCTTTCTGCTCTCACATGGTGCAGGATGAAGCACGGATGTCTTAGTATGTGCAGATAAGAAACATGATACCTTCAGGTGAATTCTTTGATTTTTTTTTACAAACTTCTTGAGTCAAAAGTAATAACCCAAAAGTTGAAGTTCTTGATTTTTATGTCTTTTTAAATTTCTTTGTGTTGAAAAAGATGAAGTATAGTAAAGACGGATGCTTGCAGTGAGAGCTTGAACCCAAACTCGTCCCTGTGGGATTTGTTATCAGAAGGACTCCGGGGGTCTAATTGAAGCACATCAGCTCACTGACTTCAGACAGCAGACAGACAGACAGACAGACAGAGGGAGGAGGAGATGTTTGAGACGAAGGAGAAATTTTAAGGCTTAAAGTCATGGTTGACGATTGGAGTCATTAGTAATTATTATGAATCTCGTTTCTATGGCGATCTGTCGTACCCGCAACAGACTGAAAAGAAAGAGAAATAGATCTCACATCTGTAGAGGATAAAAACTGCAGCAGACACTTCAGGTCATGTCAATCAGAGAGTTTTTAAACTTTTACATTAAAAAGTTTGTTAACTTTTTATAAATAAGTTTTCGCACCTTTGTTTCCATGCACAACATATGTATGTTTACTGGGGAGCTTGTGTTGAATGAGTCACTAATGTACCATCGCCGATCAACCAGAACTTAAACTCACCGAGGAATTCAACATTTTCAGAAATAATGCCCTCAAGACCCTGAAATAATGCAGTTTGAGAGGAGACATCTTTGCAGGAGAAGCTGAGAGATAAGGAGCTGCAGAAAAACCTAAAAAGTAATTTAGTGTGAGAGGAGACCTCTTTGCAGGAGAAAGGCGAAGCTCGGCTAATAGCTCACAATGATGCTAATGTTTTATTTTGCTTCTTTCAAACGTTCAAATCAGAAGCAGTAAAGGTTCAGACTGATTTTACTTGAAGAAACAAAGGTCCGTGTGAAAAATGCATAATCAGCTCATAAAGGTTAATGCCTTTTACTTCGCTTCATTAAGTACACGGTGTGATATCTGTTCTTACACCTGAGCTGGAATAAATGTTAAAGCCCCTAATTAAGAAACACACACCAGTCACAGATGATGTAGGCAGTAATAATGAGTCTGTGTCTCTTTTGGTCCAAAGTCCTCATATCATCAGAGTTAAAGGCTGATGCAAAATTTCCTCATTCCCCCTCAAGGATTAAAGAATTTATGTGACACTGAACATCAGCTCTTCAAAGAGGCACAAATCCTCCAGAGGCTCAGCTGGATGAAGCTCCAACAACTTTTAATGACTTCAGTGTTGTCCTGAAGAGCCGGGTCTTCGAATATCAACATCATGTACCTTTTAAAACTTTAAAACCAAAGAGGTAACCTGTGAAAGAAACATTTAAACACATGGGATTAAAAAGAAGCAGCAGTTCTAGTATTTAGATCATGACATAAACACAGATGAAGTTGCATGAAAAGCGAGTGACATTTTCAGGTCCGTTTGTAAGAGAGCACTCACAAAAACCCTCTCATCACAGGGCTGTTGTTGTTTTTTTCGAGTGTACGATACTCAACGCTGAGAGTGGATTCATAACTTTTGTGTCACAGTTCTGTCTCCAATATAGATTTCATAACTTGTCTGAAAAACTAGAATGCCAGGTTATTTTTTACCTTGAGCTACTTTATCATTTTTCTTTTCCACTGAGAATTTTCACTTGTTTCTCCAGAAATCTATATTGAACTTCAGATTACAAACACGAATCATTACTCCAGCATTCTGACATTTGCAGTTTAAGGTCAAACATATTTTAATTTCAGCTTTGCATGCTTCAGGATTTGCTCGCCTCGGTGTAAATTTTCCACTCCACTGCGCGGCTCCTACCTAATAGACCACTGAGGCTTGAAAGAGCAAGTGATAAGAGAGTTGTCAGGAGGTTCAGCGAGCCTTTCATAACTCCAGTTTCTCTACATAATCCTGCAGCTGTAGGGAGAGTGTTTCAGGTAGACTCACCTCTGGTGTTATTTTCCTACCATTACAGTGTCATTATTTTAAATGCTGATTGGAGCAGCAGGAGATGACTTTGCTGTGCTTTAGTAAAGTCATTTTACCGTCACCTCTCTTGGGAATTTAAAGAACCTCATACTTCGAAAAGGAAAAAGAGGGAAAACTGAAAAGAAAAATAAAACTCCCTGGAGACCTAAAGTTAAAGGGATATTCCGAATGTTGCCGACCGCTTGCTTCTCTAGTTATACCAACTTTAGTAACGACCGCAGGATAGTAATACAGAGAGCCACGCCCCCAACCAAAACGCCACTCTATAGCCACAAATAATGCTCAGAACAGCACCTAACTTCATCAACAGGACATATAGGGTCACAGACATAGTACTAGACACCAAACATCTTTTTAACTTTGACTCATTTCTTTAGCAAAGAGACTAAACACAACTCACCTACTCTCTTCCAGCAGACGCTTGTTTGTAGAGAGACCTCAGGCCAGTCCATTACAGACTACAGCGGGGTGCCGCAGCTCAAGGAAGAACATTTATGATCATTTCTTCATGGAAATACAATCAGACCGAGACGCTAAGACAGAAGAACTACTGCGTCTGTAAAATGATCAATATGGTGATTATTAAACTTTTATTATCCAACTATTTATTTAATAAGTGTACACATTCCTACTCATATTCCTACATATCTTACTGTTTATATTCTTCAACGCACCCGCTTTTTTTCACACCTGCATTGATTATACCTAATCATTATACTGTATATATAGATAATGTACTTAATTAGATTTTTTGTTGTTGTTGTTTAGCCTATTCATACCTGCAGTAACCAACACTGTGTATATATTTTTAGCATATTCATTGCACACACACACACACACACACACACACATATATATATATATATATATATATATATATATATAGTATATTCAGCCCATACCTGCACTGCCCATATGTACATACCTTGCACTTCTGGTTAGATGCTAAACTGCATTTCGTTGTCCCTGTACTTGTACCGTGTTCAATGACAATAAAGTCTAATCTAATCTAATCTAATCTAATCTAATCTAATCTATTACTGCAAGGAAATTATAAAGAAATGATCATAAATGTTCTTCCTTGAGCTGCGGCACCCCGCTGTAGTCTGTAATGGACTGGCCTGAGGTCTCACTACAAACAAGCGTCTGCTGGAAGAGAGTAGGTGAGTTGTGTTTAGTCTCTTTGTTAAAGAAATTAGTCAAAGTTAATTTTACGCCTGAATATTCCTTTAAATACTTTAACTGATGAAACATAAATGTGCAGGACAGCTTGCACAGAAAGAGGTTCAGGGAGTGTGTGCAACAAAAATCTCAAGCAAGGCAAATGACAGTCGTCTTTCTGCTGTGATTTTAGATCCTTAGAGAATAAATGATTGTGATTTTCTGTAACTTGAGGTGTTTGTGTCACAGAAAAATACATTTTCAGGGGTTTTTATTCTGCAGAGACGACCTGAAAACCGACACGGCTGCCTCTTCAATGATTAAAAACCTGTCTTCTCCTGCACAGCGTGGGCTGGGATTCATGCGTGCTCTTAGTGATACGATGTCAAAACATGAAATGAGAAATGACTGTTAGGTAACACCGTTTTTCCATCTGTGAGAGCTGTAACAATACTGCGCACTCATCTCTGCAGGGTGCATCTAACTTTACCCCGAAAGAGGAGGAAAAAAAGACGCTGCTAAGAGAGGCTGCTAATGCACAGAGAGGAACAGAAGATGACAGACAGTCTAAGTGAGATTAAATAAAAGGGAAGAAATGCTGAATACGGCTCTTCAGAGGCTACAGGCGAAATTTATTAGGATTCAGGGACAAACATTTTAGTACAAGACTTACAGACAATAACTCAGCGGGAAATAAACACATGGATCCATCTGTGAGGAGCATGTTCTTTATGGAGGAAGGAGAAAGTTTTTATCCTAAGGTAGAAATCTTTATTCCAAGAGAGAGCAGACAGAGACAGTCCGTCATGTTTTTGTTTTTTTTCATATTTCAGGCTTTGTTTAGAAAAATTAACCAGATTTTCGTTCATTTGACCTGATGTTGTTGTTGTTCCTCGGATCAGTCAGATTTTAAAGTTTAGGGTGAGCTGGGGTGGAGACCATGCTGACCAGAAAATTATACAACAACAGGATGTTGGGGTTACAGGATCAGTCCAAATGTGGGACCAGAAATGAGCCAGAAACCGTCTCTGAAGGCGAACAATGACCGTTAGCACAGACTCCCCTGCAGTTTTGACTGTCTGAAATCAATGTTACTTTACGCTGTCGCAAACAGATACATGTCAGGCACTAGGACTAAACGGCTGCTTAAGCCGAAAAATGGTTTCCCACAGTTTGGACCGCCCACAAGGTCCTTGATTGGCTCTGCCGCAGGGACGCTTTTTGTGTGTGATTGGCTATCCCTGCTGTCAGTCATCCCATGTCCACCGACTAGAGTTTTGCAAGTTTCTCGTAACCCCAAATTTTCACCGCATCCGGAATGGCTACAAAAAGGCCATATTCGCCGAGACTCAGATTAACCCGTGCTGGAAAGGAAGTCGGCCACAGACACAAAATAAAACATCCGGCTTCTTTTCAAAATAAAACACTCCGTGTTTCAGGAGGATCGTATTTCACACCATGCAAACGGGCGGAGACGAACAATTGAAAGGTTTTTAGACGTCATTTCACCCCGATGACACCATGGATGAGGAGATGCTGATTCTAGAAGTCTAGAAGTAGATTTCCTCCTCTGGAAGGACACAATCTACTGCTTATATGTCTATGTGTCTGTCTTTATACAGACAACTTGTTATCGTTATTAAATGAAGAAATCTGAGCTGAACACTGACGTTTGAATCCACGTGTCACATCGATACTCAACTCACATGTGCCCCCAAACCTTTGAATTTCGTCCATGACCGTTAGCGTTGTGGGTCATACTAATACAGCGCTCATAATGATCCTTAAATCGAAAACCCCGAGCCGATGTTTGTTCTCCTTCAGAGAACAGATGTCTGCGCTGACCGAGTGGATATTATGACAGCCGCCCTCGAGCGCCTCATCAAAAGATTCTGTGATTAAGGAGAAGAGAGAGTCGTCTCATTGTTCGGAGAAATTACGCAAATGATCCCTCATTGTCCTGACTAACTCCTCCTCGTACAGCTCTCCGTCTTAATTACTGTTTGTCTGATGGAGGCGCAGACGGAAACAAAGAGGGACGGACGGGAAAAAGGGTGAAGGAAACAAAAGAGACGGAGAGTCCAGTGAGCTTTTCAAACTCAGACATGCAACTAAAAGTGCTTTTATATTTACACAAGTGGTGGAATATTCAGGGCGCGGTAATCAAGTGTCGATGTTGTTTTTACATGAGCTATAAAAACAGCAGAAGCAACATGACAACCTGCTTTAAAATCTAGATACAGTTCTTCAAAACGAAGGAAATCTGTTATAATTAAAGTTTTAATTTTAGTATAACTGTCTAATATCTGAGTTCAGTTTATCAACCAATTAGGGGCTGTTTCTGGGATCACCTGACCTGCAAAGACACAATAGAAAGCGAACTATAGCTGTGATGTCAGACAGGTAAAAGACCACCTCAGCTTTAAAGGTGGGATAGACAAAGCCGTTCTCCACCTCCTCTAACCTGATTGGTTGTGAGGCAGACGCTGCTCCCCCGTGTCGTTCAGGAGCCCAAACAAAGTTAGCGTGCTACAATATCGGACAGTAGAAACCAACCAGAAAGTTCGGAAAATTGTCTGAATCCTCCTTTGGCCACGACTGCCGACACAAGCAAGAAAACAGTCAAACATAAACAGTCAGCAAGAAAACAGTCAGCAAGAAAACACTCAGCAAGAAAACAGTCAACACCAAACCGTTCAACAGGAAAACGGTCAACACCAAAACAGTCAACAAGAAAACAGTCAGCAAGAAAACGTCAACTATAAACAGTCAACAAGAAAACAGTCAACCATAAACAGTCAACACCAAAACAGTCAACAAGAAAACAGTCAACAAAAAACAGTCAACAAGAAAACAGTCAACAAGAAAACAGTCAACAAGAAAACAGTCAACACCAAAACAGTCAACAAGAAAACAGTCAGCAAGAAAACAGTCAACACCAAAACAGTCAACAAGAAAACAGTCAACAAGAAAACAGTCAACAAGAAAACAGTCAACAAGAAAACAGTCAACCATAAACAGTCAACAAGAAAACAGTCAACAAGAAAACAGTCAGCAAGAAAACAGTCAACACCAAACCGGTCAAAAAGAAAACAGTCAACAAGAAAACAGTCAACAAGAAAACAGTCAACAAGAAAACAGTCAACAAGAAAACAGTCAACAAGATAACAGTCAACAAGATAACAGTCAACCACAATCAACAAGAAAACAGTCAACAAGAAAACAGTCAACAAAAAACAGTCAGCAAGAAAACAGTCAACAAGAAAACAGTCAGCAAGAAAACAGTCAACCATAAAACAGTCAACATAAAACAGTCAACTACAAACAGTCAGCAAGAAAACAGTCCACACCAAAACAGGCAACAAGAAAGCAGTCAACAAGAAAATACTGCTCCCCCGTGTCGTTCAGGAGCCCAAACAAAGTTAGCGTGCTACAATATCGGACAGTAGAAACCAACCAGAAAGTTCGGAAAATTGTCTGAATCCTCCTTTGGCCACGACTGCCGACACAAGCAAGAAAACAAAGTAAATACCGGAGACTCTGGAGGAATAACGGGCGCTTAAAACGGAGGTAGACCGGACAAGAGCTAAAAAGACGGGTCAGCATAAACGATGGGGGACGCTGAGCCCGACTACCCCACCTTTAAGTCGAATCAGCATATCCAGCATATCGTGGTGGAGGTCAAAGGTCAAACGCAGTGGACAGGTGCCTGTAGCTGACATACTTCACATGTGCAGGCACACACACTCACGAACACACTTCTCACCTGGACCTCCAGTGTACAGGTCTAAATGTCAGACCTGTGTGAATGTGATCTGACTTCATCGCCACACACACACACACACACACACACACACACACACACTCACACACTCTCCAGAACTCCCCACTGTGATGGCTCCAATTACTGAGAAGGGTCACCTGAGCAGGTTTTCTTGAAAAGGTCATCCATCATGTCACGTCCCGTCATGCGGGTGTGTATGTGTGCGTTCCTGTGTTGTGCGTTTGTGTGTCTGTTGTGCTCTTAATTTCAGCTCCGATCCTCACCCGTGTTTCCTTTAAAATCATGTCAAAGTCGAGCTGATGCAGATTAATATCCTGATGTGAAAGATTTACTAAGTTGTGCACCTGCCTGAGGTAGGAGAGACTGCACTCCTTTTTGTCACCCAGGATTTCCTTGATCAGCTGTGGAGTCTGGTGATCCGCAGCGGAACGGAAAGAAGCCGGTGGAAATTGACTCGTTAACCTGAATGGTTACGATCAGCAGAGATGTCCTTTTCATAGCCGTTCGGGAAGCGGTGGAAATCGGGGTTTATGGTGTTTTACTTTGATATCGATGTTTTTATAGTTTGAATTTTTCAGTCGTGCTCTGTAACACGCCTGATGACTCATTCCTCTGCACAGAGCATCATGTTTGATCGTCATTTTAAAGAGCAGATATTAAAGAGTGTGATGAAGTGATTCTGATTCAAACGTCTGTATTCAGGATCGCTTCAGGCTGCGTTTGCTGTGTTAAATGGACTGGTCTTAATCTGGACCCTCCTCTGGGTGTTTCTCTGCTTTTAGACGAGTTTAAACTTCCATTTGATCGACTTGGAAATGAGCCGCAGCGTTTCTCTCTGATCTGGTGCTTAAACTTTCCTTTTTTTTACTTTGCAGTGACGTCCTCTTATTTGCATATTTTGCTTTTCAGACTTGGATGTTGTTTTCTGACTCCAAAGGGCACAAAGCTGCCAGACATTTGCTGACATTTAAGATGAAAATCTTTGTTTGTGCGCTGAAAACGGAAGATTCACGCGCGAAAACATGTCTGCGAAAAGAAAGACATTTTAATAATATACATGAGTTTCCTGCTCCCCCAGAGAGTTTTCCACCCACCAAAGAGTGCAGCTGTTTTCAAACTGCAATTTCACCTGTAAATGTGTTTGAAAAACACTTCAAACTAACAGTCTGATGTGCTGCAGTGGTCCGTACAGTTTCCATTTAGAGGAACAGGCTGTGCATTCAGACATGATTCTGCAAAACACGAAAAACCAACGTCTGAGACAAACGGAGGAAACAGCAGAAGAAATATCAGAGAGAGGAAGACCGAATCAAAGTTTTCCACTCTGTTATTGAACATGAACACACTCGTATAGACCAGAGATAAACACAGGATCATACAGACGAGCACTTACAGACGTGCAGATGTCAAAGTGAAGAGGCTGCACAATCACAACACTCAAGAAGTAAACCTGAAACTTTCCAGCAGCTTCAATAATCTGGTCGTCTGGGTCTGGGATGAGATCCTGCCCCCAAGTACAACTAAAATCGCTGCTGGTGGTCTCAAAAAGTGTTATGGGGCGTCGACACCAAGTGCGAGTAAAATCATCTACTCGCTTAATTCGCGCGAATCTAGACGCAAAAATGAACAGTATTTCCTCGCTTCATTCACGTGTCAACATTAATTTCAACAGTAATCATACATGCAACCAGCTGCCAATTCTACCGGTGGGATCAAGTGATAGACGAAGGTTTTTTACAATTTACCAGGTAATCCGACCTCCTCACTCACTCATCAAATAATTTGGGGTACCCACACACCGACACGATCAGTTTGTTCTCCATTTTAGATACCATCCATCTGTTTTCTTAGATCACCCTGCAACTTTCGTGCTGATTAGTTATCCCGACCTCAATATCCGCTCAAGTTGAGACATTTTCAGCTCCCACTCAATTCGCGTCATTCCGGCCGACAGAGTAGCAGAAGTGTCTAATCGCGTCTTTACATTGACTTAACGTAATTTATTCGCGTAAATGATTTTAATTGCGGAGACAGTTACAAAACCCACAGGAACCAGAACGTCTCCAGTCCACTCCGGAATATCAGGAGGATCAAATTCTGAAGCATTATAATCAATGTGTGTAATGTTGGAGCACGGCGCATCAATTCAGCGCAGCAGGAGCAGCAGCGGAAGTTTTATGCAGTTACAAAGTTAAATATCTGGTTAATTTTGAAAATAAAATAAAGTCAATACGTTGAACTGTTCTTAACTTGATAATAGGAGAGGTCAGGGTTGTAGGATGTGGGTGTTTACATACACTGATCGGCGGATTCATTCTATGACTCACAGGGAAACTCGTGAGATCTCGTCCAGTCTTGCGGGAAATATCGGTCGACACGTGGGCGCTTCTTCTCTGATGGAGGCAGAGGATCGGATCCGATGGGCACCCTAAACTCCACCGTACAGCCAACAGCCTCTCTGTGCATGAGTGCTGTTTGTACATAAAGGCAAAATGCATTAATTCAGGTCTTTGTGCACAACAGTACTAGTGCATACTCAGGTGATGAGAGAAGAGAGAGGAAACCACATTTGGTTGTTGAAAATATTGAGAAGTCGTAGTTTTGTAGATGTCTGCCATCAATCCTGTATAGGTCTTCATCAGCTCCGGATCACACCTGACATCCTCTCCGGGTTTTTCGTTCTGTTGAGCACATTCGGACTCTTCGGTGGCATTTGAAAACCCGCTGCACTCAGACACAAAAGAGCAGGAGTGTTTCACTAAAGGTCAGCGCTACTTTGTCGTCTGGGATGGGGCGAGAAGAGGAGGGCAGCTAAACAAACACCGAACGTGCTTCACACGGAAAAGGTCAAGGGCCGGCAAAACAAAGACGTGATGGATTTCATTTTCCTCACTTTTTCTCCAGTTGAAGGTGACGTTGTTGTTGTTAAAAAAACACACTATGAGGCTCGACTTCTCCTTGAAAACTTCACATCCGAGCTTTAATATTCCTCCGCTCTGTGACGCCACAGTCATCGGTAATTAAATCGAGCGTGTTTGACGAGCTCTGGGAAAAACAGTCACATCCGTCAGACTGATCCTGCAAGTAAGCACGTGGAGGGAAATGGCGTTCCTCGAGGTTTAGGGGCAACATGTAGGAGGAAATGAATGAATTACAGTAGGCATGTCCTTGTAATTGTATTTGTGTTATTTCCCCGAGGGTCCCTCGTTTACCTCCGCTCTTCATAACACAAATACACAAATACACAAACACACGAGCAGAGACTTCCTCTCATTTGTCTCTGCATGAACTCGCTCCGATGACGTCGGCGTCCGTTACTGTTGTGATTCAGGCTAAAATTAGACGATTATTCACCGTCTTTGGCAAAGTAGACTTCGTTTAGTCGTAAGGATTTAACTTTACGCATAAATCTTCATATAATTTGAGTTGTATAATACTATTGTTATGTTTAAGTAATTAATCAAGGTTTGATATTGTTGTATTAAATGTCATCTGCGATGCTTTTATTTTGCTGTTTTTGCTGCCTTTGGTCCAAATGTCCTGCTTTTATTTTGAAAGGTTGCTGAAGAGGCTTTGGTTAGATCATGACTTATGTCTGAATTTTTCTGCCCTCCTGAAGTTTAATGAATAAATGCAATGACATACAGCTGTAACATCATGAATCATACATTTAAAGCACATTTGTACTCCTCTGCATATTAAAATTTTGCAGCTAAATTGGGTTTTGAATAAGAATACAGATGTTTGCATGGAGGAAATATGATGATACAACCAAAACGGTGCAAAAGTCATTTTCAGATCAAAGTATTTGTTCCTTCAGACGAGGTAAATGACGATTGAAGGGTTCATGAGTCTCTGTGAAAGCCTCACAACAGAGATCTACTCTGTGATGACAAACTTTGTATAAAAGTAAGACTATCTGTACTAATCAGACAGATGTGACGACATTATCGAAGTTCTCTTTCTTCACCCTCAGATGATTTCATAAACACAGATCTGTGTCACTCCTCCACTTTCACTCGTTTCATCTACATAATCGCCTTCCCGTTCTTGCTTTCTTGGGATTTTTCTTTTTATTTCCTTGTTTCCTTTCTCGCATCAACTCAACCTAACGTCAAACTGTAGTTTTAGGAGGCACTGGTGAGGAAAAATCTGGTAAAACCTTCAACTGTTGGGGTTCATTTTCACAAGGTTCTTGGCAGATTTTGGCATTATTATTTTTTTATCAAGAGGGTACTTTTTTGTCGTTCTTCTTCTCAAACAGGTCATGGAGTGGTTAAATCTGACCATGCAGAGGGAGCTGAATCAATGTGGAAATGTGAACCTGTGTTTCAATCATGTTTGTGAAGCGGTGCTGACATCTGCTGGTAGAGAGTGGGGTAACAACACATGGACTCGGCTGTCATTATTCTGACGAAGCTCTTACTCTCAGTTTCTTTTGTAGTCACAAATATTTTAGATCTAAATCAACCATTTTTAAGTTCTAGAAAAAAAAAGGTCCTGGGTGAATATCTGTCAGGTCTCTCAGTTTAAAAGTTCAATCACATTAATATTTTTATTTTTAATCTGGTAACTATTTCTTTACATGTTGATCATCTTATGAATATAATTTGTATTTTGAAGTCTTAAATGCACTTGATATTTTGTTTTTTAGGGCCTATGTCCACTAGACACTGTCTTTGATCAGCTGACCCTTAGAGGTCCAATAGACTTCCCCATCTCATTAGAAGTCAGTACACTTTTTTTATGCACTTCCATTTTAATTTTTCGTCAATCCAGCTTTTGTCGAACCTCACCTAAGTCCGGTTCTGCTGGTTTTTAGCGTTAACCAATAGTCACTCGGCCCAGATCCAGAACATTGTCGGCCAAAACCCTGATCCCCCAGTACGCCGTCTTCACTCGGCGGAAAGAGGCGTCCTTCACGTCACAGCGATACGTTCCTAAAATGACACAAGAAAGAAAACCCAATAGTTCAATTATTGTTTAATGTCTTTATTTCACCACCAGGGGGCAGGATTGTGCTTTTTTGTGTTGGTTTGAACTCAGACTGTTCTAGGCAATCATTATTCAAGTTTGACAGGACTGAAAAAAACTCTATATAAAGTTACATTTAACAGTTTTTAATATTTATTCATATTTGTGTTTTTGTCATTTCTTTTTTAGGGTATAAATGCCATCCAGGATCGGCTTTATAAAACCAGCTTGTAAAAAAAGGCCAGAAACCTACCAATTAAATAGCTAATTTGAGTCAGATTTTAAATAGAAAGATAACTTTTTAATGTGTAACTTTAGGGCCTATGTCCCCTGATGATATTGGTAGTTTAATGATTAATGTCCATTGATGATAATGGCAGTTTTAGGGCCTATGTCCTCTGATGATAATGGCAATATAAGGACCTATTTTCCCTAATGACAATGGCAGTTTAAGGGCCTATGTCTGATGATGATAATGGCAGTTTAAGGGCCTATGTGCAGTAGTGGTTACAGCAGTTTCAGGGCTTATGTTAAGTGGTAAGTGTTGATAACATATGCTTTAAAACTGAGGTTATGGTCATAGCCAGCAAAAGTAAAGAAGTGCAATCAGTGGACACAGGCCCTAAATTTGAGTCCCTTATAGCAAAATCAAGTGATGTAGCTTAATGCAGTACAGTGTGTTTGAAGCACAGGTGTGTTTACCTGCGTCCTCTTCTTTGACAGGATCCAGGACCACTCGATCCAGCAGAGGGGCGTTCCAGCGGGTAAACAGAGAGTCGTCAGAGCTGATTATACCGCGGGCGATACGCCAAGACACCCTACACGTACAACAATAGAAAGAAATTACCTTGAACACTGCCCTCTATCGGCGACCTGCTGCAATTACACCTGGCATGATCGTGAGTTTAAAGGACAAATTCACCATTTTAATTCGTATTTCTCACTAATGTTAGCAAACTCTCTGAAAGTGTCGCCAACCCTTCCTTCCCTCCTTGTCTCCTCCATCCTCACCTCCAGGAGAAACTCCCCATCACCTCCGTTACCTCCTTCATACAGTCAATCTCAACCCTCTGTCCCGTGGTCACCGTCATCGTCTTCAGTCCACACTGCCACGACTCCTGACACCTCACCTTACGCTCTCGACACTTTTCTGACACCTGGGGATGACCCACATTTACACTGATATTAAACTTTGATAATTAGGTTTGATAATAATCAGGTTTGATCGTTTAATCACCTGTGCCGCGTGTCTTTGACGAACATCCTCCTCCATCGCTGTCTGGCTGTCTCTCAGCAAACACACTGTTTGAGTTTTCACACCCAGGCCACAGGTGGCGCTGCAGGGGGAGCTGTCAACAATCACCTCTATGGGCAGCTCATCCGCCCTCTCCAGGTCAGCTGAGGTCAGAGGGTGGAGGAGGAAGAGGAGGAGGTAAAGCTTCAGACGCATGTTTCCCAAATACGTGCTCAAATATAGAGAATAAATCCAAGAAAGAGCTGAGATGATTTAAAACCTGACTGAGTTAGTTTGTAAACAAACTTGGTGTCATGGCAACCGGAGTTGAGGTGTAGAATTTCCCCAATCTGCTGTCAGTGTGAAGATGACCTAGAAAAGGAGGCGTGGCAGGACGGCCTTTAGGCGTAGTCAGGGTTCAGGTTAGATGGATCCACATGAAATATATCAGGTAGTTATAAGTGAACTAATGCAGAAAGAGAGCAAGACAAGACAGACCCGATCCTACCTGTGATTCTGCATTTCTCACAGATTCTGCAGTTTGTTCTGTGGCCAGCAGGGGTCAGACAAACACCAAATAAAAAGACATCAATGTACCATCTTCAAATGTACTGCTGTAGATTTAGGATTAACTGTCTGTTTGAATTATTTTAAAAAAGCTGTAAGTGTGCAGTGGAATAAATAAGAAACAAGAAGTGCTGAGAAAATGTGGATTAAAGACAAAAACTGGATTCAAAAACATGTTCATTTTGAAGAGTTTTTTTTTTTTTTCACTTCAAAGACAAAACATCTCAGTAGACTTAAAACTAGACTCACATTGACCTGACAAGTCCAGTAAAAAGTCTCATTTCAGGATATTATGCACCAAAAATAAAACCTGACTTATTTTTTTTAGGTAAGTAAAAATCAGCTAAATAAGAGTTAAGATAAAATTCAAGTGTTAAGAAATACTATGAATGATTTCTTCACTTAAATCCTCCTCTGTAATAAATTTAATTTAACTCTTTCGGAGATTCATCAAACCATTTCAAGCAATTCTGTTTTTTATTTTTGTTTATTTTAGTCTTAGAATAAGATATTTGTCTAGATAAACCTTTTTTATTAATTTGATTTTTTTAATCAAAATTAATTATCAAAACATGTAGAGAGCAAGATAAGCAAAGCCAGTTTTGTCCACAGGGGGGCGTCAGCATAAATGTTCCTTACAAGAGCTTTAATACGGACAGATATATACCTGCCACTACTTTTCTTCCATCTTTCCTCCTCCATCGTTGTCTCTCTCCTCTTCATCCATCCCAATCTTCACCTCCGTCTTCTTCCCATTGTACTTTTTTTGTCCACACACACACACACACACACACACACACACACTGGGGCCTGTTTTATTGACCGTTTTCACAGTTTTTCTCGCTCTGCCAACTAGGCCACAGATGCAGACTGTCGAACATGTTGATGCTGACTCATGTTTCTGACTCTCTCTTCCGTCCTTCTGGGTGTTTGTCGTGTCTCGGTCCGTCTCCCACTATCATGTCGGTCCCACTCAGGGTTCAGAATAACTCCTCTTGAAAAATCTATGTACCCACTAAATCACCGTCTTTTTTTAGGTCTGAAATGGGAGGATCTTTTCCAATTACAGGCCTTGAATAGAGTGCTCACCTGGACTGGAAAGGTGCATTTGAGGGAAACAAGCTTATCCTCAGTAAACCTCAAACCTCAAACCACGGTCTTGAGACCCTCATGGGGGGGAGCATGAAACAGTTTTATCGACTTTAAAGTGATTTGTTTTATTAGTCTGGAACAGTATGTTAGACTTAAACTGCAAAAACTCAAAACTAAACAAGTCTTTTTGTCTTCATTCACTTAAACTTATAATTAACATGTTTTATATTCAGGTCATTTTAACATGCATTTCCTAAATCTGCGGACTGCACCTTTAACTCCCTCCTTCAGCTCCACTTCTGAGTCAGTTTCAGTTTCTACACCGACTGAAGTTATGTTGAGTCAGCATTTCCTATAAGGTTAATGTCACTGTTTGGTTTCAGACGTTTCTAAGCAACCAGAGGTCAACGCCGGTGAGAGTACACCAACGTAAAACCTGTGCATGTTCATTTTAGTGTATTTAAGTCTTAAAATATTGATAAATTTGCTCTTAAAAATTAACCTTTAAGAAAGAAAACTGCTTGATGGTGTTAAATAGAAACAAGTTTGCAGGCTTTTCTACATTTGCTCTGAACTGTGAGTGATATGAGTTTACCTCCTCTTCTTAAACACACACCCATTAGTAACCAGCAGAGACATAAAGACATAAAGAAAGCAATATTTAGGGGGGAAAGTGTCTCTAAAGTTGCCCAAATAAACTTAATTCATTGGAGTTTGTAAATTCATGGCCTTCCATGTCCTCCACACTGGAGTCGTGTTCCAGTCATGATCTATATTTTATAATGGAGTGAATGAAGTAAAGCGAAGTCTGGGATACAGAAACTAACACGCTCAGATCCCTTTTAGTTTCCTGTTGCATGAAGGTGTGGTTTATGACACACATAACTATTTATGGATTTTCTGTGACTTCCCTCCAAAAAGAAAAACGCAGCAGCTCGAAGTGTGAAGCTGCACCGAATGAAGAAAGTCAGCTCTGTTTGTCGAGTTTGTATGTTTTCGTGTTTATAGTAGTTTTATTTCAGGGCTTAAAGGCAGTGAGTTTGTAAAAGCTGGTAAAGATGGAAAGGTGAAGTCCTCAGGTGGAGTAAAATCCAGGTGAGTTATGTCTGAAAAACAGTTCTGCCTCATAAATCACGTTTCCTGGACATAAAGTTTGGACTTTGAGTCGTTTGCAGACGTTGTCGTGTGACAGAGAGGAGAGATGACTGAACACCTGCTGAAAATCCTGGTTGTCGGGGATGGAAACGCCGGAAAAACCTCCTTTGTGCACCGATACGTCAGCGGACAGTTCAACAAGACGTACAAGATGACAGTGGGAGGTACGGCGGGTTCAATTCCTTTCTAGATTTCTAGTTTTTATACAAACACGGTAAAAACTCTGTTCATATAATCTTATATTTACTCTGAGTCTGAGGAGAAACCATGAAAACAATCACTCTCTCACTCAGAAACTGTTGTGCTTCATTATTACTTAAAATGGGACCGTTATATGAAACAAGCATCATGCTGTGCTGAAAAAACACTGGGGCGCTGCCTCCTGCTGACCATTAGGAGGTACTGCAGACGGATTAGAGGGGAATTACTGTATAGTCAGCTCCAGTTCAGCTGATTTGGAACCATTGTTATTGTACAGTCTGTTTTCCTCTTTTGTTGAAGAAACAGGGGCGGGTCTAGACCTTTTTAACTGGGGTGGCTCAACAGGGGCCCACATGTATGCAGGGGTGGCCTTAAAGGTGGGGTCAGCAGGATTCTGTTAAAGAAGCATCTTTTTTGTGGTGTAGTCGACATTACATTACACATTATTTCCTGGTATTTTCAGGTGACGGTGACTTTTTTAAGTCCTTTCTCTGATTCTGAAGTTTCACCATCTCTTAACTAAATCATGTCTTTAAATTTCCTGTGTTTCTATTTCCGTCTCTTGATTGATCTCTGCTCAGTGGATTTCTCCGTGAAGCTGCTGCAGTGGTCGGACAGAGAGAAGGTCCGTCTCCAGCTGTGGGACATCGCAGGTATGAACCTCATCTCATCAGACCGATAGTTGACCTGAGGGAAATGTTCATGTCACGCTGAACACTCTGTCCTCCCTCCAGGACAGGAGCGTTTCATATCCATGACCAGGATCTATTACAAAGGCGCGCTGGGCTGCGTGGTCATGTTTGACGTCACCAGCTCGTCCAGCTTCCTCAGCTGTCGCCATTGGAAACGGGATTTGGACGACAAGGCCATGCTGCCCAACGGACACCCCATCCCCTGCATCCTGCTGGCCAACAAGGTGATTCAGAGCAGAGACATCTATGCATGATTTATCACCGAACCTCCTGGCTCTGAGAAACTATAATAAGACACAGCTGCACATTCAAAGTCATTCAGAGTTTGCAGAACAAACTCAGACGTCAGATTTATCTCCTGATGTTAAAGGACTAACTCTGTTTATTTATTCACGTTATTTATTCGCTCTGAAGTTCTAGAATGTTGAGGGATTGAAAAGAATACTAAGTTGTAGTTCCAGAATGTTGAAGGTTCCAAACAGAACTTTAAGATGCAGTTCTAGAATTTCAAAGGTTTGCAAAGAATGTGGCGCTGTGGTTCTAGAATGTTCCGGATGAATGTTCAGTTTCAGTTCTAGAATTTTTAAGGGTGTCCAAAATAATGGAGTGTAGTTCTAGAATGTTGAGTTGTAGTTCTGGAATGTAAAAATGTTCCTGAAAGAATGTTCGACCGTTGTTCTAGAATGTTGGTGGGTTTGAAAGAGTCTCGAGTTTTAGCTCTGGAATTTTTAGGGTGTCCAAAATAATGGTTCGTAGTTCTAGAATGTTGAGGGTTCCAAATAGAATGTTACAATGAAGTTCTAGAATGTTGAGGGATTGGAAAAAAATATTAAGTTATCGTTCTAGAATGTGTGAGAATTTAAGATTTATTGTTCAAGGGACATGGCCTGACACCGTGACATTGTGTGAGGAAAGAGCGACCTTTAGGAAACACTGGAGATAAAAGATAAAAAATAGAAAATGGTAAAAGGAAAGACTAAAACCTGATGGACTAAAACAAGAAAACAGAATCAAATAAAATGAACAAATAAGTAAGAGCTCTTGACCATGTAAAAAGGTAAAAACCTTGAAGGCGGGAGTTAATAAAAAAACTAAGAACAGAGATAATTAATAAGATTACATAAAAGAAACATGAAGAACTTCGATTAAAATGAACATTTGCTAGAAAAGAAATATAAAAAGGCAGTTAGGACGGACTGTGCTCCAGTATCTGTGTTTTTATAGTTCTGTTATTGTGGTATTTTACATTGATATCTATGTATCTATATTTTGAATTTTTGCAGTCATGCTCTGTAACATGCTTTTTGCCTGATGACTCATTCCTCTGCACAGAGCGTCACGTTTGATCGTCATTTTAAAGAGCAGATATTATAGAGTGTGATGAAGTGATTTAGAATTAAACGGCTGTATTCAGGATCGCTTCAGGCTGCGTTTGCTGTGTTAAATGAACCGGGAGGACCTCAGGGTCCGTGAGGGTTGATACAATAAAAGTAAGTCAGATAAATAGGAGGGGCCAAGACCATTAATACATCTAAAAACTAATAAAAGAAGATGCTAAAACTGGGGTCATACGCTCTCACCCTCGTCAGCTCTCTTGCAGCTGAATTTTGTAATAGCTGAGGGTAAATAAGTTCTTCCTGGGGAGACCAGAGAGCAGGGCGTTACAATAATCTAAACGAGAGGAGATAAATCAGTGTTAGATGAACACTTTTAGGATCCTCTTCCAGACATTTTCAGATGATTAAAGTGTAAAAAAAACAAAAAACACAAACAGAAAGAGAGAGAGTTTCTTTTGTTTCTGTAGTTTTCTCTGTTTTTGTAGTTCTTATATTTCCAGTTGGGCTCTTATTTTGAAAGTCTTTGCATGATCTTTAACGTGTGCATCATCTTGTAGTGAAACTTTTGAAAGTGTCAAACTTGTTTTTGCAGAGCTCTTTATTTCCAGCGACACTAAACAGTTTTATGAGCTGTCCTCATGGTTTATGGTTTCTGTGCAGAAACACTTCAGACTCTGACCAGCCGGGGTTTTTGCATTGAACCTGCAGACATAGAAATATTTCTCTAAGTGGTGCACCGACTGAAAAGATATTGAAATGAAAATAAAAAAGTATGAAGAGCTTCAATGACGCGTGATTGAAAATATAAATGAGGTTTTTTTTGTTTTATCGGCTGTAAACCTTCAGCGATTCAGGAGCTTTTCACCATCAATGCTGCAGGTAAATAAGAGAAATGAAAACAGATGAGACCTGAACCTGAAACTGTTTATCCGTCTGTCTGTCCTCAGTGTGACCTGGCTCAGAGGGAGGTGACAACAGACAGCATCGATAAGTTCAGTAAGGCCAACGGCTTCCTGACATGGATGGAGATTTCAGTCAAGGAGAACAAGAACGTCGGAGAGGCCATGAGGTGACCAGGACCAGGTTTTTAAGACTCTAAATGATGAGCGAGTCACTATTTACAAGACCGCAGCTCAGTTACACTAGTGCAGATATTTCCCATCATGCATCTGGCGGAAATGCACAAGTAGAAAACCCTCAGTACTCACATTAGATTTCAAGATTTCAATGTGCATGTTAAACAAGGTCAACAGTGCAATGAAATGCCCTGGATGAGAGGACCGCTCGACGCAAAAAGAGTACAGATAGAAACACAATAAGTACTGAAGGAATACAATAAAATAAGGATACAAATAATAAAATAAAATTATAAAAGAGATAAATAAAATAAAACAAAATAAAATATATGATTTAATAAAATAAAACAAAATATTATAGATAAAATAAAACAAACAATATGATTTAATAAAATAAAATAATATAAAATAAATAAATATAATAAAATGAAATAAATAAAATGAAATAAATAAAAATAAAAAATATTGATATATAAAAAATATTTATTCGTATAAATTCATTTGTCATAAGAAACCCAGACAATACAAGAACACAAACACAAACATGTTTCTGTTAAACACAGACAGTTTCTCCCCTAAAAACTGAACTTCTGCAAAGGTTGTCTCATCGTGTTATGGTCAAAGGATTTGCTTTTCTGAGTTTAGGTCAGAAAATTTCCAGTCGAAGAATTTGAGTTTCGCTTTTGTAACTTCAGCTCTTGTTGTTTCAGGAGGTTGGTGCAGGAGATTTTGTCGGTTCAGTCCAGTCTGGACTCTCCCCAGCCCGACCCTCCTGAGGATGTTTACCATCTGACCTTAGAGAACAACAGCAGAGGATTGAGATGCTGCTGAAACACTGATTTACGTCTCCGACACCTGAAAGAGATCTATGCTTCAGAGTCAGAGACATCTGACCTTCAGTTCTTTCTCCGCAGGTTATGGAGCTCTTTTGGTTTGTTATGCACTTTATTGAAATGTACTGTGTTTTCAGACCTTGCATGCTTTCTGAATGTGTAACTTCATCCTTTAAAGATGTAAAATAAACCCCCTGTTTCACTGAAGAAGCTGGTTAAAGCTCTCTCCTTCCTCTGTTTGTGGATAAAACAGTGTTTCTAATACGAACTAATCCCATTTTTCTGCTCGGTAAAAATCACTTTTTTCCTCTCTGTTCCTCTGCTGCTCTCAGGTGTCGCCCTCTCTCTCTCTCTCTCTCTCTCTCTATCTCTCTCTCTCTCTCTCTCTCTCTCTCTCCACAGCAGGTGATCGGGCTCAGAGTAGCCGAGTATAAAAGCCCTCCCCTCGTCTCCTAACCACCTTTAGGAAACATCAAGGACAAAAAGGCTTTAAAGACGTCTTTAACCCTGAAGTATTTCAGGTAGAGAAGAGGAGGAGGAGGAGTGATGAAGAGCAGAAGGAGCAGGGCGAAGGTGTGTGTGTGCTCTTGACATAGAAAAGCCTCTTGGTGAGAGAACGAGGTGTGGAGCGTGCTCAGTCACCTCCTCTAACAGGCTGAGTCAGACAGACACATGGCGCCCCACGCTAACGAATGAAGAGTGTGTATGTGTGTTGTGTGTGTGTGTATTGTGTGTGTGTGTGTGAAGGCTAAAAGTGTCAAGGGAAATGTTGTTTATGTGTGTGTGTGTGTGTGTGTTTGTATGTTTTTGTGTATGTGTGTCGGTTGGAGGCACATGGATGTGCAGGTGTCCTAAAGACGTCAAATGGTGACACATACCCGTCAGCCTTAAATTTTTCTCCATTAGGCTTTGAGAGCAGAGAATTGTGGGTAAATTTTTGCTATTTTTACCTCAATGGAAGTGTGTTTTGAAAATTAAAAAAAATAAAAATAAAAACTTTTGGAGGTGAGAAAATAAGATGCTACAAGTTTGTGACATTGACTTCATTGGTTTTCAAAAAAAGCGAATTCGCTCCCGGTGTGTGAGGACTTTTAGAGTCAAATTTAAAAAACATGTTTATCGATGATTTGTCCATTTTGGGCTACCGTAGAAACATGGCTGCCTTTATGGTTGGGGACTAGCTTAATTTGTCATTTTAGGTGATTATACAGAGTTTGAGTTCAGCCCACCTTGAGAGATTTCGTGACGTATTACAGGGCTCGACTGTGCGACCGTTTCACTCACATTTGCAACTGAAAATAGATGTGTGCGAACTGTAAAATGTATTTAGGGTCACACGTGCGCATAAAAAAAATCAACCGACACAACAATTTTTTTTTCCTGTAAATACGGCGGTGAAGTTAGTTTTAGGTTGGATATATTTTCCTGTAAATACGGCGGTGAAGTTAGTTTCAGGTTGGATATATTTTCCTGTAAATACGGCGGTGAAGTTAGTTTCAGGTTGGATATATTTTCCTGTAAATACGGCGGTGAAGTTAGTTTCAGGTTGGATATATTTTCCTGTAAATACGGCGGTGAAGTTAGTTTTAGGTTGGATATATTTTCCTGTAAATACGGCGGTGAAGTTAGTTTCAGGTTGGATATATTTTCCTGTAAATACGGCGGTGAAGTTAGTTTCAGGTTGGATATCTGACGGACATTCTCTGAGGATCTACCGTTGTGTCTTCTCACTCTCCATAACCGGGAATAACAACAGCAGCGCGGTTAAATCTACTCGACACCCTCACTGTCAACGTCGGTGTGGAATAAGGGACCGTCAATAAATTACCGGTTGATGTTCTCAGAAAAGGCTGTTTTCCTTCAATAGCTTCACTGTCATGTGACCAAAAGACCTAAAATTGATTTCTAATAATAGTATTTATATCGATCAATAAGACAAACATTATCAATTTTTATGATGCCCCTAAAGCTCTTTGTGTGCTTTAGTTGAAAAAGTTAGTGTCAAGCCCTGTTTTACTGATGACAGTAATAAAGAGATAAAATTGTCCAATGGCTGAGATCAGGTTGTTGTTTCTCGATCCCGATGTGATACGGATTATTCTAGATGTCACTGCCGCTCTACATTGCAAACAAACATTTGAGTCAGTTTGATGAGATTCATCTTGACCCCTCTGTGTGGGAGTTTCTGTCTCTGTTTGCCATGGCTTCTATTCTGATCGGTGCGTTTTTAGCCGTGACTCAGACATGCACACGCGGTACAATCACACCGAACCCACAACAAACTGGGCGGGTTTGGACAGATGGAGACTTTGTCAATGCGACCATTCAAACGGGAGAGCAGCCATTACACAATGAGTACATCATGAGCGCTCACTCCGAGTTTTCTATTCATACGATTTCTCAGCGTGTCAGAGGGGACAAGGGCCCCTCAGTAAGGTGGTTTTAAAGGGCAATTTTGGGACACAGGACATACAGAGTCACACTTACAAGAAAAAACTAAATTATCTGTTAAAATTAGATGTTGGAGCGTGACATACTAGATCCTCCAACCAGCAGCTCATACCTGAGTGCAGAGCGTGTTGCTCTCTTGATGGACACTCTCAAAGATTATGTAACAGATAGAGAGAGCCGACAGTACAGCTCGGCATTGTTTGGAGGTTACTACCTCGCCTCTTCTACTGGAGAGTAAAATTGTGTACGCTGGATAGAAGCACTTAAGAAAACTGATGGAAAAACAGTCCCTAGACCGAGGTTTTTGAAGACGGCTCAGTCGTGTGGTCGTGCATGTTTGGGGTTTCATTTTGCTTACCTGCATGAAATGTGAGTAAATATGGGCTAACACTTTACAATAACCATAACTTAAAAACCATTTATAAATGGAAAGCAGATAGTTTATTAATGTTTAATCATCATTTATAAATAGACCATTAATAAATTGTAAATTTTACAGTTTTAAAAACCTAACTCTAACTTTACAATAACATCTAAGTCATGATTATAGGTGGTTTATAAACCAAATATTAAATATTTACAAAGTGCTGCTGACACACATTTTAATCCAGATATTTTACAACCAATATTTAAACCCTATATAAACCTTTAATAAATAGTACATTAACGATTAATTGCTTGTTAATGGTAAAGTAAATATTCACTTACATTAATAAACTATTTAGCATTTTTAATTGGTCTATAAGCTGTTTTTAAATGATGATTAAACATCATTAAACCATCTATTTACCATTTATAAATTCTGGTTATTGTAAAGTGTGACCAAATATGGAAGATTAAGAACGCAGTGTGGGGAAAAAGCATAATCTAAGGGTTTGCACATCATTTAAAGTCTTTATTTAAGAGACAAACATTCAAACACAACATGATAGATGTTAAAAATTAAACTGTTTTATGAAAAATGTGTGGAAATGCTGCTCTACAGTAATTCAGAGTACCCAGAGAAATCTCAAGGAACCAAAACTGGATAGTCGTGATGATTCTAGTCCTAAAAATGGGTACGACTCTGGAGTGGAACTTACTGCATAAGCTCAAAATCACCCCCAAAAATTACAGTTTGATCTTAGTTTGCAACAAGCAGCATCTTTGCAATCTTTGTTGTCACTCCTCGATTAAACAGCCAGTGTTTTTGAAGCAAAAGTCTCTATCAGAAACAGAACCAGAAACAGTTGCTGGAGCTGCTAGTCAACACTCCTTGAATAATTAAAGGTTATTAAAAAATCGACACGGCCTTCTGATCCACACAGAGAGCGAGAGGCTGTTTTGGCTCCACTGTAATTAGCCGAACCGTGTATTCTGTTGATTTGCTTGGAGAAAAATCGGCCTTGGGAGGGAAACAAATGATTTATAATGATGTTTATTTACGAGGCCATTTCTCATCCATGATGACAATACAGACTGGCATCGGCTCACCTCTCTCTTTACATGACGCTCTCTGAAGCAGCAGCGTAGGAGGACTCCCACTGCTTCATGTGGGCAGACTGAGTGCCCTCTTATATCAAAGCTGTCTCCTGCTCCGAGCAAGACACAGGGACAGAAGAAACTGTTCCTCTTGTGTCATAATCATTGGCCACTGCCCCAGTCCACCGGAAGACGTGGGACTTCAAAACGACTGTCTGATGATGGTTTCATTCTGGTTTTTTAATGGTTTCCTGGCTTTGTTTTCTCCTGTCTGTTTTATTTATAGGAAATACAATTCAAGCTCATCTAATAATAAAATTCACATCAAATTAAATCAGTGTGTGAAGCTTTTAGCAAATGACCGCTAAAGAAACAATAGATGAGTTGTTAGCAGATTAGCTCTGTCCTCTGACAAACTCATTTGCATATCTATTAGTCATCAAAGGTGCTAAAGTAATCAATCAAAAAGAGTAATGTTCAGTCTATTGAATTCAAATATATTTTGCTGATACTTAAAGCGGCCATCACTTACTCAAAGGTGGTGTAGTCAGGATCTGAGGAAGTTCCAGTTTTCCCCTCAGCTCCTCCTCTCCCCTCAAGCCCCGCCCACAAACAGACGCTCCTGCTCGCTCGTCTCGTTCCAATTAAATTCAGATATAATGCAGATAAATACTTCAGATCATTGCAAATGGGGCCCAGTCAAGGTGAAAGTCAAAAGCATTGGTGCTACTGTAGATGCCAACAGACTACCAGCAAACACAATGTTTGCAGGACTTCTACAACGAGGATAAAGTGACATAGTCCAGGACCCGAGGGAGGACAGTTTAGCGATGGCGCTACAACACGCTACAGCAGGTCCGTTTGACAAGAAACACTTCTGTTACAGACACTTGTCTTACTTTGTTAAAGCGGTTTACCTGTCCAGCAGAAAGGTTACAGGGTCACCAAGATCCCCAAGCGTCCCCCATGGTTTATGTTGACCCAGCTTTTTAGCTCTTGTCCGGTCTACCTCCGTTTTAAGCGCCCGTTATTCCTCCAGAGTCTCCGGTATTTACTTTGTTTTCTTGCTTGTGTCGGCAGTCGTGGCCAAAGGAGGATTCAGACAATTTTCCGAACTTTCTGGTTGGTTTCTACTGTCTGATATTGTAGCACGCTAACTTTGTTTGGGCTCCTGAACGACACGGGGGAGCAGCGTCTGCCTCACAACCAATCAAGTTAGAGGAGGTGGAGAACGGCTTTGTTTACAGTCAGAAAGAGCGGACCGCTCAGAAATGTTCAAATGTTGACGACACAGACATAAGAGAACACAGAGATATCGATATATTACCAAATGTCAACAATAACTAATAACTATTGACTGATATTAAAAGATTTTTTGTATACACACCACAAAAAAGATGCTTCTTTCCTGCCTACCCCACCTTTAAGCATTGCAGTGCATTCAATGGATGGAGCATTCAGTTTCAGTATCTAACACATAATTCATGAGCCTAAACTCTGGTATTTTTAAATGAAATAAAACTTTTTACTTCTTATTCAGTTTGAAGCCGTTTGACCCCCTGAAAAAAAGGATTCCGCGCTAACACGACCTCTAAGAATCTGATGACTTTGCAGTCATACCATCTAAAAACCATGAGACCTTGAGACCTTGAGATGAGACGTCAGCACTTCACATCATTTTCAAAAGAAGAGCTCAAAGATGTTTTATGTCTCCGGCCTTTAACTTTCTCCTGCTCCAGAAGTGAAAACAAACACAGTTTCTGCATCATAGATTACGCCGGCTGCGCTAATGACTGTTGTGTAATGATAAGAAGACATATTATTAGTCCCATCTGCAGGTGCGCTCTGGTGGAGGTCGAGCTCGAAGCTTATCTTTGTGTTTAAAGTAAATAAATTCATTTCAGTCAATAGAAACTTTGTTTTTACACATTTTTTGCAGATTTTCTTTGTAAGTTTCAATCTTTTATTCTAGTTAAAACATATGTTACTCAGGCCTTTGTTTCATTTTGTGTGGGTAAAGTCTAAACACTATAAATTGTGAGAAATACTCTAAAGTTTGACGCTTCACGGTCAGACTAGATAGCAACACGTCAGATGATGATGCTTCTGTTGGGAGACTCTTCAGGAGGTTTTTCACGTCGGGGTTTCTATCAGATTCTCGACCATCTGCTGATAGCGATTTATAGCGTGGGAGAAACAAACATACAGCCAGCAGAGCCAAACATAAGGGGAAGACCATGAGACAAAAACATTATGCACGTCAGTCCTGCTGCTGACCTACGCAAACGTCAGAACCAGGTCAAAACAACCTCAATCCTGATTCAAGTACCCTCAAAAATCTGGTCAGAGAGCCTGATTTAGTCCAAGTGATTAAAAAGTAGAAAAGGAATGAAACTCAAAGTAAGGTTGGCAATTGATAGGCTGTAAATACACATTTTTATCTATTAAAAAAAAATACTATTTGGCTGTCAGTAAATAGATCAGGCTGATGCATTAATGCCTGAAATAGTGAAAGTTTGAATGAGCAAAGACAGGTGTACTCGAAACAATCATTTAAACCCTAAAAGATAATAATAATAACAATAATAATAATATCTTGCATTTGTATAGCGCCTTTCAAGGTACCCAAAGCACTTAACAACACACTACAATAAACATAACTAGATACCAAAAGCCTGGATAAACAAGCGTCGCTTCAGAGCAGACTTGAAAGACTCAAGAGTCTGTGCTTGGCGAATCTCAGATAATGCAGAGCTGCCAAGCGTCACGCTTTGAGTGTGACATTCTCACACCACACGTTACACTTGACATTTCTCATGCTTGTTTTTCCCCATTCAATACTCTGTATTTAGTTTTTTCATGATAATACACTTGGCTTGCCGTAGTTCGAGTAACTGTGATTGACTGACCGAGATAACCAATCCCAGACCAATCCATCAGTCCTTTGTGCCTAACGCTGCGTTTGAGTTACGGCAGAAGTCAGAAATCTGAGCTGAAAATGACGTCACACCAGAGTTCCCAGCGTTTCAGTTACCAAGTCGGAAGAAAGCGAAATCGGAGGCGGAAACAAGATGGCTATATCTACGAAAGTTATTTTAGCGCTTGCCTTGTCCAAATATAAGGCAAAAATAACTTTCATAGATGTAGCCATCTTGTTTTAGGCCTCCGATTTCGCTTTTCTCCGACTTGGTAACTGAAACGTTGGTAACTCTGGTGTGACGTCATTTTCAGCTCTGACATCTGACTTCCGAGGTAACTTGAACGCTAACCAACTACGGAAGGCACCACTCAATATAAACCAATCAAAAGCAATGTAAGGCAAGTCTTGGCGTCTCTAACTATCTTTCACACACAACAGCGATGACATTTATGGTGCATTCCAGATGTACTTAGAAGTTGGGATTTCCGACTCGGAAAGTCAGACAATAACGTCATAATCCAAGATGGCAGCGTAGCACATCAACAGTAAAGAATAACAGTGAAAACTCTCGTAATGTGTTATTTATTAGCGCTTCTGTTTTGTTTTAGTGAAATTAAATAAGTGGTAAATGTTGTACTGCCCAACAACTAACAACCGCTGACGACGGCTAACAATAGACGACAATGGCTAACAACAACTGACAACGGCTAACAACAGCTGACAACTGCTAACGACAGTTGACAATTGTTAACAGCAACTAACAAGGAGAAGCAGTAGGCATCCATCTTGGTTTTCCGACTTGTTAACTGGAACGCCAAACGCCCTCAAATTTGGTGTAACGTCATTCCCAACTCCGACATCCTACTTCCGAGGTAACTGGAACGCAGCATTAAAACCCACTCGATGTAATACAATATTGAAAAATAAATGTATTTAATCGAAATTCTTCTCCTATAAATCGATGTTAAAAAAGGCAAAAATCATAACGCTAAAGTCTCACTATTGTCATTTTCTGAAACTTGGCAGCCCTGTAATGTGTTTTAATTTTTTTTTAATTTGAAACCACTATTTTAAAAGATTTCGTATATGATTCTGAGCCCATGCAGTGATTTTCGCTTCACTGTCATGTCTGTTGTAATGTGGGAACATTGTGTCTCTTTTTCTGTGCAGTTATGAATCTGACCTAAATTCACTTCTATGATGTTGTGGTGTTCCGCTTATTGTGTCACTGCAACTAAATAAAAGGTACAATTAGGATGCCATCACAGCAATTGTATAAACTGGGATATCACCAGGTTTCCAGTAATTAAACTGGATTTCTCTTGATTATTGCTAAATTCGTTTAGCCAATTTTTTTCGTTAAATTTAAAAACTCAAATAACCACAGTTCTCAACAGGTCATTTCGTCCTTTAATTAACACAGTCTGGGATAATGCAGCCGGTCAGAAAGGGGGTAATTTTAATAAAATGATCTTTCAGTGTCTGTTCATAACAACAACTGCTGCCGCCACTTCAGAGCCTTGTGAATGGACTTCCGTGTTTCCATGCCTCTCAAACGTGACTCGGCATCGTTCATGTGACGGCCAATCGACCAATGGGAGCGCGGGATTCAATGCACGTCGCCGTTCACGTTTGACAAGTTCAGTGTTGCGTTCAGGTACAGTAGGAAATAAGAAGAACCGAATTTTTCCGACGGTTTTGATCGGGGTTCTCGTCGGCTCTATTAAGAAAATTATAACGCACAAAACTTCTGTTTAATATTCTCTGAATCCACTTATTCTGTAATCGATGTTATTTAGAAATATCCGTTCGTGATAGAAAAATTATTAAGAATATTCGAAAAAGCCTGAAGACCACGGTTTGTTCTCATCAGAATTCATCTTCACCACCTCAAAAATGATCTTTAATCATGTGAAATCATTTCTTTAGCTGCCATTACCCGGTGGTAACGTTAAATCTGCTCTGTTGTGTGAAGGCGGTCAAACACTCGGCTTATGACTTCATGTTCTGACCGTCGCCCCGTGAACGCACCGTGAGAGTGGGATAAGAACATGAGGCATGCGCAATGGGTGAAACTCTTATGAAACAAAGTAGTGCAGCGGCAGGAAAGCAGGTACAGAGAGACCGGGATTCTCAGGCACCGAGCACCTACAAGACCTCCCCGCACATCCAAACCTACGATAGAAATGCTTCTTTCTTTGGGCTTGACATAAATATCATCGCCGGGGAGCCAGCAAGAGGTAAGCACGGTCATTTTGTCGGCTTTATTAGTGTAGTTTCACGGAAAAACATAATGTACTTGGATAAACAGCGCCACCACAGTTACATAAGGATCGCTCTGGTGACCCCGTTTTGCTTTACTGGCATGTGTTGCATTTCCAGGGACTTAAACTTTAAGACGAATTTAATTTTAAACATGTGTTAAGACTGTTTAATTCACCTTTGCTCTGTTTGGACTGTCTTTAAGTGTTAATATTTGTTATTTATCCGAGTTAGTGTCCTGTGAAATGCTGTGGGCTCAGTCAGCCCCTCATTCAGAATAGACGGTGTGACCTAATTTCCATTTGCAGAAGTCAGAGGAGCCTTCACTGTGAGGTGACACTCAATATTTAGTCCAATAATACCTGTTCAAAACATTACCTGCCTTTAGGAAACATAGTTATGATTAAAAATAAGGAAAACAGGAAAAATATTTGGTGTAAAATTGAATGTTTTTGCTGTTTGTTTATGTTGACAGTGGAGCAGAATACTCATTTTAAAGTTTTTCTTTATAGATATCAACAAACTATCAATTTTTTGTTATAAAATCAATTTTTACTTGGATTATTTTCACTTTTCTAACAAGAAGTGAACACTGATAAGCCACCAAAATCACCTTTTCCCACCTGGACTGTTATTTTAAAGGGTGTTTTTATACAATATTCTGAATTAAGGCTGTATTTTTATGAATTGCAGATTAAACATGACTAAAAATCCGTCACAGAGGCTCCCCCTAAAAATCTGCTCACCCGTCTGTTCGACTCCTGTAACTGTGCCAGAGAAAACCTGGCAAATTTCAGTATTTACTTTAATTATTTTCACTTTCCTAATCAGGAGTGAACACCCACAAATCGACCAAAATCACCTTTTCCCACCTGGACTCTTATTTTAGAGGGTGTTTTTATACAATCGTCTATATTTAAAGGTAAAATTTTATGAATTGCAGATTGAACATGACTAAAAATCCGTCATAGAGGCTCCCCCTAAAAATCTGCTCACCCGGCTGTTCGAGTCCTGTAACCATGCCAGAGAAAAACTGGCAAATTTCAGATGTCAAGCTGCGAAAAAAAAAAAAAATCAGCAATGTGGCCGACAATGTGATGAGCAACGTTTTCTGTCAGAGGCGAATAATCATGTTCTGCAGAAAGTAATGCTCTGCCTAAATGAATGCAGTGTAATCACATGAGGAGAAAACAAACAGAAGTGAATTCAGAGTTTTTCTGTGCATCATTTCTCTGCAGGGATGATGATGAAACTCCTACTAGTGTTCATGTAGAGACGCTGCAATCTCACAGTAAATTTAGACTAATTAGAGTGTTAATTGCTGGTACAGTAGTGATTAACATCTGTCTTAATTTGGTTTATTTTGCGCATCGTGTGCATCAAACAGGTGAATTTGGTTTGCATCTTTTAGAAATGCTGTGTTTGGATTGATGCCAGTCACAGCAGACTCCAAGTGTGACCCAGTTTCCCTCTATCCCAAGGTGTATTGGAGGATTGCAAAATTTGGTTTTGATGTCTTCAACCTAACGGAAAGATTACTTAGCGAGTTAGTCATTGATTTCCACTTAAACTCTGCTGCTATGCAACAAGTGCAGGTCATCCCCAGCTAAAAGGAGAGCCTGAATTGATCATTTCACTTAGTTTTGATATGATTATGATGTGATTTGAAAAACTGTAAAAGAACCTGCACAAGCTCTTTTTATTCAACAAGGCTAGACAGACGTTAAAAGCTCTTAACGTGTGCTTTTACTTGTTGAAGGAATTTAAAGTGTGATTTTTATCAAAGTTTGACTAAGGTTAAATATCTTTGTTGTTTTGTGCCTAAACAGAGCTCCCTTTCTGTCGCTGTGAGGTACATTGTGACGTATTTTCTTGAACCTTGATTTTCAGAGAATGAGATGGCAAGAAATTAGATCACATGAAAGCAATTAGCTGTTGTAAAAATTAAAACTTTAGGAAAATCCAGATTTAAGCATGAAAAAGTGTCATTTTAAATTCCCCCGATATCTGATGCTTAGATATCCATTTGTGGGAAAAATGCTCCAACTGTTTAATTTTGCAGAAACGTGGTTCAGTAGTTTGTTTGTGAATACTGGAAACTGATTTAAAGTTTAAAGCCACTGTGAGAAACGTTTGGTGAAGTGTTGATTTTGGCACCCCCGTGTGGACAGACTGAGACTTTACCTTTTACAGATCATCCTGCAGATTTAAAGCCGTGTTTCCAGACGAAATCTTCGCCCTGTTGTCCTTTTAAACTGTGAAAAGAAAAACAGTCTCATATTCACCCCCTTTCAAAGCATTTTCAAGCATTAAAAAGAAAAAAGAAATGATTTTGAAGGTCATTGAGAGGTATCACAGTCACTTTCTAAAGCAGTTAAAAACTCCTCTTTGCGCTTTTTTTCAGTCTTCCATTGCTTTCTTTTAAAGTCGAACATGTCAGGCTGATTTGGTCGGATGCTGTCTGACTCCTGCCATCACAGCAGTTTCAGGCCGACCGACAAACTTCTAGAAATTTCAGTTTTGTCATGTATCGTCTTGACTTCATCCTGTTTTATAACCGACCGAAACGTCTCACAGGAGCTTCTGTTGAACTTTTAACCTCCTGATATTTTATTTCTAGGTCAGGTAGAGTCCTAGATGTGAGGAGGATGAATCTCTGCGTGATAAAAAAAAACACTGTATAGATGATAAATCCAGTTTTTAAAGCTGATGGATGTGTAAAAACTAGGGCTCAACCGATAACGATTATTAGGGGGGGGGGGGTCAGATTACCGATTAATCGGCTGATTTTTAAAAAAATTTTATGAAGTTTTAAAAATGTATATATACTGTAGATTTACTGTAGGCTACTGCTCTTCACGCCGACATTCTATTTCTGAAAATATTGGCGAAAATCGGCAAGTTTTGGCCGATTACCGATTAGCCTCAAATGGGCTAAAATTGTCCGATTTAATCGATGATAAATCGGTCGGGCCCTAGTAAAAACTGTAGTTTAGAACAGAACTCCAATATGAACCTTTACTTACCAGATTATCTCTTTTTAACGAGGATAAATCAACAGGTTGGTGGAGAAATTGCTCCACCTTTAACGCAGTTTTGAACTCATTTATTGGTCTGATTGAAGACACTACATCTCAGAGCGTCGGGTGATCTCGACTGAACTGATGTTAAGTTGAATTAATCTAGTTCTGCACCAAGAAAGATCCTGGAATTAAAACTGTAGTTGTGGCGTTTCTCCAGGAACAGATCTGGCCTCATTATAAAAGAACTCGAACAGAAATGTTTAAAAATATGCACAACAGGGGAGATTCATAAATGAGTCATTGATTATGAATGAAATGCTTCTCTGCAAAAATGTGGAATTTTCCATGACTTCTTCAGGCATTTGCTTATCTTTACAGTCTTGAATATTATTTATATAAAGCATGCTTTCTCTGTACGGTATCATATGAATCCAGCCTAAACAAAATTAACCTGCAGACAAGCCGCCCCCCCTCCTTACAGCTAATTACTCATTTAAAATAGTCGGTGCGAACCCGGCTGACATGGTCGTTCTGTTTTTATTCCACTGCCTTCAACAGCTGGTCTGTGTTTGCTGACATTTACACAGAGAGAGCACACTGTAACATGCCTCACCTATAGAAAGAAGGAGGACTAGGAGACTGTTGTTGCTCTGTAGGCTTTGATTATATAGACATAGGAGGCACCAAATGGCTGTAGAAGCTGTTCAGGTAGGTTTTCAGGTGTCATCCTGGCTGCTTTGAAAGTGAATATTTTATATAACACGGTTGCAAAACAATGTCCCAGATAGTTCATAGTCACGTTTAGTAATCTCTGTGCGGCGTGTCTGATCCTGCAGCCGCTGTGATTCAAATGAAGTATGCAAAACAAAGAAGAGAGAGGATGTTGAAACCTACTGAAGTATGCACAGTCTGAGCGAGCTGCAGCAGAGTCCATAGGAGCCAGAGGGTCGTTAATACGATAGACATGTCAGATTTTCTTTGTTTAGATTATTTTATGGGTTTTTAACCTTTTTATACAGGACGCAGGAGGAAAAACAGGAAGGACCTGGAAAGAGTGATAGAGGGCGGGGGAAAGTTTAAGGGTGGACCTAAAGCAGGGTCACAGTATGCAGCGATTTCCCTCCATAATACAGTATGTAAACATGTGAAAGGCGGATCCTGGACGCGCTCAACACGCATTGTCTTTTAAATCAAAACCACACAAGAGAATAGGATTTAAAGCTCCTTTTAAGGTTTTTTCTATGCTTAGAAAACACACCGAAAAATGGCTAACGTATTTATATGACGTGCAAAAAAATAAAAGTACCATTGACTAAAGTGGGGATATTTTAATCGCTGTGCATACGAGTAAAATTGTGAAAGATAAACCTGGAAAAAGTAAGTATGTTGTATTGTAAGGTATTTAAAAAAATCGGAAATACAAGATTCATATCTGTCCACAGGGGGCGCCAAAATCGACACAAACTTTTGGGAGTTTTAAGTTTGATCCGGTTAGAGAGGACAATTAAAGAGGACAAAAGTCACAAGAGGCTGAGTGAAAAGGACATCAACCAAATCGAAGAAAACACATGAAACAAACTGGAACTGTAATAAAGTTTGGGCTTTAACAGGTTAAAACTGTTTAAATGTCAGGAAAATATCACAAATATTGGGATGTTCACAGAGCAGAAAAGCTCAGTTACTTTTATTAAAGCAAAATAAGTTCTTAATTTGTATTATAATATTATATTTAATCTTAATTAACAGATTAACAGCTAAATAAACTGGATTATTTTCTGTCTTCTGGTTTGAGGGAAAATTTCATCTCCTCAGTCTTTTGGTTAAATTGGACTTTCTAACTTTAGTTTTATTTTAAAGAACACCAAACACCCAGAATATCTCCTCCAACAATAGAAAGAAGAAGAACTCTTTGTTGTTCTGGTCCAGATCGCTCTATTCTCGGCTCGTCCCACTCTGCTGGCAGCCGTCACCGCGTGGATGCTTCACTTTTCTCTCCTGTTGGGTCTCCGGCTTGAGTAGATCATAAAAAAATCAGACAGCTTTTTTCTGTTTTTTACTTAAATTAGTTATTTTACTGCAGTTCATAATCAATTGTTCTTTTGTTTCTTCACTCCAGATTAAAATGGCCCCAAATTCCATCCACTGGTTCCGTAAGGGCCTCCGTCTCCATGACAACCCGGCCCTACGGGAGGCGGTCCGAGGAGCGGGCACCGTGCGCTGTGTTTACTTTCTCGACCCGTGGTTCGCCGGATCCTCCAACGTCGGGGTCAACAGGTGGAGGTAAGAGGGTTTATTTTCGTCAGTTTGAGTTCGAACTCTCTGGTTTTTGCTTTACTCTGAATTTCTGTGTTTTCCTGCTCCTGGGTTTAACATTTTTAAATTCATCCTCTCATTAGATCGACATTTACTGTCAGTGAAATAGACGTTTTTTTAGTTTAAGTGTCTCTAGAGACATCATAACAGAAACATAAGAGCTCATAACTCTTCAGGAGACGCCGTTACATCCAGCTTTGTCGTTCCCTGAGCTGTTTTCACGACCCCGTATCTTCACAATCTCGTGAAAATGTCCTTGAAAATTACAAGAATATTTGTTATCGTAACGAGAAATAAAATTGCTCTGGAGTGTCACTGAAATGGGATTAATAACAAGCTCCTGAGGCGACCTCGCACTTTAACTGGGTCACTTGTACCCTTATGAAAGTCATGGAGAATTTGGGTGTCAGAGCGGCGTTTGGTAATCACAGTAATTACAGTAATAAAGGACAAACTTGCAGAGAGTTATCACCTTTATCAGGAGGTATTATTAAAGCTTCTATCTTATAAAACAGTCTTTAAAAATGACTGTTTGTTTTCACTCCTGCACGGTAAAATCTGAGTAAAATGTACAGAGCAATGAGGAGGCGGTGGAGACCCAAACAGAGGTAAAAGAGGCTGACTAATGACGTCACTAAGTGGCCTTTTATTCCTCGCTGTGTCTGACATCTTCTCATGTTTATGAATGACTGAAGAATGAAAGCAGTAACAGTGTAAACTACTCAAATTCATGCATTCATACAAAGCTGGCGTCTAAATAAAGAGGTGTTTTTTGTGGCTCTTTAAATAACGAGGCTCGTTGTTGTGAGATGAGGATATGTGGGCCGCGCTCTTTTATTTTCCTTTTGTAATGTAATGACGGTCTGTGGCGGAGATCTGCGGGGAGCGATGAGTCATCCAAGAGGAGCTGAGAGGAGAAAAAAAAGAGAAACGGAGCTGCAGTGCTTCGACAGGCAGCAGGGTGTCAGCATTTCTCTGCTTTTGAATCCTCGCATGTGAGGCTTTTAGGTTTTTAATGACGCTTTATTCATTTAACACAAACTTTTAATACTTTCTGACCCTTTTTAGAACAGAACAGAGCGAGTAAATCCACCTTAAGACGTCTTTTTCGGGCTTTTGAAAGCGCCACAGATGACTGCGAGAAAGAAACTCTAAATTTAAGTGGATTTAGGGGACAGAATAAACCGGGTTTACAGCTCTGACCTGGAAACACCTGCTCGGCTGATTTCGCAGCTACAGGGCGGCCTTTTTGTTTTAGCCTCTGTGTTCATGTAATCCTCATTAAAGAGGTCAGTCTGCAGGTAGCCGTATGTTTCTGTGGATGGATGGATGAGAAAAGGACGGAGAAGTGTGCCCTCTTTAAACCAAGCAGAGGTCGAGTATAAGTAGGTTTCCAAGACAAAGTATACAGACCTGTGGATCAGATGGACCCCCATAGCGACGGGGACTCATGTACCTTCATGTGAGGCCGTTTCTATCCATCCTCTCCTCTCTGCGGGAGGGAGGAGAGTCCATACCGCTCCACTCCTTATTGCTCGCTGGCCCGTTTTCGCTCTGAAGCGCTATTTGTAGACCCCACGCAGAAATAGTCGATAGAAAAATCGCTGACCCGGTGATGTCCGGTGGATCAAAATGCTAAAAATGTAAACAGACTGGTGCTGGCGGCGTCCGGGGAGCAGGAAACACACGTCAGTGACGCACAGTCGTGTTCGATGCTTCCAGATTCCAAAACATAATTTGTAGGTCATGGACGAAGGGTTTATTTCTGTCGACCAGACTTGATATTTTAATGCTGCTCCACTGATTATATGAGAGCTATAACGAGGTGGACGGATGAGCTTTATTTTGACCAAATTAGGGAATCACTCTGACAGGTTATCCTACAGTAAACACACACTGGTACATACAGAGACATACAAATCTGTACGATATATCCTAAAAAATGATAAATGAGAATCCTAAAGTGGATGTTAAAGCGCTCTGGGGTCTGACGGTCACAGATCCACCTGCCGGTCTCACCTGGACTGACATGGATTCTGCACAATGACCCGCCCCAGAAAATCTCCCCTTGGATTTAGACTCACAGCTTGCTCTGTCCATGCTGGGCACAGTCCTCAGCTGCCCCAGAAACCCCACACAGGGGGGGCTGCGACTGTGCTGAAGTCAGTCAATAACAGTGACAGAATTTTAGATATAAAACTAACTTGACATGTAGAGTTTTTGATGTTTAAGGGGTCACAGTGGGGAAATTAGACGAGGAAAAAGTGAAAACAGCAAGTTAGTGGAAGCTGCAGTTCCTCCAGTGTCCACTAGAGTAAAGGTCCTTTCACAACTGGAGCATTTAAGTCGTGCAATTATTTTGGACATCAATATCTTTTTTTGAACCCGTGTCCTGTCAATACAAGCGTTCACATCAGCGATGTTTTCCTGTCCTGCGATATTACAGAATTTACCCTTTTTCGTATCACAGTCGAATTTACTTAAGTTTCACATACTGTGTGTCCACTTCTGACCAATCAGATTTCATGTTGTTGCGACGTCTGATTCACCGGTATAGAAAATGTCACTTTTTACCGCCTGATCCAAATAGAAGTTTGGTTTGTGAGTCATTTTCCCACACCGCACAGAAAGTGAATCTCGTCATTCCTCGTCAGTTTTGAAGGTGTAAATGTTTGCAGCTCTGCAGTTTGACGTATTTAAGAGAGTGGTAACAAGTGTATGTGGTGTTATCAGTCCTAGCCTTACCTCTCTACCTGGATGAACTGTCTTTTCTCTGTTTGGATCCCTGTAGAGTGAATAATTCTTTGTGCAGGACTACGATTTAATTTGGAAATAACTTGGACATAATAATTTGGAAAGCTGCCCTGTTGCGCAGCTTTTGTTTGGAGTTGAGGGAATAAAAAAAAAAACTCAATTTATGTAAGTGATGAAGTATCTCTTGGACGAGTTTTGAAAGAGCGGTGGTTTATGTGGGTGAAGTTCAGAGTCTGATAAGTTTTCATTTTCTATTGAGGAGGGCAGGAAATTGCTGAATGTGTCCCACTTCTCCAGACTGAAAACGGTGACATAGGACAAAGACTCTGCCGAGAGTTTCAAGGCTACGCCGAGCGCTTTAACCCGCAGAGGCGAAGACGAGGCTGCATCACAGGTCACAAGATGATGCGCGGAGGGTAAATTGGAGACAAATTAGGTCTGAATTGAGGTCACCGATTTCTGCTCATGCACATGCAGACATGTTGTTACCTCAGCGATGGAGCTTATTTATGGGGTTTGTTTTTGCTTCAGCAGGATTACAGGAGAAACCAGTGTCCTCATTTCATGAAAAGGAGTGAAAAGGTGTCAGATGACTCGCAGATAATGACGTTTAACATGGATAAAATCAGGATCTGACCTTGAAAACAGGCCGTGATTGTGGGTCAGATTATCAAACAGACAAGATGATACTGAGAGAAGCTGTAAAAGTGGTCAGTTTTCATTAATTCTCTGTGATATTATCAAGTGGCTGAAGAAAGAACAAATCTTAGTAAAGCAGCAGCTCAGTGAGGTAGGGCTGGGCGATATATCTAAACTCAACTCAACTTTATTAGTAAAGCACTTTAAAACAATCAAAAAACTATTAAAACAGTGGATAAAATAAAAGCAGAATGAAAAAGTTAAATATAGTTTTAATGTTTTTAAAAACTAATTTAAAAACATAGAAACAGATAACTAAAAACAAACCATAAAACACTAAAACAGGAACTGAGTCTCAGGCAGGGTTTAAAAGTCATTGAACAAAAATGGGTTTTAAGACGAGTTTTAAAAATGGACAGTGTGGGGGCTTGTCTGATTTGAAGGGGTAGCTCACTATGTTAATCGGTTCGAAAAAACAACTTTAATTTATTTTTTGACACTGAATGTACTGATATGGGCAAAATGACATCGGTTATTGTTGTAAATTTCTGTAGCGGTAAATTTTCAGTTTATCGCTCAGCCCTAGTTTGTTCATCCCTAAAATGATCAGGTTAAAGAGCCAATTAATGCAGCTGGACCTACACCAGTCAGTCCACAAATACTTAAAAACTAGAACCTCTGTGGCTCCTGGTGCATCATGGGAAGTGTAGGACAAAGCCCATAAGAGAGTTAACCCACAGCAGGAACTCTGAGTCTTCTCCTTCATTCATAAAGTGGGACGGGATCGTCTCGTAATAAGAGTTAACGCGGCCATTAAAGGTCCCGGTTCACAGGTAAAAATAACAGCTCCTAATTGGATGACAGTCTGTCACACAGACCTGCAGATGTCCGAGCAGCTGGACAGGTTTTAGTGTCGCTGTCTGAGCCCGAGATGGCTCCTAGACCGGTCAACCTAAACTCGCAGAAGCTATAAATGGGACAGGTCAGGTGACTTTCCAAGGAATTTGTGTGTGTGTGTGTGTGTGTGTGTGTGTGTGTGTGTGTGTGTGTGTGTGTGTGTGTGTGCGCGCAATACTTCCACGAGGCCAACTGTTCAGATTTCTTTAAATACATGTCTGGATTTATACGCGTGATAAGAAAGGATAATGATAACTTTTAATTTTTAAATGTTTAATATGATAAAAGATGAAGCTGCGATTTTAAAAGAAGTTTGCAATCATAAACAAGTCGGTGATTTTCTGATCTTTAAGTGTTTCTTGAATGATCTTTAAGAAAAGTCTGAGTGGGCTGCGAGCTGAGCTGCTAGGGCTTGAACTTCAGTTCAGTATAACGAAAATGAAACGCTCTCACTCCTGTCAAAGAAGACAGACACAATTATTTTGGGGGGTGGGAGAAAAAAAGCCATTCACATAAGTATCACGTTTTTTTGTTAAACAATTTTTAAATTTATTTTTATGTTCAAAAGTCTTTTTTTTATTTAAGAATAAATCTTTAAAACTGACTTCGATGTGATGTGTATTTATTAATTAAAAATACAGACTAAAGATCGAGAAAATCAACAATATCTACAATCGCAATTTAAATCGAATCGGCGTCAAAAAAATCGTAGAAGAATCAAATCGGGAGAAAAGCGTATCGTCCCAGCCCTAATGATTTAAACTTTGACACTAAAATAAACAAAACTTTGCCGAAGCTTCAGGGTTGGGCTGGAAGACAAACCGAAAATTTACCGAAACCAAAATTTACGAAATTAACTGACATCATTTTGCTCATACCGGGAAATTTGGTGTGAAAAAATATTGCCCAGCCCTAGAACAAACACTTAACAGTTAGATTTATAGGCAACCCCAAACAAGATCAGACATGTACATCAACGGACAGATGGATAAACTTAAATCAGCTTCAATTATATTTGAGTGAAATTATAATTTAAATGTAAACCCAAAGAAAAATCAATCTGAATCAGTTTTTCCTACATTTTGAGGACAAAAACAAACATCTCCTGTGTTTTATCCGGTGCCGTCTGTTGGACACATACTGTTTTTAAGTATTTGGTGTAATTATGAAGTTGTTGGTATCCAGGAAGAGCCAGCGCAAGATTTCCTACTCGACTAAAATGCTGAGTCAGGGCAGAGATTAATGTATTCATTGGAAAAATCATGTTTTCATGCTCAGACATGGAGGAAAATGTGAGCTGTGTTGGGAATATTACACCATCTCAGACTGAGACACACAGTTTACAGTCATTTAAATACACCAAAATGTTAATGCACATACAGTTAAAGGGTCTCAGTGGACTCACTCGAAGCTGGCTTATTGAAATATGAAGTTTTAACACGTTTAAGAGTTTAAATTAAACATATTTAATGAGACAAAGCTCTACTTTAAAATGTGAAATAGATAGATATAAAGGTCAGATAAAGCAGCACATCACTATGGTGATAAATAACACCGGGATCCAGAGTAAAACCAATAAAAGAGGCTAATCAATTGGTTTTTTTTTCTTCCCGTCCAGGGGAAAATGTGAGAATAGTCTCTGCAACAGATGTAGGTTAGTGTGCCACTGCATGAAACTTGTGAGCGGTTATGTGATCGTGACCTACTTGTGGGGAGGCTTTCCTGCTTGGCCTTGTTAACAGAGCGGCGGACACACGCTGAAAAACACAGAACAGTACATCTGTTTGAAAATAAAAACAAGCCAGCGTTTATCATCTGCAAAAAAAAAAAAAAAAAGACAAAGATTTTGGGTCACAGACGTCATCAGGTTTTTCTCTGCAGTAACCAAGGTTACCGCTTCACATTTAAAAAAAAAACATGACGTCATTAGATCGACCACAGGAATGAAGTCTGAAGGGAAATTCGCTCGTGAGGATCATCTCTGCAGCAGAGACACGTTCAGTGAAAAGGACTGACTGATTTCAGGGTTTGACTGATTTCTCCTTTTGTTCGCGGTCGAGGTTTTTGTCAGACCTAAAGCTCCTGGGAGGGATTTTAGCTGGTTATGAAATGAGCTGAAATTAATACCCGCTCCCTTCTGACCTAAAAAAGACAAACAACACCATCAGTGATGAGAGTTTGATTTATTCGTGCTGATTTTTATCACTTTTTGAACAGCTGCAGAAAGAAACTCTGTTCATAGGAGGCGCCACATCGACACAATTTGAAGATTTTTAAAGAGTATTAAGATGACAAGAACAACTTGATCTCACATATCACACATATTGATCAGTTCACCTCAATAACGATAAATGGACGATAACTATTCCACAAGCTGCTCCCCCCCTCCCACATTAACGTCGTCTACTTCAGCTGCTACAACTTTCCTGACTGGATGGGGCGGAGTCACGTCTCTAACGTAGGACAGCGTCTTAAAGAGACATGGGACCATAGCCTATCTACACAAATCCAAAACCAACTTTGATTTATTGATTAATTTGACGTAGAATATACTGATATTGGCAAAATGATATTGGTTATTGTCATAAATTTCAGTATTGGTAAATTTTCGGTTTGTCGCCCAGCCCTATGATTTACCTTCACAAATGTAAACCTAACCCTAAATTTCCACTGCATCCAGAACGCTACGAAAAGGTCGTATCCTCCGATCGTAGCTGATCGTAACCATTCAAGTTAACGTGTCAATCAACGTGTCAGTAACGCCTGATTTGACTTTTAGGAGTTTCCACCCAGTAGCAACAACCAGTTTAATGCAAAAGTACCAAGAGCTGCAGTTCCTCAAGTGTCCACTAGAGGCTGGCTCCAAAATTCCTGAAGCCACATACACACTCATTCAAAAAAGCACATCTTTATAGTAAAACTAATATGTTTACAGCCTGGTTTAAAAAAGATCTCGTTTTTTTCACACAGTGTAGAAGGGCAGATTTTTTATTATTTTTTATAACTAAGAAGTTTGATTATAGATGATTAATATTATCGGCATCAGCAGGTAAAAGCGTTAAAATTTAATTATTAATATTTGCAGGATATTTTTGTGTGTGTGTGTGTGTGTGTGTGTGTGTGTGTGTGTGTGTGTGTGTGTGTGTGTGTGTGTGTGTTTGTGCGCAGCCAAGAATGAGGTTACTCGGCTTAGGGATTGTGTTTTGGTACAGTCAGAGCCGAGTGTGTCTGTACTGACAGATGTAGGCCAGAGCGGTTATATAAGGACTGATGTATGATTAGGCATGGAACACACACATACGTACACACACACACACACACACACACGCATACACAGGCGAAATAGACTAGCCTAGCGACACACAGGGGAGCAATGAGAGGCTTCATAACATGGAAGCACGCACTGATGCTCACACAACAAAACTTGCATGAATGCACGTGGTCATACATGCTCATCTACTGCACGTTAGAGCTCACGTGCACACATACACACACACACATACACACAACAGGTGGTATCATGTCACCCAGAATGATGCGTTGCGCGTCTCTGACATTATTTAAGTGTTTTTGTCCGCTGAGGTAGAAGGAGGGCAGCCCCAAAAAGTGAGTTAGACGGCTTTAGCTTGATGTACAAAGTCGGTTACCACGACGACGGGTGACGTCTGTAGAGAAATAAACGACTGCACTGACCTTTTTCTTGATATTAAGATCGTTTGCATGATCACCTCTCAAGTACGCACGGTTCAGTGACGTGGCAAATGCTTCGGGGCAGTTTTTTTAGACTTTTTAAGCCAAGAAATATCCAATCTGCATTTTTCCAGGCAGTCTATATAAATTAATAAAAAATATCATGTTTTAATACGCTACAACTCTGCCTGAAAAGCTCAACAGTGTGAATTAGACCCGTATTAATGGGGCACCACTACTGAAACTCAACATCTCAAGTGTTTTTACTTATTTCAAGTGAAAATTTCTCTTTTAAGCTCCAAAAATAAGACCTGAGTTTCCAAATTTAGAGTCCTGGTCCGCTGTTTTACGAGAACTCTCTGAGTGTGGTCCAACCTGAGCTCCTCCTCAGACAGGCTCCATAACTCCGGTCTTAACGCTCACCTCAGCGTTCGTTCACGTGCTTTAAAAGTGCAGCTCGCCCAGCTCTGCCCCGTCTGTGTGCGGATTGGGAGCAAGCGCAGCTTTTCCCCGTGTGCGAGTCGTCCTCTGGTTTAACGATCAGGCTAACGGGGTCAGACAGGAGGGAACTGGACGGAGCAGAACATCGTCTGGCTGCCTGCTTTATCTGTGATCGGTTTTCTGCTAATGACAGGGCAGACACAGAGCAGACTAGATCCAAACCACAGGGCTGTAAATGCAGAGGATCTATAGACACTGACATTTATTTTTATTTAACTGTTAGAGGCTTAAATTTGGGCGGAACTCAAATCAAAACTGGTGAGAGAGAATTATTTTGCGTTATATTATAACATAAAAAAAGGTGGAATAGGGTTCATCATTTGACTCATGCAGCTTTTCTTCAGTCTCCAAAAGAAAGACTTAAAATTAATCGACTCAGGCCGTCACACAGATGTAAATCAGCTGATGGACGCCTGTTTCTTTCGGGTCAGATGGTTCATATCCATCGACCAGACTTAGAAGTTGGTGTCAGCTGATCTGCTGCTGATCTCTAATTAAAGTTTTAAAAGTTTTGGGCTTTTTGCAAAATAAAAAGTAAGATCTCTGCATCTATTTGTTACTCTCATAAGTGGTCACCAGGGGGCAGCAGGAACAAGCTCAGAAGAAAAGACAGTATTACTAACTAGGGCTGTCACTGAAACTGATTTTACCTCACAATCATGGCCGCCAAAGATAAACTCCTGAAAATGAAATCATATCAAACTTATAAATACAACTCTAAACTTACAGAAACAAACGTTTGGAGTTAAATGTCAAATATTCCTGATAACTCAGACTTTCACTCCTTCAGAGAGTGACGGTAAAATGAGTGAATGAACATCACTGACTCGTGCAGATTTCATTCACACATTAGTCCGACTCATTCGCCCACATCTCTGCTGACAGAGTGGCTTTCGGTATCGACGATCACGCTTTCTGAAACGTGTTGTTTGTAAATTATTCAGTGCTGCAGATGTGGGCTGAGCGTGAAAGGCCCCGAGGACCACAACAAAAACTATTATAATCAGTATTTTCATCGATAATGAAGCCAAACAACTTTTTTTAACTTTTTTTATTAGTTAGTATTAGTATTATTATTATTATTTTCAAATGTTATTTTCTGGTCACTTTTTTCTGGTACCTAAATTGTGTATATTGTATATAGTTTTTTTTTTCTTCTCCCTTTTTACTTTTCTAAATTTTTTCTTTATTATAACATTTATGTTCTTAATATTACTATCTTTATTTTTATGTTCACTGAGTCAGGTGGACAAAGATGAATGAGTGAAAATAAAACAACATGTCAGAGCAGAAAAATCAAATTTTACTCTTTATTTGTGTCTGACACGGAGGAGAATCTGGTTTCTGGGGGATCGAGAACGTCAAAAAGCTTTGAACACACATACTTCATCCCCAAACACACACACACACACACACACACACACACATGACCCAGAAATGTCTGCCACAGAGACTTCTCAAACACCAATCAAAGACAAGCCGCCGTCCTTTTGTTGTCGCAGAGCTTTTACCGACTGACGTCAAGTGGCACCAAAAAAAAAAACCTCTGCAGAGAAAAAAACCTGAGAGTAAAAAAAGACGTCTGTGAACGACGGATCCAGGGTGTCATCTACAGATCTGTGATCAACCTCTTCTGTCTTTCTCTCTCAGGTTTCTCCTTCAGTGTTTGGAAGATCTGGACGCCAACCTGCGGAAGCTCAACTCCCGCCTTTTTGTCATCAGGGGCCAACCAGCTAATGTGTTCCCACGGCTCTTCAAGGTCAGCGCCCGCCACATCAAATCTAACGAAAACATCGAATCGGCTTCGTGTGCAAAATTGTCACCTTTGTGTTTCGTCTCTCTGTGTTTCAGGAGTGGAAGATCTCTCGGCTGACCTTCGAGTACGACTCCGAGCCTTTTGGGAAGGAGAGAGACGCCGCCATCAAGAAGCTGGCTATGGAGGCAGGAGTGGAGGTCATCGTCAAGATATCGCACACCCTCTACGACCTGGACAAGTGAGGGAAACACACTCAGATTTAAAGTCTCACTTTCCTTAAAAAAAACTTTGCAGTAACCGGTCCTTGTCTTCGCTCGTCTCCAGGATCATCGAGCTGAACGGCGGGCAGCCTCCTCTCACCTACAAGCGTTTCCAGACCCTGATCAGTCGACTCGATCCTCCTGAGATGCCCGTGGAGACGCTGTCCGACTCCCTGATGGGTCGCTGTGTCACTCCCATCTCTGAGGACCACGGGGACAAGTACGGCGTCCCGTCTCTGGAGGAGCTCGGTGAGGACAAACGCACACGACCAGATCTGGACGGGTGTAGTTTAGAGAAAAACTTGACCTGTAAGGACGGAGTCTAAACTTGTCCGTCTAAAGTCTATTAAAACTTCTATAAATAAGCAGAAAATCTCCCGTTAAGATCTAAGATTGAAGTCGATGAAAATCCCCTCCATGATTAACACTGTTTGCTCATTAATCCCGCCCTAAACCGCGCCTTTAAAGCCGCACCTTTACCCTCGTTATTGGATTAATCAGGTCACATATTCTCGTCCAGATGCCCACCTCCATTCACAAAAGGTTAACAGTCTATTCCTGCGCTGTAACCATCTGCTGCCTGCACCTGTGCAGGAGTGACTCAGATATTTCAGGTGTTAAACATCTGAAACTCTCAGCTCAGTTTATTTCAGACAAGCTGTTGTTTGTCCCTGAAGTGATCCAGGAAACACGTTAACCCTCTTAGATTTAGACGGTCAAGATGTCCGCCGTCCATTCACAGAGGGCGTCTCTTCATTCAGACATCTGCTGCTCACATCTGCACCCTGTGACCTCAGTGAACTTTACAGACGACACGATGAAATCGCCTCCACGCTAGAGACTGAATCTTTAGAATCCGTTCATTAAAATGATTCGTTCGAAAGATTCCAGTGAGTGATGCAGCTGCTGAAGTCACAGCGTCTTTCCCTGGGTGACACGCATCCTTCATTCGCAAAGTCTTGAGGGAAAAACCACCCCCCTGCCCTGAAAAACTCACCTCTCTGTGTGCCGCCGAAACAACACGGCAGCAAGCAGCACGCCCGCTAAACGAGCGCGAGTTGTCGTTCTTTTATATCGCAAAAAAAGTGGAGAGACAAACTGGTGCTCGACAGTTTATGAACGACGCTATGCCCCTCCCTCCTCCGCCTGCCTGAAGTCGTTCAGAAGTCGTTCGTTTCGTTCACAGTTTGACTGATACATGTCGTGATTCAGTTCACGTCATTCACTCAGAAGATCTGTTCTTTTGAACGAATCGTTCATGAACGACTCAACACAACACCACACCCCTCAAACCTCTCATCTGAGTCGATGCTGGTCGAAAAACTTTCAGCACAGAGGTCCTGAAAATTTCTGAAAATTTCCAGGCAACCCAGAGACAAAGACTGAATCTGATCAGTCGTGGTTAAAAATGGCGTTTTCCTCCTCTAACCTCCGACTCTCTGACTGAGAGCGAGAGGAGGATGACCTCTGCTGCTGAACTAAACAAATAAAAATCTGTTTGAATGAGTCCAATGTTCGCCCTCAGGCTGATTCTTTTATGATTTAATCACATACTTTTTTATTCTCTGTTTGTCCAAAGGTTACCCTGAATTTCAACGTTACATAAAGTTCATGTTTGCATAACCGTGTCACGTTTGCAAAAGGCGACGAATAAAACCGAGAAAAGTCACTTTGACTTAAAAAACAAACAAATGAAGTTTTCGCTGTGACTTTATCACTTTTTTTAATCAAAAGCAACAAAAGGGGGATATTAGGGATTACAGACGTGTCTAAAATAGTGTTTTCTAAATGGATTGGTTCTGGGTAATAAAATAAAAGTAGTGCAGCAGCGACTTAACAAACCGCAGCGCCGCAGGAGTTCAGCTTTGTCCTGCTGCTGCACTAATTAAAGAGGAGCGTTCATGTTTCCACAGCAGGCCTGCAAACAAACATCTTTATGTAACTCTGATTTTAGCGCGTTCGTAACCTGTAAGAATCTGACTTTGAAAAAAAAAAGAAAATAAGAAGCTAAAAACAAAAGTTCACCATCATCAACACAAGAATGTAGAGTCAGTTTGAGCTGCTTTGTTGAAGAGTTTGTGAAATAACTAAAGTTGTTTTCTTTGTTTTCATGTTTTCAGGCTTCGACACCGAGGGTCTGCCGTCAGCCGTGTGGCCGGGAGGAGAGACCGAAGCTTTAACAAGGATAGAGCGCCATCTGGAGAGAAAAGTCAGTATTAAAACTCTGCAGCATTAGTTTTAAAAAAAATCAAAATTAAGAAGAAAAAAGTTCATTTCCAGACAACAGAGTAATTTCATTTCAGCTTTAAAAGAGTCCTAAATAAAGATTTTTTCGAGTCTCTGAATTTTAAGCATCTGAGTTTGTTTGGTGCTAAAATCTAAATCAGAAACTCTGAAAACGCCGATAAAAGACAAATTTAATCATCTCTTAGTTTCTCTGGAGCAGGTTAAAAGATTTAAGTAGTTGTAATGAATTAAATAAAACAAAAATAGAAATTTTTTGTTGCTCGTTTTACATTTTTGTTTTAGAAAAATGAGAGCAGTCCTTTTAAACTCTCAGCTGAGTCAACAATAGAGTGGATTATCCTACACAGATTTTTTGTTGTTTCATATTTACGATTGTCGGCGCCGACCCGTTTCAGACCCAATTATCAGGACAAATTCACTCATAATACGCCTCAGACCACGAGATCATCTTATAGGATAATCTTAGAAGACATAAGATAATCTTCCGATTGTCGTCCGTGGTCAGGAGGGGGAAAATTCAGAGCAAAAACACCCCGACTATCTAAGCGGTGTGTACCCGCTGAAGAGTAACTGTTTCAGCTCCACATGATCGGACCGTGCTCCTAAAGTTTGAACTCTAAATCTGAAAATCGATCCACTTTCTAACACGTCTGTTTTTTTTTTTGTCTCTACAGGCGTGGGTGGCGAACTTCGAGCGCCCCAGGATGAACGCCAACTCGCTGCTGGCCAGCCCAACAGGCCTCAGCCCGTACCTTCGCTTCGGCTGCCTCTCTTGTCGGCTCTTCTACTTCAAGCTCACCGACCTCTACCGCAAGGTACGTAGAGTTTGAAGCTTCACCGCTCTGAGAGTTAAAACCTTTCTGAAGACTGACTCCGCCTTCATTATGTCGTGGTTTTATAATTTTATAACTGACTGTGTTAATTTTGGCGCCCCCCTGTGGATCTCCCGTGCACCTGCATGTTTAATCAGTTTATTTCCTCTTCAGGTGAAAAAGAACAGCTCCCCGCCGCTCTCGCTGTACGGTCAGTTACTGTGGCGGGAGTTCTTCTACACCGCGGCGACCAACAACCCGCGCTTCGACAAGATGGAGGGGAACCCCATCTGCGTCCGCATCCCCTGGGACAAAAACCCTGAAGCGCTCGCCAAGTGGGCCGAAGCGAAGACGGGCTTTCCCTGGATAGACGCCATCATGACTCAGCTGAGGCAGGAGGGCTGGATCCACCACCTGGCCCGACACGCCGTGGCGTGCTTCCTCACCAGGGGCGACCTGTGGATCAGCTGGGAAGAAGGGATGAAGGTGAGGGGGCGGGGTTTCAGATTTAAAGGGATATTCCGGCGTAGAATTAAGACACAGACTTGGACATCCTGTGGAGAGATGAATGTTGTCGACCGCTTGCTTCTCTAGTTTTACCAACTTAAGTAACGACCGCAGGATAGTAATACAGAGAGCCACGCCCCCAACCAAAACGCCACTCTATAGCCACAAATAATGCTCAGAACAGCACCTAACTTCATCAACAGGACATATAGGGTCACAGACATAGTACTAGACACCAAACATCTTTTTAACGTTGACTAAAGTGACTAAACTTTGACCTCATTTTACGCTTTAATCTCTTTTTTTAAGGATGGCGAAGAAAAGCGTTTTCTTTTTCTAACCTCTCCTTCTCGTCTCCGCCTCTCAGGTCTTTGAGGAGCTTCTTCTAGATGCAGACTGGAGCGTGAACGCGGGCAGCTGGATGTGGCTGTCCTGCAGTTCATTCTTCCAGCAGTTTTTCCACTGCTACTGCCCCGTGGGCTTCGGCCGGCGCACCGACCCCAACGGGGACTTCATCAGGTGGGTACCTTTCCTCGCATCGCCCATTGGTGACAACTGCTGACCCACCACCTGGATGGGACCCTTCCTCCCTCTGTCTCTCTGGAAACGCACATCTATACGCACACAGAGTTCGTTCAGCGCCGCCATCAGGGTCAGGGTGAGGAAATCCGACAGACGATTGAAGTTTAATCTTCAGATCACGCAGTTTAGACGCCATCAGAGGTGTAACTTTGAGACAACATCAGAGAGAGGGAGAGAGAGAGACGGAGGGATAAAGGGGGACCACCAGATCTCTGGGTAAGTGACTGACAAGAATATCCATCCTCCCCCTCTTCTCCTTTTTTTATGTTTCCCCTTCGGTCCATGTTCTGTTCTGTTCAAACTTCAGCACTTTAGTTTTTTGGAAATCAGGCATGTCTTCTGTAATAATGTCAGTGTTCACAGTGTTACTTCTTTGCGTGCCTTTTTTTGATTTGATTGTTTGTGAATGTCTCTTTGGTGATTGTGTGCGCGTGCAAATATCTTTAGTTGATATATTGATCTCTATAATTGTTGCCAGCAGGTGATGATGATGATGATGATGATGATGATTTTGACCACACGCTCAGGCGTAGACGGACTCTTCTCTTTCTCTCGATGTGGCTCTGTGTTTGTGTTTTTGGCTCTTCTGTTTTTTGGGGGGATTGGGGGAAAAGTTCAGCTATCCCTCTCCCCTTCGTAGATTGTAGTTGATTGCTTTTAAGATGATTGGCCGTTCCCACGCCCCACCCCACCCCACCCCCCGCCCCCACCATCCAGGCGCAGCCGGGCTGCTGGTCAGGGCTGCCTTGGGTGGAAGTTGGGGTACGAGTTGAGAAACCGGTGGTCGTTTGTTTTTTACTTGCCTGTCAGACCCTGAGGGACGGGGCCCCAGCAGCACCCTCTGGGCAGGTTTGTGACTCGGTGGCGTCTCATTACGTCAAAAGGGATTCTGACCGCTTGGTAGGGAAATGCACACGCCTTGCCTGCATTCGTTAGGTAGAGGACTATGAAGCATTCCCCAGGGGGTAGCGAGGAGAGGCGTTTGGACCAGCTGGAGCTCTGCAATCGCAGGGATGAACGGAGCCGGTCCATTGTCCAGACAAAGCTGGACAAAGCCCCTCATCCGACCCTTTGTGAAATGTTCAGTGGTGCTCTGCTTATGTGAATGCAGCCCTGCCGGTTCAGGTGGACTCGGAACAGCGGCTGGTCCATATAGACACACACTTACACACACCTATATGTGCTTTTAGAATGACATTAACACTGATGAGATATAAAGCTTAATGCAGAAAAATGCACAAGCCGAAATTTCAAGATTACAAAATGTTAAAAGTCGAAATTTCGAGAATAAAAAATAAAAATTTAGAGATTAAAGCTGAAATTTCAAGATTTAAGTGGAAATTTCCAGAATAAAAAATCGAAATTATGTCAATTAAGTCAAAATTTCAACATTAACATTTTAAATCTCGACAGATTTTTGAGCGCTTTGTACCACATAAAATCTGTCATTTAGCACAACAAGAAATCATACATGAGGCGCGCTGGATAATTAAGTTTACTATAAATTTTTGGAGAAACTTTAAGGATTTTAAGTGCACCTTTTAGTCTGAAAAATACAGTAATCAATAATAATACTATGCTATTTGATTAAAAATAGAAATCTGACAAAAAGACGAACTTTATCTTAGATTCATGCAAACAGTACAGATTAAAAAATACAATTTCAAGGTTAAAGTCTAAATTTTGAGATAACAAAAACCTCAAAATATCATGAATAATGTCAACTTTTCGAGATTAAAAAAATAAACAAATAAAATAAAAATTTAAAATTAATATTTTAAGATTAAAGTCGAAATTTTGAGATAAAATTTGAAATTTCAAGATTAAAAAATCAAAATTTTGACATTTATATTCAAGATCTCGACAGATTTTTGAGGTTATTTTACCACACAAAATCCATCTGTAAGCACAACAAGAAATCAAACATGAGGCGCGCTGGATTATAAGGCACACTGTTAATTTTTGAGAAACTTTAAGGATTTTAAGTGCACCTTCTAGTCCGAAAAATACGGTAATCAATAATCATACAATGCTAATTGATTAAAAATAGAAGTCTGACAAAAAGACGAACTTTATCTTAGATTCATGCAAACATCACGTCTCTGCAGCCTCCTCTTATATGTCAGTTTTGAAGTAAATTTTACACACCTCCATCATTTGCACACACTCCCTAAAATAAACACCACCCGCTGTCCCCCGCAGGACCGCTTGTTTCCGGCAGGTTGCGGATCTTCCTGGCAAAAGGGTTGTGGTCCCTTTTGGTGAAATGAGGGGGCCCCCTAGTGGGCCAGCCCAGAGCGTGGTGCTGTGGTTTGTGGGAGGGGTAACGGTCAGCAGCGAGGGGGGGGGCTCTGGGCCTGCTGACCACTTAAAAGACAACCACCACAGTCTGAGGGACAGGGGGAGCAGGCGTGAGCTCTTTTCTCAGTCCACCACTGTCTGATTATGGGGGAGGGAAGGGGGGAGGAGGGCGGGAGGGAGGGGCCTGGAGCTGCGAGGTATAATGGAAGACTTCTGTCATCGACTCAGCGTGATTTTAGCGCTCTTTTTTTGTAGCTCTGGAGTTTATTTTTTTATTTTGAGGCAGTTTAATAGAAGCAGAGATTAAAAAAAAGAGTAAATATTCTCATGTGAGGAGATTTTTGTAATCACAGCTGACTTTAACTTCAACAGACGTCGACTTTTTTCAGACTTTTTCTACTTTTTATGATTTAGAAAACACGAGAAGGAGAAGAAGAAGAAGAGATCCCTCGATGGCAGAACTCTCTCCACCATACACCCGCTCCGGTCGGGGTTCAAGTGGGCGGGCTGTGGGTGGGCTGGGGTCAATACACTCTGCTTTCTAACTGCGTGTTACAGTAGACGTCTCCTAGCATCATCAACCAAAGCGGAGGGGGATCTCTCTCTAGCGACGGGGGCGGTCTCCTTCACGACCGGAGAGCCGTCTCTTCATGTGTGCCGGTCCACAAGGCCGCACCGCCCCTCGCCCCCTTACCCTCCTTCTCCTCCATCCTCCCCCCCTCAACTCTCCTCTCTCTCTGCCTCCCGGCGGTGCGCTGTGTCACTTTTCACAGTTCCACAGTCGCCCCCCCCTCCCCTCCCACAGTCCTCTGCCTCTCTCTGTCTCCCCTCCTCGGACTAGGTAAGGTGGGACCAAGTTCAGTAGGTAGGTGGCTTCTTTTTGTCACTTGGAGTAAATCCACGACAGGCCAAGACAGACCAGCTCCAGCGGTGTTCAATGGTACTACGAGACTATGTTGACCTCTCTCTCTCTTGCTGCAGTCAGATTTTTCTGTTTTTTATCTCTTGGAGGATCAAACTTTTTGTCTCTCCGGTTATTTCCTCTCTCTTCTTGGGACCACAGCCCCTCGTTCTACTCCTTACCAAGTTGTGATCTGTAGTCCTCATTGGTGCACTGCGATGCTAACTCACCTCAGTGCTAGAAGTCCACAGCAACTTTGTACTCATACTCTCATGTACTGTAGCCATACTGTGCAGTGTTGTGCTTGTTTGTAGCTTTCATTTTGTAGCACCTATTTTCCATAATACCTGTAAGCATGAAGTGCTGAAGATCAGCATGCTCTCATAAGTTCCAGTTAAAATAATAATGACCCCATGATGAATTTCTGCTAAACTCTTGTGTTAGAATGTCTCACTTTATCTGTACCCAGCACAGTATGAGCTTAAAAACACACCTTTCTAATATTTCTACCCTTAATTTAACTGCAGATGTCAGATATTTTGCATTCATTTTTTCCTGACTTGTTTTAAAAGAAAGTCCTTTTGCATCCCCGCATCTCACCCGACCCCCCGATTAACTCTGCAACCTTCCACGTCCTGCCAACGCAAGACAGCGAATCTAATGTCTCCCTGTGCTTCCAGACGATATTTACCTATCCTCCGAGGTTTCCCCGCTAAGTTCATCTACGATCCCTGGAACGCTCCGGAGTCCGTGCAGGCGGCGGCCAAGTGCATCATTGGAGTCCATTACCCGAAGCCCATGGTGCACCACGCGGAGGCGAGCCGGCTCAACATCGAGAGGATGAAGCAGATCTACCAGCAGCTGAGCCGATACAGAGGACTGGGTAAGCGAGGATGTACTGACACAACGCAGGATTAAAGATATATCAGGAGGGAGAGGGTTAAAAAAAGAGTTATGTGAGTTTTAGACTTCCTGAAAATGAAAAATGATAAAAGGAGATTTAAGTCTCCACCTCATCGCCCAGCTGTAAGAGGATAAGGGCCACATGAAGAGGGAAAAAAAATACTGGAGGGAAATTAAAATAAAATTTTCAACATTAAAAATTATAATTTTGAGATTTAAGTCGAAATTTCTAGATTACATAATGTCAAAATGTCTTGAATAATGTCCAACTTTCAAGATTTAAACGTAAAATTTTGAGATCAAAGTCAAAATTTCGAGATTAAAAAATCAAAATTATGTCAAAATTAAAAATTTGAGATTAAAAAAATTTAAATTTCAAGATTAAAGTTGAAATTTCCAGATTAAAGTTGTAATTCCAAGATTAAAAGAACCAAAATTATGTCAATTAAGTAAAAATCTTGACATTAAATTTTTTTTTTTAATTAAAGTCGAAATTCAAAAATTACAAATGTCGTAATTGTCGAAATTTCAAGACTAAAAACATAGAAATTCTGACACTAAAGTTGAAATTTCAAGATGAAAAAAGTATGTCAAAGCCAAAATTTTGACATTAAATAATAGAAATCATGTCAAAGTTGAAATTCTGACATTAAAATTTAAAGTTATGGGATTAAAGTCAATTTCAAGGTCACAAAATGTTGAAATGTCGTGAATAATGTCAAGTTTCGAGATTAAGAATAATTAAATTTTGAGATTAAAGTCGAAATTCCCAGATTAAAGTCAACTAGAATAAAGTCGAAATTTCAACTTTTTTATAATTCTGACTTTAATCTGGATATTTCAACTTTAATCTCAAAATCTTGACTTTAATCACAAAATTAAAATTAAAAAAGTCCCCCTCATTTGATTGTTTTTTCTGTTCTAATCCTCTGTCATGGATTTTTAAGATAAATCAGATAAAATAAATAAAGAACATTATTCTGCCTGAACTTGGAGAGTGTGTGACAGCAGTAAATCTTATTCCCCTCACTGATTATCAAACATGAGTTATTAAACGTATTTTAACGGTGTCCTTTTGTCTGTCAGGCCTCTTGGCTTCAGTACCGTCCACCAATGGGAACGGAAACGGAGGAATGATGGCGTACTCTCCTGGAGAGCAGCAGCCAGGGACCAATAACAACAACTCGCACTGTGAGTCGATTCACGATTACAAAGATCTGCAGATATCTCACAAACTGTTGGAGGAACAGAGCGGTAAACTTGTTTTTGTGTTTTTTTTTTTTTAGTGCCTGGAGTGTCGGGGAGCTCTGTCGCTACGGGTAACGGCAGCGGGAGCATCCTCCTCAACTTTGATAATGAAGAACAGAGGAGACCGAGCAGCGCTGCGCAACAACAGCAGCAGCAACGACTGCAGCCACTCCCACCACAACAACAACAACAACAACAGCAGCAGCAGCAGCAGCAGCAGCAGCAGCATGGTAGGGTCACTAAACTCATGTTTGCAGGGAGATTAGCGCCATCTTCTGGGTAAAACTGGAAACACAACAGAAATACTCCCTCCAGAATTCACTCCCAAAACAGGCTGTTTTGTGGATGTTTTTAATTCTCAGTTTGATTGTGTGTTTGATGCATTTTCAGCAGGATACCACTCAGTGCCAGACGCCAGCCAGACCATCACCAGCAGCCGACTCTACCACGAGTTTGCTGTGCCTCAACACCCGGGTAAGAAACAACAATATAGTTCGTAGTTTCATCGCAGCGAAACCCTCCTGTTACTCAACCTTCCACCTACAAAAGTCGATTATGATAAACGCTGACGTGTTTTTTTTTTTCTCGCTCCTTGAAACATTCAGGACTTCTCCTGCAGACCAGAGGCGGCATCACCGGAAAGCGCGAGCGTGAGTCGGAACGTGAAGGGTCGGGGGAGAAAGATTCGGCGTCCTGCTCTGTGCACAAGATGCAGAAGCAAAGTGCAGAGGTGAGAGAAAACACGTTGTTAAAGGAGACCTGTGATACTCTGTCAGAGCGGGACACAAGTAGAGCAGCTTTTCATGATTTCTTCTTGTTTATCCTGCACTGGCACCAATAAAAACCTCACGAATGAATCCACTTCTCCGTCTTTCTCCATCCTCTCTGCAGACTACCTAGAGTGAACATCCACGAGACCACCTTGAGTCCACGTTGGAGTCACCATCTCGCGTGCCGTGAGAGAAGAGAGAGAGGAAACCCCAACGAAGGCCACCTGACCTTAAAAACCCGCAGCAGCGTCACTCGTGACTGCCTCTTCTTCAAACAAACCGATTTTTACTCTCAGAAACTCCCCAGGGTGCAAACACAAAGGTGAAAATGTGATCCTTTAGTTTCAGTTCCTTTTTTTTTTTTTTAAGTTGGCTCTCGACACGATTTCTCGCGGGTCCTCGATCTCTCTCAGTCAAACAACAACGCCTCAAACTTGTGGCTCGACACTCGTTTTGTACAAAAGTATAAATATATAAATATAAAAACTTCTATTGTTGTCTTAAAACTGCGACCACCAGCCAGTATATTCTGTATAATCTGAAGCAGCTATACATGTAATAAGTCGTATTTGTAGTCACGAGGATTCGCGACTCTCCACGTCGAAAAACATCACCAACCGCGTACAGTGTGTGGTCGTCGTTACCGTGGAAACTTGCCGTGTATAAAAGCTGATATTTTGATGTGAAACTTTGTAAATACGACGATTGGATTTTTGAACAAAGTAGCTTTACCAAAAGACGAGAATCCGGCCATCCGAGTATGATTTTATTTTTGTGTTTAAACAAGAACTTACGACAGAAACACAACCAGTATTCACAACGACGACAACCCGGCTGGTTGTTTCAGGGACAGTATTGAACAATCCGAGTATCTCCTCAGCTTCGATGTCACTACTCTGGATGTAAATATCATTTTCTGCTGCAGGCGCTCTCGACTTTTTAACGCAGACGTGATTTTACGGGAACATCTCTCACTGCCCGGCTGGAACATGTGATCTCTTGATTTGTATCGGCAGCTAAAAACGGTGATTTGTTTTTGTACTTCTTCACTTTGGTGTAACAACAATCCATCCCCCGGATATATGCAGCCGAAAGAGCTTCACGAAATACGGAGAAAATTAGAAAAATCAAAGAAGTCGCTCTCGGCTGCAGCACTGAATCAAAACCAGTTTTTGTAGAGAAATTACAAACGTCTGTTTCCCCCGAAATCAACCAGCAGAGTTTAGAAAAACACACTTAAACCGTTTAGGAGTCGAGTCTTTTCAGACACGTTTACAGTCGACGCTGTAGATACGTTAGGACTTATTTTTGTTTCTGCTCTGAAACTGCCTTTTGAGAATGTGGCATTATGGGTAAAAGAGTCTTTTTGTAGCCGTCATTGTAGTTTTTTTTTGTGCTCTAAAGTGGCGTCCATGAGACTAATGTAAAGATTGACATGTAGCCGAACTCTTCTTCTTCTTCTCATCGTCTTTTCTTTGGAGGCGGGAGTCGACGGCGTGGATCCTGAGAATCCGAAGGTTATCTTTGTTTGTGTTCGTTCTCCCGCCTCCCTCTGACATCAGGCGCATTTTCACCTTTCTGTTTCCGCCTGTGTTTCTGAAACGTCTCCAAATCAAGTCAAAATTGTAACGGCTGAAATGGCGTGAATTTCTTGGGTGTGGAAATGGAAAACTTTGATCTCGTCTTGCTTTACGACGCTGAAAAACAAACGACATTGCCGTTGGGAACGTTCAAGAGGAGCCGGTTTGGTGGTAACATCAGCCGAACACAAGGACAGAGAAAGACACGGGCGGGTGGCTGAAACCTCCTCTCAACGCTGTAAAATTTTTTAAGACTTTATTTGTATAAAAACCAAAAACTTGCTGAAGAAAAAGGTGGGAGAAAAAAAAAACAACAACAAACGAACGAACGTCGAGTCGACACGGTAGAAGACGGGCGACAGCATCGGATCCAAATGAGCCTCACTGATTCTGTCACGGAAACAGAAGCAACATTCCTCAGAAACACAGCGCCTCCTCATGAAGGATTTCTGCTACTGCACAAGGAGGTCAACCATATTTATGTAGAGACACCTGAATCATGGTCAGAGAGTTCGTTCGTTCGGAGGATTGTGCAGGAGCGCTTGAAAGATGAAGTCGGTGTCTTATTTCGGTTCAGTCCCCCCTCTGCTATCACCTTTACTCCTGGTGAGAAGAAAGCAGTGGAATTAAACCAGCGAATGTATGAAACCCTCTGTAAAATACCCCCGTGATGATGTTATTATCCCACCCTGCACACGCAAACACACTACACTGCAAACAACGACATACACACAAACCAACGAGGAGTTATTCCTGCCACTAGGATCCTAAAATCACACGTTTTTCTTTCTTTATCGGCTTTTTTTATCATCTTTATGCAGGGAAAGATTACAGTTAGAAAAGTGTCGTGTTTACACTCGCATGACTCGAATAAAAGCAGCAAAGATGCAGTAAAATAAGTGAAATTCAGCTGCTCTCAACACCTCCTCAGAGTCCTGTACGGAGTTATTAAAGTTCTTAGAATAAAGAAAAAAGCTGCAAATTAGAGACAAAAGTTTTTGTTCCTGATAGTAAAAGCATTTATTTTGATTTTTTTTTAGTGCACACACACAAAGATATGAGTTATATTCAACAACAAGACTTTTAAACTCACACACACACACCTTTACATCCTAAAACACACACACACGCTTAGGAAACAGGACACAGGCACAGATCACCAAGATGAACCGTGTAAATAGGCAGAACACACTCTAACATACACACACACACACACACACACACACACACACAGAGAGAGCCTTCTGAGTGGTTAAACAGGAGGGAAGAGTTTCATGCAGCCTGCTTAGAGCCTCAATCTGCATCTAAACATTTGGATTTGGAGCCAAAATGTCCAAATTAAGGCGTAAAAATTTATTTTCTTCTATTTTAAATTTAAATTAACACTAAATTAAAGTAAAGGTGGATTTCAGCATCTTTTCATGTGTGAAACTCCACGCTGTCAGATTAATAAATATAAAGCTGTATGCAGGTTGGGGCTGTAGGGTCTAAGTGGGCGGCGGCCCTCCTGAGAAAGTTCTGGTTTCAGTGGAGCCGTGATGACTCGTGTCTGTGTACAGTACTCGATATTTGTCCATCTGTGATCATCCTGCCCTCGGCTTCAGGAGTAATGTAGGGGGGGTAAAAGGGGAGGGAGAATAAAAAAGTATTGTATTGTTTCTGTATAATAATTCTGTCTGTTATCGAGAGGATTTAAACATTGTTAGTTTTGTAGCTTTTATCACTATGGGAAGAAGAAAAAAAAACAAGTTGAACCAGGTTTTCACTTTCGCTTTCTTTTTTGTCCGTTTTGTTCTGTTCGCCCTTCTGTGATAGGAAGGTGGGAACAGATGCCATCTATCATCTCTGTAATATTAATGCTCTGTCTCTCCTTGTGTTGTGAAAGGCTTTTCTTGTGCTTGATCAAGTTCATGACAGGAAATTAAAATTGTTACAACTTGAAACCTTTTTTTTTTGTTGTCTTTTTCATGAACTAAAACAGACTATACCCAGCTGTGTCCAATACTTGGTTCTGATTGGCTCAGCACCTGAAAACAGCAGTGATTCATTGTCAAGTTTAAAGTTCCATTAACTTATGTGTCAGAGATGCTCAAGTCTCCTTTTCACCTGATCCTTCAGCAGGTATGTCCTGGTAAACGGCTCGAGTTATTGAGGGCACAGATGATTTATTACCTCAGAAACTATAAAAACTTTCCTGGTTACCTGGTTAAATGTAAACCTGATAGGCGCCTTTACAGTTTTTCTCAATTGCTCTGGTGCATTTTACAGAACAATTCATACAAACTGCAAAACCGAGTGGATAACCTGCAAAAGAGCGTCACTTACTCAAAATGAAGAGTTGGTTCCTCAAAAGCAAGTCTTCATGTCCATGAAAGTGTCTGTGTCGTCAAAATAATTACTCTGAACATCATTGATTATGAACACGACAGTGAAATAGTTTTGTCATGTTTTCATTATGATGATTTTTAAGGCATATCAGATAGGGCAGTAGGGAGCGCTGTAAAAGAAAGAAAGAAAATTTTAAAAAGGAAAGAAAGAGAAAGTTTAAAAAGGATTTTTTTTTAAAAAAAAAAGGAAAGAATGAAAGGAAGAAAATTAAAAAGAAGACAGAAAGAAAGAAACAAAAAAATAAACGGAACACATTATTAGTTGTCATTTAGGGCCTCCTGGTGTAGTAAAATGATATTAAGGATGAGATATCCATTTCCTCCATAGTCTGGTGAATTTGTCCATGCTCAGGTTCAAGGAAACGTCAGTTTTTCTATGTCATATATTTCTTTCACAATGAAATCCACTCCTCTTTATTTGGGGCCTCTTTCGATTAAGAATATTTCATATATTCAATACTTATGGTGAGAAGATGAGAAGATTTATGACTTATATTCAAACTCATGCTTGTAAATGAAGTTATTATATTTGACAAAACCCCAGTATTTTTCAAATAAAACAGTTCTTAGCTTAGTTTTATTTATTTTTTTTAGCATTAAAAAGTTGACAAACTGTAGTACCAAACTGTGTCCCCGCTGTAGTACCGCTCTCCTCCTGCAGGTGGCGAGCTCACAACCACGGACGGATATTTGTACTTCCGGTTGAGTTGCTCTTCCTTTCCTTTCGGCCATTTGTCGTAGACGGTGAGTTTCTGTCGAGCTCTTCTCTAAAAAAGACCAAAAAGACGTTTTTTACGGTTGGATCGGATTTTTGGTGTCGTGTGTAAACGTAACGTGTATATACTGCTATAAAACACATTTTGACTGAGTCTGTTGTGTATAAAGTGTGTTAAAATGAACGGTTTGTGAGCCGCCACATGGTCGTAATGAAGGCTAAGTGCTAACTGAAGAGCTAACTGTGTTCATATTCACTATTAACACTCAAGATTCTGCTCTTTTTTGTCGGAGTTATATTAAATATCATTATTACCGGAGTCTGTGTGTATTATTGAACCCCTGCCGTTTATTTCAGAGTCACTTAAGTAACAGGATAAATCAGCTGTTCGTGTCTAATCCTGGTGTATTTCCCTGTTTTAGGTCTGTAGGTGACTCTTTCTTGACAACCTTCAAAGATGCAGAACGACGCCGGAGAGTTCGTGGACCTGTACGTCCCCCGTAAATGGTGAGTTTGATAAAATACACACTTTGATTCATGTGGATTTACCTTTTATTGAAAGTCTCCTGTCTGACAGTAGAAGAATAAACATCTCCTAACTTTAGGACCTCTCATGATCTTCTTGGTTTCTGTAGATTATATATTATAGAGGACGGCATCAGTCATATAGGATTGTTGTTTCTGACTCATTCATGGTTTGTCTTTATGTTCTTCAGCTCTGCCAGCAACAGGATCATCGGGGCCAAGGACCATGCCTCCATCCAGATCAACATCGCCGAGGTAAATCCAGACTTACAGTTTTACAGTTTCTGAGTCTGTTACTGAGTCATGTTGAACTGAAGTCAGTCCTCCTCTGCATGTACTCGAACCATCAACTTCTTATACAAAACCTGAGTCTGTCCTCCTGAAAAATTCACTTTCAACTGCAATAGGTGTTTGGATTGAAAGTATATAAGCATGTAAGACTGGAAATAAAACAGCGATATATCTGTACCGGCTCTCACAAGACTGATTTGTTAATATCAGATTTTAATTTTGTTTTTATTGAAGACATACATCTGAAATTCATTTGTTGCAATGTTTTGCTCGGAAAAGTCTTTCGGACTCTTATCAGTTAATGACATGTTTATCTATGTTCATTGACTCAGTTTTTTGTTTGTATTATTTTGTTAAACGCAAAAAAACAGAAAGTAAAGAATAATCAACAATGTGGCATCATCATTATATATCAGTTGACCTGCTCTCTTATTATCAGCTTGGTAGGTAAAAGTAAAATCAGTCGTCCACTTCATCAGTCCGTCTGCAGTAGTCTGCTGTTTGACTTAGTGGAGCGGACTCAGTGTAACCTGACCATTGCATAGACTTTTGATCTTTGTACATTGTTACTGTGAGATTTCCTACAAAAATGATACATGCATGAATGTAAAGCTGTTGTTAATGGACCGAAGTGTCTTAGAGGCTAAAAGCTCGCCTTTGAGGCAGCAGAAGGGGCGCCGCAGTCAGGTGGAACAGTGTCAGCAGATAATGTTGTAAATAATTAGGCAGCTGCACGTGATCCTGGTCAGGCTGATGGACTTTTAAACAGTGTTAAAATATAAGTCTTACCATTGGGATAGCAAGTAGACAGTTGGTTTGATGGAAATATTGTAAGTCAAAGAGTGAGGTTAAAAACCAGAGAAGTGAAGCTGCTTCTGTACGTTCAAGAAATCCAGCTCTGTGTCGCACATTGAGCTGGTTTTGTTCGGTTGTTGCAGTTTTACTGAGATCCAGTTTCTTATTTCAGGTCATACAGTTTGTAATCTGTCGTGCCTGTTTGTTTCTTGTGATATTGCATGTGTCATTTTGTGTGCGCTGTTATCTGAATTCACTTTGCACGTAGATGTAAAACATGAAGGGTTTTTTAAACTAAAATCTGAACTTGTACTTAGAGAGGGTCGTCCTCTTCCTCTAATACAGCGGTACTTTCTGTTGTCTGCAGGTTGACAAGGTGACTGGTCGCTTCAATGGTCAGTTCAAGACCTACGCTATCTGTGGAGCCATCCGCAGAATGGTGGGTCTTTTTTTTTTTTCTGCTTCACATAAATTCACACAAGAAAACCTTTTCAATAACATCACCAGTCATTACTGAGGCCTCCACAGGATGAGAGATAACCTCAACTGGATTTCTTTCTGCAAAAGTCTGTATGAAATATGCTGAGAGATATGGATAAACTTTGTCCTGGACATCTAGAAAGACGTTTACTTCTTTATTAATCCATCACACACAACTTAGTGCAGAAATTATACAAATCCTGACTCTTCCAGCCATCGTTGACTCATGAATTTATTTGCTTTACTGCATATAAACCTCTGATGGAAAGTCTGCAGTGACTTTAGAGGTCTGTGCTTACCTCCATACAGCAGTGGGCAATGTGCTGCATGTTTTTGTTGATTTTTTGCTCTACTACAGATCAGTTAAGAAGTGTACCTTGTTAAAATTATTTGGGAACATAATGCATCAGCATGAAATCATCATGATGAACTCTTATTTCTGAATCAGACGACAAATGTTTTGAGATATCTGAAACTGTCATTTTTGTATTGAAAGTAATGTTACTTGGAGCTCGTTTGGAACAGTTAAAGTCTTTCGAACCTTTTGTCCTGATCAGTTGTGTTTTTGTCCTCTTGCAGGGTGAGTCTGATGACTCCATCCTGAGGCTGGCAAAGAACGACGCTGTTGTTGCAAAGTAAGAATTCAGTCTCTTATTACATCATTTCATTTATTATGTTGTCTAAAAACAAAAAAATTATCTTACAAAATCACAGCATATATTAACATTCCCTGTCGATTGTTTTGATCAGCTAACATTTTCTCCCCTTTCTTTTTTTTCCTCAGGAATTTCTAAGTGGAGCTGGAGAAACAGAAAATTTGTAAAATAAAAATGACCCAAAAAAAGTGTCTTTGTCAGTGTCGTTTGAATTTATTGCAAACTCTCACATTGAGATTTTGAAGGTGAACTCTGACTTTTAGAGTCGGTGGATTCTACCCTGATGAAAATGAGTGTTTGGCCTAAATTACGCCAAAGATTTCGGTGATTTTACCAGAGATGGTTAGAATTATCAAGAGACGATTTAGGCCAAAACTTGTTTTCGTCAAAAAATGACAGGCTGTTATTTTAACAGGGTGACGATACATCTCACTTCTTAGGACCATAACAGGCTTTATTGCCAAAGGTGCTCAGAACTCTTACATTCTTTATAAAACATTTATTTAAGACTAGGCCTGATAGATGCTGTTTTTTGAGTTTTGCACTCACTCTTTTACTGATTAATAGAACTTCTGGTGTGATTTTTATGGGTCTTATTGTGTAAATATTGGTTATTTAAGCCCTTATACAAAGGGTCGTTTTGTGCTGTGAAAAAGATTACAAACAAAGCCGACTTTATGGAGGCTAGGGGTTAGGGATGGAGTGATTTATTTCGGACACAGCCAATAACAATGCTAAAAGCTAGCTAAACTGCTCGGCAGTTAACGTTCGTTGAAATAAAAGCGAATAAAAAGAGCTATAAGCAGGAGTAATTGAGATAAATATTTACACCACTTTGGTACAAATCTTAGTGGAATAAAGTTACAATTCCCTTATTGTTTAAGCTTTCAATTAGGTATATTCGTTTAGTTTGACCCTATTTTTTTGCTAATATGCTCCTGTTGTGGAATCGCTGTTATCTAAAAGTGTGAAACAGCGCCTCCCTTTGAAAACTGCGTGTAAATTGGCGGTCTGTGTGGTGAAAGACGGTATTGCAACTGATGGAGGTGAGGTAAACTGTCGTCCTCGGACGTTTGACTCTTGGGTTATTGAGCTAAAATGTAAATTTGCCGAACAATAACAATGCTAAAAGGTAGCTAAGCTGCTTAGACAATAAAAGCGAATAAAAGTACTACTTATTTGATGAATATTTCAGGGATTTTTCCTTCTGATTGAACTCGTGGGTATTCTTGCAGTTTAAACACAGTTTGAGTAGCAAAATGTGATCAACCATCTTTGCGATAATGGTGTGTAAAGGAATAAAAATTTAGTTTTCGTGTTAAATATGCAGGGATTTAAGGAGATCTTTGCATCCACCAAACATTAACATTAAGATTTTTTTCTAAATTGCTGTCAACATTAATAATCTCAATAATAATCACAATGCTGAACTCCCAAGTTTAACAATAAACTGACCCCCTGTACAGATGAAAATACAAATCTTACCATTTGACTTTTCTATCCGTGCAATCATCTTTTTTTCCAGGTATGAGACACAAATCTGATTCAGTTATATTCTGCTTTATTTCATTAAAACTGTAAAGATAATCTTTCACGTGCAGACCTTGAAGTAGTTGTACTTGTGGATGTCTTCACCACCTGGCTTTTAAAAAAGAGCACGTAGAGGTCAAAGTGGGAATAACAGGGTAAAGTGAAGGCACACAGAGGTTACAGTGGTCATTTGGGTTAAACATAGACCAGAGGTCGAGGTGCACTGGTGTGTGAGAGCGGTTTCAGGGCGTCTTTAAACTCAGACAGCCTCACTGATGGCTGTCATTGACCGCTGCTTTACTGCTCTGTTCCCACACATTCTCCTGTTTTTCTCCTACAGGTGAGCAGAAGTAAGTCATCATCATCTTCATCACCTCCACTCCTATCTGCTCTTTCTCAGGAGGCCTGACTGACGGCTCAGCGGTATGTAAGTATCCCTGCAGGAAAACAGACTTTCTTCAGGTAGCTGCATTAACAAAATAAAACACTTGATAGAATTAACACAGAAGGGCACAGTCTGAGATAAAAGGTAAAACTTCAACCACATTACAGACTCTTTATTCCACTTAATTATACTGTGGGAGTACGGGAAGCTGCTCTCACCTCCTCCACAGTCTCTTTCGCAGATGAAATGACAGACCCCAGTGAGTGTGCACTGCCGCTCAGCCTTGTAATTGCATTACTTCCTATTTACGGACAAATGACTACCTGTTAGCTGCCTGGTGTGTGAAAAACACAGACTTACAAAGCCCAAACTCAAACAGCTGAACATGAGGTTATGTAAGCTGAGCCAAATCAAAAGTAAAGGTCAGTTCATTCAGGATTAAAATCCCAGATTTCCACCACAGTTAGTATCAATGATCCCTGGGTAATCCTGTGCAAATATGCAGCGTATAACATATAGAGTGTTATCAAAGTGCAGGCCATAATAAGGATTTGTACGGAGGACGGCTGTAGCTTTAAGACGGCAGTAACAGGTTAATGGAAATATTCAGTCCTTTAAGTGTTTTCTGGGACTCTGTGTAGATGAACTCTGAGAAAGAACAGCTGGTAGAATTAGCAACCAAATGTGAAAAGAGGGTTTATGAAGGTTATTGCATCTTCTGAAAGTTAACTCTTCATCCCAATTTCATGCACAGTGTTTTCTGAGCCCGGGGCAGCGGGCCTTTGGCAAGTCCGAGCTCGCCAAACAATGATCTTAACATGAAGAGATGGAGCCCCTCAGAGTCCCCCCTCCATCTCTGAACCCCCTCACCTGGCCCCCTGCATACCTTTGACACACAGACAAAGAACACTGTGTCAGGAACCAGAGAGAGCACCAGTATGATCCCGCTCTGATATATCCATATCTGCAGACTGATGTATAATTCAGGACTGAGGGAGCTTTAACAGCAGGTGTTCGCTTTCACGTAGTTTTATGAACAAACTGTGACATGATCTAGATTTCATTTCAGTTTATGCCGCTGATTACTGCATCACAGGACACTGTTTTATAACTCACAGTTTTGTAAGTGTTTAGCAAACAGAAAGCTGCAGGTAACAGCGCCAGTTCAAACTGCAGTTCCTCTGACATCCACTAGGTGTCAGCTAAATCTAAAATATACTCTGTTTCTATCAGGTAAACAATGAAAACAGGTTTTAAACTTTCTAATTCAAATCAAAAAATAAGTAGATAAAGATTTATTTAATCCCACAGCGTTATATGATCTCAGTGTTCGTTTCACTTTGTCCTAAATTCATCATCTGTGCTCTCCTCTATCTGTCCATCTCTCCTGCTCATCCTTTTGTCCGTCTTCAGAGGCAGCCAGGCTCGTCTCTCTGTGTCTCTTTGTCCTTTTTAGACGCCAGCCGACTTCAAAGTAGGCGAGGTCCATGAAGGGAGAGGAGGTGAAAGAAAGAGAGGAAAGTAAATGGAGGAATTAAGTGAATGAAAGGTCTGGTCAAGGCATAAGACGTTTAAAGTACATTACATTATAGACCCACTAATAGAACCCTTGAATTTTTTCAGTCACATGCTTTCACACATGTGCGTCACTTTAGGAGATTATCTGTGTGATTTAAAACCAAAAACGGTCTTGGTGAGGGTCAATACATGTAGGAGGAGAGGGAGTGTTCAGTGTTAGTAATAGTTTCTAGGTTAATGAAGACATTTCCTGATGAAATTTTAGGCGATCAGAGGAGAGACGAGGGACGATCGGACAGAATCATCCACAGACATCAGGACCCTCAGGCTCTGATCTTTTCCTTAGGCGACCAAAAGCAGAACTGGTGAGCGGAACAAAAGAGAGGGAGAGGTGAAGAGGGAGAGGGCCCACCAGGAGTGCGTGTGGTTTGAAGTGTCTTATTGAAGGAGACAAAGAGAAGGGGACATGTAGGTACCTGCCTCACACACACCCCCCTTTAGTCCGCTGTCAACCCCAAACATCCCCTCCCCGACCCACAGCACTTCAAACACATCCGCCCTCAGCAGTGTGTGTGTGTGTGTGTGTGTGTGTGTGTGTGTGTGTGTGTGTGTGTGTGTGTGTGTGTGTGTGTGTGTGTGTGTGTGTGTGACAATCTCCAAGTCCTGAGGCGGAGCATCTGAGGAATGCTGGGAAAAGACAAACAGTATTTACTCAATACTGTTATCACCTGAATATACCTGAAGTTATGGCTTCAATGGAGGACGACATGAACTGTGTGTTTGTGGTAAAGGACGATAAGAGCATTAAGAAAGTTTTGACTGAAGGTAGATACTAACAGATGGATTAGGATAGAGGCGTATGGGTTTGACTAGCTTACACCTACCTGCACTGACCTGGATATGATCCAGAATCCTCCCCCCCTGCAGACAAAGACCAACATGAACCCTGTGGAAAAATACAACCATGCAGCACAAATACAAACATTTCCTGGAGGAGATTCATTTCTACCTGGGAAAACATTAAAGGGATAGTTTAACAAACATTTAACAAGACACGCAAAGGAAGTCCAATATGAATAATAATAGAAACAAGAAATAACAAGAAATAAAAAAAAAAAACAACACCAAGGACGACGATAACAAGAGACAAAAACAAAATAAAAAATGATAATGGTACATCAGCAAAAAAGGCAAGCAGAGCAAAAACACAAATGAGACAGGAGAAGGGAGTATCAGTCACAACTGTTCAAAATGTATGGTAAGGAATAATGTTGCTTAAATGGGGAGAAAGTACATTGTATGTGGTTTAGGGGCAAAACGTCATGTAAAGCAAAAATGATAATGATAAAGAAAAACTAATAAGCAATTGAACACAAGGGAAAATCAGATAAAATAATAAATAGAAATAAAAACAACAACAATAATAATAATTAAAATATTACAGTAATAAAAATAATATTGATATTTGTAATAATGATAATTATAATAAAAAATAGTAATGATAACATTAATAATAATAATAATCACAATAATAATAATGATAATAATAATAATAGTAATAAAATAATGATAATATAGTAATATTAATAATAATGAAAATAATAATCACAATATCAATAATAATAATATAATAATACCATATCATGATAATGATAGTAATTACAATAATAAAAAAAATAATTAAAATAATCACAATAATATAATAATAACAATAATAATTATTATTATTATTTATTTTTTTATTATTATTATTGTTATTATTAGCGGCTGACAGCTTTTCCATGTATTCTATAAGGATGTTTAACCAGTGTGATGTGCTAAGTTTGTGTCTTGTTTGGTTAGTATGGTCTTTTTGGCAGTGGTTATGGACATAAGTGAGAAGTCAACTTCCATACATCAGACCACTCTCTTCCCGAGGACTCGCCCCCTGCCGGCCATCAGAGGAACGCACGTTTCAGACGCCCTCTATTCAAACCTGGAGGCGACAGTCCTCTCCTTTCACACAGTCTTTGGTAGGAACCAGCGGGGGGTAAGTGGGTTCATTTAAAGGAGCAGTAAGTGGTCGCCACGACAACATGTGGCCTGTCCCTCACTTCTGCTTTGGTCCCCCTGGTAACCAGGAAGTAGATTAGTTATAGAGTTCATGAAGAAAAGGCGGTGAGGAGGAGGGGATTAGCGAGGTGAGACGGCGTGCCCTCTTTCTTCCCCTGTGCTGTTCTCTCTCTCTCCTCTTTCCCAGGTTTACTTTTCATCTGCTGGTAGATGACAGGATTTTATCTCAAAACTATCCAGTCTGTTTTTTTCTGTGTCTCTTATGATGATCTTAGTCTCAGTTTGAAGAAGCGTCAAAGTAGAAATCCTCCTAAACAAATAAAACTAAATAAAAGAAGTCGTCGTTCGGTCAGACTGTTACTCAAACTGAACATTTTTGACCAGATCTGAATCCTGTTCTCCATTTCTGGTCTCTGGGTTAATCAGTCCTGATGATCTTTGCCTCCCTAACCAGAGAAGTGTCTCTGCTGTGACCTGTAAGCCTGCAAACATCCCCAGGAATGTTCTAGTGTGTCAGTGAATGAAGCCCTGCTGCATTAACACACTACCTCGAGACTCCTTTAAACTACAGGAGGTCGTTGACCTCTGCCTGTGTGTGTGCGTGTGTGTGTGTGTGTGTGCGTGCACTTGAGTGTATGTGTGTGTCCACAGGTCGGAGTTCAGCATGTGTTGGACGGACGATGGAGGAAGTGGACGTGTGAGGTTTGTGGACTCTGGACAGTTTCACCTGAATGCCTGACTGGCTGAGGTACGCCTTAGACGCGTTACCACGACAACCATCCTTTCAAAGTAAAAGGCTCTTAAATATGAGCTTGACTCACCTGAGCAGCTGTTCCCTGTGTGTAGAGGAGGGTGAACTCTGTCATCTTCATAAGTGGTTCCTGGAGCGTGATTAGATGTTAGACCAGAGTCCATGAGAAAGCAACACACACACAAACACACACACAAACACACACAGCTGCTCAGTTAAAGATCTGCGGTCAAATGGTTTTTTTTTTTTGTTTTTATGTCTACAATTTTCAACATGAAACTGTTTTTATCTTTAGACAAATTTCTGTTCATCTAAAAATCCTGAAAATAAGAAAATAAACTCTTGGATGAAGGTCTTCCTTCTGTTTTCAGGGTCTCACTTCATCTCTGGCGTTTTAGACTTCATCTCACCAAGGTGAGATCAGTTAACGGCAAATATTTTCTTTAAGATTATCATTTTATTTTTCTCTCCGTCTCAGATATGATTTGTTTTTGACTCCTGTCTTTAGCAAAGAGACTAAACACAACTCACCTACTCTCTTCCAGCAGCCGCTTGTCTGTTACAGATGACAGCGGAGTTTCGCATCTCAAGGAAGAACATTTATGATCATTTCTTCATGGAAATACGATCAGACCGAGACACTAAGACAGAAGTACTACCGCGTCTGTAAAATGATTAATATGGTGATTATTACTTCAAGGAAATGATTAAGAAATGATCATAAATGTTCTTCCTTGAGCTGCGAAACTCCGCTGTCATCTGTAACAGACAAGTGTCTTTCTTCTTCTGTGACATGAACCTCTGAGCGTTTGTGAGAGAATACTGAACGGACACACTGTCCCCCCTTTCTCTCTCTCTCTCTCTGTCTGTTTGTCTCTCTCACACTTCCACTGAGTCGCTCACTGACCCGCAGGAGCAGCAGGAGGAGGACAAAAGTCTGTATGGACAGTCTGACAGCTCCCAGGGAGAGAGAGGAGATTACAGAAAGAGAGGAGGCCGGATTAAAAACCACAGAAGAAGAGTGACAGTCCTCCCACTGTCCCCTGGAGTTTAAACAGACAAATACACAGAGAGGAAGAATCTCCTCGACAAACTGAGACACCTAACGTGATCAATATTTAGATTATTGTAACTTAGATTCACAAGATGGTTTTGGTGCAAAGAAAACAAGAAGAGAAATCAGAGTGTTTTCCTCCACAAATGGTCGTATGTTTCCAGTTCGAACCCCGACTTTGTCACATTTTATCACCTCTCACCTGTGTGTTAATAGAGCCTCTGAATAATCCGAGTGTGTGTGGTCGACTGTGTGTGTTTGTTTAGAGCACCTGTCTGTGTGTGTCTGTTTGTTTTGTGTGTTTGGGGGTCGGTCTCTCCTCTGTGTGTGTGTGTGTGTGTGTGTGTGTGTGTGTGTGTGTGTGTGTGTGTGTGTGTGTGTGTGTGTGTGTGTGTGTGTGTGGTTTGATTTCCCATTTGTTGTTTTGACAACAAAGAGGTAGAATATTAAAAAACAGACGGTTTGTCGTCTGTCTGTTTGGTTTTATATTCAAGTTAGGCAGAACATCTGAAAAGACAAATAAATATTCAGATTTAAATGCAAAATGATCAATATGGGGATTATTTCTTTGAGGAAATGATAAAGAAATGATCATAAATGTTCTTCCTTGAGCTGCGGCACCCCTAACTCGGTGTTACGGTGTGTTTGACCCTAAATTAATTTTATGCCAGAATATCCTCAAAGTTTTCCACATTGTTGGCCAAAAGGAAAGTTCTATTCTAGTCTAATATGTTCTTTAAGAAACAGAAATCAGAGGAGTATTTATTCTGTATTAATTAATTGGATTGGTTTGGACTATAATTTCCAACTTTCTGACTCCATTAACAGCCCCAAAAACATTAAAAGTTCTTCTTTCTTATTTAGTTTTCATTTGATTGTCTAACATGGCTGTAATGAAGTTAAAGGAAAATAAAAGTTAAAGTAAATGGATCACAAAAGATCCGTTTGTGTCATGAATTAACCACTAAACTAAAGTTTACAGCCTCTCTAAATGAGCCTCAGCCTCGGAAGTGTTGATTGTTTTCGGGTCATTAATGAATCCTGATGATTTCTTAAAGACAATTTAACCTTTTAAACACCAGAAAGGCTGAGCCCTCCTCCTCCTCCACCTCCTCCTCCTCCAAACACTGGGGCCGGGCCAGCAGAGGGAAGGGGAGGGAGGAGAGAGAGACAGAGAGAGAGAGAGAGAGTTGGTGCCTGGTTGTTGGAGCTGCAGAGGATCGTCGACTCTCGGCTCTCCAGGATTAAACTCTTTTTTCCTCGACTTTGTTCCACTTTCAGCTCCAAATGCTTCCTCCTTGTAAAAGTTAAGACTTTAACCTCCGTCTCCTCCGTTTATTTCCTCCTCAAACTTTCTCACCGGATCGAGAGAACAGGTGGAGCTGATGATGATGATGATGATGGCGAGCGGACCGGCTCGTCGCTCTCGGACGCGGATCTCGGTTCCTCTGCTGCGGTTCTTCTTTCTCTTTGCGACCTGCTGCAGCTCAGTATCGGCTCAGGAGCTGCCCTCCAACGGGGTGAACGGATACAGTCTGCACCCACCCTACTTCAACCTGGCAGAGGGCACCAAGATCACCGCCACGGCGACCTGCGGGGAGGACGACAGCGGCAGGAGCCTGGAGGACCTGTACTGCAAGCTGGTCGGAGGCCCGGTGTCCGGAGACCCGAGTCAGACCATCCAGGTGAGCCGGAGTCGAGTTTTTAAGACTTCTCTTTTTATGCAGGTGTGCATCAGGAGTCACCAGGATGTAAACTAGACCGTGTTGGAATAATTCTCATGTCAGAATTCCTGCAAAACTTCCATTTATATCATGTTAAAGCTCTTAAACTGTGTGTGTGCAGAAGTGCATGGTTATTCTGGTTATGGTGAGGCTTTCAACGTGTTTCTGCAACTTCAATACATAACTGTATTCTGTGCATTTAGTGAAGTTGGCTTCAGGTGACCCTTACACTCATTTTAAGGGAGACTTTGGTGTTTGAGCACACGCAGATTGAAGCAGTAATATCTTGCTTAAGGTACGGTGGCCAAGAACTGCCACTGCTGCAAATAAAGAAGAATGCAAAAAAAAAAAGTCACAACAGAAGTTACAGATGCAAAAAATAAAAAACAGAAAGAAACCAAAGCCTGTTGCAAATAAAAAAAGAAACGGTGCAGATTAAAACAAAAAGCCACAACAGAAGTTAATGACGCATAAATAAAGTGCCGATGCAAGAAAAAAAAAAGTAACTGAATGCGAAAATAAAAGAATGCAAAAAAAACCCCGCTACAACTGAAGTAACCAATGCCAAAAAAAAGTGTCAACAGAAAAATAAAAGTTACTTACTGCGAAAACTAAAAAGATGCTTAAGACAAAAAGCCACATAAGAAGTTAATTACGCAAAAAAAAGGTGATTGAAAAAATAAAGAAAGTAACCTCATGTGAAAATAAAAGGATGCAAAAAAGCCACAACCGAAGTTAACAATGCAAAAAAGTGTCCACGGAAAAATAAAAGTTACTTTCTGTGAAAAATAAAAAGATGCAAACAACAAAAAGCCACAACAGAAGTTAATGACGCAAAAAAGTGTTGATGGAAAAAAAAGAAAGTAACTTGATGCGAAAATATATGGATGCAAATAAATGAAAAAAAACACAACGGAAGTTAATGATGCAAAAAAGTTGTGATGCAAAAAAAAAAAAAGTTACTTAATGCGAAAAGAAAAGAATGCAAATAACTTAATGCCAATAATGATGATTTTATGTATCGGTAACTTCCGTTGTGGCTTTTTTTTTTTTTTTTTTGCATTCTTTTTTTTATTTGCAGCAGTGGCAGTTCTCGGCCACCGTACTAAAGAACTTAGCAAAGTTTCATAATAAGTAGGTAGTCATCATCACTCCTCTTAAAGGACTAAATTAAAAAAAAAATTTATATATTTTTTTTTTTACTTATTTTTCATTTTTTAATTTTTTTAATTTTACATTTAGTGTCAGTGTAACCCTTTTAAAACTTCCCATAAAGCCAGTGTTTCCTTTTGTATGACTGTTTTGCAGATGTTGTTTAATATCATCTCTGCATCTCACATGTATTCCTAAAGACTCTTAATAGGAATCTGTTGCCATAGAGAGGGTGCAGAGTGACTTTTTTTTTGCATGTTAGTTTATTGCATGTTATACTTAACTTGCAGCCAAGTTGTTGCTTTATTAGTCCCCATCAGGACATGCCTGTTAAGTGTATCAGGATAAGAGCATGAAGGTTTTTACCCCCTGAGGTTGAGCTGATTTGCTGCACAGTTTTACTTCATTTTCTGCAGGTTTCATTGCAGTTTATCGTCAAACCTTCTGCTCACCTCGTAGATAGTGGAACCGAGGGGGTCAGCAGTGTGCATGAATCTCCTCACCGCTCTGCCAAGTCATTATTTCATGCACTGCTTCCTTTGTAGGACTTGGCAACACTTAACACAGAGCACTTATATAAGCACAGGCAGCGTGTCACATCGAGTGGACTCTGCTGCTGGTGTTTTATTTGTGTTTCTAATGTGAGAATGAGTCTGTAAGAAGCGACAGCAGCAGCAGCTCCTCGATCATGTGTGATTGACGATGGAGCCTCCAGGTATCACTAGTTAGAGCAGAGAGGATTATTGCAGTTTCATGGGTTAACCATTAAAGTGACCCTCGAGGCGATAACATGCAGGCGGATTATTACCTCTCCTCCCTCTCGATCCTTCTCTCTCTCCCACCTGTCCCCCACATTCCTCACGCTGACTGACCCGTGTCCTCCAATCAGAGTTTATCCACCCCTGTTACCGTGAGTTTATCGCGACCCCGAGGGCGTGCGAGTCACGAATCCTGCAGCTCCTCCTTTAGAGAGACACACATGCAAATGAGTAAAAAAAGAGATAAGAAGTGGAGATAAAGACTGAAAATGGTCGAGATACAGACGTGAGATCGATCTGTGACAGTGGAGAGAAAGCAGAAGTGTAAAGTGATTTGAAGAAAGAAGGAAAAGACAGAAACACAAGTCCTGAGGGGGGGGTTTGGGTCTTTGAGATGAGATCTCCTCAAACTGACTGAAGAGTAACTTTAGTTTAACTCACTGACTCAGTGAACAGACTGGACGTAGATGAGCAACTCCAAAATGACCGTTTTTGTCTATGAAGTTTGGTGTCTTTGTAAAAAGATGTAGAAGCTTCTTTAAGATGAAAACCTCACAAACACAAACACTCCACTCGACGTCACGTCTGACCCACTTCAGCTCGCAGGATTAGGCCGAGCATCATCTGATCAGAGTTTTCATTCACTCGCTCTCTGACCCGCCTCGCCGTGGCGGTCCGGTTGAAGTGGCGACGTTGGTCCGTGATTAGCTCAGGAAATCTCCAAATGAACCCGAGAAATCTGGTCATTAGCTCCTGCGGCGGCGGGGCATTATGTGTTCAGGCGTGGAGGTTTTTAGCCCACTTCAGAGGGGTATTGTGGCTCGGCCCACTTGTTGAGTCACTGCATTCCCCCCTGAACAACACACACACACACACACACACACACACACACACACACGCTTTTCTGTGCTGAGGTTAATCCTGTTTTGATTTGACAGAAAGACTCGAGTGTTTTTATTCATTAAAAACAGCAGGAGGAGGACTGAAGGCTGGACTGTCTGTGAAAAATGCGAAGTTTAAAAAGTTCTTTACTCTGACCGATTATCTGAATCAAACCCCAGAGACGAGAACTCCTGTATGAAATAAAGTAAGAAGGATAGGGAGAGAAGAAAGTTTAACTTTAGCATGACCTGAGGAGGAGAAAAAAGCTTACGTAAAGCAGCAGGTGTTGACTGAGATCCTCTTCTTCAGCTCTGCCCTCAGGACCTGGATTCCTCGCTCCGAGAGTTTCTCATTGACCTTAAGGTGGAGGGTACGAAAGAAAGGAATGGGGAGAGATGAAGCGATTGAATGAAGGAGTGTGTAACACTCTGAGAGAGGAGAAAGAGCCGGACATGTTCGGATCTCGGTGGTCTTTATGTTGACGGGGTCGCTTTTAGAGGACGGGATGGGACCAGAGAAAAGGGACTGAAACGGTGTGAAGGAGAGTTTGACAGCAGAGAAAACGTCTCACTACACTTTCACACCTTCACACACCTGGGTGGGAAATCAGTCTCTGTGTTCATTCAGACTTTTCTGAACGAAGTCAGTGTTGGCTGCTGATTTCACGCTCGTTTTAATGGTTTTAAGTCCCTTTTGATCGTAAATGTGGTAGAAAAACACGGTAAATGGCTCCAATAGAACAAAAAACTTCTGCAACAGCTCTGCAGGAAAAAAAACTTCTGAAGCTGTGACCTCTGACCTCAGACCTGCAGAGATAAGATCTCCTAACGCGGCCTTTTGTTCAGGTCTGAGCGTGTTTAGTTTATGCTAACGCTCCATATAGCCAGCAGCCGTCGGGTCAAACGCTAAAACAACCAAAATGGATTAGATAAGAATGACGAGGATTTGGAAACAAGAGAGATGGAGAGGAGGACTCAAGTGGTCATGTCCACCTCTGCTGAAGGTTCGATTATAGCAGCATGTCCCAGCAGAGTTAAAGGCGTGAAATTAATTTAGGGTCAAACTCGCCGTAACACCGAGTTAGACCCCTCCTCAGACTACAGCGGGGTGCCGCAGCTCAAGGAAGAACATTTCTGATCATTTCTTCATGGAAATACAATCAGACAGAGACGCTAAGACAGAAGAACTACCGCGTCTGTAAAATGATCAATATGGTGATTATTACTTCAAGGAAATGATGAAGAAATGATCATAAATGTTCTTCCTTTAGCTGCTGCGCCCCGCTGTAGTCTGTAATGGACTTGCCTGAGGTCTCCGTACAATGAAGCGGCTGCTGGAAGAGAGTAGGTTGTGTTTAGTAGGGGTGGGAGAAAAAATTGATTCACATAAGTGTCACAACTTTTTATCTTACACTTTTTAAATCAATTTTATGTTCAAAATTTTCTTCTTTTTTTTTCAAATTTCAGAATAAATCTTGACCTACATGTGATGTGTATTTTTTGGGGTAATATGGTTCCTGGAATAGTCAGTAGACCATCATAATCATTCAACTGTTTCACTGGTGTTAAAAATGGAGACTAAAAATCGAAGAATTGGATCGGCATCCAAAAAAATCATAGAAGAATCAAATCGGGAAACAAGAGGATTTAGTCTGAAAAACATAAAAAATGTGCAAAATCACAACATTTTATTCAATCATTAGTTTAAAAGTACAGAAATACCCTCCAGTTGTAGAAGTCAGAGGTTGTTTTAAAGCTCTCGTCAAAAACGGAGATTGAACTCCAACATTTTTCCACCTGGACCTAAAGGTGTCTTAAATTTCTGCAACTCTAAAGTCCTTTTAGAAAGTCACTGAACCACCAGCTCGGTGCTTTTATCAGACCAACAATGCCGTCCGAGTATCTGATGTCAAAGCTGCTGTTCAGGCAGCGTGAACGAGTCCGAGAGCTCCTCTAAAGACCCGGGTCTGGATCCTGTTCCTGCACTTATCCTCCATTCTCGGATGGAAACATATCTTCTAGTCTTGACGGTTGAATTTCACGTCTTTGGGTGAAAAATCAGGCTGCAGACTCGAACCTAAAAGATCAGATTGATGATGAAGCTGACAGCCAAATACAAAACAAGCTGGATCTCAATGTTACAGGAACCCGAGTGTCTTTGTGGAGCGATTGGAAACCCGACCCCGTTAGCTTCAGGGTCAAACTATTGTGAAACAAATCCCACTTTCACACATACTCGAGACTGACTTTTAGTGTTTTCATGTCTGTAAACTGTAGATTGAGTGAGAGACATTTATAAAAGTTAAAAAGAGTTTTATAGAAACAGGTGTTTGACGTCTGTCCTCCCAGCTGCTGTATTGACAGATTGGTGCAGACTCTGGACGCTTTTATGAGCCGTTTAGTGAAATATCTCATCATCAAAGCGTGAATGAAGGTCCAAAAAGGTCAGGAATACAGCTCATGTATATCTTAGACATAAATTAGACATTCAAGGAGTTAGAGAAGAGTGAAGTGAAGGATGAAACAGCTGGAGAGTGAACAGAGAAACTGCTCTGACTGTAACTTCTCACCATGAAACATGATTTTACTCTGAGCGCTGAAGCTTTATTCAAAGTTTTTCTCGTTTCTGCTCCTCTACAGGGTCAGTACTGCGACATCTGCAGACAAGGAGAAAGCGACCGAGCCCACCCCATCACCAACGCCATCGACGGGACGGAGAGATGGTGGCAGAGCCCGCCTCTTTCCCGCAGCACCGAGTACAACGAGGTGAACGTCACGCTGGACCTCGGACAGGTGAGGCTGAGTTCATATTTACACCAAAACACTCCTCCTGGTCTGCAGAAGTACGTCTGGATGTCTCTGGATTGACTCTTGAAGGACGTCAGAGGTTGTCTTCAAATAGTTTCTGGACTGGTGATTTTCCTGGTGTTACGTTTGGTCCTGTCTCTGCAGTTTCTCTTTTTATAAACTGTATTTAAACTCGTATTTGTCCTGAAGTGATTTCCTGATCATTATCCCAGCTCCTCCTCCTCTAATCTGAGTTTTCATTCAGCTCTAACTCGGAGCCTCTCGATGTAAAGTCATTTCTCTGGTGAACCTTCATCCTGCCCGCTGTGACCACGCTAAGACAACAAGACAAACCCGAGTTGATTTAGAGATGTTGTTCTTGGCAGGAGCCTGTGGAGCTGCCGTGAATCTGTCAGAGTTCCACACAAACATATGGATGTGTAGCATGTTGGTATAGTGTCACAAACACACACAAACACACACACACATAGAAAGAGAAAAGCTCCAGTGTGCGCTCCTCGGAGTTAACCTTTTTGTGTTTCTGAACGTCGCTCTTGAACAACCTTTTTATCTTCCTGAATGCGCCTCTTTTGTGCCCGGCTCTCCTGCTCGAGTGCCCTCCTCATTCATCAGAGCCGGGACATTCACTGCATGTTTGTGCTTGTGTGTGTGCTTCTGTGTATGTGTGTGTGTGTGTGTACCCTTGAAAAGTCTGTTGTGGCATTCAGTGTCCCTCCCCTCCTCTATCTCCTCTTTACTTTCTTCCTCTTTTTCTCTCTCTCTCTCTCTCTCTCTCTCTCTCTCTCTCTCTCTCTCTGTCTTTTTCTCTGTCAGGGTTGAAGGTCTCAATAGTGAGGCAGTAAGCTGTGACTGTCACTGTGTGTATGTATTTTTATATATGTGTGTGTCTGAGTGTGTGTGTGTTCAGCTTGTAAAGGCCTTTATACGCGTGTTTACCTTGTAGCGTCATAAAGAGTGAATAAAAGGACTAAATGAAAGCTTTCATTCAGGTTTCTAACTCCGCTTTGTTATTAAACAGATGCTGCCTGATGACAGCGACGCAGAAACAGGCGTCTTTGTAGCCGCTGTGCTCTGATAATGTTCTGGGGGTGTAAATGAAATGCTCTTTTTGGAGGAAAATGCAGGAAAAACAGATTTTTTTAAGGATGAAAGAAGACAAAGTAGGGCTGGGCGATATAGCCTACCTACACACATTCAAAACCAACTTTAATTTATTCATTTTTTTGATACCAATAAGTGCCCCCTCTTCGTACCCTGTCATGACAGCTGTCAAAGTCGATTCAGCAGCCGAGAGTTGGTGGGTTCAGGTCACATAACGAGCAGGTTTAACATCCAAAAGAGTTTAAAGTTTGACTGAAGCACAGTATGGTGCTTTTTCTTTCTGCTCTTAAAAAAATAATAATCTAAAGTTGCATCAATATGTTTTCTGTGCAGCAGAGAGAGAGAGAGAGAGAGAGAGAGAGAGAGAGAGAGAGAGAGAGAGAGAGAGAGAGAGAGAGAGAGAGAGAGAGAGAGAGAGAGAGAGAGAGAGAGAGAGAGAGAGAGAGAGAGAGAGAGAGAGAGAGAGAGAGAGAGAGAGGAGGGTCTTTAGTAACCAGGTTGCAGTTTTGTCTTTAAAGAATGTAGGTGGGCTAAGGGCAGGGTTTACGAGTGTGTATATGTGTGAGTGTGTGTGTGTGTGTGTGAGGTCTGTAACACACTTACTGAGCCTGTCACCAACACACACACACACACACACACACACACACACACACACACACCTAACCCCCTACCTCTGTGTGAATGAAAGAGACAGAGAGGAGGGAGAGATTGGAATGTAAGTTAACCTGTCTCAACCCGCAGAGGGGGAGGCTCGTTGAATCACCCTGAACTCCCCCCTCTCTCTCTCCTCACCCTCCTCACCCTCCTATAGACGCCCATACTAATACAGTAGAGTTATAACTTTGATGGGGTAATCGCTCCTGTTTTTCTTTTAAATTAAAGTTACTCAGGGAGTTTGTTGGGTTTTTCAGTTTCTGCTCCGACTGTCTGTTCGAGGACGGAGGTCTTTTTATTTTAGAGCTCCGAGCCAAAGATTGAGGATTAAATTCCTCCATAAAATCAGAGCATATTGTTTAAAAATAAAAACACTGCCAAAGAAACAAGAGAGCGCCAACAGGTTTGAGCCCACACAGGGTCTCTTCAGTCTGAGGCAGGAAACAGAGGAGCTGCTGAAGGAGGTCAGCTTCATTTTTCTCAATATGAGACCAGGAGGCGACAGGAGGCCGACCTTTGACCTCCGACCTCCTCTGTCCTGATCAGCTTCAGTCGACCACTTATTTAAATCTGCAAAATAACAATTTGTAATTTAGTTTATTCTTTCAATTCTTCTTCTTTTTCTACCTCTTCTTCTACTTTGTCTTCATCTTCTTCTTCTTCTTCCAACTCTTCTTTATTTACTTTATCTTCTTCTTTTTCTTTTACTTCGTCTTTGTCCTCTCCTTCTTTTCTTCTACCTCTTCTTCTTTTACTTAATCTTCTTCTACCTCTTCTTCTACTTCTTTTTCTTCTTCTACCTCTTTTTTGACTTCTTCTTCTCCTTCTTCATCTTGTCTTCTTCTACTTCTTCTTCTTCTTCTTCTCCTTCCTCTCCTCCTCCTTCTTCTCCTCCTTCTAACTGCCCTTGTTAACCTGAACCTCCTCTCTTCTTTTCCCTCCATATCTCTGACACTCGTTCTTCCTATCACTGATAACCCGATATAGACCGTTTCTATCACCTCCACTTCTTCCTTCTGCTCTGTCCTTCTTCACTCACTCTTACTGTTATCTTCCTCCTCCTCTTCAGACCTTCTTCACTTCCTTCTTTCCTTCTCCGAGTTTCATACATAAACCTGAACAGACCTCAGCTCTAAAATCAGGTGATAAAACTCTCCTGAACATGTTGGAATAATCTCCCCTCTGTGTTTTATCTGAACACTGAACTGTTTCTGCACCTGCTGTCGTCTCTCAGTTACAGTTTTATTTCTGTTGTAACTTCATTAGGAGAGACGGAGGAGTGACAGCTCCCTGATGAACTGGAGGAAGATCATGAGTCATCCCATGAGCTCATGTGCACAGATATACGAGTGGGTTCATTCCTCAGGTGTGTGATAGTGGAAGGATTCTGTCATGGCAGGTGAAGAGGAAGAGCACAAACAGAGAGAGAGAGAGAGACTAATAATAGATGACAGGTGGAGAGACGAAGAGGAGGGGCAGGAGGAGATAGAGGTTTTAGGACGGAGGAGAAGGAGGATGAGGGTATGGAAAGAGGAGGAGATGACAAAGAAACAGAGGAGGGGATGTTTGTTTCTGCAGCAGCCTGTTATTAGAGCAGAACATGGAGCTGAGAGTCGGGTCTGTGCACGTTCACCTGAGAGTCTGAGTCTGCATGTTCCTCAGGTGAACAACCCTCACTTCTTCAGGAACAAAACAATGCTCCTCACTGTCATCACACTTATTGATTTATCGTGTTTCCAATATCTGCAGGGGGAGACTTAAAGGGTTAGTTCACCCAAATGACAGAGCAGAAAGGATCTCAGAGATTAACTCTACACGCAGATCTGCTTTCTGATACGTGAGGAGCAAATGTGACTGAAATGGTTTCAGTTTTGAGCTCTACAGGAACAGTAAACATGATTAGGACCATGATCGCCATAGAAACGAGGTTCATAATAATTATTGATCTCTCCAATCGTCAACCATGACTTTAACAGATGCAGTTTTACTCTGATCTGTAGATGTTAGTGAATGGACACCTTCAGGATCTAAATCTTGATGCTCCAAACAGTTTGAGAGAAATGAAGGAGATGTCTCAGAACTGAAACTGAAACTCTCTGCAGACATGTAAGTTCAGAAACATAAATACAGGATCTCTGTTTTCGCTGAAGGCCACAGTTTCCTCTCTGAATGCTACCAACGGTCACATGACCCTAATTTTTAATGGCGTGTACGCCGAGGACAAAGACAGACTCCCTGACTCACATTCAGCGTGGAGGTAGCTCCATTGTTTCTCAGTGAGCTCGGTGCCAGCTGCTCTCCGATGAAGGCTTCCTGTTATTGATGCGGTTAAACGTCAGCGTCACCTTCAGTCAGAACTTTAGGACGGATGTTCATACTTGATGGAAATCCTCAGGGTTTCTCATGAACTTGGTATCTTCTCAGGTGAGCAGAAGGAGTCTGACATCACCCCTGTGTGTGTGTGTGTGTGTGTGCGTGTGTTTTCTTTGTGTGTCTGATTATGATCAGTGTGTCCTCTGCCAAATCTGCTCTTTACGAGCGTCGAGCTCGTCAAGCATGGGAACCACGCTCTGTTTTGTCTTGAGTTTGGCTCAGTACAGATAATTCCACCGCTTTTGTTTTCTTGTACACACTCCTCAGGTGTGACGCCCTGCCAATATGCGTGTGTGTGTGCGTGTGCGTGTGTGTGTGTGTGTTGATGGGTGGGTGGCCCGTTGTACAGCATGTAGACGTGAGACTTTTGGAGATATCATCTCTCTCACACCCTCCCTGTCCTCGCCTCTCTTTACTCCTCCGACTCCGTCTGAACACAAAGACTCTTCTGTATGAAGAGACTGACACTTTAATGATGGAAATTAAGGAAAAGAGGAGATAAAGATAGACACCATGGGCATCAAACATCACCCTCCAATCCCTCTCCATCACCCTGTCTTCTGCAGAAACAAGAGAAGTCGTATTAATTTACTGTTTTGAATATTTCTCTGCGTCCTCATCGCCAAGATTATGACAGAAGAATCAGTCGTTATTGTGAGACAACGTTCAGAGTCATCCACCCTTTTCTTTTTTATAAACAGCAAAAATAACACAGAAAGAAGAAATCAAAAGGAGTCTTCACTTACATGCACGACTCTCTTAACCCCCTCATTCGTGTTTTGTACAGGTTGATTTGTAATATCCAGGATCCACTCAGGGAGGAGTTAATGAAGAATGGGTGGAAGCTGCTAATAGAGAAAAAAAAAAGAGAAATAAGTTTATAAATAGAAACAGATATCTTGTTTTAAGGTCAAAGAGGAGGAATCGTCATCCTGATTGACGGAAACTTCGGTGTAAAAACTGCTGCACAGTTTCCTCCAAATATTACCCAAACTGCACGGCTGTTTGCACTGATGTTTATGAATAACCACCAGATTATACGGCGCTCTGTGAATTAACGTGTCTATGTTCAAACATGAGGTGCACCAAAATGTATGGCGCGATAAGCACTGACATATTAATTGGTTAGTTGTTGCTAGCGTGTACTCCGGGCTGCAATATTTTTTTTCATAGGATGGTTGGGTAAAGTCCCGCCTCCTTCGCCTAATCCTAAACCAACAGATGATGACGTTTCACAGCCATAAGGAATAACCAATCAATCAATCAATCAATCAATCAAATTTTATTTATATAGCACTTTACAATATCCCAAATGGTACCCAAAGTGCTTTACATAAAAGCAATAAAATAACACAAGAAAAAATACCATTATAAAATAATACAATAGAATAGAAAATACAAGAACGATGAAATAATAAAAATGAATATGAAAATAAAATAATACAATAAAATAGTATGTAGAAGTGCTAAAAACCTATAAGTACAGGACTACCTAGTCAGAGTTAAAAGCAAGTCTAAAAAGGTGCGTCTTTAACTTTGATTTAAATAAACTGAGCTCAGCACTTGCAGCCAATCAGAGGTGAAGGAGGGCGGGACCTTCCCCTACTATTCTATGAAAAAAAATCCTAATTTCACTAGATTTGTCGCTAGGAGCTGTTTTGAAAATAAGTTGCTGGGGGGTCTGAAAAGTTGCTAAATTTAGTTGCTAGGTTGGCAACACTGCTGCTCAGGGGTCCTGTTATGGGGCCGATCAGGTAGTGACGCAGCGTATCGTAATGCTCCAAATATCCTCAGAGCGGCTTCGTTGCTTATCAAAGTCGTTCTTATACATTTCGATGGATTTTTGAGCTCATCGTACCGCATAAAATCAGTCAGTAAGAACAACAAGTAATCATACGAAAGGCACGCTGGATTATTAAGCACATTGTCAATTTTAAGTGTGCCTTATAGTCCGAAAAATACAGTCGGTACTTTTGGCAACAAGCCGTATTTGCAGGCCAACTTTGTCCGATAATCAAATCATTGTTTACAAACAACACTAGTATCTGCTCCGCCCTCCTGCGACGCTGCGGTGCGTTTAACCTTTCAAACCCGCCACGTCAATTACACGATGTCTTTCCGGGTCACAGAGTTTAGAGGCGTAAAAAATCCCACAATCCTTTTAATTAGTGACTTAACTCTTTCTTCTAATTAAACGCTGCAACAAACACTTTCTTCTTATTAAACACTTATTCAACTTTGAGCTGCTGGAATTGAAATCTGAGAGAAAACGCAGGTGAAGGTGTTGATTCAGACTAGAATCAGTTTTGCTGACTTCTTTGACACAACCACGTCAATCTTTTTGGGCTTTTTGCTTCTTCAGTGAGATTCAGGACATCATCGGAGTCTTTGCATCAAGCGTTGGTGTAATTTCCTCTGAATGCTCTTCCTTGTCTGCAGAATGTGTGATCTATGTGTTGTGATCCTCATTAATTCTTGATAAAGAGTGATTTATTCCTCCGTCTGTGTGAAGTTTCTGTCTTTTTCTCCCACCATGACTCAGATAAACACGTCTATGAATCTCGTCCCTCTTTATATCTCCTCATTCAGCTCCTTCGCTGTCATTTCTGGGGCCGACAGTCGCTCTCATTCATCCCTCCCTCCCTCCTCTTCAGTGACTCTTATTCCTGTCACCATCTCCACTCACTCTTCCTGTTTCTTTCCCTTTCATTCGTCTCACTCAGGGTTAAACGTTGCCTCCGAAACTGTGTCTACTCGCACAAACACAAACGCTGACACACTGTGCACATTTTTCTGTCATTCATTATGTGTACTGGGCAGGAAAATGAGCAAAGAGGGGGAGAAAGAGAGGTGGAGGGCGAAAAGAGGGAGAAATCTGACCTTAATAGGAGTGATTCAGCTCGGGAGTGAAAAGAGAGAAAGAGGCAAAAAGGGGAGAGGGTGATGTCACATTAGAGCGGGATTAAGTAAGGATGATGGATGGACGGAGGTGAATAACAGGCGGTTATTCCTGGGGTCATTTTCCTTCAGCCTGTTTCTGTGTGTTGTTGTTGTTGTAGCTAAAGTCATGTTGTGTCGATGCATTTTCAGCCTCACTTTGGTATTTTTAAACCCTCATAACGGCGGCATTTAGATTCTGTACCCAGGAAAAGGTTTTAGAGAGATGAATGGAGCTTTAAATGTGCTTTTAATTTGCAGAAATATGTGCAGTATTTGTTTTACCTCTATTTTTGAGCAGCGAAGTTCTGCACCGTTCATATGCTTGATATGCATGCTTTTCCTGGTGCAAAGCATGCATATCGAGAGCATGCACACACACGGTTGGAGAGACGTTAAACATGCTGGCTCAAGCTCGGTGTATTTCAGAAGAATGACCAAAATTTACTGTGTCAATAGTGAGACGTAAGCGTGCTCCGAAAGGGAACGAGAGCTGATTCTGCCGGCAGGTTTACACACACAGATAAGTTTAGTTAGAGCTCGACTCAGCTGGATTCAAAGTCTCCTCGCTGTAGTGTGTAAACATCAGGAGAGACGATGAAAAAACACACAGATGATTTTATAGTTTTCAACTTTCTGTAGCGTATGATGATTTGTCGTACGGCGACTGAATGGTCGGTTCAGCGCGGCGCAGACTCCCCTTTTCATTGGCTATTCATATAGTCTACCAAAACCTGGCAGAATGGAAACGATCAAAAATCATATTGACCATGTTTTATATCGATATCGAGGGAAATTAATTTTTGATATATATTGAGATCGTTTTATTGCCCAGCCCTAATGACCTGGTTTTCTGTATCGTATTTCTGCTGCTCAGTTTCAGGATGAAAACCTGATGTCCTGTTTGTCATCTGAGTCTAATTAAGGCGTTTACACTGAATGGAAGATTGACGGTCAACTGCATTATCTCTGTTTGTTAGTCTGACTATAAGGATGCATTTACTTGTATTTTAAAAGTCAAAGTTCAGCTGGACTTGTAAAATAAATCGATTTTTTGATCAAATATATGATTGGTTTGATTAGTGTTATATCCCAAATACACCTGTGAAGAACTAAGGTACTTAATCCAGCCTGTTTGCTTTCTCGGCACCACTGATCGTGCAAATCTAGTGTTTAGAAATACTGCTTTTCACTTACAGCGTCCAACTGGTCAGTGTCAGACAGAGTTAAGAAGCTCAGAGCTGTACGGTTTAATATGTTCAAAGGTTGGAGATGAATTTTTGTTTACTGCAGAATAAAGTCATTATGCTCTTGTTATCTTTCTCTTAGATCACTCATGTTTCCTCCAAGCCTTTTTATTGGCCAGTAAAAAGTTATATGAGTCTATTGTCCTCATCTTAAATTGCACATCTTTCAACATGACGTCCATGTCGCTGCGTTTATGGGTGAAAATTTTATTGTTTTTATTTTATTTTATTATTTATTTTATTGTGTCGATTGAAAACTTCCGGTGCAAATTCCTGCTCTGGTCTTTTGCAACAAAACCACAATGATCCTGCAAACTCTTCTCAGACTTATTAGTTCTAGAGGTTCCAGTTCTGGTCCTGGTACCTGGAAAGAGATTTATGTAAATGTTGGAGAAAAATAGCGAAAGAAAATAAAGGGGGAAGAATGCAAACAGACTAAAATAAGATGTTATTTGGCAGTGAAATGAGAGAGATTTGGAGGAGGAGGAGGAGGAGGAGGAGGAGGACAGGAAGGAGTGAGGGAAGTAGAGACTGACTCCAGCTGGGAGCGTCAGAAAAAGAAACCATTCATACTTTATCTGTGATTGAAATGTCAAATGTTCTGTGTCAGTAGAAAAGCAGAGGAAGTGGTTCTAAGCGGGCGCCTCCTACATTTGTTGCTCCCTCTCTGTGGTTGAGGTTTTGTGTGTGCTTGTTTTTGTGTATTTGTGGTAAACCTCTCCCTTAATTTGATTTGATTTGATTGATAACGTCCACACACACACACACATACAGAGCTCAAAATCGACTTCCTTTGATTACGACCCCGTTCACGGTTGCGTTTTTGTGTGAGCGACTTCCTCGTCATGCATGGTGTCTGTTCCAACCTGTTGATCAGTCACAGGTCAAAGGTCATGGTCAGGCTCTTTAGTTCTTCACCTCCTGCGGCTTTGAACTTCCCCCAACAAACACTCACACACCTATACTGGTCTACCATGTAAACAGAGGACTATTGATCTGAAGTGAAAAAGTGAGGACTCAAGTTTGTCGTCATTTCAAAGACACAGAAATAAATAAAATAATTATTTACGACGTTTTTAACCCGTAAAAATGTGAAATATGTGAATGGGACTTTAGAGGTACACTTAAACATGGTTTTAGCGGGTCTGTTAGCTGAGTTTAAAACTAACGTAAACTACCGGTGCTGCCGTTTTATGACCTACAAGAATACGTAATACCAGCAGCTGATAGTAGCCAAACAAAACCATCTTTTCTTCTTCAGATAAACAGATAATAAACAAATGATTGAAATAAACAGGATAAAATATACTGTTAAAGGTGGGGTCAAAAATGTTAACATGAGTCGCAACAAAGTCCCCTGTTAGATAGGTATGTAAGTGCGCAGACACACCCTGTTTAACCTCCAGACTCTCTGCCTCTCCGTTCACCTCGTCAACTCTGAACTCATCGTCTTCATAAATCATCTTCTTATCCTTCCATCCAATTATCCTCTCTTCTTCTTCTTCCTCCTCCCCCGCTGCCCGTCCATCTCTGTAGGTATCCTCTGTCATCCTGGAGTTTCCTCCCGTCCTGCTACTGCTGGAAGGCAAACAGAAGATAAGATAAAGCAAACAGAGATGGACGAGATAGACGGACATAAATAAAAACGTGAACTACAGTAATGGAGGACGAGGAGGGAGAAATAGAGTCTGTGAAACTACGCTAAGAAGTTTTATAAAGATAGTGTGCAATTTTGATCTGTTTAAGACACAACTATTAATTAATTATTCAAAAGTGAAAATACGGGATTGAAAAGTCTGCAGATGTTTCTGTTTTTTAAACTCTCCCTTGTTTTGTGGAAAGATGGAAACATAAACAGTAAAGTTCAATCTGTTCCTGTTCACAGTCCGATTACCTCCTCTAAAATATATTATATCATATAGATTTAAAGGAACATAAATGAATATGCATGTAAAAGTAATAAACCAACAGAAATAATAAAGTATGAAATGAGATAAGACGACAGCAAAGGGGTATTAATCCATCTTTTTTGATAAAACAAGCAAAACAGGCCAGATTTAACCTAATTCTACATTATTAAATGTGTAAATTTGCTTCTTTGCTCTTACTTCTGATCAATTCGACCAATAAATTGAACATTACCTGGCATGTTGTGAATCAGAAATGCAATTAAGTATATTTGCATTAAGTCAGTTTTGTGTCTATCATCTATTTCTGACATTTTGTGGAGTAAACCATCAGTCAGTTATGTATTATATTATAAAAGTCGTTATATTTCGTACTAATCCAATGAAACATACCTTTTAATGTCTCTAAATGCAGCTTTTGGTGACTGATCCTGATAATTTTAGTTCAAATCTTCTCTTTCGAAGACATATCTAACATCTATGGTGTGTTTAAAATGATAAAATACGCTGTGGTTCAGTCGTGTTCCTCCTCCATTCAGCTCCGTCCCATTGTCCCGCCGTGTTTACTCGCCCTCACAGCCTCCTTTTGATGCAGCAGTGGTCCCGAGCCCTCCCGATGACTTAGCACTCCCGATCCTCCTCAATGGGCCTTTTATCGCACCATTGTGTCGGTGAGAGTGTCGGGTCCATTCAGGCGGGCTGTGGAGAACAAACATGGAGGAAACAGTTGGTTGTGAATAAGAGGTGAGGAGGCGGATCTTTCAGAGGAAGGGGTGATAGGAATGAGATTGAAATGGGAAATTAATGAAAAAAGAGGTGAGAGAAGTTAACCGGACACTTGAGGAGTGAACAAATGTGGACAAACTTCCCCGGGGAGTTTTTATCGCCTTTTTAGGGACACGCGGCCTAAAACAAACCCACATATTTTCAGGGAGACTCGAATTGACCCGTCAGATGTTCATTGTTTGGCATTTGAAGGATGTTGAGGCTTTCTCAAGGTCTGTGTGAAACATTCTTTTAAGGTCATATAAGACCACGAGTCGAGGAGTCGAGTTGTGAAAATAAATTCAGGGGGGATGACGGATTTTATTGTTTGGGACGGATATTTTGTTCTGATGACATTAAACAAAGTAGGAAACCAACTGTGTACCTATTTTATTGTTACTAAAGCACAAAGATAATTATTATATTATATTAACCTGTCAGATTGAGCTGACCATGTCACTTGGCCACGATACTGAAATAACTGATATTATTTTTTTTTTAAAAAGGAAGTGAAATCGTAATTTTCACACATGCCGCCTCCCGCCGTCAGTGAGGACGCCGCTCCTTCACACCCGCTAAACGTCTAAGTTACTGTAATATTTCTAATGTTAAAAAAGTTGTAGTATTTCCACATTCATTGACAAAAATGGCTCAAGGGATGGAAAGTTGGGATGCCATCCCGCCTCATCCCTCCTCAACTCGAGTCCTGACTATAGTCCTCTGTGGATCTGGATTTGAGGGTGAAGGAGGAGTCCCATTTTTTTAAAAAAACATGTTTTTAATTAGATTAATGTTATTGAATTTGTGCAGGTGGGATTGGTGGGACGATCAAATGGACTACAGATTGATAACAGTCCCGTGCAGAACTCTAATGCGATCGACCCAATCAATGATCTCAACTTGCCGATCTCTGTTAAATCAGTGCTCCTTATTTTGTCCGATCTTTGACTGCAGAATTGTCAACATCGCAGTAGAAAAAGCCGATCCCGTCGTGGTCGTGTTTTCGGACGAGCAGCTGCAGCTTCCTCTGCAGACCAAACTCCGACAGAAAAACACTTTCTGTGCCAGCTTCGTCGTCCCTGAAGGACACCGTCCGCTCTGACCGGTTTTCTCCCGGACTCAGAATAGCCTGATGCTAATGTCCACCCGCTATCACACAATGAGCTCATTTAGCCTCAAAGAAGAAGCGGGGTCAGACGGGCCGGATTTAACTCAGATACTGTGTGTACTGTCGAACCTCCTGTGAGTCACTTTGACACGTCTAGACTTGGTCTAATTCAGATAAGACAAATTATCAGAGCTGTCCGTCCTTTTCAGCTTGAATTAATCACTTCTTTTAAAGGTACAGTATGTAGTTTTTACTGGACTGTGGTCTTCAGTTAAAGTTATCACTTATCACCCTTTTGTAATTCACTTATCCACATTTTTTTGTGAATGAAAGAGGAAAGGCAGGCGCGCAAACACACACACGTGATAAAACGTGGAGGAAAAGCAGCGGTGTGAGGACAGGAGACAAAAGGAGAGGTCTGCTCTTTTAATGTGACAGTAAATATTGGTTTAAAGCAGAGTGTTTGAGTTTCCTCTCTGCTGAGTGAAACGACGGAGGAGGAGGAGGAACGAGAGGAGGCTCAGGAAGTAAAGGTCAGAGAGTTTAAGTTCATCTTAACTTTTCCAACAATAGAGAGAGTTTCCTCCGGTTCTTCATGAATCTCTTTCTTCAGAGTTTTTGTTTTAAAAGTTTGTTGCCTTTTAACAAGTCAAACTTGTAGATTTTAACTTTTTTAAAACAGTTTTATCCAACCACAAAGAGTTTGATTTTTGAGTTTGGATTTCGTAGATGCTTTCAGACCGTTCTCGTCCATATTTTTAACCGCTGATACTTTAAAAGAAACAGATCTCACAGTCATTGTTCCTCTTTTTCTAAAGAACGGAAGCATTAAGTCAAAGCTCATATATGTCCTCAAATCAATATAGAGTTGTTTAGCTGCTTTACTATGACGTTAATTTATCTTTTGCACAGGTGCTGATGTCTTAACGGTCTAAGTACGCCACATTTAAAGGCTCTCATCTTTGGTTCAATTACCAGCTATAACTCATTAATGTTGCACTTAATTTGAGCCCCAGTCTCCTTTTTTGTTACCTCTTCCATCTTTCCCGACATCTCTCCTTCAGTGTGACCGTGACAGAGGAGTGACGGTGGAGGAATGTGTCCTCTCTCCTGTAAACAGAGGAGTGGAAGGAAGGATGGGGGATGGAGGGATGAGGAGGGAGGAGAGCAAACAGCAGGGAGTGCTTTCCCATAGTTAAGTCATAAAACAGTGAGAGGGAGTGGAACGGAGGTGTGTGTGTGTGTGTAGACTGTGGAGAATGTTCAGACAAAAACAGAAACTGTAGACCTGAATAGTTTGACTTTTTACCTGTTTGTGAAGAATTCAGGGACGTTCAGATGCTGTTGGAATGTCACCCTCTTAATTTGGACTTTTGGTTTCTGACACTTTTGCTTAATATGTCAAATATAATTCATAAAAAACATTCACTGTTACACATATTCACTCTCCATTTAGATCTTCCAGACGTTTATGTGAAAAAATGTGCAGAAAAAGTCCTTTTGACTCCACGTGGATTGAAAATCAGCCTTTACAGCTTTGAAAAATAACAGTGTAGAAATATTAAATCTCATTCCTGTTGGTCTTGATTCTGTTTTGGATCAGCTAAAACTCTTCTGAGTGTTTTTAAACCTGATTTTTATCCATTAGATTATAACAAATTAATGCAAACACAAACTGCATGTTTAAAGAAACACAGATGAGAGCGTCTCAGACTGAGTGTGTTTGTGTGTGCAGCAGCAGCAGCAGCAGCTCAGTTAGCGGCTAACAGCGCGTTAATGAAGCTTAGTCAGAGTTCAGGGACCATGACTGACCACGACGCGCTCCGCGGACCAAAGTCCACATTAAAACCTCATCCCACCGAGCTGTACTCTTGTTCCCCATCACTGACATGAAACAGACGGACAGGAGCGCTGACGGACAGACGGACAGACGGGACGTGTTTATTAGAGGCGGAGGAAAAACAAGCCGAGAGCGGCAGCAACTGCGACCAGCAGCTGGAGCGCCTCAGCTCTCCCTGTCACCATCAACAGTCAGCCCCGTCCACTGTAACACATACTGGGAATATTTGAACACTTATAACTGTCTGCCTGTCTGCGTGATGGACGACACATGTTCCCTAAAATATCAAACCTGTACTCGGAAAACTTCACTCCAAGCTGCTTCTTGTCCGACAGGAGAAATACGTCATGAAATATGTCGGTTATTTTGTAATATATGCATCTTAATGAAACAGGTTGTCTGCTTTAAAGTCACGTGCAGTTTGCATGCTGATGATGGAGGTATTTTTTCCGACGTGTCTGCACTAACAAATGTTTCTTAAACCCATATTGACTGAAACAGACGGAGCAGAATGTCGAACAGTACAGGGCTGCACTTGTTCCTCATCCTTCAACTTCACTGTTTACACCTCAGCTCTGACTTTGAACGAGCTGCAGGTCCTGATGGAGAGATGGAAAGACTGAGACGAAATGATAGAAGAAGAAGAAAGCAGATGAGACACTTCATGTTGAAACTCGGAAGAGAAACTACAAACTAAATACAGCGAAAAACTGAGAGTCGGAGTCAAACATAATCACGCCTAAATAAATCTCAGCTGGTCTTTATTTTCTTCTTCTCCTCTCTTCCTTATCACTCGCCCTCCTCCTCCTCCTCCTCCTCTTCGTCCTCCCGTCCTGCTCTCATTAGTGGATTCGCCCCGGCTGTCTGTTATAATGAGAGATGGAGGGAGCACAGACAGGAGGAGGAGGAGGAGGAGGAGGAACGTGGAGAGAAGTCAAGGTCAGAGCAGAGGAAACCTCCCTAACTTCTGCTCCTGTCCTCCTCCTCCTCCCTCTCTCAGACAGTTTGATCATTTTCTTCCTCTCTGAGTTCGGACTCTTTAGAAAAACTCATTTTTCCAGCCGTTCGCTCTGTCAAGCTAAAACATGTCAGAGGGTTATTCTGAACTTGGTCTGAGTTGTCTGCATCCTCTATTTTTCTTGAAGCTGTTAAATGTGGAGTTGAAATCCGCAGCAGCAGGTTTGTTTCTCGTCTTTTCAGATAAAACTCCCTGAGAAAAAGTCTCGGTCAGTGTTTCCATGACGAGCTCTTATCTCTCCTCCTCCTCCTCCTCCTCTCCTCCTCTTCACGTCTGTTTTTCCCTCCTCACTATCTTGACCGCTCTTCTGTGTTCTTATATCCACACCTTGTGCAGAAATGGTTGACAGTGCTCACATAAGCATGCCGGACCAGTAGGTGGCGATAATCTGAGTTCAGTCCGTCACACTGCTGAGCGAGATATATTGATTTGTTCTTGTCGCTACCCGATCCATCCTGGAAGCGATATTTCTTTTTGTGGGACGTTAGGGGAAGGTCCCGCCTCCTTCGCCTCTGATTGGCGTGAAAGGCTGGAAACGTCATCACACGGTAAAGCCAAATGCGGGCTGTCGAAGCTGTCGCAAACCGCGAGGGGCAAAGAATAGCTAGTAGAGGACATGACGTACGTTTCGCACATGCCCAGTACAAATCGGGTTTCTGGGACGTGATAGTTTTTTTTTTTTTGTTGGACGGTAGGGGAAAGTCCCGCCTCCTTCGCCTCTGATTGGCTAGAAGTGCTGGGCTCCGATTGGTTATTCCTAATGGCCGTGAAACGCCATCGTCTGTCGGGTTAGGAGATTAAGAATTGCGATATTGTGCTGTAATGTTCTGTTCGATGTACAGAGTCGACAGCCCGTGTTTGGCTTTAGCGTGTGATGACGTCTCCAGCTTTTCTAGCCAATCAGAGGCGAAGGAGGGCGGGACTTTCCCCTACCATCCTTCTTCTTCATGTAAACTTGTAATTAAACTGAAGACTGAGCAGTAAAACGCTGGTATCCGTCAAACTTGTGCGACACGTATAATCAACCGTTAGCGTGTTTTTGTCGAGTCCTTCTCTCGCTCAGCTTTCTAAGAAATAACTTCATCCTCAGAGACGTACCACCTGATTTTTTTCCAAGTCAGTATTTCCGTCTTTGTGACATCCCTGGAACTCCGAACATCCCGAGTCTTAACCCCGGCTTTCATTCCCCTGCCCTGACATGTCGGCGAGCGTATATGTGCAGAACCTTTAACTCTGTGCAAACCAGCGCGGCGATGGAAAGATAAAGACAGACACTCTGTAATCTTTACATTTCTGGGTGTTTTCAGAAACTCTGAGCTCAGCGGCTGAGCGTGTCGGGGCCGGCGTGGATGTATGGATGTTAAAGGTGTTGAAGGTGGAGGTTGCCTGATACATCTGTAGCCTCTGGGCTGCAGTGAAAAGCCAGCTGTGTGGTTGGAATATGGAGGTGTTTATAGGAAACATGCAGGCTGTTATTAGGTACAGTCCTCTCAAAGTGTTGGTTTGGGTTTCCCACCTTTCATTTACAGGCCTGTGGATAATTTGAAGGTCCATGTGAGTCCTCCTTTTTCTCTTTTGGGAAACGAACATGAGGGGAAGATACAAAAAGCTGCAGAGCTCACGTTTTAGAAGCAGAAAATAGAAGTTTATCGTCGATTGGTTTAATAGAGAAAACACTGAATGAAGTTTGAAGAACACTTCATGCACATGCAAACAACTCCAATAATGTTTTCACTCCTTTTAAACATTTATTTGAAGAAAATGAACTCAAAAATGCTCAAAAAATCTCACATAGGCAAAGATTTCGAGCCGTTTTCCACTGCAGAGACGGTCCGAACGTGTGCTTTTGTGTCTTCCTGCAGTCTGAGAGGACATTCAGAGCAGCTATAAACACCCCTGTCTTTACACGATCTCGGCGTGAAGGAGTCAGAGCCTCTGCTTTGATAGACGCCGTATCGCTTTCACTCCTTATAATTCAACGAGACGCATTTAAAGAGGCGTCTGGTTGTAAACGGCGAAACCCGAAACTGTGCGAAAGTGTTCTCTGTGAAATCCAAGAGGAACGCTGAAGGTTCTCCATCTGGATTCCTGGTCAGGAATTCTGTCGTGGAATTCTGGAGGAAGAGCAGACGGACATTCCCGAACCCCTGCAGAGAGAGAGAGAGAGAGAGAGAGATGTAGAGGCAGAGTAGAAGAAATGAAGGTCCCGACAGACGCTCATTTCCGACCCCAGAGTGGTTTCTGTCCATGCAAACAGGTGACACCAAAACCATGAGCCCAAGGACCTCCTGAGGAAACCCTGAGGGGACTGTTCAAAATCAGCTGCAGGTCAATATCTGAAACTGACATCAGGCATCATGTTGAAGAAGGGCTGGGCGATGAACCGAAAATTTATCGATACTGAAATTTACGACAATAACCAACGTCATTTTGCCCACATCAGTATATTCAGTGTCAAAAAAAATGAAATAATCAAAGTTGTTTTTGGATGTGTGTAGGTAGGCTTTGGTCTCATGTCCCTTTAAGACGCTGTCCTACATCAGAGACGTGACTCCGCCCCATCCAGTCAGTAACAAAGAGGGAAAGACAGGTGAGGAGATGGAGGACGGTTCAAAAGTTGGAGCGGCTGAAGTAGACGAAGTTAATGTGGGAGGAGGTGAGCAGCTGGTGGAGTAGTTATCATCCATTTATCATTATTGAGGTGAACTGATCAATATATCGTGATATTGATATACATAAATATTTATATATATATATATATATATATATAAATAGCCGAGCATCTGTAGGATGTTCTTCATCAGGTCGGTCTGTACAGGAGACACAGAGAGAGGGATGAATCCTGAATGTTCAGGGAGGATTAGGAGAGGAAAGAAAGACGCTGAGATTGACTTGGAATTCGAGGAATGACCCCTCGCTCTCTGGAAGCTGTCCAAGCCTGACACACACACACACACACACACACGCACAGGCACACACTCACACACTCACTCACTCATGCAAAACATAGAGCATTTGTCGTCTCCCTAGAGAGACATTTGTAAAAAAGAGTGTGTGTGTGTGTGTGTGTGTGTGTGTGTGTGTGTGTGTTTGTGTGTCTCAGCCTGGCTCCACTGTTGTCTGCAGAAACAAAGACTCAGATTAGACGGTTTCCTCTGACTCCTCTTCTTATCTGTCACTCAGAGTGACGGACAGATAAATGCTCCCACTATGTTTTTGTTTTAAAGGACAGTTTCGTAAAACTTTCTGTCTCTAAGTACCGACTATATTTAAACTACTGCGTCAGATAAAGACAGAAACACTGACTCTTTCTGTCAGATATATTTCAGGGTTCGGGTTTCTTCCTCTGTTACTGCAGGTGTGTCAGAAATGTACTCTCTCTCTCTTCTCTTAAAGAAAATACCAAGAAGTGAACGCATGCAAGTCTGTGCAAGGGAACACAAATGATGCCAGGTCGAGTTTTTACTCCACACTCTTTATGCTAACAGGATTAAATCTGATTAAAACAGCCTTAAAAACATGAACTTAATCCTTTTATAGCCCTGATTTTATGGCACGTTCAGTTCTTAGGTGTTCATTTGCTCAATTTATAATAAAAAGTGTTAAATTCACCTCCTTTATTCCTCTGATTAAAACTTAATTTTGTGCTCGAGAGACTCGGGGAAGTTTTGCACACGCTCACATTAGTCATGCTCAGTGTGGTTAATGACGTCATGATCTGATTGGCTCGGATTAATTGGATTAATATCAATTTTCAGATTAAAAAAAAATCTTTTCTATTTGAAGACGTTGAACTCAAACTCTCTGACTCGACAGGTGACATTAAAAGTCCTCCTCCTCCTCCTCCTCTCTCCTTCATCCCTCCATCCTTCCCTCTGTCCCTTTGTTGTGTGTCTCCGTCTTATCTCCATGGTTACCTGAGGCACCGGGAATGTGGTGCCACCAAGGAATGTGTACAATTATTAAACCAGCTAGGGGCCAGACACACACACACTCACACACACACACCTGCATTCCTCAGACATATACACACACACTACAGCACACATTTAAGTGTTTAAGATAAGATAAACTTTATGGATAAGAGACATAAACAGTCTGAATCAAACCCTGAAGTTTTACGCCTGAATGTTAAAGAAGAAACTGTAAACTTTGTGGTTCAGGGGTTTGCAGATCTTTGCGTCACAGTGACATTAATGTAGGGCTGGGCGATACGGGGAAAAGTTTATCACAATATAATTTTTTAAAATCAGTCATTATCGGTATGTATCATGATATAAAAAATAAAAACACTTGTCAATCTTAAATGTTCCCTGTTTGCAGTCCACATTACTCTGCTTCATGTCCGACCTCCAAAAACCAAAATACCTCCACACCACCGACGTTTTCCTAACGCCAGTGTTGTGGTTGACATTGATGTGGTCATCTGTTGAGCCTTCATGGTCATTTCTGTCGGGGGTAGCACTCATTTTCTTTGTTTCTCACCAACAGTGCTGTCGGCTTCACCTGTTAAAGTGCTATGGTTGGGTGGAGCTGCTGTCTGCTATGATGCAGTTTTTTGATACTTGGTTCTAATTCAGAACATGATTGGTTCAGCGCGGCGTGACCCGAGGCAACTCCCCTTTTTATTTGTTATTCATACAGTAACCAAAACATGACTATTGAAAAGCATATTGACCATGTTTTGTATCGATAAGCATATAAGCATATATCAAGGAACATTCAATTTTGATATATATCATAATTGTTTTATCGCCCAGCCCTACCTTAATGTGGAAATCATGTTATAAAAAAGCATTTCTGGATCTTGTTGGTTTCAGGATTTGTCAGATATCTCTTCATCAGTTTGTTCTTTCGCTGACTCATCCTTGTAACTCGGTGAATAATCCAGAATAAAGAGTGTTGCTCTGTCTGAGTCACTCTGTTAATAACCAGCCCTCTGATTTTGTCATCCTCTGTTTCTCCTTTTCCTGTTTTTTTCTGTTGACTATCGACTGTTTAAGCTCTTATTTGAGGGTGTGGTTGAGTTTATGGAGGGCTGATCGAGTGACGCTCCTGTCTCTGCGGTCACGCTGTGATGATGAGAGGTTTGAGGATGTAGCTGCAACAGACGACAAGCAAACCTGAATTTAATTTAATCTTCTTCCATTATCTATCAAAAATGAAAACTTCCAGTTTTCATTTCATACCTTTCTTCTTCCTTCGATCAGTTTCTCTCCCCTTAGTTTGACCTGCTTGTTGTCACGGTAACAGCCGCCTGATTGATGGGTGGACAGTTAGTTTGGGAGGCTGACCTGGGAGGCCGCCGCTAATCCATAAATCCTGCGGAGGTGTGTGAGAGAGAGTAAAAAAAAGGGTCAGCAGGACCTTTTGTTGAGTGTGTGTACGAGTGTGTGAGAACAGACCGACTCCCACCGAGAGCCGGAGACACACAGCTGAGGGAGAGTCTGAGGAGGGGACGCTAGAGTCAGGGGGTCCAGCACTTTTCTTTAAGAATAAAATCAGAGTTTGGCTCTTATTTTTGTCCTTACAGGAGCTTTTTTAACTCTTTTTTTTATAGACAATAATTTAGATTAACCTTCATTTGCCATGTTTGTTTAGTTGGGGTAGAGATTTTTGACTTTTTTAACACATTTGTCGAAGTTTATCATCTTTTTTCTTCAATGATAATCTCCTAAATTGTGCAGAAATGCTCAGACCAGTTTGTAAAAATCTGCTGTCTTTGGCAGTCCTTAAAAAAAGAGAGAGACAAGGTTGTTGACGAGACCTGCAGGTGTAAAAGTTGGAAAACTTGAGAGGCCTTATGTCTTTATAACATCCTGGATACTGTCATTGTTCTGAAACTTGATAAAGAGGATGAGATCTCGACACGATGAATCCTCGATCAAAGTACAAATATAACTTTACCCACTGCGCAATGTGACATCAAAATGACATCTATTTAACGTACTTTTTCGATGATGAGGTACAAATATTGACGTCATTTTAACGTCTAAAAGAGGTCCAGTAATGACGTTGAAATCTTGGATCCATTTTTCATGTTGTGCCGACATCTAGATTTGGTCTTCAGACGACGTCCAAACTATAAACGTCATAACGACGTCTAAAAAAGGTCCAATTCGGACGTCGAAATTTCTAACTTATTTTGCCGTGGTCTTTGACGGACCGACCCAATACTGACTTGATCTGCACGTCTCTTGGATGTTTGGCGGGTATTTAGAGAACGGTCACACACAGTCCCAGACCCCCTGAACCTGCTCCAAACACAAGAAGACCTCTGTCCGTGAACACACACTTTATTTTTGTCCAAACTGATAAAAAGCAGCAGATTTGTCCAACACTGTTCAGTCCTCGTAGGTTCAGTCTCGTGTCGTTTTGCTTTAAAGGATCTGAACTTCAGGTTCCTCTCTGAGCAGGTCAAACTCGAACCCTGGGATCAGAGGAATCAGAGGAATGCTTCTGAGTTTTTCTTTCAATATTTTCACCCCCTGAGGGACGAGCAGAGGTCTGGACTTTTCTGTTTCCTGTCCTTTAGATCTCTCACACGCCGCTTATATCAACAGAAGCTGCAGCTTTGATTTGTGTCTGAAGTTAAAACCACTTTCTTTACCTGGACCGTACGCCGGGACACATTTCTCTGATTTCTTTGAGAAGAAAAAAGTCTTTCAGGAATAAAAATGTTATTTAGAAGTTTGTCATTTTAAATACTGTCAAAGTTTCCAGTTGTCGTTTCTTGTTTCTTGGTTGTTCAGAGTTTGACTCTCCTCTGTCAGCGTCCTCCTCCATCCTTCATCCACCTCCAACATACCAGGAGGATTCCTCAGGGATGAAGTCGTGCCGTTTCTGACGGCTCTTTGTGTGTGATTTGTTTGTTGTCATCACCTGTCAGAGCCGCCTGTCAGGACGAGGAAGTGTGGAGATCACAGGAGGGACTCTGCTGATGGATGATGGGAGGTCATGTTTATGTGTGTGTGTGTGTGTCTTTGTGTGAGACCCTCTTTGTGTTGTTGGACTTGTCGAAACACGGACAAGAGAGACAAATTGGTCGGTTTGAACAGAAAACTCTGTCAGGTTTTACATCCAACCTTTAGTGGTCGAGTCGAGACTGTGTTTGATGAAAATTAGGTTCGTCCCGATACGATATTGATATCGGATATTGGTCGATATCAGCAATCCGATACAAGCAGTCCATTCCAGACTCCGCTCCAGCACTTCTACCTAGCAGAGCCCACAGAATCACAACAACAGTGTGTACTGAGGTGATTATAATTAGATGTAATGTTATTCTTGACGTCATCGTGTTTTTTCAGTCTGTTCTGTCACATCTGGGGTCAGGGATCTCTGTCTCCGTCCTCCTCCTCTGTGTGTCTTTGTCCCCCCTGAGAGCGGACCGCCATCACGTCACCTTCAGGGACGTTCAGGAAATAAGTGAGGGGATGAGGCGAGGACGGGAGCGTCAGGCGGAGCAGCATCTGGTCCTGGTTACTGACAGGAATCAGCGTTTTGATCGTAACTCGCAGTCAAACATGTAACATAACAAAGCAGATCAGACGGGCTGTGATTGGTTTGGACGTCGTCTCCCTGAGGAGCTTTAATAGAAGCTGACGGGACATTTTTCCTCCTTCTCTTTTATCACATCTTGATTATTCTACGGTGTCCAGTTTGGCCCAGTTTACATCGTTAGTGAAGAAAAGTTGAAATGTGACGTTTCTCCCTCTCTCTGTGTCTCTGCAGCTCTTCCACGTCGCCTACGTCTTGATCAAGTTTGCCAACTCTCCCCGTCCCGATCTTTGGGTTTTGGAACGATCCACTGACTTCGGGCAGACCTACCAGCCGTGGCAGTTCTTCGCCTGTGAGTACAAACGCACACACACACACACACACACACACACACACATAAAAACAGACCTATATGATCCACACATGAACCTCCAGAGCGTCAGACTCCATCAGGATCACCTCACGCTCCTCTAACCTCCCTCAGGCCTCGGATTAATCCTCCTCTAATCGCAGCAAGCGGCCCTCGAAGGCAGGCGTCTGATTGGTTCATCGGTTTGTTGATCAGGTCATCAAATCATCAAGCAGTGAGCTGATTGGCTTTGGCAGCTGTCAATCTAGGTGGGCTGCTGCAGGGGAATTCCTGACATGTCTGGCAGCAGGTCGCAGCTTGACGTTCACCTGAGGAGCAACCATGAAAGAAAAGCATCATAAAGACGAAACGCGACTGATGTATGAACTGATGATCGAACGGTGGAAACGTTTAGAGTCCAAAACCAGTTCGGATCAGTCCTCTGGTTCTGATCCAGGACTAGTCCTTGAGTGTCTGATGATACCGAGAAGGACAGGAGAATCATGTGTGAGTGTTGGACACTAATCTGCGAGTCCCTGAGATGTTTGACCGTCACATTCGGAGCCGCTGCAGCTGTTGGCGTCCTCACGCACTCCTTTGAGATTAGATCTGACATCATCACGCCTGATAAATCTGACACGTCCTCGCCGTCCTCCGCTCTTCTTCTGCGTGGAGATAAAATGAAACCGTTTCAGGAATGTTCACGGAGAAACAGAGTAACTTTAAACAAGATGAAGTCACGTCTCAGACTCTCAGTTTATTTAACCCTGAAAGTTTCTTCATCCTAGATTCCTCATTTCCAGTCGTGTCACATAGATCTAGAGTAGTAGAAGCTGATGGCGGCACATTCCAGCTGCTGTGAAGCTGAAAACACATCTGAAGGTGTTTTTAAAGACGTCTAAAACACAGACCTCCTCTAATTATCACCGAGACGCTTCATTAAAATTCCACAGGACGGTTTTCACTCACCTATTTGCATTTTTGTGGTTTTACTTTTGTGTGTTTGTGTGTGTTTGTGTGTGTAGCTTCTAAGAGAGACTGTATCGAGCGGTTTGGACAGAGGACCATCGAGAGGATCAACAATGACGACGATATCGTCTGCACCACCGAGTACTCCAGAATCGTCCCGCTGGAAAATGGCGAGGTGAGAGTTTGTCCCCTTCAGTTTTCTCTCTCACAGATTTATGGAAAAGAGAAAACAGATGAAAGTTGTTCAGAGAATGAAAGTGTTGCTGCAGTAAAAAACTCCTCATGCGTCCACAGATCGTCGTGTCGTTGGTGAACGGTCGACCCGGAGCGATGAACTTCTCCTACTCCCCGGTCCTCAGAGATTTCACCAAAGCCACGAACATCAAGCTCCGATTCCTGAGGACCAACACGCTGCTGGGACACCTGATGGGAAAGGCGCTGCGTGACCCCACGGTCACTCGCAGGGTGAGACTACGATATGATAATCACCTCCACAGCAATCTTTTATTTTTTGGTTATAAAGGAAAACAAATAAACAAAATACTGACTAGTTTTTTTGTTTACTAGATTGAACGGACGGATAACACACAGACTGTTGAGCCGTAACGCCAAAGTCCGTTTCTTGTTCGATTTTTATTTTGAAAATCGAATGAACAGATGAAACTCGGATTATTACTGTGGAGAAATACCCAGATACAGCTCTGTCATAATAATAATAATAATAATAATAATTTTATTTATATAGCACCTTTAAAAACAGAAGTTTACAAAGTGCTTAGACAACAGTTGTAAGCACAGAGCATCAGCACATTGAAAATAAAAACACATAAAAACAAAAGCTCAGTTAAAAACAGGCATCTGAATTGTAGGCCTGTTTCACTTTTCGTAAGAAACCCAGGCAATACAAGAACCCTACAAAATAAATGGGACCATGAGGACCAAAATAAAAGCAAAAAAAAAGAAATAGAAAAGGAGGGAAGAAAACAGGCTAGTAAGTATAAAAGAGGATATTAATAATAATAATAAAATCATAATAAAATAAAATGATGGTAATATAAATGATAAAGTGGAATTAAATATATATATATAAAATAAAGGAAAATGAAAACATTAAAATCAATAAAAAGATTATAAGTAAAACAAAGGCTAAAAAGGCAGTAAGTCTAAATAAGAAAGAGGTGAAAGAGGTAAAAGAAAAAGGAGAAAAATAAAAACGGTAAAAGGCAATAAAAGATGAAAGATGGCATCACATAAAGGCAAGTCTGTAAAAGTGAGTTTTAAGTCATGATAACTTATTGATGCTAAAAGCTGAATTTATGTATCGTCTCTGTCTACAGTATTACTACAGTATCAAAGACATCAGTATCGGTGGACGCTGTGTGTGCAACGGTCACGCTGAGGCCTGCAACGCCGAGGACCCCAACGACCCCTACAAGTAAGTTTTAGATTTGAAGTCCTGACTCTCAGCAAACCTGCGTCGTTTTGTCTTGAACCTCACGCTGATGCTCGTTTGTGTCCTCGAGTAAAGATGAGAGGAAATGCTCGGTAAGTGATTTATGACATTTCAGCGACGACCTGCTCCCACTGACTGTAAACAAACACGCTCACACTCAGAATTCCTGCCCCGGAGCTGCGGCTCTGATCCGCAGCTTTCATTTCTTCTGCTCTGCGGTTTCTTCCTGTGCCAGCGCTGCCTGTCAACAAACCTGCATGCCTGTAACACAAATAAGGTTTGTTACGACACACGGGAGCGAAAACAAAGGAGGTCAGGAGGAGAGAAAAGTCATAGAAGAACTTCTCTGTAACCACCTCAAAATAAATCAGAGAGTGAGGCGACTGCAGGTTTCAGATCGGAGAGTTATTAGAGTCAAAGTCAAACTGGAAAAACAAACTTATTACCAACCTGACATCTGATATTAAACCAGCTTCTCTGTCTGTCTGAGTCTCAGATTTCTTCATCTGAATAACCACTCGTGCACTTTTAACCCCGTCTGCTGTTTTCTGTTAACTCCAAGTGTAACATAAGTCTATTATCTTGGATAAAACAGAATAATAATAATAATAATGGTGCATTTTAAGGTGTCTGAATTTACTGGACGAGGCTTAGAGGAGCAGCGTTAAGTTTCATAAACAGACGGAGGAGAATAGTTTTAAGAAATGACATTAAAAAATCAACCAATTAGTCAGCTGATTAATCACAAGGCCGATGTCTCCATCATCTTAATGAATGTATGAATTCTGCTATGTTGTACACCTAAACACAATATAAGTCTAAAACAAGATGACTTTATTTATTTTAGCGCTTGCCTTATATTCGGATGGGGCAGGCGCTAAAGTAATTCTGTAGATGTAACCGTCTTGTTTCCACCTCTGATTTTGCTTTTTTCTGACTTGGTAACTGAACCTCTAGTAACTCAGGTGTGACAGTATATTTGTCACACCTATATATTTGACAATATATCAAATACTAAAGACAACACCTGAGATGATATTAGCATCATGTATCGGCCTCTTCTGCTGTTGAAAAATCATATATTTATATTTTGAGCAGGGTTCCTTGTAATTTGATCAATTATCAGGTCTTAAAAAGTATTGAAAATGAAAATAAAATACTCTATACTGTAAGGCTTTAAATAAACAAGCAGCAGTGATTTGTAAAGTCGTAAAAATGAAAATAAGACTCATGGTGAAGAAACATCTGGAGGTCTGATTATAACCTCCGAACTTCCTCTTCCTTTATTTCACTCTGTGACCGCGGCGGATAAACAAGATGGAGCTTGTTTTAATGCACATGAATTTACTGTAGTCTGTGTGTGTCTGTGTGTGTGTGTTAATGTGTGTGTGTTAATGTGTGTCTGTGTGTGTGTTAAAAGTGTGTGTGTGATTTCCAGTTTCCACGAAAGAACACGTATTTAATAAGAAGTGGAAGTGAGCTCGATGTGAGTAATTTAGGAACACCTGCAATTGTCCGTGTGTTACTGTGCAACATATACGTGTGTTTTTAGTGTTTTTAGTGTGTGTGTGTGTGTGTGTGTGTGTGTGTGTGTGTGTGTGTGTGTGTGTGTGTGTGTGTGTGTGTTACTCTCCTGCAGGCTGTCATTACTGTCAAACCATCATGACTCACATATACACACAGGAACAATACACACTCCTGATGCAGTTTGTTCTCCGTCCGTCTTCTTTATGGGATTACACACACACACACACACACACACACACACACACACTCATGCACACACACACACGTCCTGTTATACATCCCTTGTATTTCTCTCCTCACACACACACACACTTGCAGAGGCTTGTTGGAGGTATCTGGAGAGCGTCTGAAGCGGTGATGTAGCTCTTTCCATGTTGTTGCACGTGAGTGATTTGGGGATTAGGGAGGAAAGGGGGGATTTCAGGGGGGAGGGAGGAGAGGAGGGGAGGTGGGGGTGTCAGACAGTTTGAAGTACAGTTGAGGGTAATAGAAAGCTCCTCAGTGGGGTTTGCAGTGACCCCGGCATCCTGCAGCAGATATTTTAGCTGTGATGAGGCTGAAACGGAGAGTTAGTCCGAGAGCTCTCCATCGATGTAAACCTGAGAATATAAATTAGGACAGTTTTAAAAATTCTACATTAATAAACCAAAAACCATTCAGGACTCGGGTAAAAGCGAGTTTTTATAGTAACAGATCAGCCACAATAGACAGAAGATGATCTTATTTCATGTTTGTGTCTTTTTGACATCTTCAGTTACAGACACAGACGGTGTGATCCTCTCCTTAAGTCCAATCTGTGTCTCATGGACAGAAACCAGAGCGAAGTGTGTGTTTAAACTCCAGCTGCTGAAATTAAGAGGAACCTCGTGTCGTCTGTGTGAGTGAGTGAGTGAGCTCTGAAGTTTAGAGCAGACAGATGTTTGATGGCTGTTAGTAATATCAGACGGTAAGACGACCCGTGTGGATATCTCAACATATCTGCTCGCACGCTTCTGCAAGAGACCCTCTGAGTCTGTCTTTGCGTGATCAAATCCTCAACTCAGTCCGTCACAGTTTAAAGGGATATTCCACCGAGTTAGACCCCCCCTCCAGAGATGAATGTTGTCGACCGCTTCCTTCTCTAGTTATACCAACTTTAGTAACGACCACAGGATAGTAATACAGAGAGCCACGCCCTCAACCAAAACGCCACTCTATATCCACAAATAATGCTCAGAACAGCACCTAACTTCATCACAACTCACCTACTCTCTTCCATCAACTGCAGAGGAGTTTCGCAGCTCAAGGAAGAACATTTATGATCATTTCTTCATGGAAATACAATCAGACCGAGACGCTAAGACAGAAGAACTACCGCGTCTGTAAAATGATTAATATGGTGATTATTACTTCAAGGAAATGATAAAGAAATGATCATAAATGTTCTTCCTTGAGCTGCGGCACCCCGCTGTAGTCTGTAATGGACTGGCATGAGGTCTCGCTACAAACAAGCGTCTGCTGGAAGAAAGTAGGTGAGCTATAGCAGCACCCTGAGATAAGATTTAGTGTCTTTAAAGCTTCTCTGTGATTTTGATGTTTTGAGGAGTCGCTGGTCTGTCTTTATTGAACAGGACGTGTTCAGACTGAGCTGTGGACTCTCTGTTCTCTGCAGTTCATCTAAAAACATCTCAAGAGTTAAAAGCTCTCCTTTTTACAGAGCACGCTTGCTTTAGTCTCTCGCTGGCATCCCCTGCATCAGCTGAAGTTTATATTAACTCTGCAGAAAGTGTTTATACTCTCATGACTATTTCTAGACGTTCAGGAGAGAGCAGACAGACAGACAGTCCAGGGAAATTTACCGCCTGTTGAACGAGGAGAATATCCGCCGTCTTGGCTTTACTCCCTTTACGAGGGATAAAAGAGGATTTGAGGAGATTATGGCGATAAAAACCATTGATACTCATCTCTTGAGGATTAATTTGGTCCTATTATAATTCGCTGACATGATTCCTACTGTTTGTGCTTGTCAGGGCGTGTTTCTGCCGTCTGTGAAGGAGGTGTCCTCCCCGACTGTTTTTAAGGCCAAGAGTACAGGTGCTTTCACAGCTTATGTCGTGATTTTATCGGGAGGTTCAAAATCACCGATGCAGATCTGCAAAAGTTTGAGTTATAAGACTTGCAGAAGAAAATAGAGGCACCACAGTTAGTTCTATAAATGTTTTTAGTCATTTTTAATTAAAAAATATAAGAAAATAAGAGTTTTAGGTTGTTAGATGTTTAAAAAGCTGATTTTTTTGAAGTAATTTGAGAGTCTTTTGGTTTTGGACTTCTGGTAGGACCAAAAGAATCAACTTTAAAACTTTTCTTTTGTTGACTATTAAGTTTAAAGTTGAATAACCATAAAAAAATTTATACAAAATGACACACAACATACTTTAACTCACCTGTAGCCGAAAAACAACACGATTAGAGTTTGCAATAATGATGTCTGGATGGACTTCAACCGTATCGAACATCAAATTTAACGAGACAGAGAGACCAATTAAATCAATGTGTTCATGCACACTTTTTCCCTAATTAGGCACACGTGCACACGTCTGTGCAGACTGCGTGCAGGATCATATTGAGGCCAGCTGCTCGCTCCCTCGCTCGGTCAGAGTTAGTTCTGTTCTGCACCATTTGGTTTCACTTTTCTGCATCACCTCCAGATCAGGATCGGAGCTCAGGGAGGTGAGCAGCATCTGGGTTAATCATCAACACAGTGTTTGAGTGTAATTGTTCCTGAACCTGTGCATGTGTGTGAGTGTGTGTGTGCGTGTGTGTGTGTAGCTCTGGAAAGAAAATAGGTCTTTCCTCTGGGAGCCGGCGAAGTGTCGGGATTATAACAAAGCGTAAAAAGAGGAAGGAACTGCAGAGGAAGATTAGTTTAGTATTTTTTCCTTCTTTTACAGTTTGGGACCTAAATTCTCTTTAAGTGAATTCCTGCAGTTACTGAGAGTGTAGAGGGAGCGCTAAGAGGACGTCACGCAGCCGTCCAAAACTCATATTTCAAAGCTCGTCACCGTGCCAGAATGAGAGGTTTTATTTCTTAATATGCTCGACGGTTCCAGGAAAAACAAAGTGGTGTGACCCAGGTGAGTGAAAGTTTGTAAAGTACCTAAGTGCTGCATACCACACGTCACATAAAAACCAAGATAAATGAGCTGCAGAGGGAGTTTATAACGGCTGCTTTTAATGCACATTCGATCAGTCTGACTTATTTTGATAAAGACTCAGAACAGATGGGCTGCTAGAAGTATTAAAGCTCCTATAAGCAACTTTCTGACATTAATAAAATTCATACGAGTTGTTTTACCGGACATCGATCACAGTGACAGTTTCTACGTCGTCATTTTTAAAGCCTAAAACCAGCTTGAGGGATGGGTGTCAGACAAATAGCACATGTAGGTGACAATAGAAGCAATGCCCGTTTTGTCCACAGGGGGCGCCAAAGCAGACACAAACAAAAAGTTCCTCACAGGAGCTTTAAGCTGGATACGTCACTGTATAAACTTCCCCGGACAATCCTTTAAATGTCTGCGGTTTTGTACGGGAGTTTCGAGTTTGTGTCATGTGGACTCACTGAGTTAGAAACACGTAAAAGACACTCGATCTGACCTCTGTGACTCCGCCCCCGCGTAGTCGTGTCAGAATATGGTCACCCTACTTTAGTGGACGTTAGAAATGTTATGGTTGTGAAATGGACACTAAAATAGAAACCTTTTATTCAAACAAACCTCCACAGATTAAAAAAATGCTGCTCCAGAAAATATTTCACTTTAACTTCAGTGTTCGTGTCTCAATCGTCGGAGTGATCAGACAGTTACATCACCTGATATGCTTGAAAACCTTTAAATGTTTAGAAAAGGTAGAAAAAATACAGAAGAAAAAGTTTGTCATGAAAGAAAATATTTAAAAGACGATGTGATGAAGTTTCTAGACGTTGACGTTACGCTGACAGCCAATCAAAATCCTCCACAATCCAGACATATTTGAGTGAAAGTTAACACGTTAAAGTTTCATTCAGGCCTGAAGCGATGTCTGCGGGAAATTAAAAGACCTCCGCTTTAGAAACAGCAAAGACTGAATGATTCAGGAGGTCGACAGTGTTTATTTCATGACTCAGAAAAGACTGATGAAGCCCAGACAGAAGAAAATCCTTCTGAAAACTGTTTAAAGTGTCAGTATCTCATATTTTTGAACAGCTGTAGTCAGGGTTCAGGTTTTAGAAAACAAGGACATAATGATGGAGAGAAGACGAAGTTCACAGGAAACCGTGTTTATAACCTCTGTATGTGCTCGTAAAGATAACCCGCTTAAATAAATAAAAAACTGAAGCTTTACGGTCCGTCAACTAAACTCAAAGTTTACTCTGCCCGGTCAGGAAGCTGGAACTAGCGACCAAATCCAGGAAGTAGTGAATCTAGGTGGAAACCGTCCATTGAAAGTCATTTCCTAAAACGCTTGAACAAAACTGATCGCATGGGAGGAAAAGAAAGAAGCATGAAGGGAAAGGGAGAGAGAGAGGGAGAGAGAGGGAGAGAGAGAGAGAGAGAGAGAGAGAGAGAGAGAGAGAGAGAGAGAGAGGTGAATGAATGGATCTGATAGAAAAGGTGAAAGCTGGAAATATAAGCGGGTCTGTAGAAACACAATATACAGACTTGTTATCAGCTCAGACCAGAGGAGCACACTGAGACCTGCAGAGGGGCCACCGACGAGAAGATCTGCAGACGTTTGAAACGATTGAGAAAAATGTTTTAAATAGAAACCTGAAAAAACAAACAGGAAATGAAGTTTAAACGGGTCGTAACAGGGACGCAACTTTTACCGTGTTTCGTTTGAACTTCATGCAAATTTAATACTGATATTCATGTTGTGAAAAAGCCAAAAAGAAGTTATTTTGGATTCCCAGATTAGATTCAAATGAAGATTTCTGAGGTGATTTCCATCTGATCCGTTTCACTCCTTTTGACCGTGTTTCTCTCTCCTCTGCGTTTGTCTCTCGATGACTTGTTAAGACGACTCAGAGGGATGAGAGAAAAGCATTAAGGAGGTTTTTTGTCTCTCTCCCTGCTGTGTTTTGGCCACACTCTGCAGGCCGCAGGTTTTCAGACTAATCCGATTAAAAAGCCAGAGTGAAGCAGTCGATGGAGGAGGAGGAGGAAGATTAACTCCTTCATTGTCAGGGGGGTCTATTCCTCATTTTGCTCTTTTTCTTTCTTTGAGGTGACAGAAGGAAGAGGAAGGTGAACTTTTTAGAGAGTTATATGAGGTTTTACCCGAAGCTGAGAAAGTTTAAGTCGAAAAACAACTTGATTTTCTCTCATCCACTCTGTTGTTTCTCGTTGTTTACAGGTTACAGTGCGACTGTCAGCACAACACCTGCGGCGTATCCTGTGACCAGTGCTGCCCCGGGTACAACCAGTTACCGTGGAAACCTGCGACGACCTACAGCGCTAACGAGTGTGAACGTGAGTGCTGCGAACTCCAACACACACACACATGCAGCAGAGAGATACACACAGAGAAACGCACACTCGGAGTGTAACCAGTGATCCCTGCAGAGGAATGTGTTTTCTGTGGAGAGGCGGGTCAGCAGAACCGGTTAGCCGCATTGAAGCTTCTCCTGATCACTTCTGCACAAACCGGGTCCAAACTTCTATGCACAAATGCATCATGGGAAAAAAAGAGCTGTGAGAGCCTCTTCATTCACAGATGTTTGACATGTTCAGACAGAACTTCAGTTATAACTGTGATAAAATAAAAACACAAAACAACTTCGGATGTGTAGTTTAAAAAGGTATCAAGGTTCGGGTAATAAGGTGTAACACAGGGTGTGTCTTATTCCTTAAAGCTTTAATATGTAAATATGTTCTATGTTACTAATAGGGCTGGGCGATAAACCGAAAATTTACCGAAACCGAAATTTACAACAATAACCGACGTCATTTTGTCCATATCTGTCAAAAAAAGTAAATAAATCAAATTTGGTTTTGGACGTGTGCAGGTCCGCTATGGTCTCATGTCCCTCTAAGACGCTGCCCTAAGAGCTCCCCCTACTGACAGACTTTGGTATAAGACGTAAACCTCGTTACCATGTTAGCAACTGTAAACATGAGTCAGTTAATTGCATTAGATTAAAACTCGTTAACTCCTTAACACAGTTCCTTTTTCTTTGGTGTTGGTTTAAATTATTCAGGTACATTCATAAAATTTAAAGTAGTAAAAGTAAATATTGGATATCAGTCCGATATCAGCAAAAAACACATATTGAATAATATCGGCCTGCAACCAAGATCTCCGATATCAGCACTCCGATAGAAGCAGTCCATTCCAGACTCCCATTTCAGCCGCTTGTATCTGCGATCTTGTTCTTTCGGTCATTACCCAAAGTTCATGACCATAGGTGAGGATCGGCATGTAGATCGACCAGTAAATCGAGAGTTTCGCCGTACGGCTCAGCTCTTTCTTCACCACGACTGATCGGTTAAGCGTCCGCATCACTGCTGACGCCGCTCCTGAGACATTTGAACTCCTCCACTTGAGGCAGGACCGCCCCTCCGACCTGGAGAAGGCAGTCTACCTTTCTCCGACTAAGGACCATGGCTATTTCGGACCATTCGCATCAATATCAGTATCTGTCAATATTGAAGGCGACAATATCGGTATCATATCGTGAGAAAAATAGTTGTATCAGGACACCCCTAAAGACATAACTACCTTTAATTCAGTCCAATCCAGTCGTCATTATCACCCATCCTGGATTCTAAAAGCACTATTTGTGTCCTGGAGTTCCACAGGGAAACGTCCCGGGTCCTCTAAACTTTCTTAAAATCTGTAACTCCTCTTGTTTTAGTGTTAAATTGATAAATCCAGAGTGTGTTTGCAGAGACAGAGTTCAGTCGTGGTCGTAGATCTTTAACAGATCAGCCTCTCTGGAGCGTTTTAAGGCGTTTTTCAGCTTTAACCTCCACGACTGAGTTCTGCTGCAGTTTGTCAGGGTCGGTTACGACAAATCTCCGAGTATATTTGTATGACTTTTTATCAGAGCTGCAGTTTTGTTTAACAAAGAACAACATGGCAGAGAGTGTGACTAAAGGGCAGCATGATATGAAGACTGAGAGATGCAGGCAGTTGCCAAGTTGTCTCTTCATGAATTCTCTTGGAAAAGAAGTCGTTCAGCTCTGAAGGTAAAGTCTGAAAGAAGAGGTCTGCTCAGTTTATCGTTTCACTCGCCGTCCGCTCGGAGAGTATTTTTAGATTTTGTCTGTTTAGTTTTAAAGACTGGAAAAGCGCCTCCTTCAGACTGAGAAAAACCCTGACCCGTTATCACGTCCAACACTATCAGGAGGAGCCAGAGTCGGAGGAGCAGGATAAGGAGCGCTGGTTTATTCAGCCGGCACCTCTCAGGCGCTGAGGGTCAGATAAGAACAAGAAGCTCCATCGAGGAAAGGTTCCCGTGTTCCCGCCTGATTGTTAAACTCACGCTCCAAACCAGCTTCGCGACGGTTATTGAAGCTTGGATTAGCCTCTAAAAATAACTCATAACCTCCAAAAGGCGGACGGATTAATCCCCGAAGGAGACTTTGATCTGAGACTGTAATCAGACTTTGAAATATCCCTTTAATGATTCATGAAAAAACCCGACCGACCTCACGCTTTCTGCGTCTCAAACCCGACTTTCATCTCTTTGAGAAACCCCCGCAGCCTGTGTGGTCGTCTTAATTACGCCGTCTCTCATTTCTTCTTATTTGATTTTATCGGCGAAGTGTGTCATCTCTACACCTGTCAGAGGAAACAGGTTTTAAAACAACAAACGAGTTCAGAGCGACTTCATTTGTCAGGCTTTGATTCACGACTGCGGTCGTCTCAGAAGATTCATAAATGTGTCGGTGAAGACGAGATGAGACGATAAAGTTAATGAGAGAAACTGCTGTGGTTTGATTTATGCAGAAATCTGCTTCTGTTCTGATCGTCTTTGTCCTGTTTCCTCTCCTCCTCTTTTTGCTTCTCGGCTTTACCGAGGCTTGGTGGTATGGCTTCAAATCAATATCACGATATATTGATCAGTTCACCTTGATAACGATAAATGGACGATAACTACTCAACAAGCTGCTCACCCCCCACATTAACTTGCTGATATCAGAGATTTTAGATGAAGGCCGATATGATCCGATATTCGTTTCTTTGCTGATATCAGACCAATATCTGATATCAATATCATATCAGGACACCCCTAAATGTCTTTACTTAAACTTAAAAACACAAAAATTTGTTGTTATTCGAATCCACAAATTTCCTGACAGGAAACAGATTTTAACAACTTCAAAATTTTCTGTCATAAAACTCAAGATGACAAACTTGACACACTCTGGGTTTTTAATAAACATATCAGACGTGTTTACATCATTTCTGTCTGAATATTTTGTTTCTGAAAATCTATATTTCTAAAGGTTTTGACATCTTACCCGGGATTTCCACCGCATCCGGAACCAATTCCTACTGGATATGTTTGCGAGGCGAATTTCGTGGCAGGAATTGCGAGAATTCACAGGAACCCGCGGAATTTACACGCAATCGTGCGATAACAAGTTGTCTTTATAAAGACAGACACAGAGGCAAACCATAAAAGCAGTAGATTGTGTCCTTCCAGAGGAGGAAATCTACTTCTAGACTTCGTCCGGCGTCCGGAAAAAATAGAACTCTTGTGATCAGCTGAGGAGTCCGGCGATCTGCAGGGAAACAGAACGAATCCGGTGTAAATTGACACGTCAACTTGAATGGTTACGATCAGCTACGATCGGAGGATACGACTTTTTTCGTAGCCGTTCCAGATGTCATGGAAATTGGGGGTTCGAGGGAAATGAGACCATAGCCTACCTACACACATCCAAAACCAACTTTGATTTATTTATTTATTTGACATCAAATATACCGTTACGGGCAAAATGATGTCGGTTATTGTCGTAAATTTCAGTATCATAAATTTTAAGTTTATCGCCCGGCCCTACCGCCATCATTTTCAGGATATTCAGTTTCTATTTCAGGTCAAGTTTCGAGGTTTTTAGCTTTCATGACCACCTTTTCAAACTTCGATCGTCGTTTTATCGTTCGTCTCTCAACACATCGATGACATATTGTGAGAATAGTTCTTCATTTAAAGGCGTCACCTGCGTCTGAGTCTGTGTTTTTATTTCTTCTTTCAGCCTGTAACTGTCACCGCCATTCCTTCGACTGTTACTACGACCCCGAGGTCGATCAGAGGCGGGGCAGCCTCGACGGCCACGGACACTACAGAGGGGGAGGAGTCTGCCTCAACTGTCAGGTACGAAAACGCCACAGAGAAAGAGCTCTGAGGTGAAGCCTGAGGAGATAAGGATCAGGGTGTCTTTGTCTTCTGGCACCTGATAGGGGCGGTATCATGATGTAAAGGAGACAGAGACATAGATTTATTTATTTAATATCCGCTGATCTATTTACAGCATCACACCACCGGAGTCAACTGCGAGCGCTGCATCCCCACCTTCTACAGATCACCTGACCACTCCATCGAGTCCCCGCTGGCCTGCTCACGTCAGTATTTACATTAATCATCGTTTATTTCTGCTTAAACCTTCGTCCGCTCGCCCTCGTCTTCTCATCTTCCTCTCGGTTTCTCTCCAGGCTGTAACTGTCAGTCACAGTTCACGGACGGCACCTGCGAGGATCTGACCGGTCGCTGTTTCTGCAAACCGAACTACGCCGGGGAGAACTGCGACACCTGCGCAAACGGCTTCGTCAACTTCCCGGACTGTTACCGTGAGTTAAAACAAGAAGAAGAACTTGTAATATACCGTCTGTCTGGGACAACAAGACCGTCTCTAAACCAGCTGTCTCTTTGTCCGTCAGCCATCCCGACCGATCCGACCAACAACAACAACAACGGAGAGGCCAAAACAGCCGGAGAGATCATCAGTAAGAGCCTCGATGTGTTTGAGAGAGAAGCTGACAGATGTCTGACTCTCCTGTGTTCAGATGGTTTTGGGAGTTTTGGGAAAAACTTTGTTTAAATGTGACGGTGTGAACTCAAACTCTCTCTATCAGCCTGACGGTGTTTTATTTTTAATCGGTATCATCTGGAAACCCGAGCTGAGATTGATTCCCAAAACACAGAAGATCCGCCGTATCAGTATTGACAGAAACAAACTTCTGTTTCCTCTCTCTCTCTCTCTCTCTCTCTCTCTCTCTCTCTCTCTCTCTCTCTGTGTGTGTCTGCAGACTGTGAGTGCAGTGCAGCTGGGACTGTCGATAACTCCTGCAGACCTGATCCCAACACTCGGACCTGCGTCTGCAAACCGGGTTTCACCGGCGACCACTGCGACACCTGTGCGCCGGGTTTCCACGGGCTCAACTGTCAGGGTGAGACACGAAGAGTGATTGATTACAGCGTCGGTTCATGTTAATCATGTTTTGGATCAATCAAGGATTAAAATAGTAGAAAATAATAAAGTCCAGGGAACACAGCCTCTGTTGGAGCTTCGTTAATTAATAAAAATAATCAATATCTACTCTAAAAAACCAATCAGAGGCACAGATTCCAGTCTGTTTATGTTTGTTAATTGATCCCGTGTTCGTTTACCCCCCAGGAGCAGCCTCACACACACACTAACACACACTTACACACACACACACTCCTGAGTAAACAGCATCTGTTCATGTGTGTGTGTTCCTTCAGGCTGTCAGTGCTCAGGTCCGGGCTGTCTGGACGGGTCATGTGACTACATAACGGGTCACGGCGTGTGTCGGAGCGGTTTCCAGGGTTACCAGTGCGACCAGTGTGCGCCGGGATACTTTAACTACCCTCTGTGTCAATGTGAGTGAAGAATTAGAGAAGAGAACGGTGGAGCGGTGGAGAAACCTGACGTCACTGACTGAACTCTCTGTTTCTGCTCGTAGTTTGCGGCTGCAGCTCCGTCGGCTCTCTGCCTGAAGGCTGCGACTCTTCGGGTCGGTGTCTCTGTAGACCCGAGTTTCAGGGACCTCGATGTGAACAGTGTCGATCTGGATTCCACTCCTACCCCAACTGTCAAGGTACACACACACACACACACACACACACACACACACACACACTCACGTAAAACTGATCTGTTTCGGCTGATAACTACGACGGGGTATTAGGGCCACATTAAGAAAAAAAAATGAAGAAGTCGTAATAAAATCATTATAATAATTATGATCATGTGGTCCTGATGTGTCTAAAGATATCTCGTTTTAGAAACCTACCGTATATTAAAGCACATTTTTACAAAATACTCCATTATTTCAACAACTGTCATCTTAAACAACAAAATAGAAAATAAGGACTTTATTCTGACTTTACCTTCGTAACTAATTACTTTATAACAGCCTTTTTCTTGTAAGCAATAACTTTATTACGACTTTATTCACGTAAGATTTTACTCTATTACGACTTTTTCTTGTATGTAATTTTTTATAACAACTTTTTTTTCACAAGTAATTACTTAATAATGATGTAATTCTTGTTTGTAATTTCTTTATTACAACTTCCTTCTTGTAAGTAATTCCTTTATTTTCACTTTCTTCTCCTAAGCAATTACTTTTTTACAGCGTAATTCTCATAAGTTATTACTTTATTTCAACTTTATTCTCGTTGGTAATAACTGTATTATTACTTTGTCCTTATTTGTAATTACTTTATTACCACTTTATTCTTGTAAATAATTACTTTATTATGACTTATTTCTGTTAGTAATTACTTTTTTACGACTTTATTTTCGTAAGAATTGACTTTATTTCGACTTTCTTCTAGTAAGTATTGACTTTATATCAACTTTATACTTGTAAATTAATGACTTTAATCTCGAAGTCTTAAATTGTTCTTTTTTATTCATCTTGCCTTAATACTCTGACGTCGTCGATGACAGTATAGAATATGAAATCATCTCCTCAGACTGATCACGTCTGGACTCTGCAGACTCAGATGGAAACACTTCCCTCCTTCTCGTCAAGTGTTGGATTACCTTGTAAAACTTTACGAGTCTATTAAAGTCTCACCTTGCCAAATGCCAAATGCACAGTCTGATAAAATAAACCCTTGAATACCACACAGTTGAATAGTTGTAGAAATCATTTCCAGGTCTGTTCAGATACTCAGAGAACTGTCATGTGACTGTTCCACCTGCTCCACCTGTACAAATGAGACTGACAGGCTCACAGCACCTGCGCTCAAGAATACACTTTAATTTTCTCCTCAGTTTGCACCTGTGATCCTCGCACCTCATTGGACACCAGCTGCACCGCATCAGGTCACTGTCACTGCAGACCTAATTACAGCGGAGCATCATGTGACCAGTGCGCACCTGGTTACTACGGTTTCCCGAGCTGCACACGTAAGTCTGAGAGTCTGTGAGGATGTCGTCTCTGATATCATGAGCGGGTGAATGAGTGGCGTGTTCACGGTTTTGTTTCCTCAGCCTGTCAGTGCTCGCCTGAGGGCTCACGCTACAGCAGCTGCGACCACGTGACGGGACAGTGCGGGTGTCTGCCCAACGTGGTGGGACAGAGGTGTGACAGCTGCGCGCACGGCTCCTACGGCTTCCCCAACTGTCAAGGTACAAAAACACATAAGTAAATAACTCAGGAACACGGTTTTGTACAGTTTATGTTTATCTAATTGCTTTGTGGTTTTTATCTGTGAAAATCTCTCTATAAATAAACTTAGTTTACTTTCTTTTTTGTTTAAAGCTGGAACCTGTCATCCTGCCGGCTCCGTTCAGTACGCAGTTCCTCCTCCAGTGGTAAGATTTCGTGTGTTTTTAATAAAATAAGTCCATTTGTCTGGATGAATTTACAAATCAGATATTTTGCTGCATGAATTCAATAAATGATAATTAATTTTATACTAATAGATGTCATAGTAGTATTTTTTTCTCATTGTGTTTGGCTGCAGCATTCTCATTGGTTAATTCTCCTGTCAATCATCCTCTCAGGGTCAGTGTGTGTGTCGTCAGCATGTGGAAGGTCCGGCCTGTGACCTCTGTAGACCTCTGTACTGGAACCTCTCTCCGGACACTCCTGATGGATGCTCCAGTGAGACTCGACAAACACACTCATCCACAAACAGGAATAAATTTAGTTTTTCTTTTATTTATACTCAGGAAAAATCAAACTAAAGTTTGTGTTTCTGCTCTTTCCTGCAGACTGTGAGTGTAACGTCGCAGGTACGATCAGCGGGGTCGCCGAGTGTGCACAGGTGAGCGACTAAAACTCTATGCATATGTAGTAGTTTTTATTTTCAACATTATTCATTATGATTTTTGTGTTGCATTTTGGTGTTATGACTTGCTTTCTGGTCATTTTTAACAGTATTGATATAATTTACAGAGAAAAACATTAAACTGAGTGAACTTCAAGGTCAGTCCTTTCATATAAGTTGTTAAAGTTGTAATTTTCTGCATCTGTATCTTGTTTCTAACAGGAAACCGGTCAGTGTCACTGTAAACCGAACACCTGCAGTGGAACCTGCTCCACCTGTAAAGACGGATTCTACAACCTGCAGGAGCACAACTACTTCGGCTGTCAGGGTGAGGACTCAGCTGGAGGATTTAACCGAAATGAATAATAATAACTTTATTTTTAAAAACAGAAGTTTACAAAGTGCTTCGACATGGAAAAAGACAGATAAGAACAAAAATCTCATTTAAAACGGAATTGAAGACCATTTTCATAAGAAAATACAAGAACCATGCAACATAAAATGAGACAGGAAGTCAGTGAAGGGAGGATTAAACTGGAGTGATGTGACGCCGTCGACTAAAACCAGTTGAAAGTTGGAGTCAGGAGAGCGATTTCTGATTTAAACCAGGGAGGAGAGAGTTACAGTTGTACTTTGATTCTTCATTTTTGCGTCCGTTAATCTCACGTTTGTTTTCAGGCTGCCAGTGTGACATCGGAGGTGCAGCAGGTCAGGCGTGTGGAGAGAGGAACGGCCGCTGTCGCTGCAGACCGAACGTGGAGGGACCCAAGTGTAATCTGTGAGTGTGTCTCCGTGTGAACCACCACCTGTTCTCCTCTCCATGTGTGATTTTACTCTAAATCTCTGTGTGTGTCTGCAGACCTCGTCCAGATCATTACTTCCCCGACCTCCATCACCTGAAGTTTGAGATCGAGGAGGGGACCATGCTGGACGGTCGACCTGTTCGATTCGGCTACAACCAGCTGGAGTTCCCAGGATTCAGCTGGAGGGGTTACGCTCAGATGTCCCCCATCCAGGTAGGAACTTTTACCCCACCTTAAAGCTTGAATTAAAACAATTATCAGATAAATTTTTGTGTTTTTTATATGATTTTTTAAACCGTATAGATTCTGTTTATAATAGATGACATATACGTCTGCAGCTGTGGCCCCTTCCTCCTCCTCCTCCTCCTCCTCCTCCTCCTCCTCTAATCTAACAGCTCAGTTTTGGGGATTTTTTAACAGGATATTTCTCTTTTCTACGTTTATTTTTCAGCACAAAAACATCCAAAGATTTGAACACGTTTGTGATTCAGGATGAACTTTTTCCTGGTCTGTGTGGATCTCGTTAAAAACGAACCTCAGCTGGTTGTTCATGAAATATAAAAAGTGGATATTTCTGGTTGTTATTTTTCTTTTTACTTCTTTGGATGTTTGTGCAGAAAAAAAAAAGATGAAAAGAGAAATATTGTGGTTGTGGAAGTGTTGCATAGTGTTGCTTTAAATGGTGACGGTATTTCTTCGGTTTCTCTTCCTCTTCTTTGTGTTTTCACTCACCTGTTTTGGATTTCTACCTTCTCTCCTCCCTCCTCTTTCCTACTATGCATCCTTCTATCTCTCCTTCCCCTTCTCCTCGTGTTTCCTGCCGCCTTGCTCGCCGGTCTTTATTCAGTCCAGGGTGTTGGTGACGGTCTCGGTCAGCTCTCCGGACCTCTTCCATGTGGTGCTTCGATACACCAACCGGGGGGGTTCGGACGTTCGAGGCCGGGTGGCGGTGATCGAGGACGGCTGGAACTACTACTGTGGTAACTGTAAGACTAATAAGAGATGAAACTCCTCCTCCTCCTCCTCTTCCTCCTCCTCCTCCTCTCTCTCCACTTCTATCACTCTTTCTATCGGGGGTTAAGATGGAAAGTGATAGAAGATCATTTCCACTCTCAGGGCCACAGATCAGTGCAGAGTTCAGGGATTTCAGACGAAGGTTTCACCTCCTCTACTCCTCCTCCTCCTCCTCCTCCTCCTCCTCCTCTTCCTCTCTCTCTCTCCGTTCATCCCTCTGTCCCCCTTAGACGGCAGTGAAGCTGCAGGTTTATGTGAGCCAGGCAGACGTCTATCTGACTCGCTTCATCCTCAGATATGTAAACTCTGAAGGCCACACCTCCAATGGTAAAATAACAGCCTATCAGGGCAGCCACAAAGGTAGGTCTCCACCAATCACAGGACAGCGTCAGTGTTTTTTTACGTTTGTTAATAAGTCGTCCATTTTTCTTCCATCTTTCCTTTTAAAGGATCTAAAATCTTGAATCCTGAACTGTCTTCATCCGTCCTCCTCTGACGTGTCCGTGTCTTTTCCAGGTTCAGAACAGTCCAAACAGATCGTCTTCTCTCCCAGCGTGGAGCCCACTTTCGTCAACGTTCCCCAGAACAACTTCGTGGAGCCGTTTGTCCTGAACCCGGGAACCTGGACCGTGGTCATCGAGGCGGAGGGGATCCTGCTGGTGAGAGTCTCACACACACACACACAGTCAGACTCTGACATGTGACTATCGCGCACACGTACATCGCTAAGACGATGCTCAAACGATATATCGTGCAGCCCTAGATAATGACCAGTCCTTCATAAGAGAAACCCAAACCCAGCAGATCTGAGTCCACGTTCTGTTTCCATGCAGGACTACCTGGTCCTGCTGCCCAGTGCCTACTATGAGGCTCCGATCCTGCAGATCAGGGTGACCGAACCCTGCACCTACAGCCCCGTGCACGACTCCGCCCACAAGTAAAGACCTGCATCAGTTTTTTTTGTTTGTTTTTTTGCATGGTTCAAAAGTAAAATGAGCTCCCATGATGCTTTGCACCGTAAAAACAGTGGTCTTACCCCCCCCTCTCTCTCTCTGTGTGTGTGCAGCTGTCTGATGTACAGGTATCTCTCTCTGGACTCCTTCCCCTCCATCTCCGGTAACGACGCCAGCTGCGTCCACGACAACCACCTGCCGCGCCCCTGCCCATCCGAGAAGGTGACCCCACGCCACCCTGACATGGCGGTGTGCAGCGGCCATGATGTAAGAACACACACACACACACACACGTCTTTCAAAGCTGCGGTGTGAAGAGAAGAACCTTCACAAACTCGTGTCTTTATTTCAGATGAGCGTGGAGCTGCGAGGTCGTCTGTCGTCTCCGGGCGAATACGTCCTGGTCGTGGAATATTCCAGCGAAGACGAATTACCTCAGACTCTGACTGTCGCCGTGAACGCACCGGGATCCAGATCACACCAGCGTCACGTCACCCTGCTGCACTGCAAGTACAGGTACAGAGGAAATCCTCAACTCTGCTGCTGTGAGGAGCTCTTAGTTTGTGTTGACAGTGGCGCCCCCTGTGGCCACAAACGCTCTTAAACGGCGGTCTAAAATCCGGCGTACAGCTGTGTTTATGGAGACGATTGAAAGGGTCTGACATGTGTGGACTCAGCTGCCTCACAGTTTACCGTGAGTCTCTGCTCTTTATGAAGTCTGTCAACACCTCTTAATCACCCTGTGTGTGTGTGTGTGTGTGTGTGTGTGTGTGTGTGTGTGTGTGTGTGTGTGTGTGTGTGTGTGTGTGTGTGTGTGTGTGTGTGTGTGTGTGTGTGTGTTTGCGTAGCTTCCTGTGCCGAGTCGTGGCCATAGACGACCAGCACAGAGTGGCCGTCTTCTCTCTCCCTGCAGACCCGGAGATCCAGCTCATCTCGGACCGAGCCAGCTTCTTCCTGGTGAGGGAACGCCGGGAGTCACGTGATCATTTATAAACGCCGCAGAGAAACGAGTCTGTGATTCAACGTAAATCTTCTTCTCTGTCTCCAGCACAAAGTGTACCTGGTCCCTAAAGACCAGTTCAGTATGGAGTACGTGGAACCCAAAGTCCACTGCATCAGCACTCACGGACACTTCGCTCCTGACAGGTACGAGAACAGTCGATGACTTTACATCCTTATACATTCTCTCTCTCTCTCTAAACCATCAACACGTTCCTCTTCTCTCTCCGTCTGTAGTTCCTCCTGCGTCCCCTCACGCTTCCAGACCCCGTCGGACTCTCTGGTCCTGAAGGAGGGTCAGAGCTCCTCCATGCAGGAGCCCATCCTGGCCTCTCCTGCTGCAGCTCCTCTTCTGCCCCTCCACCACCACCAGAGCGACCAGCCGGCCTGGACGGGAGGAGACCGACCTCCACATGGAGCGGATAACAGCGACCACGTCAGGCTGGACTCAGTACAGGTGAGGACTCAGGTGGATTTAAAAAGTTTAATTCTTGGATTTTAGTTTTATTCAGAGGTTTTTCTCTGTCTGTTTGAGTCTTTATTTATTCACAAAAGTCTAAAGTCACTCAGTGTTTTGAAGGTTCTGCTTTAAAATGACAGAAAAGTAAAACTCTCAGACCCACAGCTGTGTTGGGTTAAATTCGCTCAGATCAGCTGCACACAGAAACCTGAAGGTGTGACTCTCCATCAAAAATCTTTATTGTGTTTTTTATGAAGATGAAACATGAACCCGCTGTAGGAAGAGACCCGAGCACGCAGAGGTTACAGGTTCGAGGAAACAGATGTAGAAAAATATGATTTTCTCCACACTCTTCATCATCTCTGAGGTTTGGAAACCGTGAGAGAAACGAGACTCGGGGATTACACAGAGCTCACTTTTCTTTTTTTACCCAGAATGCAGCAGTGTACTCTACCCGTGTCCACGCTCTGGGACGTTACGTCTTCATCCTCCACTACCACCAGCCGCACCACCCCACCTATCCTGTGCAGGTCTACATCAACGGAGGACGAATCTGGCAAGGTGAGCGTGACTGAGCTGGTTTAAGAGAACGTAAGACAACGAAAAACAAAAATATCAAAAATATTCTCAGTGCCCGTGTTAGAAAAGGCAAAAATAGAAGCAAAACAGAACATAAAAGTGGAAGCCGAAAAAGTCAAAGCGTTGTCTTTAAAAAATTTTTTTTTTTTTTTTTTTTGTGTTTCTCCTTTTATTTTGCATTTTATTTATTTATCTCATGATTATTTTACGTGTACTGATGACCCTGCTTTTTAATTTATTATTTATTTATTTATTTTTATTTTTATTATTATTTTGTTTTTGTTTTCTTCCTTTTTTTTTTCATTTTATTAATTTATCTCATGATTATTTTTACTTGTACTGATGACGCTGCTTTTTAATTAATTATTATTATTTATTTATTTATTTGTTATTTTGTTTTTGTTTTTGTTTTCTCCTTTTATTTTGCATTTTTTTCATTCATGTCATGATTATTTTTACTCTGTATTGATGACACCGCTGTTTATTTATTTTGTTATTGTTATTATCTATTTATATTTAATAAATCTTTTTCTTGTTTTTTCTTCCCTGTAATTAAATTTAATGTTACCCCCCGGGACAAGGGTAGGGGCAAAGGGCTGTGGATGAATGGAAGTGTAATAAAAATAAAACAAAATAAAAAATTGATCACAAAAAAAATAAAAAATATCATAAAAAATATAAAACTGTATTTTCTGCTCATCAGGCCACGCCAACGCCTCGTTCTGTCCTCACGCTTACGGCTGCCGAAACGTGCTGGTCTCTGAGAATCAGATCATTCTGGACGTGACCGACCACGAGGTCTTCATCACCGTACAGATCCCTGCTGGGAGGACGCTCTGGCTGGTCAGTTTGTCTTTAACGCTTTCTCTTCCTGAAATAATGATAATAGGAAGAAATGAAAAGAAAATATAAGAAGGGAAAGAAAAGAAAGATGGTAAGAAATGCAACAGTGGTGAAATTTTAAACCAAATCAAAGTCATTCAACTCAATTTGTAACTCTTATCCCAAATCGCTGTTTCCCCCCGATCCTCTTGCGTTGTGTCTCATGTGTTTCGTGTCTCTGCAGGATTACGTTTTGGTCGTTCCCGAGGCGAGCTACAGCTCCAGCTACCTGAATGAGGAACCTCTGGATAAATCTTACGACTTCATCAGCAACTGTGGACAAAACAGCTTCTACATCAAGTCAGTATCTGAGAGGCAGAGGAGTTCACAGTCAAACTCACTCAGAGGAGTTTATCGCTTAGTTAATAAACAGAGAGAGAAGTTTTTACAGCTCAAGCTCTGGTCGATAAAAAACTTACGATCCACAACGATGTGACTGAAGTCGCTCTCATCTTGTTTTTCAGTCCCTCCACCGCCTCTCCGTTCTGCCTCGGCTCTGCTGTGTCTCTGTCCGCCTTCTTCAACAACGGGGCGATGCCGTGCGCCTGCCACGAGGTCGGAGCCGAGAGCGACACCTGCGAGGCCTTCGGCGGTCAGTGCCGCTGCAGGCCACACGTGATTGGACGAGACTGCTCCATGTGCGCGACGGGATTCTGGGGATTCCCGAACTGCAGACGTGAGTGTCTGATGACTGACCTCGTTTTCTTTCACATTTTATTTCATTTCTTTTTGTCTCTTTTTTAAATATGATGAATTTTGTCGTTTTTAAAATGAAGTGCGTCTCTCTTCTCGTCTTTCCTCCAGCCTGTAATTGCGGTGAGAGGTTATGTGAACCCGTGACAGGCGACTGTATCTGCCCTCCGAGGACCGTCCGCCCGGAGTGTACCCAGTGTGAGCCGCAGACGTTTGGCTGCCACCCGGTGGTGGGTTGTGAGATCTGCAACTGCTCTCGTCCCGGAGTCGTCACCCCTGACACGAGCTGCGATACGACGAGTGGACAGTGCAGGTACGATTAAAAACTTCAGACGCCTGAATATTATATCCTGTGTTTGTAAAAGAGTCAAAATCAGAGGTAGCATATCCGACTTTTGCAACATGAGTCTCCCCCTGCTGGTCATACATAAAAATGCAGGTTTAAGAAAAAACTTCATACTGTATTCGTATACTTTGAATATAATATTGTGTTTGTAAACGAGTCAAAATCAGAGGCAGCATATCAAACTTTGTGCAACACGAGTCTCCCCCTGCTGGTCATACATAAAAATGCAGGTTTAAGAAAAAACTTCATATTGTATTTGTAGATGTTTGAATATAATATTGTGTTTGTAAACAAGTCAAAATCAGAGGTAGCATATCCGACTTCGTGCAACATGAGTCTCCCCCTGCTGGTCATATGTAAAAATGCAGGTTTAAGAAAAAACTTCATGCTGCATTTGTAGACGTTTAAATATAATATTGTGTTGGTGAAAGGGTCAAAATCAGTGGTAGCATATCAAACTTTGTGCAACACGAGTCTCCCCCTGCTGGTCAAACGTAAAAATGCAGGTTTAAGAAGTTTCAGAAACAGCTTCACTCCTCATACCTACAGGCTTCGTCTGTTTTAAACCCACATTAGCACCACTGTTTGATTCATAACCAACTTTTCGGTTCAGCAGGTTCTCTCCTCGAATGTCAGGCGTGTTTTTTTTTCCTAAAAAGGCAGTTATTTCTCGCCTGTTTTGTCTCCTGACGTGATCTTGGCTCCGACTCCCTCCTTGGCTTGATTAGCTCTCGCTCGGCCCGGCTCTGCGTGCCAACTCTTGTCTGAGTTCAGTCGAAGCAGCAGCAGCAGCAGCAGCAGCAGCAGCAGCCCCCGGTTCCCCTGAAGACTGACAACAACACAACAGCCGTCTGTCCTCGTCTTCATCTGTCTGCTCGTGTTATTCCTCCTTTAATGGTTTCAATCATGATAATGGAGCTCTTTAGAAATACTCCCGTCACTGTAATCAGGCTTTCTGGAGGCTCAAAGGCAGATTTATGATATTCCCAATAAGACCTGTGTGTTTTTCCGCCTCTACATCGATCTGCATCGATCTGATTGTGAAGTTAGAAGCTGCAGATTCTCCTCAGAGTCTTTGTCTGGGCGTTTTTACTCGCTTTCAGCCTTTTGTGTCTCAGATATCTTAAACCATTATCAACTCCCTCATACACACACACACACACACACACACACACACACACACAAATCCAAAAGAATGTGCCAGCTGTGTCCGGGCAGGACGGGGATGTAAAGCTGAGAGTGTTTCTCTTCCCCACAGGCTCTTATCTACTTGGCTTCCAGTACCTGGCATTAACACACACACACACACACACACACACACACACACACACACACACACACACAGTGGCATGTGCCCTGCAGTCAGTTAACGAGTGAAAAGATTAACGATCAATCAGCGTCTGTTAGAGATCATTGTAGGCGTTCAAACTTTAATCTCCTGCCGACTGAAGCACATCTTTGAGGTCAAAGGTCAACTTTTCATGAACGCCATTTCTTCCAGGTGCAAGAACAACATCGTCGGACGCCAGTGCGACCGCTGCGCTCCCGGTTTCTATGGTTACCCCAACTGCAGACCCTGCGACTGCAACGAGGCCGGAACAGAAGAGGAAGTGTGCGACTTCTTCACGGGACAGTGTCTCTGCAAGGTGAGGCGACGCACAAACACACCAACACACAAACGCACAAACACACACCCACACGTATATAACCTATATATATTTGTAACCTGCTGCGTGTCGCCGTCGTCCTCCTGCAGGAGAACGTTCAGGGCTCTCGGTGCGATCAGTGCAGAGTCGGTACCTTCCACCTGGACCCGACCAACCCGAAAGGCTGCACCAGCTGCTTCTGCTTCGGCGCCACCGACCGCTGTCGCAGCTCTGAGAAGAGACGCTACGAGGTACTGGCAAACTTTACTCCACCGTCACATGATAAAGTGGATGTTTGAAGTCTCCTCGTCCTGATCTTCTCCTCACACCCGTCCTCTCTCCTGTAGGTCATGAACATGGAGGGCTGGGTCCTCCTGGGAGCAGACAGACAGGAGGTACCGGTCACCGTGTATCCCGGTCAGGACCTGGTCGAGGCCGACCTCAGCGATGTCCCGGACGTCTACCAGGACCTGCACTGGCACGCTCCGAAGACCTACCTGGGAGACAAGGTCAGGACAGATGGTGGTTCACTCTAATAGATCTGAACACAGAGTTTTTTTTCTTCTTTCTGCTCCGACTGGTGTTCAGTTTCGATGTTTCCGTAACACTTCGGCCTCTTCAGTGACAATAAAAACATGTCAGAGCTGACCTGACAAACGCAGCTCCTCTGAATCCTGTTAAAACAGCTGCTGTTTCTCAGGAAAAACCTGGTATCTGTCCCTGCAAAGAAGTGTCTCTTTTTCATGCCAAGATGTTGCTTCATCTTTTAAATAAATTGCAAACACCACATCGATTAGATTAAACAAAGTTTGGATCGGTCAAACGCTTTGGTGAATCATAATTTCCAGTCCGGTCTCCAACAAAAACCTCCCTGAACTTTTCAGAATCAGAGGAAAGACAAGATTTTAAACTCTGGAGAAAATGTACGATCTTTGTTTGAGTTTACGGCATGACGTTTTCAATCTCATAAAACAACAACTGGATTAATGACGAGGTTTAAAGGGATATTCCAGCGCAGGATAGCAACACAGAGAGCCACGCCCCCAACCAAAACGCCACTCTATAGCCACAAATAATGCTCAGAACAGCACCTAACTTCATCAACAGGACATATAGGGTCACAGACATAGTACTAGACACCAAACATCTTTGTAACTTTGACTCATTTCTTTAGCAAAGAGACTAAACACAACTCACCTACTCTCTTCCAGCAGCCACTTGTTTGTCCATTATGGACTACAGCGGGGTGACGCAGCTCAAGGAAGAACATTTATGATCATTTCTTTATCATTTCCTTGAAGTAATAATCACCGTATTAATCATTTTACAGACGCGGTAGTTCTTCTGTCTTAGCGTCTCGGTCTGATTGTATTTCCATGAAGAAATGATCATAAATGTTCTTCCTTGAGCTGCGGCACCCCCGCTGTAGTCTGTGGTAACTTTTGGGTTTTAAAGTTGTTGAAATCTGGATTTAAAGTCCACCTACAGATGAAGTCAGACTGTCTGTTTCTTCATTTAGGAGCTCAGAGTCTGTGTGAGGAGGTCGAACAGACGAGTCCTCAAAGTCTGACGATTTCTCAGTCCTACTTTGTGATGTCTGATGATCTGCTCTGCTAAAGACTCAGCCTTCCTGCAGCAAAGATTCACAGAAAGTGACACAAAGAGGACAGGATGAAATCAGAGAAGAAACTCGCTCAAAGATCGATGTTTAAGGGGACCAAAATCAGAGCTAACCAACAGTTCAAACCAACAGGAGCTTTAAAAAGGTCAAAAAAAGAAGCCTGAGCGAGGAGTCGATGTTTATATCCGACTCTTTTCCTTCTCTCTGGTCTTTCCAAATCCAACAAAGCTTCTTCAGACGCTCCCTCATAAACACGTGCGTTCTTAAATTTCACACAACAGACAGACAGAAGTATCGCAGATCTTTATCCCGCGGCTCAGACGAGGTGTTCAGATATAAATCAGTGTTTGGTCTGGGCGTTTGATTCCACAGCTTTCATGTGTGAGTCACGCTGATGTTTCGTTGTGTAACGCTCCACAGAGCAGCTTCACATGTCAGCGCTGCACAAACAAACCCGCGTGTTTCTCCTCCGATATGAAGATTTAATCCTCAACCTGAACGTGATCCGCCGTTATCGGGATTAGACAAAGTCTCTATTGTGATTTTCATGTCACACCTAAAGCTTTAAATCAACAAAATTAGATTAAATTCATTTCTGTTCAAGTCTTTTTATTATTTTAACGGCTATTTTGTTGTTTGCTGATCTCCTCTAACTCCCATGTTTCCCTGTTTCCCCAGGTGTCGTCGTACGGCGGTTATCTGAGGTACCGCCTCCACACTCAGACCATGAGAGGAGACGTGTTGTCTCTGCCTGCAGAGGCCTCCAGACCGGATATCATCCTCAAGGTACGAACGCCACGGTTAGAGAAATCAACGTAACCTGGTGAATTTGTCGACTTTTAACGTATCATAACTTTTTAATCGTCCGTCTCCAGGGTAACCAGATGACGCTGGTGTTCATGGAGAGAGAGTACTCCTCACCTGAAGAGCCTCACCTGGGAATAGTCCACATGGTCGAGGTGAGCCGACCTTTAAATCCCTCGTGGTTAAGTTTCAGATTCTTCGTGACGCAGACCGCCTGCAGCACGTCGAAATAAAGCCGCCGTCACGATTTAAAACCACCCGAGGGAAATGTTGTTTTCATTCCTGAAGTTGTGATTAAAAGTTAAAACAAACACAAAAGCTTTAAAAAACTGGGTTAAACTCCGCCCTCCCTCGCCTTCTGTCCTCAGGGGAGTTTCCGCCACGCTCAGACGGGTAACTCCGTGTCCCGTGAGGAGCTGATGATGGTTCTGGTCGGTCTGGAGTCCCTGCAGATCCGAGCCCTTCACTCCCAGTCCGCTCACTCCGTGTCGCTCCGCGGCGCCGTGCTGGAGGGCGCGGAGAACCTGCCGACCGGTCGCCATGCCAACAACGTGGAGATCTGCATGTGTCCCGCCAACTACCTGGGCGACTCGTGCCAGGTGAGAGGGTCATCCTGTGAACTGAAATGTCCGATCAGAGTGAGAGATGACGTTTTTAATCGTGTTTGTTTTACTTCCTGTCTGCAGAAATGCGCTCCAGGTTACTATAGAGACACCATCGGCCTGTTTCTGGGTAAATGCGTCCCCTGTAACTGTCACGGACACTCTGACCGCTGTCTGGACGGCTCAGGGATCTGTGTGGTGAGACGTCTCTTCAGTTTAAACTCTCATCCTCCTCTTCAGATCCTCCTCCTCTTTATAAAAGAGTCTTTTTCTCTCTCTCTCTGTTTCCTCAGGACTGTCAACACAACACGGCCGGCGATCACTGTGAGAAATGTCAGGGCGGTTTCCTCGGTAACAACACTCTTGACGGACAGGCCGTGTCGTGCTCCAGTTGTCCCTGCCCTCTGAGGACCCCCTCCAACAAGTCAGTACACTTTACCCCGAATCTCCACCTTCATCCTGATCGTCTACGAAAAGGTCGTATCAGCTGATCAAGTTAACATGTCAGAGTTTTTTTTCTGGACGCCGGAGCATGGCGGATAAATTCAGCGCAGATGAACCCGTGCTGGAGAGGAAGTCGAGCACAGACACAAAATAAAACATCCGGCTGTGAAACGTCATCGTCTGTCGGGTTAGAGTTAGGAGGGTCAGAAGTGCGATAATGTTCTGTTTAATGAACAGAGCGGACAGCCCACATTTGGCTTGAGTGTGTGATGACGTTTCCAGCTTTTCTAGCCAATCAGAGGCGGAAGAGGCGGGACTTTCCCCTACCGTCCTAAAATGAAAATATCGCATTCGGTAGGAATTGGCAGACGGCAAAAATCGCTGCCATTCCGGATGCAGTGGAAATCCACGTTTACTCTCTTATTTGTCTCACTCTACTTCCTCAGTGTTAGCTCTAATATTGTGTCGTGTTGTGTTGTGTTGTGTGTAGTTTTGCAGAAGGTTGTGTGCAGAAAACAGACCGTATGCAGTGTCTGTGTATGCCGGGTTACGCTGGACCGCACTGTGAAAGGTAAAACCAACTTCATTCTCTCGACACTGTGATGAAATAAAAGTCTTCGCTCTTCGACCTGCTGCAGGGAAAATACATCATTACGTTTTTCGCTCTTATCGCAGGTGCGCCCCCGGTTACTACGGCAACCCCATGGTCCTCGGCAGCAGGTGCCAGCTGTGTCAGTGCAACGGCAACACGGACCCCAACATGCTGTTCACCGACTGTCACCCGCTGACCGGAGAGTGTCTGAGCTGCATGCACGACACGGCCGGGCCCCACTGCGACATCTGCGCCCCCGGTTACTACGGCGACGCGGTGCACGCCAAAAACTGCACCAGTGAGTCTCGAACACGCTCACGTCACCCTGGATCTGGTTTCTCTTTTTCTGCTCGCCGTGTTAGAAAATGATCGATTAACGATGATTTGTTCTGAATCCAGGATGCAGCTGTTCGCCGTGTGGCACCGAGTCATGTGACCCTCACAGCGGACAGTGTCGCTGTAAACCAGGAGTGACCGGACCGCTCTGCGACCGCTGTGTGGTCAGTCTGTCTCTGTCTTTTTAATCAACAATATTCACGTTATTTAAGTTAATAATGTTCAAATAAAAAAAACCTTTATTTTCCTCAGGACGGCTGGTTCGGCTTCGACTCGTGCGCCGGCTGCCGTCAGTGCGACTGCGAGGCCTCGGCGGCTCTCGTGCAGCCGTGTGACCCTCAGAACGGTCAGTGCGCCTGTCAGCCCGGGGTCAACGGGCCGAGCTGCAAACAGTGCGCGCCCGGACACTGGGACTACGGACCCCACGGGTGCAAGAGTGAGTGAACGCGAAACGAACAACATGACGTGAAACGATTCCTCTGATGAGTTACTGTGATTTTTGTCAGCGTCGGTGTCGTCCACTACTTCCTGTCTTCCTGTTCTTACATATTAACCCCGGATCAGGACTGTGAAAACACTCAGAGTGGGCTGCAGTAACAGAACCTGATTGATCCGCGATCATGTGTGATTACAATCTAACAAAATTAGACGTGAAATGAAAATATTGAGTTTAAGATTCAGCAAAACACTCGAATCTAACCTTGTTTTTTGTTTTATCTCGAGTCAAAATGTTTCATTGAACTTTATTTTAGCCTCAGTTACCTGTTACCTGTCCGGGTAAATGTTTTATTTTAAGATATTATATGCCAAAAACTTTAAAATAAAGCTGCTAAAGGAGTAAGAAATAAAAACATACTCGTCAACTTCCTCAAAGAAAGACTTTTTTGTATTTGAAGAAACCTAAAAAAGTCATTTTTTTCTAATTTAGTGGCAATTTTAGTCCTTTAAATCAATCCAGATGTTTTTTACATTAATATCTTTAAAAAATACACAAATGAAGCACAGAGGACACTTTTTTATTTTAATTTAACCAGATGATAACTCGTGAAGATCTCTTTTTCAAGGGTGACCTGTCCAAGAGGTCAGCAGCACTCGTCTGAATAAAAATTACAAGATTAAGAGAAAAAAGGGCAGTTAGTTCGAGCTCAATCCAGAATAATTCACCTAAAATACAAAGATAACGAATAAAAAGGCGAATTTTAATCCATTTTAAAGTTGATTCTAAAGTTTTTCCTTACAGTGAGACATGTTTAGTAAGAAAACAAGGTTTAAATTTATTTTTCTCAAGTTTTTTTTTTAATTTGGTGCCTCATGATTGATATTAAACTCCATTTTTATCTGTTTAAAATATTAATGAGTATTGATGCACCCCAGCCTGACTATAATAGGAGTTACTGCAGAAGTCAAACCAGTGAGACGCAGTCAGAACAAGAAGTTAAGTTACTGAAACAGTGGACTTTATTTCAGGTGATGTTCTCATCTTCTCAATCGGATCAAATTCCCCCTCGCTGTGTTTTAATAATAATAATAATAATAATACATTTTATTTAAAAGCGCCTTTCTGAGCACCCAAGGACACTTTACAGGGCATTTCCTGAGGTCCGGGGGGAGAGAGTTCCAGAGTTTGGGAGCAGAGCGACTGAAAGCCCTGCTCCCCATGGTACTGAGTCGGGCAGAGGGGACAGAGAGGTGGAGGGAGGAGGAGGATCTGAGGGAGCGTGAGGGGGTGGCGATGTGGAGGAGATCGGAGAGGTAGGGGGGGGCAAGGTTATGAATGGCCTTGAAAGTGTACAGGAGGATTTTGTAGTTGATTCTGAACTTGATGGGGAGCCAGTGAAGCTGCTGAAGGACAGGGGTGATGTGGTGAAAAGAGGGAGTTCTGGTGATAATGCGGGCTGCAGAGTTTTGGACAAGTTGAAGTTTATGGAGGGATTTGTGAGGGACACCGAAGAGGAGTGAGTTACAGTGAGTTTTCTTCCCCCAGAGTGCGAGTGTAACGGAGGACACTGCGACCCGCGCACAGGAGAGTGTCGCTGTCCTGACGGGATGACGGGGAAACAGTGCGACTCCTGCTCTCAGAAATACAGCGTTCCTAAAGAGCGACCGCACGGCATGCACTGTGAAGGTCAGGCGGACGCACGAACTCCGACACGGTGGTGGGATTTTTTTAAAGACTCAGATCAAGAATTAAACTAACGATGGGTTTGTCTGCAGTGTGCGACAGCTGCGTCATCGTCCTCCTGGAGGATCTGGACAAGCTGGAGGAAGACTTCCGCACCGTCACCGGTCAGCTGACCAACCTGAACGCCAGCTCCATGGCCTGGGCGCAGCTCAACAGCGTCAACAAGTCCATGGATGACGTCGCCGTGAGTGCTCGCACACAAAAACACAAAAACACGAACAGACACTTTATGAATGTGACCGTTTCATTAACCAACGTCATCATGACTGCAGCGCGCCATACAGGACTACAACAGCACTCTGGACGAGAGCAGGAACCGCGCCGACATGCTGGAGGCGGAAATCGTGAATATCAACGACGATATCAACGAACTCCAGGATAAGGTCGGATCACGCTCCAAACATCGATGTTCTGGTCGTTTGTGTTTATTTCAGCGAGTTAAAACCATTGTTCCGTTTCTTCTCAGGTCGCAGTGATGACCGACAGAGTTGGTGACGTGAAGGACAGTACCACAAACACACACCAGAGGGCGCAAGACCTGCTGTCCTTCATCAACAACATGACCCTGGAGATAAACAGTAAGGCGGCGGAAGTCGGTCGCTGCTCGCAAACTTCGACAAAGGTGCGATCGTGTCTGATTCGTAACTTTATCGGCGCCACTTTCCGCAGATCTCATACTGATGGCGAACCGCTCGTCCACGAACAACACGGAGGCGGAGCTGGAGGACGAAGAGAGGGAGAGGAAGATGAGGGAGGTGGACGCCATGCTGAGAGAGATGAGGTACAGGAGCTGCGTGGGACAGAAGAAGGTGGCGGACAAAGAGAGGGCGGAGGCGGAGAAGTGTAAGTCGATGATTTACTTCCTGTTCTTGTATCTTGAGTCAAAGTGTGTCCGGTTTACGACGGTCTGTGTTTTTTCTGCAGTGTTGGATCGAGTCAACAAGGAGATGGCGAACCGTCAGGGAGAAAACGTGGATCTGGCCAAAGCCATCAAAGACCGCCTCAACCGTTTCCACTCCGAGATGATGGACCTGCGAGACGCCCTGAACGAAGCCGTGAACAACACCGCCAGAGCGGCGGAGATCAACAACGCCAACGAGAAAACTCTGGAGGACAACAAGGTGAGCGTGGAGAACAGGGAGGGAGTTTTAAGAGGACGGATATCCGCCGCCGTGAGTCTGACGTTTTCTTTTTCTGTCAAACACAGAAGAGGATCGAAGACCTGATGTCCAAGCAGAAGGAGGTGAACGACCAGTTAAACATGGCGGAAGACGACGTGGCGCAGGTCAACGATATGCTGTCCATGCTGCACGACTCCAAAGAGGTTAGATCGAACAGAAAAGACGTCAACTCTGCGAAGATCGAAGTTTTATACGTCTAGAAATCTGATATCGAATTAAACTTTCAGGAGTACGAGCGTCTGGCGGCTCAGCTGGACGGCGCCAGGGTACCGCTCGCCAAGAAAGTCCAGGACTTCGCCTGGACCGACTCCAAAATCCCCCTGGTGGAGAGGGCGGAGAAACACGCAGAGATGCTCAACACCTTAGCCATGAACCTGTCCAGGTAAACCACCAGTTACCCACAATCCTTTGAGCATCTGAGAGATCCAGGAGGAGCTTTAAAAAAAATCGTGTTTTTGCAGTTTGATCGAGGAGGCCAAGAGAGAGGGATTCGCAGACGTGACGCAATCCTACAACAAGATCATCAACAGCATCAAAGAGGCCGAGGAGAACGCCAAGATGGCCGACAAGGCTGCGAACGACACTCTGGAGGTAAGAGACGCACACAGACGCAGATTTTTGTACGAAACGTGCAGAACCGACCCTGACTGAAGCGGTTGTCTGTTTGTGCATCTTCAGAACATTAAGGACCAGGATCTGAGTCAGACCGCCGACTCTCTGAAGAACCACAGTATCGAGCTGAAGGACGAGGTGGAGAAGCTGAACGACGATCTAAACAACGGTAACCTCGAGTTTTCACTCCGGTCCTGAAGGTTTGAGTTTGATCTCCAGTTTGGATCTTCTGAGCTTTGTGGTTTTTGTGCCGCACAGATCTGAAGCCTCAGCTGGAGGACGCCAAGAAGCGACTGGAGGACGCCAAAACCAAACAGGCTGATGTGATGAAGGACCTGGAGATGGTCCAGAACAACCTCAACTTCACCGCAAGTACGTACAGTGAACAAGCGAAACTCCACGCCGTATGATCGAGAGAACGAGAACGACAAACGGTGAAAATGTGATTTCTCTCGTTCTCTCTGTGACGATCAGATGTGAGTCAGGAAATCGCCGACGCCAAAGAAGCTGCAGAACTCGCAAACAACACGGCGACGCAAGTCAACGATGCTCTGCGCCCCATCAAAGAGCAGCTGGACAAATGGACGCAGACCTATGGAGACGCCAACGCCACCAACGATGACATCAACAACGCCCTGATGGAGGCCAACAAGACCGGTAGAAGTTTGATTTTAACAGACAGTTAAACGTTTTTACTTCACCGACTGTTCCTCCTGACCTTCGCTGTTCTTCCTGTTCAGTTCAAGCTCTTGGCGAGACGATCCCCATGCTCATGAAGAAGCTGGACAAACTGCAGAATCACTCCGCCCAGATGCCGAACATCTCCGAGAACATCGACCGCATCCGACAGCTCATCCAGCAGGCCCGCAACGCCGCCAGCAAGGTAAACGCCTGACAGAGGCGACATCCGCCTGTAAGAGATATTTCTGGACGACCTCTGACGTGTTCGTTCTCCTCTCTCCTTCACTCAGGTGGGCGTACCCGTGAAGTTTAACGGGAGGAGCGGCGTCCAGGTCCGTACTCCTCGTAACTTGGCAGATCTGGCCTCCTACACCAACCTGAAGTTCTACATCACTCTGCCTGAAGCGGCACGAGGCAAACGGCAGAACGACGTCAACAAGCAGTTTGTCTTCTACCTCGGCAACAAGGATGTACGTTTGTTTTACGGACGAATACGTTGATTTTGAGGCGCGTCACACTCCCGTCACACAGTGTAAATATCTGTCTTTGTGGGTTTTGTAGTCCAGTAAGGAGTTCCTGGGCATGGCGTTGGTGGGAAAGAGGCTTCGCTGGTTCTTCAACATCGGAGGAGACACAGCCGAGGTGATGATGAACGAAGACGTCAAGTCGGATGGAAAATTCAACAGCGTGGTGCTGGAGCGGTATGTCGAACACTGACGAATGTTTATTTCTTTATTTGATCGGAACATTTTTTTTCCTTCACTTTGATCAAACGCGTTTGTAAAATCAGGACTCTCTTTAAAAGGAGATTTAGTTCCTGATGGGAAAGTTTCAGGTGAAGATAGATAGATGGATAAATAGATATACTTTAGATAAAGTAAAGATAAAGTAAAGAAAAGGTTAAAAAGAGTAAAAATTTAGAAGTTGAAGATTTTGCAGAAGAGCCAAAATATCTTCTGCAGAGAGCAGTGCAAGTGTGTTTTTGTTTTATTCAAGATAAACTTTTTAATTTAGTCCAGCAACATGTAGAAAGTCCTGAGTTACCTTTTCCAAAGTGCACTTATGTTTAGGGGAGGATTTTGTTGTTTTGAAGAAGGATACTGTACCGTCTCTAAAAGTCCTGATACTCATGTAAATGTGAAAGTGATGAACAAAACAATGAAGTATTAGATTTTCAGCTAAACCAAAACAAAAGTTCAGTTTCATTTGGGTAAAAGTAGCTGACTGCTCACCGAACAACCAAAACTACGACTTTATCATCTCTTAATTCTCATAACAGGATGTTTTTATTTTACTAACATAATAACTTCAACTTCAACAACAACCTTATTCTCATATCAGTATTATTTAAATCTCATAACAACTTGATTCTCATAACAAATTCAGTTAAATCTCATAGGTCTTTATTCTCATTATAACAGTATCATTAAATCTCGTTACAACTTAATTCCCATTAAAATATCATTTAAATCTCATGACAACTTTATTCTCATATTAGTATAATCTAAATCTCACAACTGAATTCTCATGACAATATAATTTTAATCTGATTATAGTTTTATTCCCTTAACAATATCATTTAAATCTCATAACAACTTTATTCTCCGACTTTTTTGACTTAGTATTTTGAGTCTGCTGAGACTTTAAAGTAACAGTGTTATAGATTTTATAAATCTCATCATAACTTTATCCACATAACAATATCATTTAAAATTTATAATAACTTAATTCTCGTAAAAACATTATTTAAGTCTCATAACAATAAATTTCTCATATCAGTATAATTAAAATCTCATAACAACCTAATTCTCATAACAATGTCATTTAAACTTCATAATAACGTAATTCTCATAAAAATATTATTTAAATCTCATTATAGTTTAAATCCCATAACAGTATCATTTAATCTCGTTACAACTTAATTACCATAAAAATATATATTTTAAATCTCATAATAACTTTATTCTCGTTACAATATAATTTAGACCTCATAATGACTTAATTCTCATATCAGTATAATTTAAATCTCATGAAAATTTAATTCTCTTTAACTTTAGACTGTCAACTTATTATAAAAGATCTTTTTTTTTGGCCCTAGTATGAAGTTATAAATCACAGGACTGTCATAGGATAATGTTAAGTCTTCACATCTTTATCTGTTTATGTATTCAGTGTTTTTGTCTCATGTTTTCTTCCCTCTTGGTCTGAACGCAGGATCCTGCAGTACGGTCAGATGTCCATGTCTTCAGAGGCGTCTGAGGGCGATCAGAGAGTCACCAAAGCTTACGTGGAGGCCGTCGGAGATCAGGGTCTGCTCAACCTCCTGACCGACGACACGGTCTTCTACGTGGGAGGATACCCGAGTACATTCAAAGTTAGTACAGGCAGGGGGCGCCGTGTGTCTGTGGAGGGGGTTATCGAAGTCAAACTGCTCCATTATATGTTCATTTAATTTGTCCTCGATTCTCACGAATAAAAAAGCAGCTGATTCCTGATTTCAAATCCAGCTCCTAAAGTCGGTCTTTTCTTTACGACAGCCGCCCGCCGCCCTCGCTCTGCCGCACTTTAAAGGCTGCATCGAACTCGACACGCTGAACGAGGAGGTGCTGAGTCTGTACAACTTTGAGAAGACTTTCCAGCTCAACACCACGGAGGAGAAACCGTGCGGCAGGTCGGTTCACACGCCGTCAAACTCATCCACGAGTGACGTTTTCTCTAAACTCATCAAACACTTGAACTCGCTCTCTCGTTTAATATCTCTTTGTGGTTTTTACAACGCCACAGGTCCAAGCCCGCGCTGACTCAGGCCTGGGTGAACGACGCGGCGTATTTCGACGGCACCGGCTTCGCTGAGATTAAGTTCACGGATGAATCGACTCGGATGCAGCGCTTCGAACAGGAAGTGAAGCTGCTGTCGCACAACGGAATTCTGCTGCTGCTGCAAAATGGGGTAAGAATTTACACTCATTTACATTTACACAGACAGGGATCACCGTAATTACCCAAATATATGAGCACAAATCCTGTTTTTACACATTTTGAAAACCTTAATTTGTGCTTTTATTTTGAAACAGCCATCACCACTCATCTTTTTTTGTGTTTCTTGGAGCCTGACCCACAAATGTTCATGTTTCTTTGAGTTAAAAACTTCTCCATGTCGTCCTCCGTCATCAGGCGCAGTTCCTGTGTCTGGCGGTGCTTCAGGGCAGGCTGAGGGTCTTCTACGATTTCACCGGGAAGCTGATGGAGCTCGAGCCCAAAGAGCCCTCGTCAGATTTCCTGAAGATCAGCGACGCCGATTCCAAAGCTGTAAATCATTATTTTACTTTTCATTCGTACTTTAAACCTTTTCCTTTGAGTCTCAAAATCGCATTCGATGAAACAGAGGTTGTTATGGACTCATGGTTTGTTGTTTCCGCTCGTCTAGTTGGAGATTATTATCCTGCGGTCGAGCCAGAAGCGTGTGGTGGTGAGAAACAACCGCCTCAGCCTCTACACCCACCAGTTCACAGAGGACATCCCGGCTTTCAGCGGCGTTTACTACCTCGGAGGAGTCCCAGAGAACAAGATGCCAGAGAAGTGAGTAGATATCAGGATCTCCATCGCTGTCAAACTGTTTTCAGGTCTTTGCACTTCATTTATGACCCCTGTCTCCATCTGTCTCCATCTGTCTCCATCTGTCTCCATCTGTCTCCGTCTCTTCTCAGGCTGAAGTCCCTGTTTTCGAAGCAGGGCTCTCTGAAGGGTTGTTTCAGGAACGTGAAGGCTCAGAACTCTCACATCGATCTGAAGAGGATGGTGAACTCTGGAGTCAGCTTCGGCTGTGACAGCGACCTCCTGGTGAAGATAACTCTTTACTCATCCGTTTGAGATTAGTTTAATAAAAACTGAATCAGAGTTTAATGAAACGTTAATTTGGAATCAGAAAAAATAGATTAATGTGCAGAAACACACTGAGGAAGTCAGGACTAGTTTAACTTAGACTGGGTGATTCTAGCCGATAGATAAATCGTCTGCATGGAGCCGAATCTCGACTTTCTTCATAAACGAGCCAGTGTTTCTTTTTTTAATAATCTTATCAGACTTTTGTGCGATTATTTAAGAGGATAAAACAGCAGATAGAGAGTCTGAAAAGGAGACCAGAAAGAAATAATGTCTGTCTGTAAATTTAACTCCTTTCAGTCGCGTTTAAGTTTCTGTAATTCCTGTGAAATTAAATCAAATCCACTCACCTGTGATGATTCGACACGTCTTGACCTGCTGTGCCTTCGTCATGCAGGTCGCTCGTGAGGGTTACTTCTCGGGTCAGAGCTACCTGGACTTCGCTCTGACCAACATCCCCACCCTCAGGAACAACTTCTACGCCAGCTTCAGCTTCAGGACGGAGCAGAAGGAGGGACTCATGTTCTACCATCAGGATCAGGTGAGGAAGAAAAACCTCCTCAGCTGCTGTTGAACATCTACGCCTCGTGGTCTTCACACTGAGACATTTATGGTCTTTTTTTGTGCAGGACGGAGTGTGTCAGGTGTTTTTACACGAGGGGCACGTCCTCGTGAGAGCGGGGAACAGTGAGATTAAGACGCACAAGACGTACAACGATGACAACAGCCACTATGTTTCCATCTACAACAACGTAAACGGGTAGGAAACGCCAAACTTTAGGATCTGTAAATCCTCACGTTAAGCTTCACATGACTTTTATGACATGAAAACTCGATCTCAACCTCAAACTGTTCATCAGGATGCGTCTTTACATTGACGACGTGTTGGAGAAAAATAAGGAGGGACTCCGGATAGACAGCCGTGGTCGAGGCGTGGCGACCTCAGCGGGGGGAACCTTCCTGGGAGGAATGCCGAACCACGGCCTCACCAATCTCACCGGGTGCATCAGCAACGTTTTCATCAAGAGGTGAAAAAAACCTGTCACATTTCCACTCCTTCTGCGTCTCAGTGATCCAACTCTTCTTCACACAAACATTAAACATGTAGGGAGTTGATATTTGACGGGTTTTAAAGTGTTTCATCCTGGTTTTCAGAGAAACGAGTCCTCAGATGGTTTTGAACCTCATGAAGGCGAAAGAAAACGTCAACGTTCCCATGGACTGTCCCGCTGCTAAAACACCCCAGCAGATTGTAGCTGCTCAGCCTAAACACAGCAACAAACCCAAGGTACACAAACACACACACACACACACACACACACACAAACACAAACACACACTGTCATTTTACTTTCCAACAAAACAGAAATCAAACTGAAAACAGAAACAGAAATCTCGACGATCATCAAGTCCGTGTTTTCTCTCTCTCAGGGGAAGCACAAGAAGCCGGCGGGGTCTCGCAGTCGGAACACCAGGGACTCGTGTCAGGGGGGGCCGTTGGATCAGGAGGCCGGGGCCACGCACTTCAGCGGCTCCACATACAGCTTCCAGAAATACGACTTCGTGCCCGGCTCCCTCAGCTCTCTGTGAGCGTCGACACAAACGTACAAACATGAACATCCTCCCTCAAAAGTGTTTTTTTTTAACGTCTCTGTGCGTCTCCGCTCTCCGCCCTGCAGGCCTCACATCTCCATGTCCGTGAGGATCAACTCCTCCGACGGTTTGGTGCTCTACGCGCCGAACGGGCAGCGCGGCGGGGCTGTGATGTCACTCAGCGTGTCAGAGGGTCACCTGCTGCTTCTGTTGGACGGAGGGAAGAGGAAGGTCAGCCTGCGCAGCCGCAAGAAGTACAACGACGACCAGTGGCACACGGTGAGGTCACATGACAAGACTAACCAGTGATCAAGTCAGCTCTGTCTCTATCTTTACAAAACTTCAAAACGTCTTGGTGAGCCCCGTGTGGACGCTCGAAGAACTGCAGTTTGTTGAACTTTATCGATGTCTTTATCATCAAAGTCAGCAGGCTGCTGCTTCAAGCTTTTCTACCTTCATTTAATCTCCTCTAGTTTTTAAAAAATGCAGCTTTGTTGCACAAATTCTGCAAAATTCTGAATATTTAAGATTGAACTAACGAGCAAACGGTTTTCAAGATTAGAGAGAAAGTTCGTGCGGGATAAAGCGGCTTCTGTGAATGTTTGGAAAAACGTTATCGAAGCATTTTAGATTTTAGAAAATCACATTTTTCTGAGCTGTGCTTCGTACTTTTGTTAAGTTTTTATTTTGGGGCTTCTTTCCCCTAATTTAGAGCGAACCAGACCGTGAGTGAACTGCACTCAGAGATGAAGTTGTTTTGTGACTGAGACAGCTGATGTCAGTCTTATTTAACTCCATATCTAACCCTCTGTTTTTCTAGGTGTTCATAAAGCGTGAGGGGGAGAAGATCAGCCTGATCGTGGACGGCATCAGCGCTCAGTCCAAGAGGATCCCCGGAGGAGAGAAGACTCGTCTTACCGGACCTCTTTATATCGGAGGAGTGCCGCCATCGCTGACGGTAAAAAAACATCCAGAAAAGACGAACGCGTCTTTAAATCACAGATCTGTAAAATGAGGCGTCTAAAATTGATTTCTGACATGAAAATCAATAAATCAGGTTTTTGTTTGGGTCTTCAGGCTCCTGCTGGTTTCGTCGGTTGTGTCAAAGACCTGACGCTGAATGAAGCCCCTGCAGGAAACCCCGCTGACAGTCAGGGGACGGTCCCCTGCTTCCTCAGCCCTCTGCAGCCCGGAGCGTACTTCTCTGGACAGGGAGGTCACATGACTATAGGTACATCCATCACTCTTCTCCTTCTTCTTCTTCTCCTTCTTCTTCTGTGTTTTTGTTCCTCCTCTCTTTACGTCCAGCCTTGTCCTGACTCTCTCCTCCTCCTCCCTGCAGATGAGTCTTTGGCTCTGGGTCGGGATCTGGAAATCCAGCTGGAGGTTCGGCCCCTCTCGGACTCCGGGCTGCTGTTGCATGCTGGGATTTCACCTGAGCAGCATCTGAGTTTGGTTCTCAATCAGGGAGAGGTGAGCGCTCGCACTAAACCGCAGATACTTTCATCAGATGGTAACAGAAAGAAGCCGAATCGATGATAAACCGTTTGTTTTTGTGTTCAGGTGACAGTTTCAGTGAACGCCGGTAAAGGTGGATTCTCGACCTCCTTCACACCTGAAGAAACTCTCTGTAACGGACGCTGGCACACCATCACAGGTGGGTTAAAAGACGACTAACTGGACTGGACTACTGTAAATCCTCAGATGATAAAAACTGAGTCGACTCGTTCATCTAATTTAACATCATTGTCAACTTTTACACCAAGATTTAAAACTGTGGCTTTAAAATAATGAGGTAACGGAGAGTCCGGCTCCTTTGTGTCCCTTACATCTAGATAATGTTGTTTGTGTCGTTTTGTCTGCAGTCGTGAAGAAGAATAACGTCCTGCAGCTCCACGTCGATGCAGCCAGCGAGCACAGCGTCGGCCCCAAACAGAGCCGCTCCTCAGGGGTCAAAGACGCCGTTTACCTCGGAGGAGTGCCGGGTGAGAACACACCTTCACTTTACTCTGCGTCCTGTCAGAGTCTTCTGTGGTTGCATTATTGCATGATGAGCAAACGTGGATTAAATACAATATATCACATATTCAGGGATGTGATTGGCTAAAGACACGTTTGAACTTTCCTGCTTTATTTTTTGATGTTTATTTACTTCTTTTTTTCTCTTATTTTGGATTTTAAACTCTTAATGTGCAAAAACAGCAAACGCAGCTTAACCATCAGCTCTGTAACCTTCGATGATGTTGTTTCCTTCTCTCTCCACCAGATGGCGTCACAGTTCCAGGTCTACCTGCCACCCTGCCCGCCTTCCACGGCTGCATCCGCATAGCGAGCATCAACCACAGACCTGCCATGTTGTCCAAACCGCTGTCTGTGAGCGGGGCGGTGGGAACGCAGGGCTGCCCGCACATGTAACACACACACACACACACACACAGTCTTACCCTCACATTCCCCGTCTTCAAATCACTGGTGGTGGGTGTCACGTTACAGTAGCTAATTTAAAATATATATTAATATTTATTTTCTATTTTCAGAAAAAAACAAATGTATATTTTATATTTCCTGGTTTGTCCTTTTCATCATCATTATTATTATTATTATTATTATTATTATTATTACTGATTTGTTTTTGTGCTACAACAGTGACTGCACACAGAGACGCACTGAAACAACAATCAAACGTCACTTCTATAACATTTGTAGTATATTGTAAATAAAACCAAAACAGCTGGAAGTTTGGAAAAACAAATAATGTCATCGCTTGTCTTCAAAAACGTAAATATACGATGTTTTTAGCTGATGATGGTGCATCTCAAAGCGAGATTTTCTAGATTACCTACTGAGTCGGTACACTGTGAAGACTGTGAAGAGTTAAAGTCCTCAGGCAGCACAGATGGGAGACGTTCCTGTAATGAGGACGAGGAGCGGACCTCCGGGATTCTTCTCAGAGTTAATTCAGTCTCAGTCACACTGACGAGCACAGATTTAAAAAAGTATGAAACTCACAGCCTCCATATAATTAATGCATCCTGGTTATAAGTTAAAACATCATAACAATGTGTTTTTAAAGTGGGGATGTACGGTGGCCCTGAAGGTCAACAGCACAAATATGTCAGAGAGGCAATAAATTAAAAAAAAGGAGTGAATGGAAAAAATAAAACATTTGAAGACTCAAAAACAAAACAAAAAAAGTTCAATATATTTCAGAAAATACAAAAATATTTTTGAAAAACAAAAAAATCACAAAAACTAAGAAATATTTTTATAATGTGAATAAACTCTACAAAGATATTTTTGAAATGTAAGCCCATTATGAAAACATTGAAACTACTTTGCAAACAAAAAAATAAAAACTCCAAAATTTTGGAAAACAAAAAATTCACAGAACGAAAAATATTTTTCTGATTGAAAAATGTTCGTCAAAATATTTTCATGTTTCAATGAATTAATTTCTTGTTTTGTGAATTTCGACTGTTGTGAATTGGCGCTATATAAATAAAATTTGATATGATTGATTGAATTTATCTGTTTATGTTAAATAAATATTTATGTCGTTGACCTTCAGGGCCACTGTACATCGGAACCCCTTCTACAGAACATAAAATAAGACAGATCCAGCATATATTACATCACTACATTTTACGATTTCTTATTTGTAAAATTTTAATTTATTTTATGTATTTTTTATTTTATGTAGTGGATTTCAGCTCCAAAAGTTAGTGGATGGAAACATCAAGATAGTTTTGAGGTATTTACTTCCTGAAATCAGACGTCCTCCTCCTCCTCCTCCTCATGTTTAATTTGTTAAATTAATTCGTTTAAGTATCTGAGACTTTATTTACTTTGATGAAGCTGCGTTCAGGTCACACAAGAGTTCACGTAAATCAAATTTACGACCAAGAATGAAAACTTTTCTCTTTTTAAATGAAACTATTCGACTCGTGTCCGTCACAGTCCAAACTAACTTCATCCCCTCTCTCATGTGACCTGAACGCAGCTCTTCCCGTCCGTCACCTCGTGTCCTGGTTGCGGGCGCCGTCTCCCGTCTCTATTCAGTCGTAAATGTCATCATGTACCAAACCTGCCTGTGAAGCTTGTATGTAAAATAATATAACCACTTTGTAAACTTGTTAAAGTCACAGAAAGAATAAGCTGTCTGTCCCCGTCACTCCCTGCCCTCATGTTGTAAATCTGTTTCTGAATAAAAGAGTTTTTTTCGTACGACTTTTTCTCTCTGGTGTTTTTTTTTCTCTGTGAATAAAAAGACATGAGATCAGATGTTTTTATTGCCACTATGATTTTTTTATTAAAGAGTAAATCACCAAAAAAAAAAGCCCGAAAGAAGAAGCAAACTTAAGGCTGGAGTCAGAGAAGGTTTCCCCCTCTGTCCTTTCAAAATAAAAGTATGAGAACAACAAAGATGGTGGTCACAGTCAGAACTGCTCTGTCTTTGGTGAGGTGAACTAAAGCACAGAGGTGAAGATCAGAAAAGGAATCACAGCTGATTTTCCTCCAATGAGGTTTGGCGGCACGAGCTCTCAGTCCAGACTCATGTCCTCGTCGTCGTCCTTCTTCTCTTTGGTGTCTCCTTTGGCGCCCTGCATGGCTCTCGCAAACGCCTCCACATCTGACAAGACGCACAGAGAGAAAGAAGTATGAAGTATTTTCCCGCTTTAATGATTTGACACTGATTTAGAGAGTTTTGGGTCTCGTCTCTCGAGCTCTGTGAGTGTGTGCTGTTTGTGTGTCTCCTCTCACCTCCTCTGTTGGCAGCGTCCACAGCGTCCGCCGGGAGGCCGAACTGAGTCAGGAGCGGACCGAGCTGCCCGGAGGCCAAGGCGCTGCTGAACATACTCATCGCCTGGAGGGGGAGGAGTCACAGGAGTTACACGCAGGTTTATTCAGCACTATCTGCAGCTGTTTGACACACTTACAGGCTGATTTAATTAACAGAGGATCCTTAATTTAATGTCTGATGTGGATCGTTTACCTGCTGGAACTGAGGCGAGTTGATGGTGTTCTGGATCTCCTCTGCGCTCTGAGGTAGACTTTCTCCACTGGGCAGGAACGGCAGGAGTCTCTGCTGAACCTCAGCGTTGGTCAGGATGGGAGCCATCATCTCCGGGGTGCAGACGCTCGCCAGGTCCACTACAGAGCGAGACAGCGGTCCCGTTAGACACATGTACTTTTTCTTCTTCTTTACTTTTAGTTTCTTTTTCAGTAAATGAAAATCAGAAATAGTGCTAAATCAGACGACTCACCAGCCGATCCCTGAGCGGCTGAAGCCGGGACGTTCATGGTGGCGAGGATGCTCTGAAGGTCACTAAGCTGGATGGGCTGGTGGGAGGCGGGGCTTCCCACAGAGGCAGGGGCCACTGGGGTCTGAGCCGCGGCTGAGGGGATTAAAAACGAAGCCTTTACTCTCTGACAGCTCTTCATCTTTATGTTTTTAGTAAATCTGCGTTTTGGACTTTGTGTACCTGGTGTGGACGGAGCCACAGTCGTCGGGGAGACGGCAGAGGCAGCCGGAGTCACAGGGGTGGTGGGGGCCTGAGTGGAGCTCTGTCTGGGGGCTCCACCTGAGGACGGGGTGGCTGCTGCTGATTGGCTACGAGAGCTAAAGAGGAGGAGGAGGAAGAGGAGCAGATTAATCCCATCCTGACATTTGTTGCGATCTCAGTCTGGATTTGAGCTCATGTGTCCGTGTCGTCTCACCTGGATGACGAGCTGCTCGTCGCCGGTCCTCCGCTGCCCAGTAAGTTGGCGAGACCTGGACCTGCCAGAGCTCCCAGACCTCCTCAGACAAACAAAACTCGATCAAACAGGGTCCAAACTGATTTCAATTCCACATCTAAACATGTCAGGGATCACGCTGCTCACCCAGTCCTCCCAGTCCTGTCGGTCCGATCAGCTGCATCAGCTGGTTGTGGCTCATGTTTCCCAGCAGGTTTTGCAGGCCTCCTTCTCCCCCAAGTGCAGAGAGTTCATGGCCGCTGCCGCCTCCGCTGCCTGGAGCTCCGGGGATGGGAGGGTTGTTCAGGTACTCGTTCACCTTACGGCAGTACTCCTCGTCTTTATCGGTCTTGGGCTCCTGAGGGGAAAACCATCATCATCTCAGTTTCTCAACTCAAAAAACAACCACACCTGACTTTATTTCTTCAACTTCAACTCACCTGCATCCAGAAGAAGAGCCTCTTGGACCCGGCCTTGAACTTCAGCACGTAGACGCGCCCGGTGGTGCACTGGTTCACTCGTTTAAATTCACAGTCATCGGGGAAGATGATCAGGTCCTGGAGGAGGAAAAGAACAACATAAGACGTTCAGAGAGGAAGACAAGAGCGAGCATACACCGAGGACGCTCCGCCACAAGCGATGATCATCAAACAATCACTGACAGGGGGAACCAGCGAGCATTACCGTGGGTCACCTTGTGAGGTCTAAATCAGGACTCGCTGCTGTGTCAGCGTGAAAAACGTTTGTGTGTGAAGCAGAATGAGGATCTGGGGCGACACAGATTCGTGGTCCTCTGCAGGAGCGCCGCCTCTGCTCCGGGTTTGTCTGAGGTATTTGTGGAATGTGCGACATGTCTGAAGATAGTAACGACTTGTGTGACGCCGAGCTCGAACACGGTGTGATCAGACCAGCTGCCACAGTCTGTGCTCATTATCTCTGTGTGAAACTTTAATCATCATCAGTCGACTAACTGGACTGTTCCATGATGAGTTTAGGGTTACTCACAACATCAACGTTCCCGGTGGTCCGGTCCTTCCAGCAGAAGTGGATCAGAGAGTCGTCAGACTGCTGGATGTACACCATGCCTTTACGTTTGTCTGGAGTCACGATGTTCCCCTTTAAGGTCATTTTTCCTGCTCGGAACTCCACCAGGTACTTGCTCGAGCTCCCCCTGGATCCGCTCACCAAGCTCGGGAAGAGAGCTCCGGACGACATCTTAAGACCTCTGTGAAAACCAGGACAACTGTAGGGAAGATAAAGAGGGAAACTGACATGAAAACTCCAGCATGACCACGATCAGACAGAACACAGAACTGAAACTGCAGAACTGAACAATTAATGTTTTACATATTTAATATTTTTGCTCTTAAATTAGCTGATGAGGTCAGACTTCAACTTTTTAAACATATAAATATTTTTTTACAGTTTTAACCACATTACATGAGTGATTCAAAAACACAAACACACACAAAAAAAAAACCGTTTCATTCTAGGACAGAAATTTGAGATGTCAATAACATTTAGTCAGAATTAAAAAATGTTTTGCAGGTTATTTACACAAAATCACATCTAATCACATCTAATCCATAAACAACACAAATATGTCAGGAAGGCAATAAATTAAAAAGGAGTAAATGGAAAAAAATTAAAGGCTCAAGAAAAAAAAACAAAAACAAGAAAATGTTCAATTTATATCAGCAAATACAAAAATGTTTTTGAAAACACAAAAAATTACAAAACTAAGAAATATTTTTGAAATGCAAATAAATTCTACAAAGATATTTTTGAAACATAAGCCCAACTATAATAACGTGTTTTTAAAATGGGGATGTACAGTGGCCCTGAAAGTCAACAGCACAAATATGCCAAGAAGGCAATAAATCAAAATTCAAATAGGAATTAATGGAATAAAAAAAAATAAAGATTCAAAAACAAAACAATTAAACAATTAAATGTTCAACATAGTTCAGAAAATACATAAAATATTTCTAAAGAAAAAAAATTACAAAACCTATGAAATATTTTTGGAATGCAAATAAGCTTAAAGTTATTTTGGAGATGTAAAAATACTTTTGAAAACAAAAAATTCTCAGAACAAAAAAAATATTTAAGAAAACATTTTTTGATGATAATTTTTCTGATTGAAAATGTTTATCAAAATATTATCATGTTTGAATAAATTCCTTTCTTGTTTTGTGAATTTATCTGTTGTTTATGTTAAATAAATATTCATGTCATTGTCCTTCAGGGCCACCGTACATCAGGACCCTTTTACAGAGTACGAAAGAAGACAGATTCAGATTTATGATCCACTTTAAGTCTCTTAACGATGAGCAGAGATCCTGATGATGTTTGTTAAAGATGATTACATTATTAGTTCAAGAACACACACAAAAAATAACTTCTTCATCGAGATGTCAAAAACGTTTTCCAGATTTAGCATAACGAAGCTAACGGTTTAGTCAGCATAATTTGGTTTTCAGCAGGTAATTCGCAAAAAATCACATCTAATCCCTAAAACTCGACAGTTACTCTAATTTCTCTGCCAAACAGAAAAGTTTTCTCTTCAGTTAAAGTTTTTATAATCTCACTTTTAGACTCTCTAAAGTTTAGCTGCTCAAAGTTTCGTGTCATTGTGTTTGTCGACGCTAACGTTAGCCCATGACGAGGCTAAACCTGCGACTTTAGGCCAAACTATTACCATCTTTGAACCTACTTAAGTCATTAAAACTTCTTTTTTTTGTAATAGACGTGTTATAACAAACAAAAGTTGTGAGAAAGGACTTTTTTCAAACAGAAGAAATCACAGTAAAATACCTGAATTTGTTGTTGAAGAGTTTCCAACAAGTTTTTCTTCTTCTTCTCTGTCTCTGCTTGGATCTTACGAAGCTCACGGTGCATTCACGGAACACCTAAATAATCAGCTGACGGACTTGACGTTTCAGTGCCAAACAAAGTAGGGTTGAAGAAGAAAGGTAAGGAGGCCAAATGTGAATTTGACAAAGTTTTTGGTTTCTCGGATTAAAAAAAAAAAAGATAACAACTTGGGAATGGCTTCTTGATTTTTTATTATAAGTAAGTTATTACATTTTGAGGGAGCTTGTCCATAAACTCACATGTTTATATCTCTAACAGCAAAGATGGTAGTGTAAATTGAAAATAAAATTACTCATTGGGACTTGAGAAGCTCCTTAGAGTGACATAAGAAATATTTGTCTAAAGAATGTGGAGTATTTTATTTGTAGTGACCAATTTGTTGTAAATAATTCATTTAGGAATTGTGCGTGCATCACAACTGACAAATTAATATGTTCTGATTTGAATTTGAATTTCTAAAGCTGAATTTTTTTGCATCAAAATCAGACTTTGAATCTTACACTTCTTTTTTTCACAATGATGAAATAAATTCAGTGTAAAAAAAAATCAGTCCCTCAAAAAATTCCTGTAGTAAAAATACTACTTTCAAAAAAAACGTGTTCAAAAAAAATTCAGTGTAAAATAATTCAGTATCAAAAAAAATTTCAGTGTAAAAGAGACTGACTCAACATCCAGGTAATCAGGAAAAAGCGATCGATTCCTCAATAAACAATTTTGCATTTCATTCAGTGGGGTGAGACTGTGTAATATTATGGGTGAGGAGTTAAAACAACGTCCAAACATAAAACAATTTAAAACAAAATATAAAGAAGATGTTTTCACGGGATACAGGGATGTACAATCATAGTAACTATTACCATTATCGTCATTGTTTTGTTATTTTCACAGTGGTGATAATTTTTATTGCTATTATTACTATAATGATTGATATTATTGTGTAATATTATGATATATATTTAAGCCATTAGTGTAGGAGAAGAGGCAGGACTAGATAAGACTCGACTTCTTCCACTCCTTTTTGAACATGAATAACTTTTTGTCGTTGTTGTTGTATTCTTTACTTTTTATATAAACCTATGTTCAAAATAAACTTGAATCAATCAGAAAAATATATGGTCTGTTGTGCCAGTATCATTTTCACAAAAAGTGCACATGTTGTCTTCTATATTAAATCGCCGGTAGAAAAAACATTTTTGTTTTGTCTACCAGGGAGTATACTTCATTTTGGAGTTGCAAGTTGTGCATCGTAACTGACAAATCAACGTCTTTCCACAAATCTAAACCTTTCACCTGCAAGATCAGAATTTATTAATGTCCTTTCCCCAAAAAACTCCTCTCTAAAATATATAAAATAATATTACAATCTGACAAAATCATATCTCTGCCATCACAAAAATGGCAACAAGACCTGTCAATTGCTCCTGATGCCGACTTCTGGACCCAAATCTGTGAAAACATTTATCTCATGACTAATAATGCTAATTTCCGAGGGATTCTTGAACGCACCGTGCCTTACTTCCGTGTTGATTTCCTGTCGTGTTCGTGTGCGCGCCTGGCGGTGGCACCGTGAACGCGCAGAGGCTGTAGTGGGAGGGACTCCGCTCTGCCCGGATTGACAGCTCGCTCCCTCCTGGTGTAGCCGTTAGCCCCGCTCCGTGACTCCACTACCGGCTGTTTGAATGGTCTAACGGCGGAAAGCGGAGAGCAGAAACTGGGATGAGAGTGTTATAAAGAAGAAAATCCAAGAAGAAATCCAGAAGAAATCCGCGGTTTTCCCGGAGTTTTAATAAAAAGGTAAGAAACACTGAGAGTTAGCTCGAGGCTAACGTTAGTCAGCTTTACTGTCCTTGGATTAGTTAGCGAGCTAAGAGCTAACTGTCTGATTCAAACCAGGCTAGGCTAAACCAACATGGATGCTCCCTCTGTGTGTGTGTGTGTGTGTGTGTGTGTGTGTGTGTGTGTGTGTGTGTGTGTGTGTGTTTGATGCCTGGAGATTATCCGCTTTAACCACGGTTTGATTCCCCGAGCCGACCCGGTATTTTCTAGTTCGGTTTCCAGTCACGAACCAGGAGCCCAGCAGACGTCTGAAGCTCATCCTGCGGTCTTATTATCGATTATACTGATTATTACTATCTCTCTGTCTCTAAATGACAGATTTACCAGGTGACAGAGTGAGGAAACCTCGCAGGATAAATCCGGATTTACAGTTTGAATGGTCAAGTGTTTGTGTTTCTCTCCTCTCTTTGTAACTTCCCAACAAACTTGATTGATTGATAGCTCGTCGTCTGCAGGTTATTTTGGATCAATAGCCAAGAGGTCTGAATTATTTCCATTGTATGTGGAGCTGTGTCTATTGCTGGTGTAATCTGAAATAGCCGGAGAAGAGCCTCTGCTGTTTCTGTCCTCATGCGATAGAGAGGCAGGTGTTACAGGCAGACTGACTCTGTGTGTTTGAGAGAAAGAGAGTGAATACATGAATATAACAGGAGGTTTCATTAACTGAAGTACACACTGGGAGGTTTGGTTAGAATCAAGTAGGGCTGGGCGATATAGGAAAAAGTTTTTATTTTTCATATCAGTCGATTTGAGCTGGGGCGATTTGTTGACATATTCCACTACAAAAATTCGTTGACGCAAAAACCTGTGTCGACACGTCACATGATGGCGTGGAAAATGGTTACTTCAGGTAACGGTGGACGACTGGACCCACCTAACAGAGTCGATTTCAAACCTACTTTATGATGATCTCTGAGCAGCTCCTCCTGTGTTCTTCCTCGCTTCCTCGTTCATATTTGTAGCCTTTTCTGTGGCGTGGCGCTGCTTCAGGTGGTGAAAAAGATTGGAGGTATTCCCCGACTTTGTGAGAACATGTACTCAACATAATTTACAGTACACATTACTCTGCTTCATGACCGACCTCAAAAAACCACCACCAACAGTGCTGTCGGCTTCACCTGTTAAAGTGCTATGGTTGGGTATGGTAGAGAAACTCCCCTTTTCATTGTCTATTTGTATAGTCTACCAAAACATGGCAGAATGTCGACTATCGAAAAGGAAATTGACCATGTTTTATTTTGATATTGAGGGAAAGTAATTGTCTGTATATATCAAGCAGTTATTACGGTCACAGAACCATGTCCTGATACAGAACCACTTGGCAAACCTGGACTAGATTATCTTGGAGGGCCTATCAGAGATTTCAGGGTTTATGCACTGTCTTCTGTTATAGTGAGTCTAATAATTACAAAAGACCCACATGGGATGAATAAAGAGTATATGCTGCTGCTGTTGAGATCTCCAGAAAAGGTATCATCAATAAATAGTATAATGGCTTTTCTCGCCTTTTTAGATTGAAGTTTGATCAGCAGTGCATCTCCAGACATGAAGGCAGACAGCTCAGTGTTTTAAAAGCCACATCGGTTCATCCTCAGGCCACACTGAACTCAGGGAGTGGCTGATCACTTATGGTGTAGTTCAATGTTTCATGTCTTTTAATCGTTTTTAGACCCCCCTGAGCGCCTCTTTACAAATCTGCATCAGCTCTTAACATCACGTCATCTCTCTGACTCAGCGGGGGTCTTCTGGTAGTGTTGGATGATGTCAGCAGGATGATGATGTCTGGCGTGAGCGGTCATCAGTGAGTCAGATAAGAGGCAGCAGTCACATTAAATCAGGTTACACCTCCAGAACAGAGCAGCAGCAGTAGGTCAGAGGAGAGATTATCACTGCTGACACTCTGCAGGATATAAATGTGGTTTATATATAACTAATTTATGACCATTTTTTCTCCGTGTCGGCGAGGATCGCCCGGTTTGCACCATGTGAATGTGAATATAAATGACTGAAATGTTTGACTCTTTGGATAAAAACACAGAACTCCACAGTGCGACTGTTTCACTCACATTTGCAACTAAAACAGATGTGTGCAAATTGTAAAATGTATTGAGGGTCACATGTGCGTTTACAAAAATTAGCAGAGGCAACAAATGTTTTTTCACGCGGTGAAGTTAGTTTTAGGTTGGATATATTTTCCTGTAAATACGGTGGTGAAGTTAGTTTTAGGTTGGATATCTGACGGATATTCACTGAGGATCTACCGGTGTCTTCTTTACTCTCTGGTCGGGCCCTAATGTCATGTGACCAATTGGCCTAAAATTGATTTTAAATAGTAGTAGTTAAGTCGACCAATAAGACACACCTCTTTACTTCCCTAATTTGTCCTCATAAGATTTTTGTGTTAAATTTGAAGGCAAATTTTGAACATTTTCTACAATAGCCCTGATGTCATGTGACCAATTGACCCAAAATTGATTTAAAATAATAGTACTGATATCGACCAATAAGACACACACACCTTACTTTTTCAGCGTAGGTGTCAAGCCCTGAATCACCCGTTAAACTCCTGTAGAATTAGAGCGAAGCCCGCCAGTTTTCAGGTTATACAGGAAACACAAACTATCCTGTTTGAAAGTGTCGAGATCCAGCTCCGATCAAGAGATTTACAGCTTCAGCTCTTTAAAGTGTAAATATTTCCATAAAGCTAGATTAAATTTTGTTTATTACTGTTCGATGCATTTTTCCATTTGTTCTCCTCTGAAGGATTTCAACCCCCAACCCGCCCTAAAAAGGAGCAGATTCATGTTTTCATATAAATCCCTTCTGTGCGGATCCTAAACTGGAGTATTAGCTGTGCTGAAGTGTTTCCTGTCAGAGTGTCTCTTCCATGACCCTTGAAAACCTAAAATTATCCCCCAGCTGGGATCCCTACTTTGGCTCTCTGGTATTTGGTTCTGATATTTGTATCCTCTCAGTGTGACCCGGTTCGTGTTCAGTCTCTGACATTAGAATCAAAAGAGTTGATGTCGACAGCAGGAACTGAGCTCTACAGAACCACTCCATTCATGAATGATTGAACCTCATTTTCCGACCCGATGAATGAGTGACAGACCCGCCCAGTTCAGAGTATTTTTATCCTTTTATTCTGTACGGTTATTCCAACTGAATTTACGCCGCCTGACTTCAAAAAGAGAGAGGGTCTTGGCTGTTGCTGTCAGCTGTCATGTGGGTCTCACTTCCTTGCGTACACATATAGAAGGTTAAAGGTGTAAAAACAAGACGTCTTACACTCGATAACTTTGTTGTGCACAAAAGAAAGACGTCTTAACAGAGGTGCACCATACTTTTCTGCACATTTGTGAAAACCTGCATTTGAATAGGATTAAGTTTTTTTTTTGCACAGATTTCTTAAATACAAAAAGGTCACGAGTCACGAGTAAATCATTGCACAGCTTAAAAACCTGGGTGGTAAAAGACAGACGAATCAGATCTGAGGTTAAAACGTCAAGAGAGAATTTCTACAAACTTCGAACAGAGTTTCTCAATTTATCATCAGCTTTTTACAACTTTTTTCAAATAAACCAGAGCATTTTGAATCAGATAATCATATTTAAATATATTAAATAATCATGTTATCAGATTTAGTGAATGACTTGGTATCAGCTTCTCAAATGAAAACAATCGCAGCTTTAAATCAGAGTGAAATAACAAGTCCTGTATTTCAGATCTTGTTTAAGTTAAGGTCCTTTCACACCGGGACCGTTTTTGTCGTGCGATTATTTCAGACATCAATATTTTTTTTGAACCCGTATCCTGTCAATACAAGCGTTCACATCAGTGACGTTTTCCCGTCCTGCGATATTGCGGCATTGTGGTCGTTTTTTCTAAAGTTTCGCAGACTGTGTGTCCACTTCCGACCAATCAGATTTCGTGTTGTTGCGACGATCTGAAACATTATAAAGATAATGACCTGAAGGACAACATATCTTTGGATTTCTCATATGACAATGGTTTATGTGCTTTAACAGTTTGATAAACGTCTTTGTTTGAACTTTCATCTGTGCTAATGTAAGATAACGGTTGTTATCAGAGTTTCATGTGTTTATCTTGTCGCCTCTGATTGGCTATAAGTGCTGACGGTTTGGCTTGAGCGTGTGATGACGTCTTTGTGAACTCGCAAAATCGCATCGGGCTTGATATGTAAGGTCAGGCGCGTCAGAATTCGGCTCAGAATATTTCATAATTTCACGTTCTATACTCGCCCCGGTGTGTACGGGGTTTTAAACTACAGGATTGTTGTCCTCTCTAAAGTTTAATTTAATCAGATTTAAACAGTAAAATGCAGAAAAACTGGATTATTTTTGATTAAAGATTTACTAAACAAGAAAAGGTTTGACCCGCCGAGGCCGAGAACAGAGCTGTGGACACTTTTACTCCGTCGGTGTGAAATAGTTTTACTGTATTTGGTTCTGAGGATTCCTGAGTGTTGAGTTTATGAGGGTCAAAGGTCGTCCTCTCTGTTAGTGTAAATTGAGTTCGTTCAGAGTCATGAGTCGCTCCACCTGCTGTTTTCTCCATGTGTAACTGCTGGACTTCTCTTACAGCAGGAGACTCAGGAAAAGCACATTTTAACTCTGACTGTAAATAATGAGGAAATGGCGCCCGGTCTAACCTCATGTCATGAGTCTTGTCATGAGGACGTCCCAGGTCCTGTGATAACGGGTCACATGGTTCCTGTCAGATACTCACCTTCACTTTCCTTTTCCCTTCAGTCGTCAGGCTCTGGCTCTGCCTCCCCCTCCCCTCTGAGCTGCTCCCTCCTCTGTCTGTCAGTCCATCTGTGTCCCCCCCTCCCCTCCATCTTCATCATCAATCTCGCTGTTCTTCTCCATCGTCCTCCTCCCTCTGTTGTTTGACAGTGCTTTAGTCCTGGTGGATCCTGAATGAAAAGTGTGATTCTCACTGCAAACCTGTTAATGATGTTCAGAGAGACTTTGTGATTTTATCAAGATTAAAATAGAGCAGCAGGATTTATGCGGCGCTGCTGCTGCTGCTGTCACACCTGAGCTGACTGAGCGCGCTCACTGAGCTGTGAGGCGTGCTGAGGAACTATCTGCTGCTAGAGAAACATTTGATGTGACAATCACAGCACCAACCTCCTGAAATATCACGTTTAACTGTGGATTAGACATAAAAAACACACACACCAAACCTCAGCGTGAATGACTCCCATCTAGAAAATAAATCTACTTTGAAGAGTCTGACCATATAATAAGTTTTCCTATTATGAACTCTACTAAACATTTAAATCTGCAACTTCGAGCCAGTTTCACTATCGATCATTTAGCAGAACATTTTCATGAGTAAAATCTACACCCTGGGTCAGATTTAAGTCTAAATTCAACTTTTTTTGTTCTTTATTTACTTGTTTTTTATTTGTTGATGGTAAAGTCTGAATTTCTGAGATTTTTTATGAACTAAAATTAAAGCAAAGACTGGCAGCAACTTTTTTACGTGTGCCATTTTCGCTCAGTTGGTGGCGTGGGCGCTTCATGGATGTCGGCGTAAGATCCGATCCTGGTCCTGATATGATTTAGTGAGGTTTAAACCTCATCCTATGAAATTAAAGGGATATTCCGGCATAAAATCAAGTTAAGGTCGCTCTATAGGTGGCGTTTTAGTTGAGTGTGCCATAATATCCCTTTAAGGCTGAAAAAAAAACTTTAAAAAATGATTGAAAAATTTTAGTTTAAAGGTCAAAGTCACTGCAGCTCTAAAACGTCTCCACAGTGAAATCTTCCTCTTCAGGGTCCAAGTCATTACTGTGATGCACTCTCCTGCACTGTTAGCATGAGTGTGTCCATAAAGAAGCTCGTACAGACAGACAGCTGATCAGACATTCACTAATGAATTGGATCGTTCTTTTAGCATCACAGCGTCTTTAAACCGAGGCGTAGAAAATAAAAGCAGAAACTGAAGAGCTGAGGGAGAGACGTGGAAGTGGGCGTGAGTTTAATCTGACAGAAATACCTTTTCTTTTTTTTCCCCATTTATCTCAGACATGTAATCTTTTTCACGTACCTTGACATGTCTCGGCGGAAACTTTCGCCCTCCGCAGAGGAAATATGTCAAGGTATGTGAAAACGAGTACATCTGAAAAAAATTCAAAGAAACTGAAGATTTAATGAACGTCATTCAACATTGATAGAAATACCTTTTCCCCCCACAGTGGGCCCTTTGTGCTCAGCTTAATGTAGTTTCTCTGAAATCACTAAAGAAGTTATAGATGTTGTTAAACTCGTGCAGATATCTACCTACAAACAAACGCTGACTCTTCAAAGGTAGCATCATTCTCTATTCCAGCGTAAAATTAATTTAGGGTCAAACCCACCGTAACACCGAGTTAGACCCCCCCCTCCAGAGATGAATGTTGCCGACCGCTTGCTTCTCTAGTTATACCAACTTTAGTAACGACCACAGGATAGTAATACAGAGAGCCACGCCCCCAACCAAAACGCCACTCTATAGCCACAAATAATGCTCAGAACAGCACCTAACTTCATCAACAGGACATATAGGGTCACAGACATAGAACTAGACACCAAACATCTTTTTAACTTTGACTCATTTCTTTAGCAAAGAGACTAAACACAACTCACCTACTCTCTTCCAGCAGACGCTTGTTTGAAGTGAGACCTCAGGCCAGTCCATTACAGACTACAGCGGGGTGCCGCAGCTCAAGGAAGAACATTTATGATCACTTCTTTATCATTTCCTTGAAGTAATAATCTCCATATTAATCATTTTACAGACGCGGTAGTTCTTCTGCCTTAGCGTCTCGGTCTGATTGTATTTCCATGAAGAAATGATCATAAATGTTCTTCCTTGAGCTGTGGCACCCCGCTGTAGCCTGTAATGGACTGGCCTGAGGTCTCACTACAAACAAGCGGCTGCTGGAGGAGAGTAGGTGAGTTGTGTTTAGGGGGTGTTTAACTCGGTGTTACGGTGTGTTTGACCCTAAATTAATTTTACGCCGGAATATCCCTTTACTAGGTTAACAAGGGGGTTAGTTTTTCCTCTGGTTCCACTGATAGGAGCCAAGAGGATTTTTGGTCATCACTAAAAAATCTCAAAAGTTCGGACCTGTAACCTGTTTTTGGACGGAACCACCTTCATATTTCAGCGAGACGACACCAAACAAAGATCTGCAGATATCCTCCAACAGCATGGCTCTGTAGTAGAAGAGTCCAGGTCGAGTAATTATTGGGTTTAAATGATATTTCTGAACCATCAGTTTATGTTTTTATCAACACTTTTTCTTGTTTGTTCTTAAAAACGTCTCTGCTCTCTTCAAAGTTGGAAAGCTTGAGTCAGACCACGAAACTCAGTAAATACAGATTAATGTGAAGTGGCCGACAGTCTCTACAGTCTATTACAGCGATCGCTTTAATCAGGCTTTATAATTATGTGAGGAATTAACCGTTGGAAAATCTTTTAAGCTCGTGTTTAGGCATCTCATTAAAAATCCGTTTAAAAATCATTTACCGACTAATTAGGAATAATCGTCCAGCGGTGGTTTTCAGGAGATTATTCGAACTGTTGATATTTCTGTGTTCGCTGCTCTTTCTCGTCTCTGGCTTCAGCCGACGTTCCCGATACAAAAGGGAAGAAAAACCTTTGTTTGATTTTCTCACTTCTTCTTCCAATCCAAACAGCAGGAAACAAGCGGCTGCTGGTTTAGATGTTTTTGAAACAGCTCAGGAGACTTTTTAATGTCATTGTTCGGTAAAAGAAGAAAACAAACTGAGGAAATTTAAAAAAAAAAACTGTTTTTATATGATTCAACCGTGAGCTGAGTTTTGAGTGAATACAGACAGAGAGAGAGAGAGTTTGTAAGTTTCCTGTTTCCATGTGTGTAGCAGCTGTGTTTACCATATATAAAGGCCTCATTACAATCTATTGATTCAGAAGCGGGGCCACATGTGTGTGTGTTTGTGTTTGTAACCTGATCTGAATGAATGAATGAGGAGACACACACTTTACAATCAACAATCACGCCATCTTTTTATTCCTCTGTTCACCTCTGGATTTTGTTTTTCATTTTACTCTGATGATAATTAGGCAGCGATGAGCGTTAATATCAGATCATTTAAGTTTGATTTTAATTCAACTTACTTTGACTTAAACATGTTTTTTTATGGACCAGAAGTCAAAGCGTGCTCTCTGAGCGTCCTGAAGCCACAGTCCTCGTCAGAGCGGTTGCTGGTTTGACTCCTGGCCGTGACCCTTAGCTCCGTGTCATCCTCTGCTCTCTGCTTCCCATCTCTCTGTCTCTCTTCAGCTGTTTTGCCTGATTAAAAATAACAAAAATAACATTAAAAAATGTAGTTTTTTCAAACAGCCGTGCAGCCAAAAAAATTCATAACAACCCAAGATCACAGAAAGAAAAAACATCTTAATGCGCCTTTGGGTGGAGAGTCTAACCCCCAATTTCCACCGCATCCGGAACGTCTACTAAAAGGTCGTCTCCTCCGATCGTAGCTGATCGTAACCATTCAAGTTAACGTGTCAATTTCCACCGACTTCTTTCCGTTCCTCTGAGGATCGCGGGACTCCACAGCTGATCACAAAAATTTGACATTCCACATTTCAACTGTTGTCAGAATGTGGTTTGGGGTCATTTGAAGGTCTTCCCTGAAAAATTCTTTGTCTGGATGGACGCAGATGTTGCTCCTAAACCTGGAGATATTGTCTAAAACTGAGGATGCAGCATCTATGATTTCCAACTCTTTGTTGAAAGGACAGTTGGACTTACTTGGGACGTTTGCATCTTATCAGGATACCTTCTGGACGCCTTGCTTGCGAGGTGTTCAGGACAGGTCCCACCAGTAGGAGACCACTAAGAAGACCCAGGACACACTGGAGGGACTTTGTCTATGACTATGTCTCACCTGGCTTGGGAACTCCTCAGGGTCTCCTGAGGAGAGGGAAGTCTGGGCTTCCCTGCTTAGACTGCTGCCCTCACGACTCGTCTCCGGATGGTGCGTCACAGTCTTCCTGACACCTCTACCGCCTCTCTCAGGCCTTCAGTCTTCTCTTATTATCACTAACCAGCTGATCTGAGGCCTGTGAGTAAACGGAGAACTCGTACTCTGAGATGTTAAACTCCATCATGAGAGCCGTGTTGATAATAGCAGACGAGAGTCGTGGTCAAACTCCCCACAGACCACTGAGAGATTAATAACTGAGCGGTGAGGATCTGTGTTATCGTCGGTGTTGAAGGACCAGCTGCTCAGTCTTCCTCCATAAAACCGTCTCATGAAGCGTTTTCTAAAACGTGCTTCTCTATATTTAACTGTGTAGCAGGAACTTTCCTCTGTTCTCCAGGGGCTACTAGAAAACTGAATAATTGAGAAGTGTGTGCGACAATTCATGGAATGCAGCGATTGAATTATTAATGGTAACTGTGTTATACTAAAGCCCTGTGAAAGGGGCGAAACCAGGTAAAATCTGCTGGAGGAACTTAAGAAATTCAAGAGAAGGTGAAGATGAAGGAAGAGAGGGAAGAGAGTGAAACTCAAAGAGAGAGTAAGTGTTATCTCAAAGCAAAGGAGGAGGGATCGCTGAGCTGACACGCTGACGAAGGAGTGATGACGAAGGTGTGGAGGAGAGAAAGGAAGGAGGAGGAAGATGGTGTAGATAAAGAGAGAGGCAGCAGCTGTTTTCTTTAGTTTTATGTCAGAGTCCAAGAAAAGAAACAGAAAATGGAAAAGGTCTCGGTGCATTTCTGAAAAAAAGTCAAATATTTACATCAAAGCAACTCCCCTTTTGGTAAAGTCTACCTAAACATGGCAGGATACCGGCTATCGAAGAGCATATTGACCATGTTTTATATCGATATCGAGGGAAACGAATTTTTGATAAATATCGTTATTGTTTTATCGCCCTGCTCTGAAATAAAGGAGCTGTGCCGTTAGTGGACATTGGCCCTTAAATTTGGGGTCAAATTATTACATCATTAAATGGTAATGACATGATTTCATATTCATGAGTTTATCTAGTTAATAATTACAGCTGCATAAATGAGATGAACAGGTTAGTAAACTAAAGTCACTGACTGCTCCATTCATTCACTCCAGCTCCTCTTTGTCCGCGCTCCTCTGGATAACATGACGGTGAACTTGTTATCTGTGAGTCAAACAAAGGAAGTAAAGAGGACTCTTAGAGAAAACTCCACTGTGACCGAGGTCTCAGAAATCCTCAGACTGAGTCTGCTTTGTTGTCTGACTCTCCGGGCTTTAAAATAAGCGCCGACTGTGACTCCGACACTTTCAAGTGGGATAAAAAAAAGATTAAATCTCTTTCACCTTTACTCCAGATTTTTTTTTCTTTATTAAGTCCTCATTGAGTTTTTACTTTATTCAGCCAGACTCAGACGAGACAAGGTCTGAATAAAATCCTGATTTTAAAACCCTGTTACAGAACTTAAAGGAGAACGTTAAGGCCTGAGTGAGTCCTGCAGTAGTTTGCTGATATAAGTTGTAGTGTGGGGGTTTGTAGACCATAGATGTAGACCAGGTCTGCTGTATCAGACCTGCTGACCCTGCAGGTGTTCACCAAATCTAACTACCAGTAAAGAAGTCGAGTTCAGACTGTAGACGTGAGCTACAACCCACGAGTCAAATGAACTACACCCCTGATTATGCAAACGTATGCAACAGTTTAGCCCGTGTGTGTTGGAGAAAGGTAACCATGGCAACCAAGAGCTCGTTATATTCAAGGTGATGCTGATTAATGTTTTCTTTTTTAACCAGACTGTAGAAATGTGTAACCTCGCTCCAAACGTGCATTAGAAGGTGGGGTTGGTAGGATTCTGAATTTAATTGGAACGATACGAGCGAGCAGGAGCGTCTGTTTGTGGGCGGGGCTTGTGGAGCAGAGAGGAAGGGGATAGGAGGAGCTGAGGGGAAAACTGGTTGGGAGGGGTAGAGTTTATATTCAAGATTTCTTCCTCAGATCCTGACTACCCCACCTTTAAGATGAGATCCAATGAGGATTCTTCATCTTTTAAAGACTGCCCCTAGTGGACATTTAGGGAGCTGCTGTGTCAAGCTAACCCAGTATTGTGTTGGTGTTGTATTACCCTTTGTGGGGTCAGTTTTCAACCTCTATTTTTGGATCCAAAAAGAGATAAAAAACAGCAGCATAATTAAACTATTACAATATTTTCTGTTAATGAAATAAGGAAGAAAAAAAGAGCCAAATGTTGAATATAAAAAAATCTACATTTCAGTGTAAATGAATCTACTTTATTTGAGCAGGTGTCAACATCAAGATGAGAAGAGTTTCTTCTTTCTGCACTTACTTTAGTAAAAACACTGTATGTTTGTGTGTGTGAGATAGAGAGAGAGAGAGAGGGAGTGGATTTATGTTTATAGACCACAGCTGGTAGCTGGTGTTGGCAATAATACTGACTAATGATCTGTGTCTTTCCTGCCAGACTGGAATCTGTTTGGAATAAATGAACGCCGATTCTTGTTGTGTAAAAAAAGCTGAAACTGCTGCTTTGTTATCTGAGCGGTCAGAGAAAAGAAACTGTTCAGTTTACAGGCTTGGAGGCAAATCTCACCCCTGGATGATTCGCAGTTTTGAAGAGCTTCTTCTGAGTCTTCAGAAGAGTATTTAGATTTCTGATCCTGACGAGCACTAGAAGAGAAAAACGCCGTTCTTTGTCCTGGTTAAACATCGAGAATCAGACGAGCAGTTTGACAACAACGACCGTTTAAAGTCTTTGCTGAAATATTTTTATTTAGAGGAGAAAAAATGTGGAACCTTGACAAAACGCACATGCAGTGACTTCTTTAGAGATGACGCAGACTTGTTTGGTGATATCTAGCAGGCATATTTCTAGATATCTCACCCCTGTAGTCAGTGTAGAGACGGTGGCTTTCAGGGACAAAAAGCTCCTGTGATGCACAATCCTCTTTTATGAATCTAAACTCTGTTCCACACAGACCTCCACAGTGCAAACATGGATGTTACTAGTTTGTCCATTCTGAGCTACTGTAGAAACTTCCAGAGCAGGATGGCAGAGTGACAGTTTAGAGGTCCTCTTGTGATACTCTTGTAGAAATGACTGTCTTCAGGGGAAGGACTGACAGAAGCTGGAGTGATTTCACTCTGACTTTGTGCCAATTTGTACTTCCTAGCAGTCCCTTTAAACACCAGCACACATACTGTTTATATATATATATGTTAATTTATATATATATGTAGGTTGGCTTCATTGAAGACAATGCTGAGTGTCACTGAGTGCATCTGGGAAAGGGCTTTGGTGTTCAGCGAATCTTCCCCTGGATAGACGTTTAATACCACTGACTCTGCAGGCAAGGACACGTACGTGCACACTTATCCCATCAGGAACAGAATCAGATGGGTTCGAGTGTGTGTGTGTGTGTGTGTGTGTGTGTGTGTGTGTGTGTGTGTGTGTGTGTGTGTGTGTGGTCACTGAACCCTCCCTTTACCTTGCTGTCCACAGGACCTTAGGGGGCGGGTCTTTGAGCAGAACTGGAGCAGGCTCCAAAAACAACATCAATCAGACAATGTTCGAAAACCCACCGACACAAACAGAACTGCAGCCTGAGTGCAGCTCAGAGTCAAAATACAGTAAAATACCGTAAATACTGTAAAACATCACTGTGAATTATACTGATATGATGCTCTGGTCCAGTGTTGTCTCATGACTGCTGTGTGAAGAGGGTCATCATGTTAGACACCAAGAAAGAACCCCGGCCTATTATACCCCAACCTCCCCCCTCACACACACACACACACACACAAACACACAAACCCAAACACACACATTGTTTGTAGTTCGTGGATAAGCGTTAACAGAATCGCCACGTTCCCCAACTGTTTGTTTGTTGAATCATCTCATGACAGGAAGTCTTCGCCTGATTTAAATCTGGATAAGAGGAAGTGAGAAAGTCCTCCAGGACCAGGAGCAGCTCCACAGAAAGTGTGGACTGGACTTTAATTTCATGACAACCATTCCTGACGAGTGTGAATCCTTGGAAAGATCAAATTCAGACGCTCTTTAACTCAAAGAAATGAACTCTAAGAAAGTCTTTCAGAGCGCTGACTCTCTTCTCTCATTGGCAGAGCTTCTGAAAACCTTCAAACAGCCACGCCGCTCGCTCGCTCACTCGCTCTCGCCCCCTCCTCCTCCTTCGACACACAAAGCCTGCAGCTGGTTAATAATAGCGCATGATTTGTCGAAGCATGATGGACAAGCGCTCTGTGCCACATGTTACTTTCATGCTCCTGTTTTTATGACCATCATGTCTCCCTGCTTCAGATGTTTGTGAGAGGATTTACGTTCATGCCGTGTGCAGGAATTATAAACACCGAGCTGCTTCATGGGTGATTGTTTTTGCTGTTGTTATAAATCCTGCAGATTGACTGTGTGAGTCACAGTGAAACTAAAACAGCCACATGTTTAACACTTTCAAAACACTCGAGTTCACATGGAGACGATGTCAGCGATGTGTGGACAGATGCTCGTACGTCTTTGTGTTGGAAAGCGTGTTGTTCTGAGCTGATGCTGTTTACACATGACAGGAAGGTTGGACAAGATGAGAACGTTTCTGCTTTTCACTCAGGAGCGATGATGACTCTGTTTCAGTCTGGAGTTTGAATCTTGAAAATTGATTATAGATTAAAAGGCTTCCTGCTGTGCGTTTCTTGTATGTGGAGACTCCTGAGTGTCGAGGACATTTTAGAAACTTTGATTTGTTGTTCTGTGTTTTGTTTCAGTACCACAGCAACGACAACTGAACCTGAAGGCACCAAAAACTGTCACTTTTGATTTCCAACCTGCAAAAACTGATCATACAGAAGCGATTACTTGACATGGAGCAACTTTTAGTCACCAAAAAAAAGGATTTAGTTTCAAGAAAAGTGGCATTTCATGAGTGCTGAGGTCTGGATGTGTTTGTGAGTTTGTGGGAGCGAAATTTCCGGGAAACAATCTGGACATAATCTGAGAAAAATGAAGACATGTTCTCAGAGGCCAGGGGTAATATTAAACTCCATTATTCTCATAATAACTTATAATAACAGAATATGTACCAAACACTGGGAAATGCCTGAATTTTAACTCATCAGCTGCAGCCTCACCTGGTGTGTAAACTTTAACTTCGCTGTCTGGGACTCAAAATAAGAGAAATGAGTTTATTCAGCACATAAATAATGTAAAATGTTATAAAGTTAAAGTTAATCTCTGCCGCCTGGGAAACTCATTGGACCCTCAGGTTTCCGTCACTCTCTTTACATTGTGCGTTAAATCTTCTCGGTCTGAATGGTCGGTTTACCCAACAGCTCATTTCAACGCCGTACTGGATTGGCTGAGGCCTCAGGTGGGCCGGGTCATCGGTGTGGCCTCACTGTGGCTGATACCACACTCACACACACACACACACACATACAGGAGCACAGTCGCTGTCAGTGTGTTGATAATCCTTGGGGTACGGATGCCTCGCCCTCATTGGTTAATCCCGGTCAGGTGGGAGTGAATCTGGGTTGTGACTGGTTAATCCCGGGCAGAGTAGTATGCAGGATTTAAGGAGGTGTTAAATCAATGTGTTGTCAGCCGTGTGTGTGTGGAGGCAGGAGCAGCCATCTGCTGCCGTATAGATTTAAAGTCACAGCGAACACGGAAATGAGCAAATCAGCTGTTTACACGTCGTATATTTACACCCAGATTGTTTGTTGGTGGCTCTGTGTGTGTTTGTGTGTCTTTGTGCTTTTCTCCCACCCTGTGTGTCTAAGATTATCCCTGTTTGTTAGGAAAGCAGTCAGTCAGTGACGATCTGCTAAAGTTAAGCTCCTCCCACTCACCGCCCTGTAAGTTCAACACAAACACTGTTGTGGTGTAGCGGCAGGTTGACCAGATTTGACCTTATTATCATAGACATATCAGCGATTTCATGTTAATTACACTGAACTAAGACACGTTTGAGGTCCTCATTACAGCCGTCTAACCGTGTGTCAAACAGAGGCTTGAATTGTGTAGCTAACAGTGTTTACACTCAGAGAAACCAGCTCTCATTCTGAACTTATTATGGGTTTCATGTTTTCAGGATAATTGTGAGTTATTCAAGTTCACTTGTGAGTTTCCATTAATCACAAACAGTTTTTTTGTTCTTGTTAATGATGTAAATCAATTATCAGAGCTGCCTTGATTTAGGAATTAAATGAAAAGTGAAGACTGAGAAAGCTAACTCTTCACACATGACCGTAAAGGAAAAGTTGTTTTGTCCAGATATTGAACTGTTGGCAGCTGCTCTTCTGCCTTATTATGGTCTAAGGGAGTTCAGTCATACCATAGCAACACTTGTGTTAGGGGTGGGAGAAAAAAATCGATTCACATAAGTATCGCAAATAAAGTTTTTAATCGATTTTTATGTTCAAATTTTTTTTTCAAATTTAAGAATTAATCTTAAAAACTGACTTACGTGTGATGTGTATTTTTGGGGAAATATGGTTCCTGGAATAGTCAGTAGCCAATCATCATCATTCACCCTTTTGACTGGTATTAAAAATGCAGATTGAAGATCAAGAAAATCGACAATATCGTAGAACCGCAATTTAAATCGAATCGGCATCTAAAAAATCGTAGAAGAATCGAATCGGGAGAAAAGCATATCGTCCCAGCCCTAACTTTGTTTACATCCCACTCAAGGCAACAGCTGAAGTTCCGTGTGATGTTCTCCTTGATACTGTCGCTAGGATACAGACTCAACATCTTGTTTAACAAAATACAACAGTGGTGGACGGAGAGATTCAGAAGATCTTTCGTACCCACAGTCATCAGACTTCTTAGTTATTCTATTACTGAACTGAAGACTGTCATGGCCGTTAAATATCCTGATACTATAAAGATATTAATAGAAAAACTTAAAGAAAACCGCCCACTTCTACCTCAAATCAACAACAGACTGGTTATTTGTCATCAGAGAAGTGTGTGATACAAAATTTAACTACCAGTAGATGAATCACACAGCAGATTTATCCTAAAGAGCCTCATTTTTAAAAACTTTGTTCAAACTTCATATTTCTTGTTTTATCAGTGAGTTATTTCTTCATACTTGTGATCAAGAGTCCTGAGTCTGCTGGGAACCATGGTCTGAGCTCTGGTGTGAGGCCTCGTCTTCCTGTTCTTAGTTTAAGTCTGGCCGTCTGCTGCAGGCTGTTTGTGGGGCTGAATTGGCTTACTGTGGTCTCTCTAAGCCTGCTAACCCCCATACACCTGCTGTCTGACAGGGGAGGGCTCTCTTTTACCGCCGGGGTTAAAGGTCAGGGAGTGGATTTACGTCTGAAACCATTTTTTCTTCTGCACAGAGAAATAATGTACTCTTCAATTCTGCAGTTGAACAGGCCCCCTATTCTGCACATGAACACCTCTAATAATCGTCCCTTTATATTTAAAGGTGGATAATCTGCCCACTGTTGTTGTTGTTGTTGTTGTTGTTGTTGTTGTTGTTGTTGTTGTTGTTGTTGTTGTTGTTGGGTTGGTTGTATTTGTGTTGTAGGGTGTGGTTTAGTTACCTCACCTAAACTCTGTGACTCTGCGGTCTAGTTCCCGTCTCTGAGTGATCCGCTCACCTCCTTTCTTCAGTTTAGCATAGATGCAACATTACATAATAGAAGTCTCACACAGTATAGACAGTATTTGTTAAAGGACTCTCCGAGTTAAAGAGGCTTTGGTAAAGAAGTAACAGGTGTCTGCTCTCTGCAGCAGGTAAACTTTAGTCCACTCAAACGTCAGGATGACTCCTGATCCAGGATTTTTTTGGTAGTTTGATAGACTCAAATAAAAACTATTCCTGTAGTTTGATCCTGTCTCTGTAGTTGTAGTTTGTTTGATCCTGCTTCTGTAGTTTCATCCTTTTCCTGTAATATTTCCCGCTCCTGTAGTTTTATCTTGTTCCTGTAGTTTTATCATGCTTCTGTACTTTAATCTTATTTCTGTAGTGTTATCTTGTTTGTTCTCTCCTGCTCCTGTCGTTCTTATCGTCCTCTCAGCGTCTTCAGCAGCAGCAGCTCCTGCAGTCATGCGAGGCCCATCCAGGACACAGATTATAAATCGGCCGCACACGCTTTCCTTCCTGGCCAAGGCGATGACCTTAAGTAACTCTGCTCTAAGTCATTTATTCCTTTCACTTCCTGTAAACACATCACACCCATAAATCCCATTTAAAGGCATATTAATAGACAAGACGGGCTTGAACCTTCAGCTTTCAGTGTCAGAGGAGAAGAGAGACGTTTGATTTTTATGATTCCTCTCTCATGAACTCTGACGGCTCTTTCTCTCACGTGGAAGAAAAGTTTCTACTTTCACAAGTTTGTGTTAAAGTCCAGACCTGAATTTACTCTGATATATAAGAGCAAAAAGAAGAAATGTCCTCTCAGTCTGCATGTTACCTGTAAACTCTGTCCAGACTTCAGACCTGATGGAGAAGATAACAGTGATGTTGAAGACAGAGTCATGTGGAGACCTGTCTGTGTTTTTTTTCACCCTGAAACTCTCACAGTTTTACTCGGAGGAGTCAGGTGATGTTGTGAAGTCGTCTGTCAGCTGATTCGTAGAGGTTTGGGCCCTCTGTGGTTGTCCTACCTGCGGCAACAGGACAATCACGCCCCCTGTTGTCTGACAGTGGTATGAGATTGTTTAAATCAGTGGTTCTCAACTGGTCTCACTCATTCTCTCATGGTCCTTCAGTCACGACCCACTTTTATAAAATTCAAACCAAGAAAATTTATATCTTTATAAAAAAAAAACCTTTAAAGACTCAAATCTTTGACATAAATACACCTGTTTTATTAAGTCAAGTGCATTTCAGAGTACATGAACTGAGGACAACTACTGAAGTTACATGTACAGAAAACTGCACAAAATGGAGACCAACAAAATGAAAAAATTGACTTAAAATTGCACAAAATAAAGACCATAAAAAACATGTAATTTTCCTGCATTCAGGTCACATTAATAGGAAACCAATGAGGACCATGACCTAACACCTGCCTTTCAATATTTTTCAAAATAAAAGACATGTCAAACATTAAATATTTACTTTTTTGACCAGCTGTTCGGAACCCATCCAGAACGTATCCGCGACCCACTTTTGGGTCGGGACCCACCAGTTGAGAACCGCTGGTTTAAATGACCCAAAAGGAGAACCCTAATAATCCAAATAAAATCCTTTATCTGATCCGGTCAGAAATGTTGAACATCGAGCTGAAACTCACTCTGGCAGACATGTATCCTGATCACATTTACTCTCATTAAGTTTCAGCCGTTATTCTGTAAGTTTAGGTATGGAAGTAAATCTGTGCCATCTGATTTTGAATTTTAATCTCTAAACCTGAATTTCTTTTGCCTAAATAATCTAAATCAGGTCCAACCAGGTGTTCTGTACCTGATGACAAAGTGTCGTCTTTTAAAAAACAACAAACCAGCGGCTCGTTTTGATTCAACCACGTCGTCTCATCAGCTTCTTTGTCCTCTCCTGTTTTTGTTTCCTACCTGACAGGTGAGTCTCTGAGTGAGTGAGTGAGCGAGGAAGCTAGAGAGAGAGAGAGCCGGGAAAAGAGAGAGAGAGCGAGACCGACACCGGGCCATGGAGCAGCAGAGGCAGAGAGCTCTCTCCACGTCCGGAGAATCGCTGTACGTCGTCCTGGGAGTGGACAAGAGCGCCACGACAGAGGACATCAAGAAATGTTACAGGTACTCAAACTCAGACATTTTCTGTAGTGACCACTAGAGGGAGTCAGAGGCTCGTCCTAAGAGAACAGCACTGAGTTGATTTAGTGTTTATTCTTATGACAAAACCTCCTAAATCTCTCTAAGTCGAGTAAATTTCTGTTTTTGTGGTTCATAATCTTTTAATCCATGAAAACCAGACGCTCTATGAGATGTTTCATGTCTGAAAAGGTGAAGTTTAGAGGATTAAAACCTACCGTCAGAGTTGTCATTTCAGTGCTGTTTGGGTCTCTGTCTTGTGCAGGAAACTGGCGTTAAAGTTTCACCCAGATAAGAACCCCGACAACCCTGACGCAGCGGAAAAGTTCAAAGAAATCAACAACGCTCACTCCATCCTGTGCGACGCCACCAAGAAAAACATCTACGACAAATACGGCTCGCTGGGGCTCTACGTCGCCGAGCAGTTCGGAGAGGAGAACGTCAACACCTACTTTGTTCTGTCCAGCTGGTGGGCCAAGGTAGGGCTGAACATCTGATTCCTAACCCTCAGTGTTACTCCAGAGTGTCTTCTTCTGCTCCAGGTTTTCAAACCCTGAAGTGTGTTTTTGTTCCTCTCTCTCTGTTCTCCTCAGGCCTTGTTCGTCTTCTGCTGCCTGGCCACAGGATGTTATTTCTGCTGCTGTATGTGCTGCTGCTGTAACTGTTGCTGCGGTAAATGTAAACCCCGGCCGCCCATGGACCAGGAGCCCGAGTTCTACGTGTCTCCTGAGGACCTGGAGGCCCAGATGACCGCTGACGAGAGAGGTGGGGAACCAAGAGAGAACAGAGCGTTTAACCCCTCGGTTCCTGTTCATTTTTAAGCTCATCCAGCCGACTTTGACCCCAAAACAGACATGCAGACAAGTGTTAATGAAATAATCATTTTTAAACATTTTTTAAAACTTTTTTGACTCAAATCTCTTAGAAGACCTCATCCCTGATCATTAAAAAAATCATAAATGCAAAATTCCATGTTATATCCTTATTATGCCAGTTATTGTGCAACATGTCACTGTTGTTTTTAATGGTAAAAATCACATAATCGCCATATTTCCTGTACAAAATGACCTGCGCGGCACTGAAGGGGTTAAAATGATGTGCAGCTCAGGCTGTTGTCTCACTGTGGGAAAGTCAAGTTTAGAGCCCTGCTGGTCGACTGACTGTAAAAATAAAGGTTGTAATATGTTGTTATAGAGCCGTAAACACACGCCCAAAAAAACAGTTTTTAATGGAAGTCTATTGGCCGATTTGAGGACAAAGGAGGGTGGGTGGAGCTAAAATGTGGCGACAGAGAGCTACAGGTGACACAGAGGAGGAGCCGAGGGTTAAAACAACGTCTGTTTTTGATCATTTTGACGTCAAACGGCTGCTTTGCGTCCGTTCTGATGAGTCTGCGTGTTCTTACTTCCTCAGATGGCGGGGAGCCCATCGTGATGCAGCCGTCCTCCGCCACAGAAACCACTCAGCTCACCTCCGATGCCCACCATAGCTACAGGACCGACACATACTAGACACACACACACACACAAACAGTTAACCAAACAAACACACAACCGGCTGTAACATGATCACAGGACTGATCCTGCACACACACACAGACACACACACACACTCCTCACACTCTCCCGGTCAGCTTTATTTCCCTCCATCTACAGCAGAGAATTAAAAACACTGACCGACCCGCTGACACTATAAACCAACTCCAGTTTCTTTTTCTGGGTTTTTAATTTACTGTGAAGGAAGGAGGAAGGAAGGGAAGGAAAAAGGAGGAAAAAGAAGAATTTATAATGACGAGAACATAACTGAGATAGTTTTACTTTATACCCTGAATAACGATTCACGTTCGCAATAACAGATCAGACGAAACGATCTTGACCAGAGAGATGCAGAGAAACAAAGGAAGTGCCAAACTCTCTTATGAAGGAAATAAACATGAAAAACAGTAAAAAATCACAACAAACACTAAACCTCTGCATGATAACGAGTCACTACACAGGAAACCTGATCAGCGTTTTTACTTTTGGAACTCTAGTCCGGACTTTGAGTATAAAATCTTTGTCCATCAGGATAGTTACCGTATCAGATTATCATCATCGCTGACACGACAGAAGAAATCTAAGAAGAAAGAGTTATAGACGTTTAAAATCCCAGATTTCCTCTCAGGAGGCGTTTATTTTCACACAGACAAGATTAAGTGATAGATTTCTAGGACTGGTGGGTCCCTGAGTCCACTGGATCAGGCTCTAATCTGACACGCAAAGTCTTTTAACACTCAGAAGAAAGTGGACTGTTGTTAACTCAGACAGAGTCTTCATCCGTCTCTCTGTTCTCTAAGAAGTCAAAGTCCAGTTTCTTCCCGTGATGTCTCTGTTTCCACTGATTCTGTGTTGGAAGGTTTTTGATCCCGTACAAACGTCAAAAAGATTTAACGATGTTTTTAAACCGCCGAAAAAAAGGCAGAGCTGTGACGGTCGAGAGACATAAGATCAAGAATAACTCATTTGTCATGCTCTAAAAGTTGTCTACTATTTACAGAAACATTAAACAGTCTGAAAGCTGTTGTACAAAAGATCTTTCTGTCCTGCAGCGAAGAAAGAGAGAAAATGGAGGAGGATGTTTTCGTGTCTCCGCTCTCGTCTCAGTCACACCTGCAGCTCTCACAAACTTAAAACAGCAAAAGAAGAAGAAAAAAACAACGACTTTGTCCTTTTAGTGTCCCGTAAATATTCAGAAGTGTGTGTCAGCTGTCGAGGAACGAGGTGTCTGTAAAGAATATCTGAACCCGGACATTCATTCAGCCTCTGAGGGTGGAGGCTGAGGAGAAGAGGTGTGAATAATTGGATGAAAATCATAATTAACCCGTGGACACTTTGGATAATCAGAAACCAGTTTAAAGTCGTAAAGATGATCTGGTTTCGTCTCTGAGTCATTTCGACCTGCAGGGACAGGCTTGTTAAGGCTGACAGGAAGTAGGTCAGGGATCACGTCTATACATCCAGAGAGGAGGTGATAGGACTCGGCGGCGGGCGGGGGTGTTTATTTGTCCTCAATATCCTCGTATACATCACCAAGGGAACCCCTGAAGCATGTAGAGGGCAGCTCACACTTCAACAGGTGCCGCTCTGGCATCGGTTCCCCTGCTCCTCCTCCTCCTCCTCCTCCTCCTCCTCTTCTTCTTTCGGCTCTCTGTATCTGATTAGATTTCCTCCTTTTTCCTCTTTTTCTTCTCGTCTTCTTTTTCCACTTTATCCTCCGTTCATGAAGGATGGAGCTCCTGAGTGTGTGCTGTAGGAGCCTCCGCACAGTCCAGTGTTAATCTCAGACACACAACAGGCTCCTTGTTTCCACACATTAGTGACCTCCTCCTGACATACTCACACTGATCTGATCGAGCCCCTTTTTTCTTTCTTTCTAGTTTTCATTTTGTTTTGTGAGAAAGTTCAAATCTTGTACATGTTGTGTAATATGAATGTTTAGATTTCGCTTCCCTGTATTTCTTCATCTTTTCTTCTCTAGGATTGCTATTTTCTCTTTTTCTTTTCACTTATTTATGTTGTTAACAAATGGAAGATATTATCATCCAAAGTCTTATTTGTCTGTGTGGCAGCGGTTTTGTAGATTTTACGATCCTCGTAGCAACAGAAGAGCAGTTTACAACAATCGGACGGATTAGTTAGGGTGTCATTTTTTCAGAAAACCGTTTTTTTATCCCTAGATTTTCTCGATTTGTCGCACTCAGCTCTGGTATTTTAGAAAACGCAGAATCTTTGTGGTTGTTTGTGTCAGTTATTTAATTTTATACCAAAAAAAACTCAAACATGGATCCAACAGAACTTATTTATTAATAATCATCTCTGATTCCTTAATCAAACACCCTGTTTAGTTAATGTTTCAACATATCTCAGAGAAATATCAAAATTCATAATTACACATTTTGAAGGATGTTTTGGGTAGATAAAAAGTCCAAATTTGTTGGGTTTGAAACTTTTTAAAGACATAAAACATGTCAGACTGAGAAAAGTCGGAATAAATCTGAGATTAACGAACACGACGAACAATTTCGGATTTTCTGTTTTTAGTTTTTTCCCAGTTTCTTCATTTTAAAAGATTTTTCTGCTCTTCTGATAATATTTCTGCTTCATGTCACGTTTATCTCTGAATTTCAGCCTAAAATCCTTTTTTATATTTCTGCTATTGACCGAACACTCAACCCTGTCAGCGAGTTTGTAACCGTGGAGTCAGAAACCTCTGAAACAATGACATTAATAACCAGAACTGATGTAAGTGTGAATATAGCCATCAGACAGTGATGATACTGAAGCATTATTTTATTTATTTTAATTTTCTTATGATTTTAATAACTGATTAACGACTAGCCCGTACGTCGAGGGGATGTATAGAGTTTTAGATGTGAACCATTTTGGCGGCAAAGCGTCAAGATGGCCGACCTGCTGTATATACACGCAGTGACACCAAACATAGAGATGTAGAGATTTTCTGTGTTTAGCATGGACTGATGATGTCTGCGTCCGTCAGGCACACTTGTGGATAAATCAAGTATCTGATGTACTGTTGTAAAATAAATGTTTCTGATGCTTCGGAGCCTCACGTCTTACTATATGTTTTGATTGGATATCTGATCAGTTAACAATCATGAGCTGAAATGCTGTTATTGATTTTGTTCTATAAACACAAAACATTTTCATTAAATAACAAAAAAATAAAGAAAATTAAAAAAGAAAACGGGACCGAGACATCTGCCCTGTGGAACACCTCAGGACAAATGTTTCAAGATAATGTTGATTAAAAGGTTTTAATTTACTCACTCTTAACGTTCAAAAAAAGTTTAAAAAAAACTGTGACACACACACAGAGCTCTGCGGCGAAGCCCTATTATAATCCTCTGGGTTCTCTATTGCTAGCGCCCCCTACAGAGTGCCACAAACGTCGACTTTTTTTACAGGCATCTGTATCTTAACGAGATCACTTGGCTCTAGTCTCTGAAACAGAATTGAGTTTAAGTATAAAACATATATTACCAGGACTCATATGTAGAAATAGAACAAATACAAACTAAATTTGGTGCCAAATTAAGCAGGATGTAGAGTAAAAAAAAACTTTCAGACTAACTTCAAACAGGGAAAAATTGTGTAGAGAGGAAATGTACTTATTTTTAAATTTAAATAATCAACTCAAGTATTTCAGCATTATCTTGAAAAACCAATTTCTTCATTCATTCAGTAGTATAGTTTAGAAAATAAGAAAGAGGGGACAATGATTATAGGGACTGCTTTTAAAAAATACACATTTTAAACCAGAGAACAAGGGGACCCAAACGACTGCCCCGGGGAACGCCAAATATCCAAAATTCCCAAATCTGGATTTTGTTATTCTTTTTTACCCCAAACTTAATACATTATTATTTTGTATAACTAGAGTTTTATTTCTTATCACTTAAGGAAACATATAATCATGTTGATAAGGTCTGCTAATGTAGAAAACCTTTAGGAGTTAGGTCATGTCCTTCAAGTTGTTTGTGGTTTGAGCGTGAACTCAAAGACACTTCCAAATTCCAGATATCTGCATGCAAACACATCTTAACAGGATGTTTATGAATGTTAAAATTTAAAAAAATAAAGTGTTAAGAAATGCAGATTGAAGCGGACGCTTATCCGTGCACTGTGTGTCCAAGGTCGGCTGCGGAGGTCCTATTTTCACGAAGCGATGAAAGTCCCTCGGGTTTAATGTGTCAATCATCAGTTCATCATAAAATGCTACAGTGAGCAGCTTTAAGGGGACAGTGAGTGTGTGTGTGTAACAGTAGAAAGAGCACAGCCTGGCAGGGTCTTAATCCGTCCACATACCAGCCGCAGCCTGATTTGGTGTGTGTGTGTGTGTGTGTGTGTGTGTGTCTGAAACTTGACGCCCCTCTGACACAAATCTGCCTGCCCTCTCTCTCACACTCTCTGACACACACACACATTTTGCTGTGGATGTCAGGGAGGCTGTGAACTTCCAAACACAGCGGCCTCTACTTGTTCTGAGAAAAAGAGGACTGGACTGAGAGTTGGACGAGCGAGGCTAGAGGAGAACTGAGAGCAGAGAAGAGAGCGAGAAAGAGAGCTGGACCGCGGCCTGATGTCCTGCCGAGTCAGATTTAGAGTCCGTGTTCGGTGTCACTGGACTTGAGGAGGGAAGTCCTCACTTCGTTTCTCTCTTGGATATTCTTGGATCGATTGAACTCCTGCTGGAATTTTTCTCACTTTTTACTGGAAATGCTTTTTTATTTTTTAAGGAGACACCTAAAGACAAACCACCGAGTGATTTAGGCTTTAAATAAAACTGATGTTTAAACCGTCTGACAGCCTGAGTGAGTGAGGGTATTTCCAGAACGTGAGACAGACAGGATTTCATGTCAGCCGGTTTGTGCAGAACTTACTCGACAACACACCAAACTGACTCAAGTGGACTTTGGTGCATGAAAAACCTGCAGAAAAACATTTTAAATGATTTTATTTTCATGGATATTTTGGAGGTAAAACTAAAGAACCTGCACAAAAGTTAAATTTGAGGATCTCAGGTCTGTTATTCTTCAGCAGATCCTCCACGTGTGGATCTACTGATCAGGACACAGGAGAACAAAGAGGGTCTGAATCTTAGTGGTTCAGTAAAACCACCAAAAAGACTTTAATGACAGAGAAAACCAAAGTGCTTACAGACCAGCGAACATCGAACATCAGCAGATGGAGAGGAAGGTGAGTGCACAGATTCTGATCCAAACTTTAAATATAACATTTAAAATTTGCATGTTTTTCTTTTTCAGGTAGATTCTGGTTTTCATGCAGGACACTGTCATTTACAAATCCTGCAGAGACGGATTATATTTAGTCAGTTTCACAAGTCTGATCAGTGCTCTGAAAAGCAGCTGCAGGAGGGAACAATCCTGGAAATCCTCGTGATCTTACAGTTTAATTTAGCGCCTCGAAAACCTTCTGACCAACCGCTGAGTTTGCAAAGTCATGGTCAACAGACTGCATGCAGACCGAGAACGCAAAAGTCAACACAACTTTTTTAAACTTTTTACAGAGCCAGTTTTATTTTCCAGAGAAATTTGCCGACAATTATGTAAACAACATTTTAAAAAATCCTCTAAATGAAGTAAAAATTAAGGAGCAAAATCGTCTTTATAAAACAACTCGTGGATTTTATTGAGTTTTGCCGCCAAAGGAGAAAAAAGGGGACCTAGAAGACTGCCCTGTGGAACACCAGCGATGTTCAACTCCTTATAGGGCGCTCAAACCAAGCGCGAGTAAGAACATAAACACGAGTTTTACGATTTACCAGGTAATCCATATTTCTTGGTGTCACCAGGAGGAGTTGAAGTTTGGCGGCGCGGCCGTGTCTCTGCCCGCAGACCTGAGCTTCATGCAGGGCGGAGGAGGGGCAGAGGGGGAGGCGGCGTTGGCGACTCTGGAGAAACAGCTGATCTGTCCCATCTGTCTGGAGCTCTTCAACAAACCGGTGGTGATCCTGCCCTGCCAGCACAACCTCTGCAGGAAGTGTGCCAACGAGCTCTACCAGGTCTCTGACAACAGACACACACACACAGAAATACACACAGGGACTTCAAACAAAGCCCTCAGCATATGTCCTGGAGAGAGAGAGCGAGAGAGCGAGAGAGAGAGAGAGAGAGAGAGAGAGAGAGAGAGTGGATTATCAGGGTCTAAAATGGGACCAGTGGATGTTTAACTGGTTTGCTCATGTAGACAAAGAAATCAGCCTCTGTGACCCACATCCACTGCTATTGTTTAGACTGGAGAGGGGGTCTGAAGGAGTCAGATCCTGATCCAAGAGCCTGATCCTGGACTGAGGTGCCCCCTTACTCACCCCTCCTGTTGTTGAAGTGATGGAGGAGAAGAAACCCCCGAGACGATGAGTCTGTTCCTCCATCTGTCGAGTATTTACCTTCAGAAGTGGTCTCTGATAACAAAGTTAAAGAGTTTAACTCTAATTAACCCAAACAGAGGTTGATTTTAAGCCCAGTCTAAAGGTCAAAGGTCAACCAGAACCCCAGACCTCGTCTTCACTGTTTCACAACCTCAGCTGCTGCATACATGACTGAGAACATACAACATGTGTGTGAATAAGTGAATCATGTGTTTTCACGTGTGTTTCTCATGTGTGCGCCGAGACAGACTGAAACCTAAGAGACTCCTCCCTCACTGTCAGGCTCATGTTCACGACCTTTGACCCTCGGAGGTCCATTTTACACACTCAAACATGTTATAATAATGACATAATAAAACCTGAACTCTGTTTCTTTTTTTAGTGATTTTTGCATTAATCCTAAATTTTTAATTTCTGCAAAACATTAAACCTTCTCCTCAGGGATGCAGTGATGGTTGTTTTCAAATGTTTTCTCAAGACTTGATCTCAACAGTTTACATCTTTAAATTCAGGAGCAAAGAGTCCAAAATCAGAACAACAACAGACATGCACAGCAAATTAAAACAAGGGTGATGCAAAAAAGTCCAAACTGTGACCGAGGGTTAAGGAAACTAAGATTTCAAGACTAAAGTGGTTATAATAAAAAAAGAAAGGACGTAAACAAAGTTGTAAAATAAAAATAAAATGAATTTATGAGAATAAATTTAAAAATGTTTGAGATTGGAGCTTTAAATTAATAAGAAACCAAACGTAAATAAAGAGGAATAAATTTTAAAAACCAACTTTAAAGTTTTGAATGAAAAAATGTGAAAGATTTGTGTGAAAAAAATCTGAAATATTCAAGATTTAGACGTAAATCCTAAAGTGAATTCATTGGAGTAATCCCCCAAATAAAACGTAAATTCACAGTAATGAACTTTTAAATCATGAGATCTTAAGTTGTAAAATGGAAATAAAAAAGTTGTAAATTTAGGAGAATCATATTTTCAGTAACTTCACTTCAACTTTATTATGTCCTGAAACGGGCAAATCGGGCTGCAGCAGGTACAGACATTTAAAACACCGCCATGCATCATAAAATAAAATAAAATACATTTACATAAAAAAACAGTTTAGGAGGCAAAAGCATTAAAGACGATTCAGAAGGTAAAAAAAAAAATAATAATAATAATAATAAAAACATGATTGAATAAGTCATTTTTGTAAAAAAAAAAATAATAAGATAAAATAAAATACATTTTTAAGTTAAGTGTAAAGTTATATTCCAGATTAAGGAGCAGTTTTAGTCTCTAAACTTTTTTATCATCTTTGTGTAACTTTTTAAAATCCAGCCCTGAGGTCCAGTCTGTGTGTGTTTGTGTTTGTATGTTTGTGATCATTTACTAATACAAAAGGTCGTATCGCTCACAAAGTGATCCAGAGACTTGCTCAAGATGTTGATGAACACCTGATGGCGTGTTTACTCCAGCTGGAACACGGCAGGTGTGACAAAAACACGCAGCAGACACACACACACACACGGTCCATGTTTCACAACACTCGAGCTCCTGGGGTCGTATAATTTCACGGAGGGTTTGATTTCGCAGCCGAGCTGTAAGTCCACCACCTGACCTGTCATGTTTGTGATGTTTGCTGTGTGTGTGTGTTTGTTTGTGCGGATGTACAGGAGTGTTTGTTTGCTTCTGTAATATGATGGTAATAACATCAGACTCTCTCTCTGCTCCTGTGACAAACACACACACACTCTCCATGACGTCCACACCGTGAGTCTGCTGTTGGACCTCTGAGTGGACATCAGCTCATATTGTTGTTTATAGAGTCCAGCTGTCTGTACCTGCTGTGACTCAGGAGGGCTGCAGTCAATAACAAGTCCTCTACATCAGTAAGGACAGATCAGGGGTGGTGACCAATAATAGATTTTATTTTTTAAGGTTTTTAAAGAGAAAAAAAAGGAGTCTGTGTGAATTAAGAAGCTTTGGCCCTGACCATGACTCTGACACTGGGGTCTACTGAAGCCTCAGAGAAACAGAGAGTAGGCCGGCCCTCTGTGAGTGGATCTGATCCTCGTTCAGGACCAACAGCAGCTGAGGATCATTAACGTCCTCTATTCCTGGACGCTTTAACCCTCTGGAGGACGTCCGTCTGTTCACTCACTCCTGAAAGAGTTCAGCAGAGAGTCTGTCTTATTTTTTTTACCCTGTTCAGATTTGGGTCAATCGTGAGGAAGTGAAGGAGTGTTTGTTTTTAGCACCCTGAACCAAAACTGTCTCCACACACCGAGCGCGAGTAAAATCATTCGCGCGAATTAATTACATGTTAAGTCAATGTAAAGACGCGATTAGACACTCCTACTACTTTGACGGCGCGAATGACAAGAATTAGGCGGGAGGCGGAACTGACAACTGATCCTGTCAGTTGAATTGGCAGGGATTACCGTTGAAATTAGCATTGGCGCACAAATGAAGCGAGTAAATACTATTCATTCATGCATCTAGATTCGTGTCGATGCGTGAATCTAGACGCGTCATTCCAGCAGATGATTTTACTCGCATGGGTTTGAGCCCCCCTATTAGGAGTTGAACATCGGTGGTGTTCCACAGGGCAGTCTTCTAGGTCCTCTTTTTCTGAGGATGCTCCTTTGGCAGCAAAACTCAATAAAATCCATGAGTCTTATTATAAAGACAACTCTGCTCCTTAATTTTTACTTTATTTGGAGGATTTTTTCATTGGCAGGGATTACCGTTGAAATTACCATTGACGCGCGAATGAAGCGAGTAGATACTTATCCTCGTGTTTGGTATGAGCGCTCCATCACAGAGGGACTTTCCTGTCTCACTTTAACCCTGAACCAGCTCTGACCCCACGTCTGGCACATCTCCTGCATTCTCCAGAACCAATCTGTTTCTAATGAGAGAAATCCCAGCATGCAGCAGTCCATCTGTCGGGTGCTGAAGGACGCTCAGATGTTAATATGTCGCCTCCTCTCTGTCTTCCGTCCTCAGCCCTCCCTGTTCCAGCCTCGGACCACCATGATGCTCAGCAGCGGGCGTTTCCGCTGCCCGACCTGCAGACACGAGGTGGTGCTGGATCGCCACGGCGTCTACGGGCTGCCGAGGAACCTGCTGGTGGAGAACATCATCGACGTCTACAAACAGGAAGTCAGCAACTTCAACAACAAGGTGGCGAGGTGAGAAGAGGGACGGACGACCACACTGAAGATGAAAACGACATGATGAAAATATCCTGACAGGTGTTTTAATACCTCTCTCTCTCTCTCTCTCTCTCTCTCTCTCTCTCGCTCTCTCTCGCTCCAGCGCCCTCCTCTCTCCTCCCCTTCCTGCTCAGCTGACGTGTTCAGACCACGAGGGGGAGAAGGTCAACATCTACTGCCTCACCTGTAAGGTTCCCACCTGTTCTCTGTGTAAAGTCTTCGGGGCTCATCAGTCCTGTCAGGTGGCTCCTCTGACCGACATCTACCAGCTCCAGAAGGTTAAAAAAAAAAAAAGAAGAAAACTTTTAAAGTCTTTTAAAAAGTGTCTGATGTTCTGTGACTGAGTTCGGGATTTTATTCATTTTGTTTTCAAGGATGAGCTGAGTGAGGAGGTCCGCTCTCTGAGGGAGTACAACGACCAGGTCCAGGCGTTGATCGACAACATCGAGCAGACGTGCAGAAACGTAGAGGCGAGTTTAAGTAGATCCAAACCAAGAAATCTAAAACACGAAAACACATTTTCTGCATCTTATAAGTAATCAAACATGAAATAAATGTTCATGTCACTTTAAGTGAATTAGATTATAAACAAAAAAAACTATCACTCCATACGGCTGATAGATTTACAGGAAATACATCTTAAACATGTCGGCAAAGATCGCTCTGTGCAAACGGAGGACCGAAGTCGACGCTGACAAAAGTTACCTACAGGAACTTTAAAGTTTAGCTGCTCTGCTTCCTGCGATCGTGTCCTCCTTCACCATAAATCCACTTTTTCTGTTCCTGTTTTAGCTTTTATTGCACAAGAGAGAACCAGCAAAATAAAGGTGATTTTAAAGCTCCTTAATATTTAATGTTTGTGCAAAACTGAGACTATTTCATTATGGACTTTTTAAACTTTTGAAACCACCAGCAGGGGGCAGGTGTGACCTTTTCAGACACAAATATTCACATGAGTTTAATGTTGTTAGTTTGTCAGAAAGCATGACTCTCACGTAAAATGTCAGAGGCAGCACTTTGTCCACAAGGGGGCGGCAAAACATCACATAAAGAAAATCCCTCACAGTAAAATAAGATTAAAACAAACAAGATAAAAAATGAAATCTTCAGTCTGAACATAAATGTGATTCTTTCCTCGTTCTGCAGGAGAACTCTAAAACTCAGAAACAGTCGGTGTGTGAGCAGTTCGATCAGGTGTTGTCCATCCTGGACGAGAGACGAAAGGTCAGATCTGATTTTTTTATTACAAACATGTTTTTATGTCTTAAAGAGAAAAACAGAAACTGCAGGAATGTTTGCAGTGAAACCAGAACAAGTCGCAGTTTTGAACAGGTTACAAGAATCAGGATTGATTTTTTTTCTTTTATATTAAACATCCAATAAAATATTTGTCATGTTCAGTTTGGTCAGAGTTGTTTTTTTATAACACGTCAGGTATTAGAAATAAAAATCAGTTTCAGTCGGATTGATTGATTGATTGATTGATTGATTGATTGATTGATTGATTGATTGATTGATTGATTGATTGATGGTCTTTGTTGTACGTTCATCTTCGTTGTTTCGTTGTTTAACCGAAGGCGATGACGGAGCGAATCACCTCGGAGCAGGAGGAGAAAACAGGCCACGCCCAGGCGTTGATACGTTGCTATGGAGACAGCATGGAGGCCAATAAGGAGCTGGTGGAGAGAGCGGTGAGCAGCATGGAGGAGCCGGACCTGGCTGCTTTTGTTCAGGTGTGTCAATAAACCAGATTATAAACCAGATTACAGATTATTATTTTTCTTTCTGAGTCGTTATGAATTTAAATGAAAAGTTAAATAAAATATTTCTGCATTTTTCTCACTTTCTTTCTCCTCAGAGTTCAAGAGAGCTCATAACAAAGTGAGTTTATCTGCTGAATGTTACAGTTTTATTTACACACGTGATATAGTTTTCAGTTTAATAATCACAATCTCCTGTTTTTCCATCCTCACCTCTGTTCCTCAGGGTGATGGCAGCTGCTGGTTTCTGTCCTGCAGAGACTCTGAAACCCGGTTATGAGAGTTTGAGTCATTACAGCTTTAACTTTAGCAGACAGGAGCGAGCTCTGAGGGGCATCGACTTCCCTAAAGGTGAGAAAACAAAGAGTTAATAAGATCAGAGAAGACTGGAAAAAAGACAAAGACGATAACTTTCATTAAACCCTGTTTTAATTGTTTTTTTTTTTGGTCTGTCTGCAGCTGTGGAAGACGTTCCTGAAGAACCAGCTCCAGAAGACACCAAACCAATCTTAATCCAGAACGCAGAACCGAAACATCCTCGTGAGACCCCGATCCAGAACCTGGAGGATCCGCAGAGGGACTCTGCAGAGGAGCTCACAGGAGCAGTTCTGCAGACAGAGACCCACAGACCGGACGATGGAGGTTCAGGCGTGATGATGAACAAAAAGGAGGAGGAGGAAGAGAAGGAAAAGGAGGAGGCGGAGAAAAGATGTGCGGCTCCTGAGCCGGTGAAAGAGGAGGGGATGACCACGCTCCAGGTACAGACACCTTCAGAAACTCTCTTTCCTCCACATGTTTGAGTGTTTTTATCCTTTTAGTTAAACATCATATTTATTTGACATAATATCCCTTTTAGTGTTTAAATTATTTGAAAACGATGAAAATCGTCTCTTTCAACATTGAACACATCGTCACAACTTCAAGGATGTAGAGTATAAATGATTTTAACACATGAAATCAAACAGGTAGTTAGCAGGTATTTGTCCAGATCAACAAAACTGAGAGCTGTGCACGATTTCTACATCTCTGCAAATTAATTCAGGGTGATTTAAAATGATGAGAAACTCTGCAACATGAAAAGAAATCTAGTATGTTTTATGTTTTGGTGCACAAGAGGTTATGCTTCGAAATGCAAAGCTGTCTAACTGTCTTCCTTCACATGTCAGTGTGATGGAGGAGAGGCAGAAAGTGGTGATTTGACAGCACAGAGTCAGACAGTGGAGGAGGAACCAAAGCAGGAGATATCCTCACCTCAACCAGCTGGAGATTCACCTCCAGAGTCCAAACCTCAGACTCCACAAAGAGTGGATTTTTGGATCCAGGAGTGGAGCACATATTATCTAGACCTGCCTCCACCGAGAAGTCAGGAAATTCAGGGAGATGCAGAAGAGGAGGAGGACGTTCAGGGGCGAGGGTGCCCGCCTGGAGCTGTGGATGAAAGTTTGAGCCTGACAGAGGAGATCTGTGATCCTGGCCTTAAAACCATCCTAGCAGAAGGGACACAGTCTGAGGATGCAGAGGAGAAAAAGCACCTTAAAGAGGAAGGTCCAAAATGTGCTCCTGGTTTGAAAGAGATTGGTGATCTTAAAGCTGAAATCACGGATGAAGAGCTGCAAAAAGAAACCAAAACACCAAAGAGTGACTCTGCAGCACGGACCGATGAAGTTCTAATGAGGAAAGATGGCTCCAAACCTCAAAACGACAGCCTGAAGCCTGAGCGCTCAGGTTTTCCAGAAAAGAAGGAGGTGGATGCAGAAAACACCAAATCTGAAGACTTAAAATCAAAGTACTCTGACTCCCTCCAGGTCAGTGCCGTCGAGTCGTACCTCCAACACCATCTCCATCCAGGCTTTCGCGCTCTCCGCTGATGTGGCCGTAAAGTGTCCTCTTCTCCTTTTTGTGTTGCTGCTGTTTTGTCAACATGGCTTAAACTGCTTCATCACTCTCTCACCGCGGCCTCTGTGTCACTGTCAGGACGGACAAGAAAGTCAGGATAGGACAGAAAAAAACAAACGACAGGCGTGTTTTAGGGCTACCGTAGATTTCTGCAGCTGTAACAGACACAAGGTCACAAGTTTAAAAAAGTTCATTTATTAGGAGGTTCAAAGATTTTCTACTTTCACATTAAAAATCAGTTTTATTATCACTTCTTATCTTATATTATCCTACTGTATTAATTGTATCGTACCTTATCCTTTTGATAGTATCCAAAAGCTCTGTTTTAGAAAAAAACTAATTAGATTAGATTAAACATAATTCTGATGATTTCTCTCTGATTAATGCTGGAAAAGAAGAAATAAAAGTGAAATACTCAAGAGGACAAACCTCCAAACTGCAGGAGATAATCACTTGCTTGCATTAATTAACACTCTTCTTTTTTTTTTTGCTCTTATAAAAATCTGTTTTTTTCCCTCTTCTTTTTTAATCCTCTCCATCTTGCCCTCTTGTCTCCTCACTGATTATACTGTGTTTAATATCATCTTCATCCCCCTCTTTCTCTCTTCTTCCCCTCCTCCTCCTCGCCTCTCTTTCTCCAGGCGATCACTCTGCTCTTCTACCTGCTCGCCTTCCTGGTCATCCTGCAGAGGGTTTGGGCTTACATCGGCTGCTTCATCTGCATATAGAGACCGACAGGAGACGGATCGATCCTCACTGCTGCACGGCTCAGGTACTCACACTTAATGACACCTGTGACAGTATAAGAGACAAACAAAACCCTGTTAATTAAAAGCTTGTCCAAATAAAAGACTGTTAACAATAATGTTGTGACGATACAATATTGTTGCCCCAAAAACCTCCCACCTCTGATCACCTGATGTCAATTAAAAATCGACAGAAAAACTGTTATAAGATGAAAATGTTCATGTCCACTTCAGGCTTCCATACAAGAGAATTTAATGCATTTAAAGCAGAAATCCTTTTTATTAAAGCCTTCAGCTCAGAGTGTTTCCCAGAGGATGATTTTTCATGTTTTAATCGGATCAGTCAGTGTCACAGTCTTTTTAACCTTTAATTTTTTATCTTTTATTACTCCAGATGGAGACGAGAACATCCCTCCTTCCTCATCCTCCTCCTCCTCCTTCACTTCTCATCGACTCCTACTAAAACAGGGAGAGGAGAGAGAGAGAGAGAAGGAGAGAGAGAGAGAGAGCCTTCGGACATGAGATTTGAGGCTTCAGAGCTGCTCGGAGACTGAAAACAAACTCATACCTGGATGAAACTTCAGACTTACAGATGTTGTTTTATTTTCATCGTCTGGTTTGTTTCTGGATGTTAATTCAGGTAAAAATGGTGCCTGTCTGTTTGTTATTCGTGGGAAAAGAAGGAGCAGATCTGAGCGGGGCCTGTGTGTGTAAAAGGAAATAAATGTTAGTCTGCTGGGGTTTTATTAAAAGACAGAAATCTGATGGAAAAAGAAGACTGTTGCTCCTCAAAGATCTTTTGTCTTTTTTTTTATTGCAGTGTTTGTTTAGTGTTGATCCTCCCCTCCCACCTTTATTTTTCAGCCTTTAAAGACTTGATCAGTATTTTTATACTTTATCTTCTCTGATTTAAAATAACAGCATGAACTCTGTCAATGTTGTCGCTGATGGTCATGTTTGTTTTTCAATATCATTAGTTGTTTTTGTGACGTCGTTTGACCACGCCGGAAAAGGAATTCTCGGAAAACAAGCTGTTAACAGAATTCTCAAACATCACTTCCTGTTTGAGGACACGCCTTAAAAATAAAAGCTCTACAACAAATCACAATTCTCTCGAGGTCTGTATGAATAAACAAATAACCACTGAAGTCAAGTCATTTTTTTTTTGTATGTAAGTAAATATCCTGAATATCGTTTGGTGTTAATGAAAACATAAAGACTTTTAAAACACTCTATGTTACTGTCTGTTAAATAAATAATCAGAATCAGATATACTTTAATAATCCCCAGGGGGGAATAGCTTTTCGTTAGAGAAGAGAGAAGAGATAAATAATAGAAAAAATAAGTAAAATTAGTAAAAAAAAGAGATAACATACAAATATGTACACTTTATACAACACAAAATAGTAAAATAGTATGCCTATAAACAGTAAGCAGAGTAAAGGTTTACTGCTTACAGTGACAATATTGAAAACAACAATAAAACAATCAAGGTGAAAAAGTTTAAGTAAAACTAAAACTAAAAATAATATTATTATTATTATTATTATTATTATTATTATTATTATTATTATATAATATATAAAATATATATTATATACAATAAAAAAATCATATAATAATAATAATAATAATAATAATAATAATAATAATAATAATAATAATAATAATAAAAGCGAATTAATCGAGAATCAGAACGATCAGAGCAGTGTGCCGTCATGGTTATCGTATAACGACGGTGACTTTTATTCTGAAACTGTTCACCGGAAGTCTCTCTATGTGATTTCCTCGCTCTTCACAGTCAGAGCGGTTAAAGCTGAGCTGTCCGTCAGACCCTCAGATTGTTCCTGTCGACGACTTTACCAGAGTGTGGAGTCTAAAGAGGGGATCTGTACACACCGAGCAGAGGAGAAACTCCTTAAAAGTGTTCGTCAGATTTCAGAGTGGTCGGGTTTTCACTTTTAAACGTCGAATAAAAGTTTCATCTGTGTGAAATCGACGCCATGGACCCCGCCAGCCAAGGTAACTGTTAGCCTAGCAGGCTAGTTAGCTCGGGTTTAGCTAAGCTCGACGCTAAAGCTGCTCAGACCGCCTACAGTTGTTATACCGTATTATTTTGACTAGATAATGTTAATTCACTCTGTTAGTCACCTTATTAGCTCCATTTTGAATAGTTTCGAGTTAACAATTAGTAGTAATTGTTGAGTTTAGCGGACAGGACGGGCCCGCTGCTAAATGTCAGAAAGAGGAGGATCGTGTTTCTAATGTCATTAAATTGTCATTAAAGCAGAGATTATTATAGATTTAGTTTAATCAAAAACCTCTGGAATTAATTCAGTTCAATAAAGGACATATTTAAGTGAAACCTCCTATAAAGAGCATCACTTTGTTAGAACTAAAGGTCTGATGTGAGCTGAAACAGTTTGTTTTGGTCGCTGCCTTCACCTGTTTTCACCTGAATATTTAAGTCTGTTTAATGTGATCAGTTTAGGATGACTCAGATCTGCTGACTAACTCTGTACTGTTGACAGCCTTGATGCCAGCTTGTTGTTGTTTATCATCCTCTCCAGTGACAGGTCTGCAGACTCTCATCGATCATATCTGAGAGTTAACAGAAGGAGACACTGACAAACAGACACCAGAGCTTCTGTTTATCTTTAGACAACAATACTGTGACCTCATTTTAAATTTCTATTCGTATTCTTACTTGAAAACAATAATAGGCATTTCATTCAGATGGTAAATCAGAGAGTAAACCTGCAAGAAGTGAGTTAAATCAACTTATTACGTCCAGTGATCAAAGTTCTCCAAGAACTGTCTCTCACTGTTGTTGTGTCTGGATCCTCCTGGTCAAATATTCTTCCAAGTAGGGCTGGGCGATAAGGGAAAAAGTTCATCACTATATATTTTTTATATCAGTTGATATCGAGTTATATCACGATATAAAAATAAAATCTAACAGTGTTTATTGGTCTCATGTCTTTTCCAACACAATAATCTCCTGCATCTGTGAGGTCTTTGTGTCTCTTTGACGTTTTGTCGTAAGGCGTTGCTCTAGAGAAAGCCGACTGAATGGTTGGCTGTTTTGGCTGCACAGGTGCTACGGGCTCCTCGCTCCTCTCGGGGTTTGTAACCACCTGAAGCAGTCGTTTTGGTGCCAGTGTTGTCGTTGACGATGTGGTCATCTGTTGAGCCTTCATGGTCATTTCTGTCGGGGGTAGCACTCATTTTCTTCGCTGTCGGCTTCACCTGTTAAAGTGCTATGGATGTGTGAAGCTGCTGTCTGCTACGACGCAGTTGTTTGAGACTTGGTTCTAATCCAGCACATGATTGGTTCAGACCCGGAAGAAACTCCCCTTTTCACTGGCTATTGGTATAGTCGACCAAAACATGTCAGGATGCCGACAATCAAAAAGGAAATTGGCCATATTTTATATCAGGGGTGGGACAGAGGGCCACGTGAGAAACCTAAACTGTGTTGGAGGGCCAAACCAACAATAACTTCAACTTCAAATCAGGGGGGTTCACACATGCAGAAAAGCGAACCCAAACAATCAACTACGAGTTAAAAACAAGACCAAATTTTTGCAGATGTTTAAACTTGTCTCTGTTCACAAACACAGATCTAGGATGAGTTAAGTTAGTAATGCGTGTTCATTTAAAAGTCTCTAAGCCTCTAAAACTACTTCTTTATAATGATATCCAAATAGTGTTTAAGTTTTACAATAAGAGTTAGAACCTCAAACATGGGGTTGAGATAAGACCACAGGAGCTCAGGTGGAAAATCATCACCCTTCTCTGCTGCAGTCGTCAGTCAATGAACTTCTGTTTGCTCCACCGTAGATCTTATGGTCTTACGGATCAGATCAGTTGACTTCAGAGCAGAATTCGGAGTATCATGATTCAGTTTTTTTCTTATTGCATGTCAGTCAGTATGGAGTCCTGATCTGTTAATTGTATTTGCCTCGATAACAGGGATTCACTCTGATGATCTTCACTGTTTACAGAATTAACTGAAGCAAACTGAGTGTCTTAAACTCACTCCACACGGAGGAATCAATCCAGAGATGACGCTGCACAAATGTCTGAGCTCCATGTTTCTGTCTTATAACGAACAGACGTTAGATCATATAATACAGACACAAAAACCTACAGTCTCCACCAGGAAGGAGTCTGAAGAGATGGATCAAATCCCAGCCTCCGTCTTTGTCATCTTTTCGGCCTTTTGCGCTCTCTCAGGGATATTTGTCCTTCTTTTAAAGTCCAGAGTCTGTCGCTTTGGTGCAGCAGGGATCAAACACAGCTGTCCTGCTCTCACCTTCCAAAACAATCATATTTCACACTGTTGACATCGTAGCCATCTAAGGTTTTCTAACGCTCAGTTACTCACGTGGACGTGTTGTTCCTCTAGGTTTACTGTGTGGCCCTGACAGATGTGTCGTGTTGAATCAGGTCCCTCATGACTCAGGACGAGCTCTTTAAGGACTTGTTAAGGGTTCCCTACATTTGTCCGACTCTTCAAGTCAAACAAACGGCGGTGAAGTAGGACACGTCTGTCTGAATCAAATCCTGCTGCTTCTGTTTCCTGATTTCTGCTCAATCTGAGGACATTTCGAACACCTGACTTTACTGTCAGTATAAAAACTGTTCTTTAAGGAGTTAGACTTATTAGATGTGATAATAGTGTTTTCTTATGAAATGTCGGTTAAACAAAGTCAAGACAAAAGCAGTGTGTGATCTGAAAACACCGACAATAGAGAAGGGAAACCAGAATCTGTACATGTGTGTGTGTGTCAGCAGGAATCGGACCAGGATGCACTGCAGCAGCTGCAGGGTTTGAAGGCGTAGGTGTGGCCGGACTCGTGAACATGCCTCAGTGTTTACCGACCAGTTCGACTACTACTGGTTAGGAAAAAAAGATTTTGATCGAAAGCAACAAAATGATGGGATACCGCCGCAAGAACTCAACAGACGACATAAAAATCATAACAAACAGATAAAACCCAGGACCCCGAACTCTTCTTTAGTCCCCTCCCTGTTCTGGTTTGAGTCTCGCTGTCTCGTATTGACCTCGCTGATGTTATTTCTGTGAGCCGCTCTGAATCACTCTCGACTGAGTCAATACACCTCCAGGGTGGAGTCGTCTTATCTGCGGCCGGCCTGTATGCGGATGTTGTTGCTGCTGCTCTTGATCTCGGTGCTTTTTTCATGTGTGTGGGAGTGAAAGTGGAGCCGTCTGATGTCGTTTTTCCCTTTGACACCTGAATTAGTGATTATTTAGTCATTCTGTCTTCCTGTTTGTGCAAAATTCCCCTGTTCAGGAAAACAACAGGACAGGACCTGCAGATAATGCTCGTCTGGCTGTTTTGAAAACTTGTTTGTCTGTAAACCAGCTGTTGCATGCAGGTCTTATTCTTGGCATCAATCACCTGAAGCTTTCGAGTGTGGCGCAAACCTCCGCTGCAGAAGTAGGCGTGTTTGTAAGCAGTGTAAGGTAGAAGTTAAGCTTTCCAAATAAACTCACCCTCTGAAGAATCTGATCTGTTTGAGTGTCGGCCTGTTGCAGCAAAAATCCTATTCTTACCCGCAGTTTCAGGCTCCAGCTCTTCTTTTTTTTCTCTCCTCCGTCTGTGCCAAGCTCCTTAAGCTGCCAAATATCTGCTTGTGTCCTCAGGTGGCTGATACAAGATGTTCTCAGAGGGTTTGAATGCTGACAGAGGCTCATTTCAGCGTCCAACGTGGTATTTTAGTGTCTTCAGCCAGAACTGAAACAATATGCTCATCCCCAGATCTGATACCGTCGTGCTGCTTTGGTTCTAGTTTTATTTCTGAAGGGACAATTTAAGTTTGATGATGATATTGTTTTTTAAATGATCCGTTTTTAATCAGTGGATTTCATCAGCTGATCATGATTGATCCCTTTTTCATTTAAACTCGATTGTTTTGCATCTTAAAGGTGGTGTAGTCAGGATCTGAGGAAGTTCCAGTTTTTAGGAGAAAACACAAACAGGCGCGGTCACTTCACGGACGCATTCATTGTTGTAATGTGAACGACCGCACAAAAAGATCATATTTAACGAAAAAATCCGAATTGTGGATCATAACCTGCAGCCTTAGTTTCATCCCCAGGTCTGAGGTGTTTCCTGATCGTCTGCACCGGTCTGCTTTATCTGCTCTGTGGTGTCAGAGTCCGGGTTTAGTCCAGTTCTGAGAGAGATTGTGATGCTTTAATTCAACAACACTTCTCTTTTCTCTTCTTTAAACGATTTCTGGATCATTTAAAGTTTGTGTAGGTAGAGTTAAAGTCTGTTTTTTCCTGTATTTTCATATTTCTTCCTGTCTTCATCTTGTCCATGCTCCTGTTTACTTCAGAGAAGCTTTAAAATCACAGTCTGAGTGTTTTGCTCCACTAATTACCACTCTCTCTCTCTCCTCCTGCTGGAAACACGAGCCTCCTCCTGGCTCCGGTTCGTGTGTCAGGGTGAAACGGATACGGAGGGAGGGCCGGTCTGAGGGAACCACTCTGAGCTTTTAGCGATGTTTACTCTCCTCTGACCTCGTCCATTAACGTCTTTTCTTTCTGCTTCAGATATCAACCTGAACTCTCCTAACAAGGGCCTCGGTGTGGATCAGTCCGACAGCCTGTCCGACGTGCCTGTGGAGGGAGCGGTGGGGAACTCGGCCAACCCTCTCCCGCCGGGTCTGACAGAGGAAGAGGCTGAAGAGCTCCGCATCGAGCTCTCGAAGGTGAGACCCAGAACCACCAGAGTGAAGCGAATCACTGACTCAGAAATCAGAGCTCCTTTAAGCTTTAGTTCTCCATGTTTGACGTAACAGGTTTCTCTGCAGCCTGAGGCGACTCTGTTTGGTCAAATAACGAGAAGAGAGCTGTGATTTAGTGTTTACACAGAACTGAACTAAATCAGATTTTCAGAGAGCCACTGATCAGCTCCTCAAATGTCAGAAAACCAGAAATAATCCCGCCTGAAGACGTCAAATTTTAGATTCTAGTTTGTTTTATCTGCAGGTTAAAGTGAAATAATTGACGGCGAATTGTCGTAACTCTATCAGACTCCAAAAGAACAATTTCAGATAATCTAAAACTTGTGTTGTGTCTTGTGCGTTGGATCTTTGTTAACGCGTCTGTTGTGATCCAGGTGGAGGAGGAGATCAACACCCTACGTCAGGTGCTTTCAGCCAAAGAGAGACACGCCACAGAGCTGAAGAGGAAACTCGGCCTCAGCCCGCTCAACGAACTCAAGCAGAACCTCACCAAGAGCTGGCAAGACGTACAGACCTCCAACGCGTACGTATTGATCTGACCGCAAATTTTATTGATCTGTAAAGTCAAACTCCACCGTCTTTGGCCAAATCAGCAGAGTTCACACAAAGTCTTAAGAGTTCAGATGTTGAATTTCAAAAATCCTTAAGATGTCGTTTTTTTTTTTTTTTGTCGGATGTTTCATCTAATGAGTTGCAGAACATGAATAATTAAAGATGAGGGAGGAGTGGGCGTTCGCCTGATGGAAACCCAGTATCCTGTAATGGGTTTGAAAACGCTGAAAACAATAAAGAGTGAACCGTAAAAGTGGGTCGTGGTTAGGTCACGTCGGGACTCCATCCTCCTCTGCTTTCTCTGCTCAGCTCTCCTCCTCAGCAGCTTTTCTGAAACATTTTCAAACCTAACCTCGTCTCTTATTTTGGCGCTTTATCAGCTGGAAAATACTGAATTTAGATCCTCAGTTAAGAGAGTGGAGCTTAGACCGGGCTTTAACCTCCGTGTTTCCTCCCTGTCCTGTTTTCTGACCCACGTTGACATCTTCACCCTCCATGTAGCTTCAAACTCCACCTCGTTTTTTTACATCATTGGAGTCAGATTTTGCTTATTTGATGGTTTTGCTGTGGTATTTAGACTCCATTATAAAGATGATATAACATCGAGAGTGTGCAGGGGGAGCTGAGATGACGTGACGCGGTCCCTCGTGCAGATTCAGAAACAATGGTTTCTCGCTCCTCTTTGTTATATGATCGGACGTTTTTAAAGAACTATTGTTTCACTTTTTGGGAAGAATAATGAAGAAGCGTCCGAGCAGGAACGCCTCGTGGAGGAACAAAGGTAGGCGGTTTATCTCAGCAGACGTTAATCTTTTCTTCTACGAGAACCTTTGAAAGCACCTTTCCTCTTTTCCCCTCTCTGAGTCGGGACACTGTGAAGATGAATCAGCACTTCCCGAAGACATTGTCTGATAGTAACAGCATTATCAGAAAGAGCCAGTCACAGCATGACTCACCCTGTGGTCACACAGTAACGTCTGTGGAGCATTTACCGAAGACGGAGGCGGTTCACCTGAACGCAGACGGAGGAGAGAGAGAGAGTGCTGCGTCGTCAGATATTATTCTGATGTTTTTAAAGGAGCTGTAGTAAAGTTGTCAGACAGTTTAAAAACGAATGTTAAAGTGGGACTTCTGCAGAAATGTTACGTACTGAGTTCTGCTAAAGTAGCACAGAGTCTTTCTGTGAACCTCTGCAGCTTTAACACCCTGGTGTCTCTGTCTCTAGCTATGTGAGAACCTCTGAGAAACTGGGCGCCTGGAACGAGAAAGTGACGGGTTCAGATCTGTGAGTCTGTTTGCTGCTCGTTCAGCAGAGATGATGATGATGTCTGAGTTTCTGCCGTGTTTGCTCTCTCACGCTCCGGTTCTCACTCACTGTCGACGCTCCTCGCCTCTCACCTTCTAACCATGTTTGAGAACGCCGGCGTTGCTGTTTAACTTTGCGTGTGCTTGGAGAACGAACCCCCATCTCTGCAGGGACGTCTGCTCAACGTTTGGAAATGTGTAGAGCTCGTAGTTTACTGTGCTGCACGCTTGATTGTTGAGATGAGATGCTGTAACGTGTGTTTTTAAATCATCATGTTCAGACGTTCAGAGCAGGATGTGTGAAAATATTGGATTTCTGCAGGTCTTTGTCTTTCATGGAAGTATCATCAGCCGGTTTTGACTTCCTCTCCCTGAGGTCAGGTGTCGTCTCTTCCTCCGTCCAGAACTGATGACACACGCCCTTCCTACTTCCTCCTCAGATCATCATTTCTTCTTTATTTTAAACCTCCTCACATGTTTCCTCTCCGCTTTTTAAAACCATTGACCGCTCTGAAACACTGACGCTGTTGTTGCTGCGTTTTCACTTCTCTCACAGATTAGATAGTCGGGAGGATCCCTCAAATACAAAACAAGAAGTCAAGAGGATGTAGAAATATGATCAGATAGAAGTTTCTCTCATATTTGATGGTGATGAGTGATCTCAGTGATGCTGCAGAACCTTCTCTCTCCGTTTCTCAGTGTCGGAGCGCCGCAGCCATATTTCCTGTAACTGACCTGAATGTTTTCTTGTTTTTTTGTTCTACCACGGTTCATATTTACCGTGTCCTTCTCCTGTCAGACTCACTGCAGACATGCCGAAGATAAATTCAGGTTCTGCAGTTTAAAGTTTAGTAGTATTAATGCATACCTGTCTGACAGCGACAAAGGAAACACAATTTTTCCTCATCCTTGTCCAGCTGTCAGAGTTAAATATTTCTCTGATTATTTCGTAATGTTGTTGGAAGAATCCAGACTCTGCAGTCGGCGAGAAAACCACCGAGTTTCGCCCGTCTCCGCCGTCCTGCTGCTGGAATTTTCCATGTCGGCTCCTGAAGTGAACAGGATTGGCGAGCTCGGTTTGCTGACACAGTTCTTGACTTTTACACACACCTTCGCAAACAGGCAGGTGCTCCGGTTTGATCTGTTTGTTCTACTTTGAGGAGCAGAAACATAGATGTTCGTTTCTTATCCGGCTGGGATAAATGTGGATAGTTTGAGTTTTTGCTTAGAGAGGCAGGAACACGAGCAGACAGGCGTGTTATTCTTGGTTTGGGCCTACATACCCACACACACACACACACACACACACACACACACACACACACACACACACACACACAATGCCAGCTACAGTACAGGAAAAGGGGCCTGTTGTGTGTGTGACAGATATGCATGTGCCCTGGTCGTGCCTGGCGACCAGACGGACAGCTCAGACCCGCTGCTGCAGAAACAAAGTGAGAGGAAAGAGAGGAATGTGAGAGAGAGAGAGATGGAGGGGAGGGGGTTGGGGGGGTGTTTTGCTAAGTCACATGACCAGAAAGAGAGGCGGAGAGGGTGCGAGGTGCACACAGAGCAATCCAAGCACACAAAGAAGTAAATGGGTTATGAATTATGAAAACAGCGGAGGCTCAGAGAGTCGAGGCTTGTTGCCATGAAAACCAGAGTCAGTAAAAATCTGAAGGAGCCGTCGTCGTCGTCGTTCCCTCCGTCTGATGACAAACATTCAGGTAGAGAGAAAACTCGACATGTGAGGTGGACAGAAGCTCTGATTCTGTGTGAGTCTGCTTCAAGCGACGGACAGTAAAGTGGTGAACGGACAGACAGACGGACAGACAGGACTGTGTATGAAGTCAGCGTGCTGCACAGTCAGCAGCATTGTGCCGACGCTGAAAAGAGCGTACAGGCCGGCCTTGTTTGGAGCAGAGATTTCTCCTCTTACTGTAACTCTGTAGGGAAGTCACGATGTTTGAACCTCGACGACACACTGGACCAAATCACAAAATACGAACAGACTTTTTAAAGTCCTGGTCGACGATCTGAGAAGCAGTCTCACACAAACCTGTCCCCAGAGCAAGAAGCCGACCGGCAGAAGATCCTACGCTAACTTCAAATAGGATTCACCATGTCGGATTGTTAGTGACTAGCGGCAGTAAACGCCAGCTCTGCTAGCGAGCGCCGTCTGCAGCTGCCTGGACAACTAATGTGTTGACATGTCAGAGACTAATCAGAGTTATTTATGTAACATGAGCCACGATAAAAGGAGATAAAAATGACCTGAGGGCGGAGCTTTCTGCACCGCTCCAAGGATGACCTGATGTTTATTCACGTTAGATTCCTCGCTTGGTCACATTTCGACTCCGCCTTTTCTTCTGTCAGCTTGCGTTTCCCACTTTTGGCGGTGGGGCGAGCAGAAGTGTTTTCTTCTCCATCACAGCTCCTGTAGCTAAGCCGCTACGCTCCGAGGAGGGCCGGGAGAGTGGGAGGGGATGAGTCGGAACTACGGGAGAGGGGTGATTGACCAATGGGAGCTGTCCGGGACGGATGGCTCCCATTGGTCAATGTTTTTGCAGCCCTACAGCTGATAGGGTGAACGGATCTTTTCCGTTCTTTTTTCTCTTCACTTTGTGGAGATCGCTCTATTGGACCATGATCGCCATAGAAACGAGGTTCATAATAATTACCAATCTCTCCAATCGTCGACCATGACTTTAACAGAATTGAGAATCATCAGGTGTGTTTGTCCTGAAGAGGAGACGACCTGCAGATCACTCAGTTCTGGTTTTGGATCCTGATCTGAAAACAAGCAGAGCACTTAGAGCTGACATCAGCGAGACACCGTCTTACATCAATGTTTGCTTCAGTATTTCAATAACAGTCAGGTGGTTTGTGTTACGCTCAGTAAACCTTCTTCAAACATTCAGGAACGATAGAGACAAATAAAGATCTTCTCATCTTGAGCTTGTTGTGCATCTTTCTCTGTGTGTGTCTACTTTTGCATCTGGGTGTTTAAGCTTGCAAAATAACAAGTAACTCCTTTTGGCGAAGCATCCACTCTGGATGAAAAATCTGCACCATGTGATCTTCCTCTGCAGAAATGTCAGTTATAAAGCTGTTATCAGGGATTTTGGCGGCATTATTCCAATCATTAACTCACTTTTTCCTCTTGTTGACACTTTTTTTTCCTCGTGTTCAAAAGCTGAAGGCCTTTCATGTCGGAGTTCATTTCCTCCAAACTAAAATACATCAACAGCACAATAACAAAACAAACAAAGGGTTAAATGTCGAGTGGAAACAGAGACAGATTTACAGTCTTACCCTGAGCGCCGGCGCCGCTCTCCCTGTGCTGCTCAGAAGCGGTGGAGTCGGTCCGACTCTCATCTGATTTGAGGTTTTCTGTGAAATTCTGTTGTGTACTGTGAGTGTGTGTGTGTCTCTTCCCCTGTATCATTATCCTCCTGCTGTTGTGTCTTTAGATATCTGTCTGCCTCGGCCACTTTGGATGACATTGCCCACTCTGAAGTGTGAGTTGACCCCTTTCTCTTTTGTGTTCTTGTTTTTAGAGATAAGGTTTCTTTCCGTTGGTTTTTCTCTCTCTCTCTGTTTGTCGATTATTCATGTTTGCTGTTGTGATGGTGAGGGTGGGGCGTTACTTCTGTATCTGTATCTTTTGTGGCTGATAACAGGGAGGAAACTCTTTATCTGCTACAAGTTCAACACGATTTTACTCATTATTGTTCAACGATTCTGGAGGTTTACTCACTCGTTTGGTCTGTGTGTCGTTAATCGACCTCGCCGTGTCACATTTACCCCACTACTGGGAACTGGTGTGTGTGTGTGTGTGTGTGTGTGTGTGTGTGTGTGTGTGTGTGTTGCCCAGCCGATCATGGCGTTGGCTCCGATCAAAACGATGTGTGTGCATTTTAACAGCCAGCAGGGGTGTGTTTGTTTTCTGCGCTCATAGGGCTGGGCGATAAACCGAAAATTTACCGATACTGAAATTTACGACGATAACCAACGTCATTTTTCCCGTATTAGTGTAAAAAAAATAAATAAATAAATCAAAATTGTTTTTGGATGTGTGTAGGTAGGCTATGGTCTCATGTCTCTTTAAGACGTTGTCCTACGTCAGAGACGTGACTCCAAGACAGGTGAGGAGATGGAGGACGGTTCAAAAGTTGTAGCGGCTGAAGTAGACGAAGTTAATGTGGGAGGGGGTGAGCAGCTTGTGGAGTAGTTATTATCCATTTATCGTTATCAAGGTGAACTGATCAATATATCGTGATATTGATTTGAGGCCATATCGCCCAGCCCTAGAGTCAGCTGATTAGGATAGGGATGAAACATCTAAGGGGACATACCTGAAGGGGCGCACATGTCTTCTGTGTTACACATCACGTCGTCACACTTACTTGGAGAACGTCATCCCATCCTGACTGTTGACCTCCCTCAGAGTTATGAAAAGCTCCGCCCCTCTTGTGTTGGTGGTTTTTAATGTTATGTCGGGGTAACACGGATTTGTTATTGAAAATGAGTCAACGGTATAAAAAGGTCGTTTTAGCGAGTTGAAGTGATGAGGAGTGAGGCATCGTTCATTTTTTACTATCTTTGCTGAGCGGCGAAGGAAACATGACGACCAGGAGAGAAGCAGGAAAATAAAATAAGACTAAACATGGGAAATAAAAAACTGAGGAGTGGGACGTCTGACATCCTCACTGTCTCTGCTGCTGTGAGAGGAAAAAACAACGTCCCGGAGGTCATTGTGCAGTCGATGACGAGGACACGGTCGTATAAGTCCTCTCTGGTTGGTTGGACACCGTGCAGGAGCTGCATTCGTCAGCAGAGCTGTCAATCATGGTGTTGTTCTGGTTTTATTGGTGGTTGACTGACTTGAGCAGATCAGCTGATGGTCGTCTGTCTCTACATTTATCAGCTCCTGTTAAAGTTTAGTTTTGATAATGTGCCTCTAAACATCCTCTATAACTGTGATTGTTTTTATTTTCATTGGTCGTTTTTTTTCCCATCATGCAGTGCTGAGATGAACAACCATAAAAACACAGAATCACAGCTGTCAGTCACACTAACGGGTCCCTCCTCCTCTGTGTTTCCTCTCCTCTGTGAAAAACATGACTTTATTCCTCCTCTTGTTTATGAAGCTGTTTATTTGTTGATATTTTCTAAAGTTTATTAAAAAAGCAGATAAAGTGATAAAATGCTGAGGCTAACGTTTGGCTGTTGTGGCTGTAAAACTAACAGAATGATGGAGGTGAATAACGGAGCACTCACTTCAGTTCTTGTGTTTTTGTTTGCAGTGATCTAATGTCCCTCTTTCTTCCTCCCTCACTCCCACCCGTCTATCTCGTTTCCCCTCATTCTCTCCTCATCCGTTCTCTTTGTTTCTCCCTCTTCCCTACATCAATCCTCATCCCCTCCTTTTTTCTCCCAAACTGTAAATTTCTCTCTCTTTCTTTTCCAATCTCCACTCCAACCATCTGTCCGTCCCTCTTTTGTTGTCCTCTCTCTCCTCTCCCCCTTCTCCTCCTCCCTGCAGATACAAGAAGACTCAGGAGACTCTTTCCCAGGCGGGACAGAAGACCACCGCAGCTATCTCCACAGTGGGCACGGCCATCACCAGGAGACTGGGCGACATGAGGTACGAGGCAGCCGCGCCAAAGCGGGCGGCGCTCTGACAGGGCTGCAAAAACGAACGAGTAGAGCGGACAGAGTTATGATTAAGACCCCCAAACTTAAGAAATATTATACTGCAGGTACATGTGATTCCTGAGGGACTGGGTTTAGTCCACTTTGGTCCAATCTGGATCTAGTTATTGAGAAATCTGGATAAACCTCAAACTTTCCACCTCCTGGACGTTTCCATGTACCAGCAGAGGAGGAAAGACGGCACAGCCCAACAGAGGAGACGTAGAGGAAGAGTTTTATCATCCGTTAGAGAGGGTCAGATGTTGAACAGCAGAGCAGTAAATGCAGCTGCGTCTCTAAATCTGATAATCTCTGGTGTTAATCGTCGGCTCGCTCTGACTCTGTCCACTTCTCCTCCTTGGTTTTTTCTTGCAGTCCTGATTTAGTCTGACTGTGTAGATCTCCACGTCTTTTCTTTACGTTAGCAGTAGAACTAACTCTGAACGTTTGTTCGTGTATTAAGCAGCTTTATCGTTCAAAATCAGAAGGGATGGTTCAACACAAGATGTTTGTTGTAGATTCTTCCGGCGTTAGAGACACGAGGATGTTTTTCTCTGATTCAACAGTTATGAAGTTTAAAATGTACAAACTCTAAACTCAGTCACATCCTGAGCCTGTCGATGATGAGGACTTAATTGACATTAAGTAAAGATGTCTGCTGCACAACAAGCACAAAAACAAGCTACAATCCTTTTTCATGTCGATGTGGTTTAGACGAGGGGAAGTTCTCCTCCAGACAAAAACAAAAGATCTCCTCTTCAGCTGAGGAGCAGCAGTTTTAAAAGAGTTGGACCATCCCTGAAGTGTAGAGCGCTGTTTCTCACAAACAGACCGAGAACACGGCTGAGTTTGACGATAAAGCGATAATCAATCAAGAGTGATAAAGACGGAGAAGAAGTCACCGCACCGGAAAAACGAAACGACTCACTGACTCCTTCACGTCTGAACGAATCATCTCATCTGTCCACGTCTTGTTGACTCACACAACCGTCCGTAATGAACTTAATGTCTCCACCCACACTGATGTTTGCTCCTCGTGTGTGTGTGTGTGCGTGTGTGCGTGTGTGTGTGTGTGTGTGTGTGTGTGTGTGTGTGTGTATAAAGGTGTGAGGAAGTGATAACGTGGCTGATGAATGTGCGTCTTTCAGCTCATTAGCTTCTCATCCTCCCGCTGAGTGTCTCCTCCGTCTCCTTCCCTGCATGTTGCTCGTCTCTCCTCCCTCTCTCCTCATCGCTTCGTTTCTCTCTCTCTCTCTCTCTCAGTGTCGCAGTTTTCAGTCCAGGTCGTGTTTAAAGAAACGAACGACCTTCGTTTTAAACCCGATCATGAAGCTGCTCACTGCAGACACTCGGGAGCGTCAGAGCTCCTCTCCTCGCTCGCTCCGTCTCCCCTGTGTGTGTTCTCTGTTGTGTTGACGGTTTTGTGTTGTTTCCTAACGATGCTGCTGCTTCTTTACCGCTGCTTACCCTCTCTCTCTCTCTCTCTCTCTCCCTCTCTCTCTCTCTCTCTCTCTCCTCCCTGTTTTCTTAATGGCTGCCTTGGTTTGACCTGCAGAGCTCTTCCTTTCTCTAATTCCTTTAGGTAAGACTAACATTCCTGTCAGAGCAGTTTAAAGACAGAATCATGTTTAGCTCTCTGCTTTTTTTACCCCCTTTAATCGTTTGATTTTAGTATTTTGAGTTTTCAGACTCTGCGTCTGTCATTGTTTTTTTGCACGTAGATGCATGCAGACTGTAACTAAAACGACATTCCCCAACATGTTGCTGGTTTTTAAAATGTTGGCGTTGCTCCCTGAAGGTTAAACTTCATTTTGAGGTCGTTTTTAGAGAAATGAGAGTTTAATTCTGCACAAATCTCTGACATGCATCAAATTAAATCAGTTGAAATAGACAAAAATGAACTTTTACTCATTCATGATCTCTTATGAGGCGCATAAACGTCTCAGTTATTCAGTTTAAGGTGTTTAAGTGCATGTTAATAATAATAAGAACATTAATTGTATTGTTTGTTTTTGTGTGTGCGTGCGTGTGTGACCGCTCGCTCGCTCGCCTTGTAACACTTGCACTTCTGTCTCCTCTCTTTAACGCTTTCAAAGTAGCAACTATTCCATTCGCCACTCGATAAGTATGCCCGCCATGAGGTAAAGTAACACACCAACAAACCCGCTCTGCTTCTCTCTGACTCTCACTTTAACTCTCCTGCTCATGTCTTCTCTCTGATGTTTGTTCTTATTTATGGTCTGATCTCTGAACGATGTTTAAAGAAAGTTTAACTCGATATTTAGAGGACTTCCAACACGGAAAAGATCTTTAATGAAGTTTCTGGAAAAGTTTTCAAAGTAGCTGAAACTCCTTGAAGATATTTAGACACAGATAACCAGAAACAACTTACATCTATCTTCTATTTGTGTTTCATGTTGAATATATTGACCTGACTTTTGTTCTTTATAGTTTTAAGATTTGAGAAACTTTTTCCCCGTCCTAAAAAGTTGAACTTTTTATCTTTTGCACAAAAGTTAAATGTCTTATATGAAGAAAGAAGTGATGATCTTCTGCACACAATCCAGTTATTGTCTAGTTTTGATCTTGTTTGTTCGGTACATTGATATCATTTTTCTAAAAACACGACAATGCATCTCAAGGGTTTCATCCTGAGACAACATGATTTTATCTTGTGTGCACAAAGATCAAAACTTAATCTTAGCAAGATCATTGTAATGTTTCCACAAGACAGGAAGATAACTTATCGGCGCAAGATGATTTATAATCAAACCGTGTGCAGGAGGTTATTTTCTTTTTAACTCAGTGTTACGGTGTGTTTGACCCTAACTTAATTTTACGCCGGAATATCCCTTTAATAGTGCATGGTAGAATGTAAAATGTATAGATTTTGATATTTTCAGAATTGCTGTGTGAAGTCGAGTTTTTCTTTCCCTGAAGTTTCTTTCCATCATGTCTTTTAAGTTTGATTAAAGTTTAATTATTTCTGTCGGCGTCTGGACGTAGCAGCAGCTCGTTTTCTCTTGAGTCACCACGCTCTTACTGCACGAGGAATAAACGTGATTTTTGTGATCGTAACTCCGGATCTCTTCTCTGCAGGAACTCGGCAACCTTCAAGTCATTTGAGGATAAAGTGGGAAACCTGAAGGTGAGCAGGATGTAAACGTGAACTCAGAGAGACTCCACGGGGAAGACAGAGGGAGAGGAGTCAGAGGATAATGAATGGAAATCAATAACTCTCCCCTCTCTCTCTCTCTCTCTCTCTCTCTCTCTCTCTCTCTCTCTCTCTCCCAGTATAAGGTCGTCGGGCCCAAAGGAAACGGGGAGGCCGTCAGCTCCCCCACTGACACCACCCCCACTCAGGAGAACCCGCCTTTCTGAACACAACCCTCCTCTTCCTCCTCCTCCTCCTTCGCTGCCACCTTCCTCACGACCTGAGACTGTACTGTTACCACGCCACATTGCAGAGTCAGCCTTTGACCTTTGATCCTCCACCTCACCCACTCGCCATCACCCGCTCCTCCCCCCTATAAGGTCTACAAACACCGATAAGCGGAGTTAAAGGACTGGTGGGTTTTAGTCGGGACGAGCTGCTGGTCTCTCTGCCTCCTTCGACGTTTTTGTTGATGTCTAAATAATTTACAGACCTTGCGTTGTTACGTCACCTCCTCGTTGTTTGATCCTCACCCCTCCTCTTTCTGAAAAACTCCCTCACCGTCATGTTCTCCTCCGTACTGTTTCAGCAGAAAGGGATAAAACGGCATTATACAGGAAGACGTCTGCTTCTTTAACTTTGGGAAAAACCTCCGAACGAATTTGCGTTTTGGAGCACTTCAGCGCCCAAACTTTGGAGCGCTAGTTAAACGTCCGTCTCTCCTCGTCTATCCTGTACATTAACCACCTGCTCGCGTCGTCGCCACAGTGTCCTCAAAATCTTCCTAATCTTGTTCTTTATTTCGGTGGAAACAGGCGATACCTGAGGGAGGGAGGAGGGGCGAGGATCAGGATCAGGATCAGGACACCCCTCTTAGACCTACTACTGCTACATGCATGTGCATATCTCATCTCAGTTGTACAAACCGAAAAAAAAAAGACGCAAAGACGACCTCGGTCTCGTGTAACACCCCCCGGGATGTAAAAACAAAAAACCATTTTGTATTAAGAACTATTTTACACTGCTTTGCATAATGTTTTTACATAACTTTTATCAATATGTATAAATATATATGAGTAAATCTATCGTCACTGATGCTGCCGGATGGTGGTGATCAGGTTTGGGGGGTTAGGGAAGAGCAGGAGGAAGGATGAAAACAAACTTCGAGAAACACTATGGGTCAGTTTCACAGGCAGCAGGAGCTTTAAGAGAACGTCTTCAATCTAACAAACAAACATCTCCAAATTAGTGAAGCTGATTCATTTAACGAGCTGCAGTCGCTTTGTGCACAAGACGAATCAAACCGAGATGAGAGGGAACATAACTGACCTGGTTCGTCTCCGGTTTGACTCCCGTTCCCTTTTTCGACGACGCTTTGCCGCGTACACTACCTGGTGAATGTCTACGCTTCTCTGTCGGCCTTACTCACTTTAAACGTTTCACTCATTTGTTATGATTTAGCTGGTGGGAAAGAAATAGTTTTATTTTCCCCTTAATGTTTCTTCTTTTTTTGTTTATTTTTTTTTAGTTGTACAGACTGGTTTAATTGAAGGATTAGTGTCGTGTCGTAGGAAACCAATGAACCCCTTAATGCACACACAAATGCACTCCTCGTAACACAAACTAAACGATAGCACACACACACACACACACGCGCTGCATGAGGCCAAACTCACACTGTTTGAACAAACTCGCTGATCGTGATCCGAATGTGAAAAGATCGAAATCTCCAAGACTCCAAGTCGTGCACTTGCCTCTCGTGCGTGAAAAGAAGGTCGTGTAACTGAAGTTTTTCGTGCTGAAATCGCCGATACAAGAGCAACATTTTAGTGCGACTAAAAATGCAGGAAGTCTCATTTTAATTTGCCAAACTGTCGGCCAATCCTGAGTCTCAATGTTGCTTCTAAAAACGCCAAATTCTTAGCTGTAATTTCGCCGATATAAAAGTTGCTCATGTATCTCAACTTCAGCTCAATGCATTAAACGCTGAATTTGTGTATTTTCTAATATTTTTGCCAAAACTCTCCAATAAAGAGCCTTATAGTGAATGAAAATCTGAGATAATGAATATAATTTAGGGCTACGATGAACAAACGTGACAGAAAATACATCAAACTGCTGCAGGTGTATCATAGTGAGTGTGTCTCTTGTTTTCTTCTCCTTTTTGGTAGTTTAAGATGAATTGTTGCATTTTTCTTCTGCTTTCTGTCTGTCTAAGAGAAGATTTGTTCGTATGTGTACAAATAATTTGCCATCTGTTGAGGAAGAAGCTGCCAATATTTAAATATCTGTTACAAAAATCTCTCTTTTTGCCTCCGAGTCTCAGAGAGGATCTGACTTTCTGCTTTGCCAAGATGTAAACAACAAAAATAATGTAAATCTTAACTCATTTAGCTGAAATTTATTTGTAAAAATCTTGTTTTTCTTGCACAAAGTGGATCAACTCTTGATTGTGATGTTTAGTGAGGCCGTGTTCTCACTCTGTGCAAGTAAAACTCAACATAAAGACTGATTAAATAGATTATTTTAGCCTGTTTAAGGCTGAGATCAGTTTGGGGTTTATGGACAGATGGGAAACGATGATGTTCTTTTGTTTTTGGGTGCCAATGGGAAGTGCAGCACATGCTGAGCCTGCTCAGAGCCGGGCTGGAGGACAGTCAGTACTTTTAGCTTTATTTAGGTCCTGGGCCGAGCTGATGTAGAAATCAAAAGGGATCAGATTTGAAAGATCATGGTGGATGAATTAAAAACACTTATTTTGGTTTTGTTGTATATGTTTGGATATCAATAAAGCATTCCTTTAAATGAGAGAGTGGCGTTTGCTTGAAAATCAGAAAACCCAGTATCTCAGGATATTGAAATGTTTCTTAAATTTATCAAAACAGGATAAAATACAAAAATGTTGAACTTAAGTGCTAAAGTTTTACCGTTTTAAGTAACTGGTGGAAAACAGTGAATCACTCCATGTTAGTGTAATTATCGAGGATTATTTAATGTGGCATTGTTAGGTTAGAATTGTGACCTTCAGGTGATTTACAGGACAGCTGAGAAAAGATGTTCCCTGACCGGGAATCGAACCCGGGCCGCGGCGGTGAGAGCGCCGAATCCTAACCACTAGACCACCAGGGAAGGTGTTCACTGTCGAAAACATCTTCGTTTTTACAAGTGAATTATCGTCTATTTTCTATAGGTTGGTATTAGCTGTCCACTTCTGTCAGCTAATATATTTCCCGCGTCATCATTGGAGCACATGAAATCACATTTGGTATTCGTCTGAGGCGCGATATCGCGAGATTTCAATGCAGGAGGCATCTACATGTGGATAGGTTGTCGTGGCCGAGTGGTTAAGGCGATGGACTAGAAATCCATTGGGGTCTCCCCGCGCAGGTTCGAATCCTGCCGACAACGAAAATATCTTTTGTCTGTCAACAGTGTGGCGTTCATTTCTACATGGTACCGCAGAACAGAAGAATAAATTTACGGTTACGCATATTTGCGTAGTTCTGCAATTCAACGCCAATGTGGTGATTGAGCGAGAGTTTGCTCTCTACATATGCCACATTTCTTGTCATGAGATCATGTCCGTCACACAAAATAACACAGCTTGATTACTTTTGTTTTGCCATAATGCCGCATTGAAATCTGAGACATATCTCGCTGATGCAATGAACACAATCTACCACAAGGGGGAGCTCAATGTACATATCTTATTGAGGGAAAGCAAAGGCATACAGTGGAGGTACTTAAGCTTTTAACAGCTGTTTTACATTTCAAAGAAACAAAATTTAAAAAAAACTAATAAATATATATAACATGTGCATAATTTAGTTATTATTAAATACCATTAAGCAATTAAATGAACAAAACTGTTAAATTCAAGATTTATTTTCATGTGCAAATTAAAAAAGGTCAATAATGCAATGAAATGCCCTGGATGAGAGGAGTACAGATAAAACACTAAATAAGTACTGAAGGAATACAATAAAATAAGGATATAAAAAATATTAAAGACGAATAACAGTATAAGAGAAATAAATGAAAGGTGAGAGGAATATTTACAAGTGCAAAGAGATATTTACAAAGTGAACAAGCAATGCAGTAGGAGCTGAGAGTGAATGTATGGAATGGAGGATAGGTCGGTGGCATAAATGAGGTATGAAAATTGCCATTTAATGCCATAAATGGAAAAAATCAAATAGAAAGATGAAGTATTTCAGATAAGAAAATCTATTATGGCTAAATACAAACCAGCGTTGCTCATACACTTTGGACATGACATGTTTATTTCAAAGCAGGTGACATGGGTTACTGTGGAGATAAGCTATCTTTGTGTTCACTGCAGACAGATAACGCCTTATCCACGACTTCAAAGTCAAAATATTCTCACATTTCTCAACTGTTTATAAAAGAAATCTCAAGATATGTTTCAGGGTTGGTAGAGTAGGATTTGATTTCTATTGGTGTAAAAAAATAAAAAGGGTAGAAGTCGTCAGGGAAAAAAAAACAACATGAGGTAGGGGAGAGTGGGGTAAGTTGAGCCACCCCCTGTTGCTTGGAAATGGTAAAAGAAATTAATCATGTGACCAAATATTAAGGAGATGGGCATCAATTCATGGAGTTTGTGAAGGGCGATTGATTCCTCAATCTTCCACTGGTTTCTGTGTCACATGACCGAACTAACATTATTTGATTGGCTGGATAAGGGATGATTGATCCAGGAATCGATTGCTATCCCTGATTACCTGGATGTTAAGTCGGTCTGTTTTACACTGAAATTTTTTTTTTTGTTTTTTTAGGTCGAATTTTTACTACACGAATATTTTGAAAGACCGGTTTAAACACAATTTATTTCATCATGGTGGAAAAAAGTGCAGTATATAAAAATTTGTGTTTGAAATTCAGTCTGATTTTGACGCAAAAAAAATCAGCTTTAGAAATTAAAAATCAGATGGTGCAGATTTACATGCATAACACTCATTCTGTTGGTTTTCAGGGATGAACAACATCCTGAAATATCTGCAGGTAGTCTAGTTAGAGACAAACTCTAACTGCCCCACTCTTCCCTACTGTTGCTGTGAGAAGTAAAAAGGGGAGGAGCTGTAACTATAACCCCGCCCCTTCTCTTATTACGGCAGCACCTCTCCGTATAAAATCCCGACCAACGGCTGCTTGTGAGAAGAACCAGCGTCGATCTCCTCTCGGACCTTGGAGGGTCACACTTACCCGAAACTTCTTTTCAAATGGGCCCCGTCGCCTAGCGTTTCCTCCCCCCAGCCTCGCCGACCGAGTTGAATCCCAAACATCCAGCCCGCCTGGGTCCCTAAAAGGTAAAAAAGAGGGTGACCTAAAATGGAGGGGGTTGTTGTTGTTTTTCTCTGTGGTGGTCTCCTAACGACTGAGGGGGCGAGCTAACGATGCTAACAGGCTAGCTTCAGAGAGCTGCTGTGAGTCTGTCTTTGTTTTGGTTCAACACAGCAGACGGAGAAATGTCAGATATATGTCACTTATTTTGTCCATAAGTGTGTGTTCTTATCATGTTAACGGTCGTTTAGTGAGGAGCGTCAACACTAAAAAACGGTTATTGTCATTTCAAGTGTCAATAATCATGATGTTGTTAAAAACAGAATGTTCTCGATACAAAATCACCAACTCTGTCGTTTTTTAAGCTTTATTTCTCCTAGTCTAATCCGTCTTTATTCACATTCATCATCTCTATAACAAACAAATAACAAATGTGTAATTTTCCCGTGAAAACACGAAGCTGTAATCCGTCAAAATGTCGGAGTTCTGCAGAGACTGTGGATGTAAACAGGTTTCTGCAGAGAAGGATGAGATTCTGCTGCAATGGATGGATGTGGACCTGCTGCACCACAGTCTGCTGCTGCAGGAAAACACACAACAAAATACACAAAAATACACAACTAAACTAAAGATCTGCCGTTTTAATTCAATTTTGTTTTTATATTTTAATCTGCATTATGAGATTTTACCCTGTTTTAGTCCTAGACTTATTATTCTGCGTTTTATTACCTGTTATTGTTTGATTTAAAGACAGTTTTATTTAATCCACTTTTAACGCTTTATCACCTTTTTATTATATTTTAAATCAGTCTTTATTTCTATGTGTTTTACACAGAAAAAAGAAACAATGAAAACCCAAATCTACCTTCTTTTCCACCCCACGATCTAAACACATCAGATATAGAATTAAAATGCATAAACTAAACATAAATTTAATGGAAACTGGCTCTAAAGAAACGTCATTTTAAAACTCAAAATAAGGAAACACTGGAGGTTAAAATCTAAAAACAAAGAAACATAGACTGAAATTTATGAAATAATAGATAAAGTGAATAAAAACAACAATAAAAGAAACTAAAATAAGAACACCAAAATAGCTCAATAAAAATGTTTTCATTTTGCTTTTACAATCAATAAAAAAGTGAAAGTAGATCAGACAGATAAGAAGAGCCAAAGCCATTAAGAGCTTTAAAAACCAATAAAACAACCTTAAACTCTGTTCTAAGAGAGACGGGCAGCCACTGCATTTTATCACGGTTTTATTGTTTTAGTCCTTGATCCAGTATTTCCTTATCCATTTTAACTCGAGATAGTGTTTCAGTCATCTGTGGGAAGTTCAAGGGTCCTCACCTGTTTTTTTTATTTGTGTGTGTGTGTGTGTATCTGTGTGTGTGAGTGCTGAATGGGGGTTGGGAGGGTGGGTGGGGTTTGGTGTTTGTATTTTTATCTATTTTATTTCATAGTTTCTTCATAATCCTGCTTGAATGGACAGTACTTTGATTGATTGATCGATTGATTGAAGTATTCACAGTGAATTGTGTAGTTTGAACCATTTGGTTTGATCAGATTGATTGCATTGAATGAACAAGATAGAGGGAAGGAGAGAGAGAATGAGTAAGGGAGGGGGAGAGAATAGAGAACAAGGGTGAGCGAGAGAGAGAGACGGGGACAACAACAACATCAACAGCTCATGTCATGGTGACAAATTGTTGTTGTCTTGTCTTGATGTTTGTATTTTCCTCTCATTGTAATTTCTCTACATTTAAAATGATTAATTAATCTATTGCTGAGATGCTTGAAGGTCGTGAACCATCTCTGTTGAAAATAAATACTTTAAGACTTAAACAGTCAGTGTTTGTCTGCTGTTTTTATCTCAGGTTACAGACAGAATCATTAATCAATCAGTAAAACAATCAATCAAATACAGAAGTTGACTTAAGGTGGAGTCAGATGACACAATGACAACAGAGATGTAAAATAATAGAATAGTAATATGAGTGATTAACCTATTTGTTAAGCATATATTACAGTTATTCACAGTATGAAATGTATTGCAATATTAAAAATTAAAGGTGTATTTATACTCAGGCTTCAGCGTGTTTGTACACCTGACTCCTCTGTTGTGATTGGCTGTTCTCAGCGGTACATTGTGTGGTTTTTAGAGCCTGTAAATCAGAGTTTGGAGGACTGAATAACCCTCCAAGACAAACAAAAGCGACTTAAATGGAAACAACCTCGAGCTGCTTTCATAATGTCTGGCGTGAACCCATCTGTGCGAGGAATCCTGCAGCGCTGATGTGAGTCATGAGGTCTGGATCTGATCAGAGCGTCTCTTCTCTCCAGGTTTCCATCAAGCACAGCGAACAGAGACCAACAACAGGAGAATGGCGGCCATTCCAGCAGGCGGCTCTCTGGTGGCGACCACTGACTACTACCGAAGTGAGTCTCCCTCTCCTTCCTGTTCCTCCTGTTAGGTCACACGGTGTTACTCCGTTGAATTTACAGTTTACTCACACCGGATTATTCATCACTAAGAGCCTCGAGTGTGAATGTAATGACTCACTGTGGCATCTTTCCTGAGGGGTAGATGAGTAGTGTGTGTGTGTGGGCTTTACTTAGGATGTGAGAGTTTAGGTTTGTTGTGAGTCATTTCTTCTACTCTAACATTATTTCATGGTCATGTTGCATCACCTCAAAGTTAGCCAATCATGGCAGGATGTAGAAACAGAATTACAGCACCCCTAGACGAGTCAAACAGGTGTTTTTTTCTTCATCTTCCACTCTTTAAGTTGATGAATATTCTTATTTTGAGGATTTCCGTTTGTTTCATTCATCAGAGCAGCTGTGAAATGTCCAAAAAAGAGAGAGATGATTAATTTTGAGTTTGTTTATTCCAGATGAAGCAGCTGCAGGGATGTTAATTTTCACAACTAATGGACTTTATCTCTCTGCTCTATCTTATGGTGAAGTTACATCATGTTAGACAACAGCAGAGTTATTTTGAGCGGGTCTGGAGGGGCTGAAACGACAGGTGACTCTGTCCACAGAAATCCCCTCACTGCGTTTCTTCTTTGAATCAAAAACACCAAAAATTAAAAATCCCGTCTTGAGCTTTTCTCGTCTCTCATCTTGAGTCAGTTATCCAGCTGCACCTGTCCGAGTGAATCAAATCCGAGGCGTGTATCACAGATCCGGACTCGCCCCTCAGGCTGACGTTACATAACCAACAGAAAATGGATTTCCATTTTCAGTGTCCCCCTGAACGCCCGAACCGTCCTGCTCACGACAGGGAAGAGTTAGATATTACGCAAGATCATGAAGCTTTTCCTCTGGGTCAGAGTTTTGCATGAAATTCCTCTAAAAATAACCTGCTGCACCCCTCTGCCTGTTACATTTGGCCTCTCAGATTAAATCAACATTGTCTCTGTTTGTCGTCTCCTCCTGCAGGGCGCATCGGCTCCACCTCCAGCAGCAGCTCTTGCGGCAGTTCGGAGTACAGCGGAGAGGTCATCCCTCACCATCCAGGTGTGTGTTCGAATCAAAACACAGAAAACAACTACTGTACTGTACTGTGGTATAAAGTTAAAGTTAATCTTTCAAACCTATTTCATTAAAGTCCAAATATCAGCTTTTTAGTTCATGAGAAAGATAAACCGGTCTCCTTCCAGAGGATTTCCTCAGTTTGTCCTCACTGAGCCTCCGTCTAAGATCCTTTTAACTCTCTAAATAAAGAGCGAGTATTTGTAAGGCTGCGGTTTTTGGACTGAACGTGGTGTTCTGCTCAAGAGGAGCAACATCCTGTTTCTGTCTCAGATCCAGATGTTTCAGCACTGATTCATGTGTTTCACCGAGAACCGTTCTATTTCGACATGTCCTGTGTGGGCGCCGCTGTCTCTCGGTTGTCACGGCGCTCATTGATCTGGTTATATCACAGGCACAGCTTCAGTTTCACTAACCTCTCTGCTTTGATGTGGTGAAGTAAAACAACAGCGTTACCATGAATGAGTCATCCTGATACACAGAGAGGGTTTCTGGTCTGATCTCGCTCAGAATGAACATCAAAATCATCCCGATCTCGACACATGTGCGTTCAGCCCCTCAAAATAAACCCCCAGCAGCACCAGATCATATCTGCTGACTTCCCCCAGTAATCCCAGCTCAGCCTTATGTGGAAACCATCTGGGTTAGCGGCTCAGTGCTGGCTCAGGTCTGAGTCCGTGTGCCTCTTATAACCACTGGGTCAGCTTTTTGAAATGGTGTCAGGGTGCAAAATTGCACACACACTTAACAACTCACACAGTTGAACCGCAGGTGAAATATAAACGTATCGTCTTTATTTCCCAGGAGACAAATTTGTTAGTTTCAGGGAGTCAAGTCTGTTTTCAGAGACACTTTTGTTGGTTTAAAATACCGTAAACTTTTCCTCTGGATGGGAACAGCCCTCCAAAATATAACTAGCTCATCTCAAACCTGCATCTACTGCAGAGCAACAGAGAAACAGGAATGTGGTGCAAAATAGTGTGTTTACAGTTTTTTCAACGACATATGCAGTTAATTAAGTCGCTAACAATCCTGACAGCAAATCTAAGTGAATCACGGGTCTTTCCCTCATGATGAATCACATTTTTAACTCGACTTTTACTTGTATGTGTCAGCCTCAGTAAAGTCCCTGTCTGAACAGTCCAATCCTGGTGTTAGTTCGACCACAGAGACGGCAGCACTGTTGTTGTTGTTCTGAACGATCTGTTCTTCTTTACCTCATTTGAATAGTAGAGAATTACAACATCTAAAATGATCATATTTTTGTATCAAATAAACTCTGTCGACCGAGATTTGTCTGCTCAGATACATACTGCAGTGTGTCTCTAACTAGCTTGACCCCGAAGCTAAGAATAGCACATAGCCGTTGTACTGTAAGTATAACTGAGTGTAACTTATTGCAGCTGCTCACACACACACACACACACACACACACACACACACACACACACACACACTCAGAGTCAGTCTGACTGTTCTGTTCTGCAGCTCAGTGCCTGATGAAACACACACAGCCCACATTTATCACAGTGGTCAGTACAGCGTGTGACATTCAGTCTGGTGTCCCGCCTCAGAGACTACAGCTGCTGCTACTTCTGATGGTGCGTCCACCCTTAAAAGAATAACTTCAATCCTGGAGCATAAACGTATCAAACCTCTGATGTTCTCCTCTGCTGCTGAGGGAGGTTTTAAACGTGATGTGATAAGCTGTTCAATCCAGAGAGAAAAATAACCGAGTGTTGACTCCATATCAGCTTCAAAGTCTCATCCCTCTTTTCTTTTCTTTAGGCCTCCCCAAGCAGGACTCTGGCCACTGGTGGTCCAGTTTCTTCTTTGGGAAGCAGCCAGGGATGACCCCACTGACTGAGGAGGCACACCAGAAGTAAGTAAAAACACACACACACGTGTTGCAGTGCTGTTCTACTTTCCCTAAGAGGTTTCAGGTCAGCCACATATTAACTAAATCAGCCACCTGACAGTTTGTAAAGCACTGGTATAAAATAAACAAACTGAATTCATGGTTCTGAGGTGGCCTCCTAAAACCTGAATGAAACCTGCTCACCCTGGAGCATTTACCTTGAATATTTACTATCTTTTAAAGTTTGCTCAGACCTCGGGTGACTCCACTGCTGCTGAGTTTTCTCAGCTTACTTTAGCTGAAACTTATCACACACCCTTTTCTCGAGGAAGAAGGTGTTTGTTAAGTTCCTCTTGTAGATAAGAAGCAAAACTAATATGTACCAGAAGAATCCATGTTTAGAAAGCTGAAATCCATGCTTAATGCATGTACTGCCAACAGGTGACTGTAGTAGGTATCTAATTGGCTGATTCGACCGTATTTGTGTTTTTAGTTTGATAAGCTCAAAATAAAGTAAATGGCTGTTTTTGTTATATTATACTGACCAGTGTAAGAGGGTTTCCATAGAAATGGTCTGAATTTAAATGGGGTTGGAATCTGTCCTGATTTGACTCGTCCCTGTTCTACTGAATCATCTCTTACCTGTTTGACACCCGTACACGCCCTTTCTGCAAACTGCCATGACTAATTCCTTCCCCATCACTGTCTTTGTCTCTCTCAGAGTGGGGGTCCCAGGTGCAGTGACCAACGGTCAGATCACCTGCGTTGCCAGGGAGATGGTGATGCAGCGCCAGGTGAGTGAGAGCAGCGAAGCAGGAAGCCCCACCTCCTCCTGATCAGCAGCCTCATTCTGACACCGCACCTATGGGGGAATCAAACCAACGACCAACGCTAGGTGACGGGAGGACATCCCGTTTACAACCTTACTAGTTTCTTTTTTTTTTTTTACTATAACTCTTCGTAGTGTAGGCTGCCTTACTTGTTTTTGTTTTGGTAACCTTGTTTTTTTATTGACAACCGAGAAAAAAAAAATAAAAAAGAAGAGAAAAAGACGACGATGAAACTGATAAGCTCCTTTCTTTGTGTTTTTATAAACATTTGTACTGTTCTGTGTTTGTACATCTGTGGTGAGCAGATACACTGTGGTGCACACACATCCACATGCCTTTGTTAAACATTTTACACTTTGGTCACCCTGTGATTGCAAATGCAATAAAAGTAGACTCTTGCAGCCTAACATTATGTGTTGGTATTTCTTTATCCCTCTAATGCACAACCTTCCACCCTTAAAAGATGACAAAAAAAATTGGTTTTAATAGAATACAACTACCAGAAGAGAGATTGTTTAAAAACCACAAAGTGCTGTTTGATTTAACATTTACCTCTGTGGGTAAATGACTTTGTTTATAGTTCCTTTGTTAGCTAAGAGATGTGTCCACAGCTGAAGGTAGAAACAGCCATATAAGGACCAGGGGGGTGAAAGTGTTTGTGTAACTGGGAGTGGTTCACTGGTTTTGTGCAGGCTATTACAGGAACGGTAAACACTGACACAGCAGCACTTCAGGTCCTCAAACTGCTGCCTCTGCTGCTGGAGTTGTGGAGTTGTGTAACTGTTGGCTCAGAATCCCCACCACAGCTGTCCCTAAGGAAAAGAAAAATCTCACAGAAACCGGGTCCAACTCCACTCTCCAGTCAGCAGTTCACAGCAACATCTTCTGCCTCAGAAGTGGAATCAAAATTTAATGGCTTTTGCTTCAATAATGGGCAGATTTTACATATTTTCTCCCACCTTCTCTCCTCTCTGCTTCTCCAAGATGTACAGTCAGCAAAAAATGTAGGCCATAAAATGTGTGACCTACAACTTTAATTTGTCATGTTTTGTCCTATGTTTACTTATTTTCATGACAAGGCCTTTTGGGGGTTTATTATTTTGGGTAAAAAGTGATGGTGTTACTAATTTTAGCGGTCGTGTTCTAGGTTTAATAACATTTCAACAGTATTTTACCTATCGTGCTACTTTCCAGTCTTTTGTTACCGTTTTTTCTAAAATGTCTCCACTTTATCTTTTCTATACCTTAACATACTAAAGGATAAAGTTGTGTACCTACACAAACTCTCCTCAGCTCAGCTGCAGGACACAACAAACGCACTTTTTAAACAAGCTAACCTCCGCCCTCCCTGTGGAACAGATGCCCACCTGAAGCTGATAATTCATTATCTTTACGTTATTTGCCGTTTCTACTCCCGCGAATGACTTTGGTGCGAGATTAAACATCGCGTTAGGTTTATTAACGAAGAAATTTCAAGTTTCTGCCATTTGGAATTAATGTATTTGCAGTTTTACAAGCTAGCTTAATCGTTAGCTAGCTGATTTTAAATCGACCGTTGACGGCCTCGCCATCTTTAACCGGAAGTCGGAGTCTACATCCAACCGCTTGTCTCCGAGGTAAAGTACTTCACTTTGACCCAGTCAGGGGCTTTTGGATCGGATTTACATAATGAATTTTCTGTTAACTGGTGTGGACATGACTAGTAGGCCTGTCTTTTGGTAGTGGCAGTCTGGATGTTAGTGTTGTGTCGTTCGCGAACGATTCTTTCAAAAGAACCGAATCGTTTAAGTGAACATACTAAACCGAATCACTTCCTCGAGTGTATCGTTTGTTTCTCACTTCAGTTGAGCTGAACTACACTCTTTGGAATCTTTTTTTGTTGGACAAAACTACCTTTTTTCAACTGCTAAATTGCCACCACAGCAACTCACATACAATAGGACACAGCATGTAACAAGTAGTGCATTAAACTCGCAGCATCCTATCAGTGCAGCGGTTTGCGAGGGAACGGTGCATGTTTAGTGTGAATTCTTCTAAACGTTCAGTGAACGAATCACTCACTGACCAAATAGCATACCATAAGACATCATTACTCTTAAAACATCATGACTTAGAAACAACTTTATTTTTACAAACCTGTTTGTCACAGCAGCACAGCCAAACGCTCGTCTCCCAGTCCCAGAAGCTCTGAATTGAACTGAATCCTGGAACGTTCAGCTGTGTTTATGCTCAGGGGTATGGAGTCGCAGGCTTCTCCCGCTAAATGATTCTGTGATTTGGTGAACAAATCTGTTGAACAAATCTTTTTAATGAACTGATTCTACTAATTCAGTTATTCATTCAGTAATTCATTGATACTAGCTTAATTAGTGTGTTTAGATGTGTTTGGTGTTATCTTGAATACTGAAACTTTGTGTTGGAGGTCTGAGATGGTTTACTGACATTTATAAGCTGAAAATCAGCAAAATTGTTCAATTTAAATGCACATATGCTTTTCAGTGATGGACTGAAGCCCCTAAATCATTATAAACCTAGCAATAACAGAAATCAAATACAAACTTAATCTTATAGCCTTTCTGATTTTTAAATGCCAAGTTTCCCCAACTCCTCTGTATCATTTCACTTATAAAAGCTCTCCTGACGTGTAGAAAACTCTCTGCTGACTGCTGTTTGGCACAAATCCTGACGTGAGGATTTTCCTATTTGAGAATCAAATGGGTTTGTGTAAGCATGGCCGTCCCCTGTTCACCCCTCAGTCCCTCTGTGTGTCTCTATGAAACAGAGGAAAGACAAACAATGGGAGATGGTGCTGTAAAGTGGCCTCTCTGTATGACTCTGGTAAAAGGTTGACTGAGGAATTGTTCTGTGGTTCATTTGAAGAGCTGAACACCCGGCTGGACTCCCACGTTGCAGTTTTTCCAGGTCATTGGGTGTTGACAGGGTCGTTCAGAAGTGGGAGTAGAGAGACCAATTTTCCCTTCCTACCCTCATTCTCTACATCTGTTCATCTTTTGTCTCCAATAATGCAGGATGGTATGGACAGAGTCAGTTTTATGGTAGAGTTGCACCTAAATATGAGTTTCAGTAGTGATTTTCTTTTTGCATTTCTTGATCTATAATATGAAAAAGAGGGTTTGGACTGAGTTTAGGTCATTGAAACCTTTTACTTTTCACCAATCAAAAGTACAGGGGTACATGTTTTTACATTAAAGATGTCATCTTAACCAAAGAGAGCCGCAAACCCTCAAGTTAAGAGGTATGTCTTGTTCTTTTTGCTTGAAAAATGACCAGTTTCGTCCACCAGGAAGTTCAGTAGGGCAGTGCCAGTCCTGTAGAAATCCTGCAGAAAGCCAGTGGAGGGTAATCATCAGAAGTTTAATGTTGGCTCTCCTTTTTTTCCAGTCAGGACTTGAGCAGCAGCTTTGAACTCGCTGCAGGCCTTGAACAGACAATTGGTCAAAGCCAGCATACAAAGAAATACAGTCATCAAGTCATGACGTTGAAATTCCCACCTGACTCCACCCAAATATTTAAGAGGCTTGACCCACATCTCAGGTTTGAGGTTCAAACTCCAGGTTTTTACCTGATGTTTGACACCAAAGTGTCTCTTGTAGGTTAAAATTGTCCACCTTGTTTACTTTTGTCCATTTGACCTCGGTTGTTCGAATCTGATCAGCTGAGAGGAGGTCGTAGAATCTCGAAGTTAGGTGATTTCTCAACTTTCTTTTAGTCCTTTGGCGCTTGTTTCCTTCTACTTGACGCCTTGGTTTGCAGGGCTTGTTGGTTTGGACCCCAGGACAATGTCCACCCACAATTCTTTGGTCCCAGTTCCACCTGGAAATCCTGGGAACACAAAGAGTCTCTGTTGTTCTCTACATGACATTTGTGACCTTCAATGGTTAATGTGCAAATCAATGAAGATTTAATTTGTCTAAAATAGATGTTCTGCCACAGACAGAAATCAAGAAGTACTGAGAGTCAGTTCTGGACATTTCACAGGATGTTTTTGTGAAAACTATAGAAAAACACCAGGCAGAGTCTGTGACAAAAGTAAACATGTCTGTGAAACCAGTCGGACTTGAGCGGATAGTAAAATCGGCACTTTGACAGGAATAAAACTGACCTACTTACTGAGCACAGGCATACCTTTGTGGGCTGCATTCAGAACCACCTACTAACTGGTTTACACAAAACAGCCAAAAACTGCTGAAACTCCAGGGACTGACTTTTGGAGGAGGACAAACATCTGCTGGTTAAAAATGGAAACTCTGCTCTAAATCTGATGTTTATAGATAATGTTTTTGGATCCGTTTGTTTGGATGGATTTTAGAGAGGAAACATGAGTCAGTGAACTGGCCCTCCGTCTGATTTCATCACTTTCTACAACTTTAGTTTCTTTTCCAAAGTATGAGGAGATCCACGACATCCATGGACTGTTAAAAACATGTTTGTCGTCACGGTGACCTGTTAGAAATGCTAATATTGTGTCATGTCGTTGTTTTTGCGAAGCACTCCGAATAAAGTGGAAGGTATTGATAAGGGATGTTGACAGCTTAGTGAAGCATGCTTTTGTGTGTCTTCTTCTGTGTTGTTGGTTTTGTAGGTGGAGTTTAGCTGAACCTGGGGGTACCTGGTCCTTAGTCCACCACTCTGCCTCTGTTTCTCACTCATCGTTTCTGACTGACTGTGTTTATCTCCTCCTTTTGACATGTCTTGGTAGACTGGTCATGACAAGGCAGAAGGACTTCTCGAAACATTAGACTGTTTGTTTACCTGGAGGTGTTGTCATGGTGACCCAGATGGTGATTTGTCTCTGTTTGTGTCTGACGGAGGCGCTCTGATGGCTGAACACAGACTTCATGTGCTCCGGACTGGAGGTCGTATCTGAGAAAGAGACGACAGACATGAACCAAGCAGAGGTTAAAGAGTGTAATCTGACTAAGAACGGATATCAAAGTCAAAACATCGACAGGGAAATCTGCGTCACATCACAGCTCTCTCTCTGAATCGTTCTGTTGTCATGTTGCGTGTCTCTCAGGGTGAGTTCGAACATGAATCTCACTGTTCTGGGCTCTCATCCAGAAACCGTGTCAGAAACATGTTTTTCTCTCTCCGGTTAAAGTTCCTCTCAGGTTAGAGTAGCTGTTAAGTTGTTAGAGAGAGCAGACGAGGTCAGACTGTAATCATGTCAGTGTGTCTGTTCCTGCTCGCCTTGTTTTGCTGCCGACAGAAGACGAGACGTGCTGAACGTGTGAATCAAGTACACAAAAAGCACGACACTACGCCTTAGCGCTGCGTAAGTGCTGACTCTGTATGTGTGTGTGTGCAGAGTGTGGATCCACGTGTGTGTGTGTGTGTGGGGATATTTAAATCTTGTGTGTTCATTTTTTTTTGAGTCATTTAGTTTCTCTTCCTTTTCTTCTTCTCTTTTTTTGAAGGATGTAAAATCAAGTTAATGTGAATAATGGAGACATATTTATTTATCAATATAAACAGCAGAAACTGAGATTTCTAACACAGCCAGTGATAAAAATAACGACTGGGTCCAGTAAACACCAGTAAACACTTCACTGACATGTGGATGTTTTTTCTCTCCAGGAGGTAACATGACTCATTCAGGTCAGAGGTCAATGTTCAGAGTGCAGGACTGTCAGTGAGGGTATGCATGGTCTTGCAGTGTGGTGCCACCTTTACCCCTGCACGATGGAAACACGTGCCGACATCTCCACATAAAACAGAACCTTTGTACTAATTTTAATATTTTCTTCCTCTTTTACAAACATGTTGAGGCAGAATGAGGAAGTCTGAACTAAAAGATGAGGTATTGTTGAAAAAAGGAGCGTTTTACCACTTCTGACTGACTGGAGCGGTCTCTTATTGTCTGTTTCTGCAGGTCCTGTCTCAAAGATTCATGTTTTGTGATACTTGTAAACAGGGTTTTATCTTTCTTTTGCTCTCACACTCCCTGTCTCTCTTCCTCGACTCCTCTGTGGATTTCTTTTCGTTTGTGTGATTCGCTCGGCTGAAGCAGTGGTCCTAAAACATGCTAACTTAAGAGTGAGCCCATGTTACAGTCAGTGTGTGTGTGAGGGTCTTACTTCTGTAGAAGTGGTTGCGTGCGAGCAGACAGGCCGGAGAGTTGATGCTGCTCATGGCGTGTTGGAGGTATGGAGGTCACTGAACCTACAGGGTCAACATCCTGGACAGACGGGCAAACGGAAAGACAGACAGATGGACAAACAGACAGACAGAGGAGAGAGATCAGACCTGTTTAGGATCAGCAGACGACTCATGCAGGAGTTTTTTTTATCTTTAATCAGCCAAACTTTACTCTATCTAACTTGTCCAGAAAGCAGCAGCTCATCACATCAGCCCTATTTTAGCATCTTTACATCGGCTTCCAGTTAGTTTTAGAATTAATTTTAAGATTTTACTCATTACTTTTAAGGCAGAAAAGATTCTGACTCCAATCTATCAGAACTTTTAACCCCCTATGAGCCAGCCTGGACCTCCTGGTCGCTCCAAAGTCGAGACATGTAACTAAAGGTGACGGGGTCTTTTCCATCAGGGCCCCTCGACTTTGGAACGACCTCCCTGAGGAGATCAGGTGTTCAGAAACAGTCCCTGCTTTTAAATCACGTTTTAAAACTCATTTTTATAGACTTGCTTTTGTGTGATTTTGTCTTCTTTAAAACTTTTTACTCTTCTTATTTCTGTTTTATAATCGTCCCCTTGGTCTCAGGTTTTTGGGATTGGGTTCCTGTGTTGGCCGGGTATCATAGGCTCTTATAATGTCTTTGTTTTAATGTCTTTTTGTTTTATTTTTTTAATTCTTTATTGCCAGTAATGCGTAACTTCCTCCAAGTGTTCTCTTGTTTTTGTTATGTTTTTTTTCATCTTCTTTGTTTTCCTGCAAGTTAAAGCACTTTGTAAAGCTCTTGTTTTTGAAAAAGTGCGATATAAATATAATAATAATAATAATAATTATTATTATTATTATTATTATTAGTAGTAGTAGTAGTAGTAGTATTGTTATTTTTATTATCTGATATTTTAATAGGACTCAGGGTGCTTTATGATGGATGTCTGGAGTTTTTCTTCATGAAGCTGTTTGTTTGTGGAGATCTGCTGTATTCGTTCTGCAGTCATTTAGTGATTGTCTGTTTGAACCCTCGGACTTTAATCATTTATACTCATTCGTTTATGTTTGTGGTGTGAGGTTTGGAGAAAACTCAAAAACAGGTAACAGGTAGAGCAGACAGAGAGCACAGCGCCACCTGTTGAAAATAAGAGTCTAATAGAAAAGAGGGGAAAGTTTGGCTCTGAGCTGAAGGTCTGAACTGGTAAAAAGCAAACAGAGAAGATAATTCCGATGAACGCGGGGACAGTTTGTCTAACCTTTGACCTTAACACTGACCATGCTATTATTAGATACGCAGTGTTTGGTCTGTGTCATCGTACAAGGTCTCAGGTGTTCCCCTTTTGGATGTTACAAAACGAGTCACTCGGATTTCCAAGTACATTTATTTTTGCCTTTATACGTAATCATTAATAATTCATGAACCCCAAATGTTAGTTTTTAGTCAATTAAACAAAAATACTTTTTTAATTTAAATTTAACTGATTGACCAGGTTTCTGATGTGTGGTTAAAGTCGGTCAGGTTGATCAGAAATCAGGTTAGAGCAGATAAAACAGAGATGTAGGATTCTCTGCAGGGAAATGACGGTGATGAGCGAAAAATCGGACTTTTCCCTGAAGTCAACAACCTTCAGACTGAGCTGCAAATGTTTGTGTTGGTCAGTTCAGTGTGTTAACAGTCAGAGTGTTTGACTGGAGGGTCTGTGCTGACAGTTGGTCATTTTTTAAGATAAGATGAGTTCAGGGGTCATGGTTCTGTTTTGACAGCCTCAGTTTGATTGTTTTTTTCTTTTACAGTTGTCCTCGTTTTTGTTTTTCAGGATCAGCAGATGTGAGATCCATTTTAGTTACATGCTTCTGCAAATAGAGTTTGATTAAAATCGTGAGCCATCATGAATCATAGAGCGTTAACTGAGCATGCTCAGAAAAAAGATGTATTTATGGGGATTAATTCTCACACATGTCAGTTTAAGCTGAGTTCAGGTCAGAGAGGAGAGTTAAAGCTGTGGTTCTCTTCGCTCGGTCATGCTGGGATGAAAACAGACGGTCTGTGCTGTAGTGATAAAGCCTTTCTCAGCTCGGAGGCAGCGTGGTGTTTAGTAAGTAGGTGACCTTCATTCTCACACTGAGGCTGATTGAATCCTCACTCTGAGCTCTGCTGTATCATGTCTGACACAGTTACACTGAACAAAACCAACAGCAGCCATGTAGGATGTGAGAAACTGTAAACTGAAGAGCCAGAAAACAGCGATTTATGTTTGTCTTCAGTGTTTTTGTCACAATATGCCACACTGAAATGTTGAGGAGCTCTACCCTCAGAATATTTCACTGTGCTCATTCATAAATGTCTCCTACAGCAGGACGTCTTCCCTGTTAATGAAACTACACCAGCTAGACTGGTCTGCTCTACACGGACAGACAGTTTTCTCAACATGATTCTCCTCCTTCAACCTCAGAGGATTTGATTCATCCGGTTACTCGTCTGTCTTTCAGGTTTTCACCAGCTGCATTACAAAAACAACACCACCCCCACCCACTGTTTACTCGTTTTGTGGTTGTTGTTGTTGTTTTATCAAAAGAAAAATTAATTGTGCAAATCTATTTAAAGTGCAGTGATTATAATGTGGAGGCATTTAGCAGAAGAGACATAGAAGACATGCGACATGATATATCTTTGCTTGTTTGTTTGTTTGTTGAGGTCCCTGTGCACAGATATAATATTCCTACAGTAGCACAGAATGGACAAACTAGAAACTCATGTTTTTGTTTTCTCATTTCCTCACACTCTATCCTTCAGTAGAGATGATGTAGAATATTGATACTGCAGTATATTTCTGTGCAGTTATCATATCATGTCTGTTCTCTTTTTGTAATGTGTGTTTTAAACAGATTTCCTTCGTTTCTCCTCTTGGCCGCTCTGATGTCCTGATCTCCTTCTTTACCCTTCAGGGGCGTTTTGTGTGATTGAATTAATCAGATCTCATGATGTTTCGTTCATGTGGTCGTCTTGTGAGCTGATACTTGTTGTGGCTCAGTTTCTGTATCCTGGTATCAGTGAGGTCCATGTTTCAGGCGCCGTGTCGTGAGTCGTGAAGTTTGCCGTGTAAACGTTGAAAAGAAAGAGTTTTTGTTCAGAAATATTTCTTCTTCATCTCTCTTTGTGTTTCTGCGTTGTGTAAGAGTAATCTACACGCTGCTTATATAAGTCAGCTCTGAGTCGATGTGGGGAAAAGGTCACGGCCGCCCACTGTTTTCATCCTCCTATAGATTCCCCCCTTTTTTCTTCCCTCTCTAACTTGTACTCATGCTGCTCTCCTTTCTCCATCTCTCTGTTATGAGCGTAAAACTCTCAGGAACCCCTAAGATCAGACTGTTGGATTTATCAGTACTGAAGAATGAAAGCATGTGTTCAACAGGATGGATGAGTCAGAAAACAAGGAACTAGGAAACAAGGACAGAAAAAGATCAGTAAGAGACACAAGGATGGAAAAAACTGAAGTGCAGGGAAGGAAACAGAAATAGAGAGAAACACGAAAAAAGGACAAAAATAATGAAGGAGGAATAAATAAAAGGATAAAAGGAAAGAGGATAAGGAAGTGGGTAAAGCAGGAGATCATATTAATAGAAGGAAAATGGAAAAGTTAGATCTAAGCAAGGAAAAAAGAAGCAAGGAAAAAAGGATGGAAGGAAAGTAGGTAACAGTGTTTGACCTGAGAGGAACATCGATCAAGGATGGATGGAGGAAGGAAAACATGATAAAGAATAGATAAAAGGAAGAGAAGATGGATCAAGGATGGATAAAAGGAGAAGAACAAGGATCAAGGATGGATAAGAGGAAGGGAACACTGATCAAGGATGGATAGATGGAAGAAAAGATGGACCAAGGGTAAAGGAAAATGGATCAAGGAAAGATGGAAGAGAACATAGATCAAGGATAAATAAAAAGAAGAGAACAAGGATCAAGGAAAGATAAAAGGATGGAACACTGATCAAGGAAAGATGGATCCATAATGGATGAAAGTAGACATGGACCAAGGCGAGATGGAAAAAGGGAACATGGAAAAAAGATAGATGGAAAGAAACATAGAGAAAGTATGGATGGAAGTGAACAAGGATGGATAAAAGGGAACAAGGATGGATGGGAAGGAACAGAAATCAAGGATGGATTGAAGGGAGCATGCATTAAGGCTGGATTGAAGGAGGTGGGGTATGAAATTAAAAGAAGGGGCCTCAGATAAAAGAGGAAACGAGTGATATTATCAATTAAGGATGGAAAAAATGGGAATATGAATAAAGAATGAAAGGGGGGAAACGTAGTAGAACGAAGAAAACAATTAAAAAAAACAATAAAAAAAAGGCTCACAGACGAATAAAGAAAGAATAATGGTTTGGGAAACAGAAAATGGGAAAGATGAGAACAGATAAAAAAAGAGAAAAGTTGGAGGGAAAGGCAGAAAGAATCAAAGACTATGAGAGGGAAGGGAGAGAAGTTAAGAAAGGATGTAAAACAGAAAAGGAAGGAAATAAAATGTTGTAACGGTTTCATGCAACTTCACTTAATCCAAACCTTTGACACTGACACGTCCATGCACAGACTCACTTTAAATCAGCTCCTCACGCCGGCGTCTTCGTCCTCTCCTTCCCTTTAATAAACCTTAAACTCAGACCAGACTCAAACTCTGCAGAATCCCCAAGACGTCAGACAAAAGGAGCTCCGATAACGAACCCAACATCTGCAGGTCTTCCTCTGAGACGGAGTGACGGTGCAGTTTGGGATTTCTCCTGCGGCGAAGGAGTGGTCTCTCTTTTAGACACAGTCAAGTAGCCTCCAAGTCAAAAGGTCAGCAGCCATTTTTACCCCCCAGACACACAGCTGCTTCTTTTAGCTCCGTGTGACCCACATTCAGGATGTAGATCAGAGGTCAGGGTGATGTAACCGGGGGGTCGGGGTCCCCTCTTTACTCCCATGACGGTGCAGGAAGACAAAATGACTCGAATGTTCACTGGAAATCAGTCGTTTCTGGTTTTTGCCATCACTGAAATAACAAACAGGCTTTTATTTTGAAAGAATGCAGAGGACTTCCACTAAGATAAACTAAATTAGATGTCTCATCCTCCTCCTGTAGAAGTTTGAGCTCTTACCTTGTTGTCTTATTATCTGTTAGCCACAGAGAAACCCCACCAGGGCTAAGACGAGATTCATCTGCAGCTTTACTGAAAGTGGATAACAACATGATTCAGATCATAATAATAATAATAACTTTATTTTTATAGCACTTTAAAAAACAGAAGTTTGTTTGATAGTTTGAAGCTGATTGTTTACGTGTCTGAGAACAGAGTGATTTTTGATAAAAGACACAAATATTACAAAGATAAGGACCTGAAGGACAATCTGACGATGGTTTGTGAGCTTTAACAGTTTGATAAACGTCTTTGTTTGAACTTTGATCTGTGCTAACGTAACTTTAGCTCGAAGCTAATTAAGTCTCTGTTGTTCCCTTACGTTTATGGATTATAGTTTAATGTGTTTATCTGGTACTAACCTGACTCAGTCCATGCTATCATGACAGACAGACATCTCAACACTAGAGTCTGATCAGAACTGAGAAACACTCAGTCTGCTGTTGGCTCAGTCTTCTCACTTCCACCCGGGACGCGTCTTTATTCCCCCCGGAAAGTCGCAAAATCGCATCGCGCTTGATGTGTGTAGTCAGGTACGTCAAAATTGGTCTCCGAATATTTCACGTCGTATATTTGCGTCGTTCCTGGTGTGTAAGGATCTTAAGTGTGTCTTTTTTTCATGTTAATTTTTGGGAAACTTTTCAAATCAAAGGATGTTTTTTATTTTGTCTAATAAACGGCTAACAACTGTCATATGTCTGTTAAGTTTAAAAAAAGGGGGAATTCACACAGATATCACTCAGCTTCTGGTTTTATTCCCGGGTTAGCGATGGGAGGGTTTCTTCCATGGAGATTCTAATACTGCGTTTCAGTTGTACTCAGAAGTCAGAATCTCCGAGCTGCCGGTGAAGGGAGGCTAAAATTGGAGTGATGTGATGCCGTTGAATGAAACCAGTTAAAAGCGGAGCTGCTGCGTTCTGAACTAGATAAGCTCGTGTTGTGCTTCAGTTGATTATACTTTAAGACCATACTTGGCAGAACTCCCTTCAGTTAGTGTGTGGCATCTTATCACAATAACAAACTATAAACTTGAAGTCCTTTCACTCTGACTCTGCTGACTCATGTCAACACTAATCCATGTCACTCCTCTCCCCATCCTACCCGAACCATCTCAAACCTCCTCCTCTGTTTTAGGGATTGTTGACTCAGATTTAATCCTGGTGTAGGTGTTTTTAATCTCTCCGCAGCTCCTCTTCACGTCACATTTATTCATCCACGACTCTTTCTTGTTGTCTTTTCTGTTGAGAAAGCGCTCTGTCTGCCTGTCAGCTCGGCTCAGCCTCAGTCTCTAATCCACTTTCACTCTTTGTCGGTGTCTCTGCAGTGTGGAGGACGCAGCAGGAGCAGCTCCTGAACTCAGCATGCACTGCAACATAATCTCCCTGGATTATTTAGATAAGATTTTAGCTTTTAGTCATTGGTTTTCAGACAGGACTTTAGAGATGGACAGTAGGGATAGGTTGCAGGTGACTTTGACACATAATTGTAGAGAAGAAAGATGTAAATCGGACACGTTTAGATCTGCAAAAAGACAGTCCACAAACTCACTTTTGTGAATCGTAAAAAAGCTCGCAGAAAAAGTGTGATCTTGTCTTAATCTTCTGGTCGATTTAGTAGCCGTGTTTACATGCATGTGCACTAGATTGCATGCATTATAAGAGGATCATTCATGAATCCCTGTTGAGGACACGAGGGAAAAAATGTGAGCAGCTGGGAAACAGGAAGAGCTGGATTTTCCGAGCGTTTGTTTCCTCTCCTCACGTGTCAGATTCATGTCCTGGAAAGTGTCTTTTTCTATTTTTATCACGAGGGAAAACGTGCTCGGTCGGGTCCTTCACGTCACTGTCTTTGACTTAAACTTTCCAGACTTGACTTGACCTGAAATCGACCTTTTTATGATTGTAAATCCAGAGCAAGTACACGAGAAGACTCTGAACACAGCGGTTAAATCATAAACTCTGTCGGGTGGAGTGCTGCTGTGTTTATTCATCTTGTGCATCGCCTTGTGTGAAGTTTAGTCTGTATAAAGGTCACTCTGCATAAAGGTGAACTCTGAGCAGCCAAAAAAACTCTCCGAGCGAGGAGGCGGAGTCAGTACGTGAGAAATACCTGCACAGATCATCTCAGTAGTGTAATATAAGGATGGATGTCACTCCTTAAAGCTTCTGTGAGGGATTTTAGTCAGCTGTTAAACAGATGGTATCATCAGTGCCGATTAAAGCAAACGAGGCTGTCCACAAGTAGATTAACAGTTCCTACTTTTTTTAACCTGTAACAGCTGAGAGGAGGCGTGGTCAGGAAAAGATGGATGACAGTATTCTGAGGAAACATTTTTAAATCATAAAAAGTTAGTGATGTTTTCAATACTGAAATATCTGTTAAATCAGTAAACAACGTTAACATGTGAACAGTTCAGTTTCAGTGGAGAGATAGGAGGTATCACTCTGTCCACAGGGGGCGCCAAATTTAAACAAACATGAAGTTCCTCACAGGAGCTTTATTGAAACCAGCTCTCTATCAATCTGACCATCTGGAAATCTTTGCACTCGTCTGTCCTGTCATACATATCGATGTATTTGGCTGTTTAGCTTTATAACCGTCTATCAGGCTGTCAGTTAAGATCCAGCTAGCCTGGTTTTCTGAATATCGAGCTCTCTATCTGGCTGCATGGTTATCTGACCGCCTATTCGACTGTGCTGGTTGTTTTCAGGCCCTGTACGCCAATTTCCGTACGGAAAACTAGAACTCTTGCAAACAGCTGAGGAGTCCGGCGATCCGCAGAGGAACGTAAAGAAGTCGGTGTAAATTGACACGTTAACTTGAATGGTTACGATCAGCTACAATCGGAGGATACAACCTTTTAGGAGACGATCAGGATGAAGGTGGAAATTGGGGGTTATTCTTCATGGCGCTTTGAGCTCGTTGGTCATTTCGTCATATTTTATGTAAAGTTAAAGTAACCTTATCTTGGCCGTGCCAACATGCTTCATAAATACACTGGATTTCAATTATTTCTGAAGGTTAATGGCTGAGATCTTTCCTGAACTCTAAACAAACAAAAGAGAAAAGATGGTGCAGGATCATCAGGGTTAGATTTTTCTTTAGGCTTTATCAGTTTTATGAAACAGGTTTACAGGAAAGAGTGAGGGCACAGACCTTATTTGCTCCCCTGGTCTGTGTACTCAGCCGGGGATGTCTGTGTTTTCTCTGAATGTTATTGTGCCTCAGTGCCAGCCAGGGTGAGCGGGTTCGAACCGTCCTGAACCCGGATTCTCAAGGCGATATAAAAACATAAGTCTGGCTGTTTTCCAGCTCGTAGGGCGGCACTGCCACAGCATATGATTGAGGCTGGGTGTGGAACAGACTGTGCGTGAGTTACTGCCAACTATTCAGTGATATGATTTTGTGTCATATCCACCACTGAGCAAGTTCTGAAATAAAACATGTTTGAGGTTTAAGTGATGGTAGCTAACCCTTTAATTTCACCCTTGACCTATTTGAGGTTACAGTTTGAGGGATCAGATGTTAGTCCTGCAGCGGTCATCTGATCCACATGGGAATAATCTGAAGGTCTGACTCTATTTCTGACTCATGTATCTGAGCTGGGGTAACTGGGCGACGTGACTCTGCAGGACAGGAGGAAAGGGAGACACGCTCACTCACACAGATCCAGTTTCATGCACCAGCCTGTCCTGGCTCTGACCCAGGGGACCTGAGTGACACAGTTTTCAGACACTTTTCCAGAACAGACCCTCAGGCTGTTTCACCTACATTTCAGTACGGAGGGTCTACTGCGCAGAGGCATGCTTTGTTGAACTGCTGCATCATTACTGACACAGAGAGTGTATTATGAAGGACACACTGAGCATATGTTTGTTGGTGTGGATGTGCATTTGTGAGGGGACAAGATTTAGTAAATGGGAGCAGAGTGACTTTGCAGAGTGGATTAACTGCTGAGTTGCAGTTTTATTCACAAAGACAGTCAAACTTTCCTTTTAAGCTTTCAAAAAGCTAAACAAACTTGTCATACTTTCAGTCATGCTACCTTTTTAATTCACCAAACGGCCACTTTTCTGTCTAAAATCTCTATTATTGAACAAAGCTGTTTGGAATACTCACATTTTTGAGCAGTATACTGTACTGTAAGTGCGCTTTTTGACAGTGAAAGTGAAACTTTTTTAAAGAAAATAATATGTTAGTATGAAAATAATGTCGTTGTAAAGAATGTTGAAACTTTTATAGAATAGATGTTAGTATTGTTTTTTTCTTTTTTTCCACTCCTAAATAGGACATTTTTTTATATCCTATACTATGAAATTTTTACATCCTATACTATGGCATGTTTTTTCATCCTTAAATCAGAATTTTTTTTTCTCCCAAAGATTTGGTCATGGTATACTATGTCATTTTTTTTTCTGACTAAATTTTTTTTTTTTTATTTATGCTAAAATATAACATTTTTAACATCCTATACAGTTGCATATTGATTAGACTTTACTATGGCATGTTTTTTCATCCTTTTCACCCTAAAATTCACATCTTTTTCACCCTAAAATCTGAAATTTTGGTCATAGTATACTATGTCCTTTTTTTTCAGGGCTTAAATATATATTTTTTCCTTACAGCTTAAATATGGAATTTTTAACATCCTATACTATGTCATTTTGATCAAACTTTACTATGGCAGGTTTTTTCATCCTTTAATCAGAAATTTTTTTTCACTCTAAAATTTGAAATTTTGGTCATA